GCCGTATCCAGATGTGTGTATGTGTGCGTGCCGCCGGCCCTTCTTCTTCTCGAAATATGAAAAAGTCGAAAGAAACGAGGAGGCTTCGGAGCCAGCACGGAGCTCTTCGGGGAGCCCCCATCTACCACATGACTTTTAACGACTATGCGTTGGCGTATCCGTATCCCTTCTTGCAAAATCAAAATCACCGCTTCCAACGAACTCTGATCGCGCATCACATCCATTCGCAGCTGCTTTTTTCCAAGACGATTTGTCTCCTTCTCCTTCTCCCCTTTCCCCCACTCCCCGCCATCTAGGCTGGAGAAGGCTTCTGCCATTAATTAAAGATACCGATCTAGTTATCATCAGTTTCCTCTTTTCACTTTCCGTCCCTCTTTCCCTCATAGTTAATTAAAGACGCCTGCCCAAGATCTTCAGATGTGAAGAAGGTGGAGAGGGCGCCTTGATTTTGGCAATAATCGGGAGGGGGGGACCTCAGACAAATAACGGCATAATTTATTGCAACACACATAAAAATGGCTAATTTAGACGGGGTAAAGGAGAAGCTAGAAGCTAGAATGATCAGAGTTCGTGGTGACTTTCGACCTGATGGTGTTCCCTGAGACCAATAATACTATCATGAGACATTTTGTACATGGCATGCCCACCTCATTCTCCTCCTGCCGCCCCCCACCAGAAACTTGATTCCCGCCCTTTGCTGCTGAAGACACTGTAGACACGATGCCGTCAAAACTTCGATGCCTTCGGAGGCGTCCGTCAGCCTCCGAAGCATAACCCGCCGAAGATATGATTGGTTTTTTGCGCCACCCCCCCCCTTTCTTCCGCCTGTTTTGTTCATTTCTCTTTTGCCCTCCTCTCACCTTTCACTCTTCTTGATTGCCCGATGGCATAACTTCTTCGCTCCCTATCCGGTACGCCCTCCACTTTCGCTTCAAGCATCTTCTTTTGGCTTCTTCTTCTGCATCTGCATCTTCTCCCCCCCACCTCTTCAAGCCCATACCTGCTTTAATCGTTTCAACGTTTCTCATTAATCTTAAACCCATCAGGACGACCCCGACCGCTTACTATCCTTAAGAAGTTTTGTGTCTCTCCCCCCGCACACCACATCATCATACTCCTTTAATGATGTTCGTCTCATTTCACCTCACCACCTACTTACTACCTTTCTCTTTTCGCTTTTGTTTCCCACATTTGTCACTCGTTTCGCACTATCATTATGCGATCTAGAAAGTCGAAATCCGCGAAACGCCGCAGTTTCAAAGAGCCCATCAATTTCGAAGGGGTGCGCGAAATCAAAGTGGCGGCATTTGCATCGGCCACCTTTGAAGGTGAGCGGCAAGAGTTCGGAGCACAGTTGTTGCTCTTTCGAGCACCAGTAGCCGCGTGCTCTTTTTCCTTCTTCTCCCCCATCCATCTCTCTCTCTCTCCGATCACATTAACACGTTCTCCGAGTGACTCCTCCTAGTACCTCGGTGGAAGCTCCCCGAAAATGGGAGTGACTCAGGAAAAAACTAACAATGTGTAATTGTTAGACATTGCCTCTGGTTCGCTGGGTCGATGATTATTAGAAGTGCAAACTCAAGACAAGACTCATATTGAACCTGCGACGGGAAGTATCAATCAAGGTTATGAGAGGGAGCCGAGTACGAACCCATTGGTTCCATCCTTTGCATCATATGTTACTCGCCCTTTCCGTTCCGTCGGGGTTTCTTATGACCGCGGCGTGGAGAGGATGGAAGATGGGCTCCGGCCGAGCTCGTTTCCACACAGACATCTGGATGGGCGGACGAAGAGCCATATACTCGCCTCCTTTATGGTTACGCGAACTGACGAGGACGACGGGGCCGAAACCAACCTCCCACCAAGTGAACTTATTCTAATCCTAAGCGTCGGATTTGTCGGTTTCGGTTTCTCAAGATGTTTCTAATGAAGACCTTATGTCTTCTTCTGTTTCGGCTTCTCGCTCACTCGCGTTTTCCGACACCACGCACCGAGGGGAAAACCCTTTTGCCAGCTATCTGTCAGACCTGTGGATGGGAGGGCGCCTGTTTCAGAAAAGATGGGACGTGACGACGAGGACGACGGCGTAGAGGGTGAAGAAGCAGAAGCAGAAGCAGAAGCAGAAGCAGAAGCAGAAGCAGAAGCAGCGGACGATAAAAATCAGCCTCGTTTTTGCTGTCCTCCTCTTCCTCTCTTCTCTTCCGACGTCCTGCCTCGCCTGGCGCTTCTTCTTCTTCTTCTGCTGCCGCTGCCCCTGGTGGGGGTCTGTGAGGCTGCTTTGGCAGTTTGACACTGGTCGTCCGTCGTCGGCCCAAATGTTGCCAAAGGCTTCAAACTGAATGAATGACTGTATATATCTGTGTCTGGCCGGCTTGTGTATTCGCATGTTTGTACGCATCTGTGGTTGTATCTCTTCTTCGTCTCCTATCTGCCTCCTGCCATTTGCCATTCACGTCCACCGTCCTCTAAAACGGGTATATGTACTTCTCTCCACTTTATGCCTTATCACTCAATTTTTTTTGGACTTGGGGGGAGGAGGAGAGGAGGAGTGCCTGAACCTGACTGAACTTGGCCGACTGACTGAAAATCTTCCCCCCTCCCTCACCCCCGACCTGTCCCATCAACTTATCACCAAGTCAATTATGCTTCACTTCACTGATTTGACCTTTACTGCACTTTTTTCCTACCGTTCATTCTCTCTTTCAAAATCGTTACCTCACCTTTTTTTCACTCCGATTTCTTCACACTTTTTTTTACCAAACTTTTCATTCCTTATTATTTTACCACCCATCATCACCTACCCTCTAAATTCATGTTGCCTTCCCCCCTCCCCTTCCCGCAAAATTTGATGATCTAATCGAGTTTCAAAAGCTTCTCCTTCATCGTTTTTTATTTGAAAGGCAGCGGGAAGGGGGGCGAGGAACACGTAAGGTTGTGTATGAGACGAGTGAGAGAAATGATGAAAAAGGAAGAAGTTAGCGGAACGTCAGGACACGTTTCGTCAGTGTCTACCATCTTCTCTTCCACACACACACACACACACACACACACGCACACCTTCATCGTCTTCTAGTTGCAAAAATTTTTATATATGGTGTCTGACGATAACAGCTTCTAGCTTCTAGTTTTTCAGTCTCCCGCCAAACTTCGAAATATTTGTTTTTGTTGATAGAATCAATTTCAGCTGATTGTAGGTCCCTTCTCCTTCAAAAATCTGACCAATGTTGTCTGACTCAGAAACAGAGAGGCAGAGTCACCGAGCCCGAGAGAAAATAGTTAGGTGATTCGGCAGAGAAGAGAGGTATTTGTGCGGAAGGACGGGGGGAGGCCTATGAGGTGCTGGAAACGGATTGAGTGACAAGAGCTGCTATCTATTGAGGCTGCCACCACCTGACGCTCCCAATGCTGCCCCCACGGGTCTCGAGAGAAGATGAAGCGGGAGAAAGAGAAGGAGCAAGAGCAGGAGAACGAAGACAGATTCTTGTTTGCCTAAGATGAATTGCATAGTTACTGGGGCATATCTATTTCTTGGCTTCTCACTTTTTCCTGAACATTTTTCTTCTTAGAGAAAAGTTTAGTGGCAAACCAAATCAGCACATATCTTTGATTTCATTAGAGGGCAAGTCAGAACTTGATAGGATTACGGTAGTATGATGAGTTGCAGTATTAGGTAAGATAGTGTAGACTCAAAAGCTTGAAAATCCAAAAATGGTTTTAATTTAAATAGAAAAAAACTTCTAGAAGCTTAACCTTCTTCAAATATCCATCACAAGTAATAATAAAGTCCTTAGAGTTCCCAATACATATATCCAAAATTAGAGTTTACTAGAGAAAAAATGACAAAAAAATAAGCCGGCAGGCATGAGCCGGGCGAAAATTGTAGCAAAATGCCTCGTGTGCCGCAAGTTTTCTCGAGCCTACTGAACCAATGATGTTACACTTCTTAAACAACAAGCATTTGCATTACACTTATAATTGTTACAGTCTAAAAGTGAGGGAGACTCGTGGAAATATGGACGGGACGGGTCTGAATGACGTGATGCGATTTTTTTGCTGATGCTTGCGCGCCGATCGTCGGAAATCTTTGATTAAGCTGATCTGAGGAGGTGTGTGGATGTGAGAGCAGCATTTCGCAATGCTCAGAAGCATGAATCACTGGAAGACGCAAAAAGAGCAGAGCTGTGGCTTTCGTTTTTGTTTTTCCAATTCTCCCATACACTTTCCGCTTTTTTTTATTATTATCAATCCTCCAACATCTGAAAACGTCATTTGTTCTTTCCATTTCCGTTTTCAAGATTCAAAAGTTTCCCCCTCTCTTTTTACCTAAAGAGCACCGCCCGTATGCCTACTGTCGGCTCCGCCCCTCTTCTCGAGTCCTCCCTCCCCACCCCTTTCCTCCCGCGAGGGCCGTTCCACAACATTGATCAACTGCCCGTCGTGGGTGTGAGGGTGTCTCTCCCTCTCTCTCTTGCTCTCCCGTGCCTACAGTTGCTCCTTGGTGGTGGGCGGAATTTGTCACCTCTACTTTGTGCTGCCATTCTTTTCTGGTTCCTTGCCGAGGTTTCTTAGGAGAATTGAGTGTGAGACTGTACTTCTAGTTTCTACTTTTAACGTCGGTATCAAAATGGTAATCGATCAATATCATCTGATTAATGTTCCCGAGACCACGTACGACCGTTCATTGTTTTCCCCCTTTCTTAGCGTTTCAATTTATGGGCATTTTGAAGTACTATCTCTTCTATCTTTTCCCTTTTTTCGCCTTTCACTCGATATCTTTTTTCCTTAATTCATTTCCTTTCTCTCTCACTCGTTTTTTCTTCGGAAAATGAAAGTGATACCGTTGCTAGATAGAACGACGTTGTCCCATCTATAATAAAACAGCATACTCACACACACACTCACCAAAATAGCCTTTCTCAGAACCCTGTTTTCACTTTCAGATATTGGCATCTCACACCGCGGGTGTCAACACCATCAAACGCCACAAGTGCCACGTCATCATGGAGATCCAGACGCCAATGTTGCACCATAATCCGTACGAGATAGTGAAGAGTGAGCCGCCATCGACGCCGAATACATTGATCAAGAGTTCATGTCAGTTTTTACCTTTTTTTCTTGTTTTCTTCTCTCTATCTCTCTCTTTCTCATTCTCTCTCTCTCTTTCATTTTGCACTCACTCATTTCTTCTCAAAAATGACGGAGAGCAGCACCCCACTCTTTCTCACTCACATTCACTTTTAAAACCGAACCCATCCAATTTTCACCTGCTTTTCTTTTCAAAGTGTAACCTTGGCATTTCAGACTTGGAGAACCAGGCTGAAGTGATGTTCGGCAACTTCCAAATCCATCCGGGCTTTTGCACCCAGGTTGTCACCAACACGGACCCTCTTAACAATAACAATCAGCCGAAAACAAACGCAAATGGACGGGCGCTGGCCGCCGACAGAAAACGACCGTACCCGTGTACGCTTTGCTCGTCGAAATTCGGATCCAAGATGGAGCTGGAAGAGCATCAGAATTCGCACACCGGTCAGAAACCTTTTGAATGTGATGTAAGCCAATACTAGGTTAAAGTTAAGTTTAAGCAAAAAATACCATTTCAGACTTGCAACGCCCGATTCAACCGCCGGTCGACGCTCTGGAATCACAAACGGATTCACTCGGACGCGAAGCCGTTCGTTTGTACCGTATGCCAGATGACATTCAAGTGGAAGAACAGTCTTAAGGTTAGTGTAGTGACTTGTTTGCTCTTATTTGAAGGAATGGGTCTAATTGCTATGTTTCTTATCTGTTACTCATCGCAGAAATAGAAAGGAAAACTGTTTGTCTAACATGCCTAGTTCATGTAAGTTTGATTTCTGTCGTGGTGTCCAAGTGTTGTAGTTTTCAGTTGTTTTGAAATGTTTCAAAGAGACTAATCGTCGATTTTCAGTGTCATAAAGATATGCATCAGCGTAAAAATGAGACTTCCGCTCATTTGGACAATGACCTCCGTCAGCTGACATATGCCACTGCCGCGAAGAGAAAGCTGGTATGTCCTCTCCTTTCTCCTCTCAAATTAGACCAATCTCAATACCACTTTCAGCAGATGGAACAAGAAGAGAACGGTGTACTTCCGGCGTCCTCTTCTGCCGCTTCAATCAACTCGAACCCGCTGATCACGACAACATCTGGAGCCAAAAAGCGATCCAAGTCGTTCAAGGGCACCAAGAGCAACTCGTCGTTGAGCCAATCTCTGAGCCAGGTGCATCTCGGGCAGCCACTGCAGGCCAGTGCTCTCGTGCCACCAAGCGATCATCAAATCGACCTGGATACCACTTCGCTGGATTCGCTGGTTCAGAACCAGAATCAAAGTTTGCTGATGCAAATCTATGGGTTAGTCCGCTCACAGTTAATGCAGTTGGGACAGTTTTTCAGTTTCAGATACAGTGACATGGATGGCCGCCACAACGGCGGAATGTTGGCACTTGATGACACGATGCTCTCGAATCTGAGTGACTCCAAGAGTGACTCGGGATCTTCTACGGGAACACTGAACATCCAGCTTCAAATGCCAATTAACATGCTCAACCCGTTCCGAGGATTGAGCACCCCTCAACAATTGGTAAGTTCAAATTTGGAAAGATTTAATTTATGTCTCATCTTCCTCACTTTTCAGCCTTCTGTCCACCATCTCTCGTCTTCTCTGCCATCGGTCTCTTCCAGTATGGACTACGGAAGTCTCAATCAGCACCACGACAACTCGCAGTACATCGTGACGTCACAACCCGAGATGATGCTGAGCCATCAGCCGGTCTACCAGCACAACGCGTTCGCCACAACCGAAAAGACCACCCAGCACAGCAACCGCTTCAACATTGACAACTGCGTGATCCTTCCGACAACCGGACAAGACTACGGCACCTTTGACTACTCGCTGGTCAACCAACAGTATCAGATGGCGGAGCAGGTTCACGATCAGGGAGCCGGAGGTGTGCAGCAGCACTATGGAGATCAGAGCCACGGAGGGCACGGGAAGACGGTGCCACATGAGCAGTGGTAAACGTCATTCTTGTCCTAATTAGATGTCAAACATCCCTTATTTCATTTCCGCCCAAGATTTCTCTCTTTTCTTACTTTCCTTCCCAGTTGTGACCAGTATTAAGCCCCTTTCCCCTCTCCCAACCAACAATTGGTGTCATTTAATCTCATTCTAAATATCTATAACTTATATTATCTGCGCGTGCCTTATCAATGATCTGTTCCTCTTCTTCTTACTTTTATCCAACTGTAACCTTAACAAACACTCGATTTCTTTCTCAGAGCACGCAGTGATCTCTGTGTAGTTCTTTCCAAACTTTTTCTTAACTCAAACCTCTCCGCAAATTAGTGCCTTCCCCTGTCACTATCCTGATGGCCTTTCATGCTGAATCGCTCCAAATCTCCATTTTTGTTTAGTATTTATCCCTCTCCCCTCCACTCAAATCAACTTTTATGTGTATCCCCCTTCCTTCCAGATTCTACATTCTGCTTCTGTTTGTACTATATGGTAGATGCGCGTTCTGTTTCTCAGTTTTCATTCACTCAAATTAAGTGTGTGCTCATATTAACATTGCCATTTCCATTTCACCCCCCTCCCCTCCCCAAACTCTTCCTTCCACACTACATCTTGTCTCTTTTCCCGTCTTTTTATCTCGTTTCATCTCGATTTCATTCTTCTCCTCCCCCAACACCTTTCCACTCGTTCTTTATGCCATTCATTTGAATGATTTGAAGTAATAAATAAATACAATTTTTTTCAACAAGCGAAATGTGTTGATGAAACAGAAAAGGAGGGGGTTTGGGAGGTGAGAATATGGAGAAAAGGGAGGGGGGAAGAGGGAAGAAGAAAGAACGCAGGCAACGCTAGCGCAGCGTTTTCCGTTGTCATGGACACGAATACACACTGCGCACGGACTCACTAAGCATTCGGTCACTTTGCATTGTCTATTGAAATGAAACTCAAGTATCTATCGACTATACTCCCGTCTCAGGTCGGTTTTTTAATGAATAATTTGAAGTTGAACTCACATAAATAGTCGGAATCGTTGAAAATCTAGAGAATACATAGTGGAAACGTTCTTGGAAAAGTTTGAAAAAATGAAAATGAGAAACTTTTCTCATGTCAACAGATGTTAGTTCCGTCAAAGAAATTCTTTCCAATGTAAACAGAGTTGACCCCTTCTGGCCACTTTTTCACTTTTTTGGGCAAAGAGGGTTAGCGGAGAGCATTTCATCAATTTTTGAAACTTTAGAATCTGAAATCGTGACGTTTTTTTCGTCATTATTCCGAAACTGTGATATTTTGCAATTTATTTCTGGCTCTGAGGTCCGGGTTCAAAAGTTTTGAAAAGGGATCAATTTTCAAGATTTTTATTCGGAACTTTACTTTTGTCATTAAAATTAGAAATTAAAAAACGTGATTTGCAAAGCCTGAATCACTAAAACTCACAATTTCGGAGAGAAAATAGTCTCACAAATCATGTTCTGAAAATTTTAGTACTAAAACAGGTTTTCCATTGGCCCGGCTCCGACAAATCTGGAAAAAGTAGGTAAAACTCATAAACGTTTGAAGCTTACAACAAGACAATTGTTGCTAAAGTGAATTTTCAGTAAAACAAGTCGTTTCGTTCTTTTATTCCAACCAAACGTGTTCCAGGATGGTGAAGCCAAGATCCCAAGCATCGTCTGTGCTCCAAACGGCACCCGTACTGCAATCGCTTGCGCTGACCGTTCTATCGCCCTTCTCGATGAGAACAACAATCAAAAAGACCGATTCACATGCAAGCCGGTTGACTCAAAAGCAAGCTTCGAATAGTGTAACAGAAAGCTTTCATCCTCGATATTACAGTACGGCAAAAAGTCATTCACGATCCTGTGCATGGCATTCTCGCCTGATTCATCATGCATCGCCGTCGGCCAGAGCGACAATGTGCTTTTCATCTACAAAATTGGCGCCTCTTGGTGAGTGTCGTTGTAAAGTTACTTACTTTAACTGTCCGATGAGTCACACTAAAACGGTTGGCGTATGCAGGAATGAGAAGAAAGTGATTGTCAACAAATTTGTGCAGCCGTCGGCAGTGACTTGCTTGAGTTGGCCGTTTGATGATAAAATACTCGTGGGACAATTGGACGGAAAAGTGAGGGACTTTTGGTTTTTCTGAAACGATGATGTTTTAGGTAAGAATTGGACTCATCAAAACTAACAAATGCAGCTCATTGTACAAGACCGATGAAACTGTGGTTTCTTTGCAAACACAGTAAGTGAAAGAAACTGTAATTTCATGAGGAAGTGAATTTTTAGCCCAAAGAAGACTTCCTTCGTTTCTGCTCACGTGGATGGTTCTATAATTCTGTATAACTTTGGCAGTCGGACACAGGTTTCTTGTTTTCAGCTCAAAATGTCCAAAAACCTTTCCTTCTTTTCAGTCTAAAATCTGTACCCTCCAAGTTCCACCCTACAACTTGACCTATACAAACCACGGACTGGTAGTCGCCACCGCTGACCGAAGAGTTCTCTCTTACACCGAAAACGGAGTAGTCCAGCAGCAGTTTGACTACAATGACCAGACAGAGAAAGAGTTCACCGCGATTGCATGTGATCCGACAGCTCAGAATGTTGTGGTGGCTAGTTACGACAGGTTAGTTTCAGGTTTTCATGGAATTTTAAAGTTTTGATTCTTTTTAAGAATCCGTCTGTTCTCCTGGTCAGCTAGAAGAGGCGCTTGGGACGAAGGTGCTCCATTGGACATTCTCAACGCTTATATTATTGGGGCACTTGGCTGGAAAATGGATGGAAGCACTGTTTACGCGGTGAGTTTTCAGATGTGGCTGCTATATTGTATGTTTGAGAGTTTAGGGCAACATCTGCGGAGCAGTGTTCTCAGTTGACTGTTGTTTGAAGCGTGGAATGCTGAAAAGTCGTTTTGAGACCACGTACGTGGCCCCATCTCATGTTATTCTGCGTGATGTAACAAACGAATCACGGACTAGTGTGATTTCCAACAAAGGACTTGCAATCGACGAACTGAAAATCATGGGAAAAGACCGTTTCGTCGTTGGTTACACTTCTTCTACTATTGTCATTGCGGACACAGAGTCGCAGAAGTTTTCCGAGTTAGAATGGCAAAGTGGTGGTCATGAGAAGTTTTACTTCGACTTCAATAACTGCTGTCTGATCATCAACGCCGGCGAGGTTACTGTAGTGGAGTATGGTGTGGATGGACCTCTCGGATGGGTGAGAACAGAGCTGACCAGTCCGCATTTGCTCAGTGTGCAAGTGAGTAGCTCGGGAGTCGAGGATTATAAAAAAGTGAAGAAGTTGGCTTATTTGGTGGACCCGACCACGATTTCTATTAGTAAGTTTGAGTAACTTGATTAAAAGCCAAACAAATATAATGTGTCCAGTAAACTTGGAAAACGGTCAGCAAGAGTGTTTCATCAACCATCCCGGTCCGATCGACTGGATAGAACTCAACGAGCCTGCCACTAAACTTTTGTACCGAGACAAACGATCTAAAGTCACCCTGGTCGACATCCAAACTGACCAACGCAGTGTTCTTCTTTCATTTTGCACCTACGTCCAATGGGTGCCAATGAGTGACGTGATAGTTGCTCAAAGCGGTGATAACCTCTCAATCTGGTACAATCCTGACCTCCCGGAGCAGGTTTCGAATATGAAGATCAAAGGTGAAGTGGAAGCTGTTCTCAGGGATGCTGATAGAACTGAAGTTATTGTTCAGGTAGGTGTTATTAAAAATTTGACAAACCTTATTGACATGTTTCAGGAACCAACTGCAAAAGTGGCCTATGAATTGGACAATACTCAAATCGAGTTTGGAGCAGCCTTGGAAAAACGCGATTTCGACAGAGCCGTAGCGTTTCTGGAGGCGAATACCGGTGGTTCGGATGCGTATTCTATGTGGACACGAGTTGCGGACTTGGCCTTGGAGCATTTCAACCTGTTTGTCGCACAAAGATGTTATGCAGCAATTGGTGACGTGGCGAAAGCAAAGAAATTACATGTGAGAGCTAGTTTGAGCAGACTGTTTCACAAATATGTTTGGCATTTCAGGAAATCCAAGAGGACGCCGATGAAGCAGCCGTCACAATTGGTGGGGACGGAACTCATTACTACAAAGTTCGAGCGAAACTGTCAATTATGGCTCGCAAGTTCAAAGACGCAGAAAGAACATTTCTGGAGCAGAATGACATCGAATCTGCTATTTCAATGTACACAAATCTGCACAAGTGGGACGAGGCCTTGGAACTGGCAAAAGTGACCAATTATCCCGGATACGATCAGCTCAAAACGAGCTATCTGAGAGCTCTTAGTGATACCGGACAGGACTCGAAAGCTGCCGAGGTACTGCTGCAGTAAGATTGAAAACATTCAGAGATATTGTTGCAGCTAAAAGCATCTGACGGTGATACAATGTCTGCAATTGCGCTCTTCATGAAAGCGAACAAACCGTTGTCGGCTCTCAGTGCTGCTAATAATGACAGTGTTCTGGCGAATGATGAGACGGTTATGAGGCAGATTGCGGATTCTCTCGTCAAATCGCAATTGTATGATAAGGCTGGGGACGTTTACGAAAAACTGAAAGACTTTGATAACGCTATTGAATACTACAAGAAAGGAGATGCATACGGAAAAGCCATTCAGGTTAGTTGAAATCTTTGTTGATTTAAATCGGTATTCATTTCAGCTCGCTCGTTTTGCGTTTCCCGAAAAGGTGGTTGTTCTGGAAGAGGAATGGGGTCGTCACTTGGAGTATATCGGGCAGTATGATGCTGCAGTCAGTCATTTTGTCGGTGAGTATAATCATTTTCTGCTTCTACGTCATTTCTGATCATTTTATTGCAATTTCAGAAGCCAATGATCTGAAAAGCGCTGTGGAAGCCGCAATTAAAGCGAAAGAGTGGCCGAAAGCACTTTCGGTTTGTAAACTTTCGGAAAATTTGACATTTTTAACCGTTTCTGCAGATTGTGGAAAACATTCAAGACCAGAAAATTAGAACTGGGTACTACGGTGAAATCGCTGACCACTATTCGAACAAAGGCGATTTTGAGGTTGACAGATTGTAATCCGATATTATTAATTCAATGAATTCAGAGAGCTGAGCGGTTGTTCGTTGAAGCCGGACTTTTCAATGACGCTATCATGATGTACGGCAAAAACAGTCGTTGGGTTGACGCGTTCCGTTTATCCGAAGAGTTTCATGGTAAAGAAGCGACAATTTCATCGTATCTTGCCAAGGCAGAAGATCTGGAAGAGCACGGAAGATTCGCAGAAGCGGAACAGCTCTATGTCATTGTCGGAATGCCTCGTAAAGCAATTCAAATGTATGATCGAGTTGGAAGAGATGATGATGTGCTCAGATTGGTGGAAAGATATCATGGAGAGCACTTACAGGCGAGACTTTTCTTTAAAAACAAAAATGACCAATCTGTTTCAGGAAACGAGAAAACGCTTTGCATCTCAATATGAGGAACGTGGTGATTTGAGAGCTGCAGAGGAAGAATTCCTTAAAGCTGGCGACTTCCGAGCTGCGGTAAACATGTACAAGGAGAACGAACTGTGGTCGGACGCGTTTAGAATTGCCAAAACCGAAGGCGGAGAAAACATGGAGAAACAGGTACTGATTCAAATTTATCGAAAATTAGGCCAATTTATTTTTACTAGGTTCTGTTCCTCTGGGCCAAAAGCTTGGGCGGTGATGCTGCTGTGAAGTTGCTGAACAAACATGGATGGTTGATTGAGGGAATCGACTTTGCATGTGAAACCGGTGCATATGATTTGGCATTCGATTTGGCAAGAATTGGAGCGAAGGAGAGATTGCCTACGGTGCACGGAAGGTTGGCTTCGCAGTTGGAGGAAGAAGGAAGACAGGAAGATGCGTCGAAGCATTATATTGAAGGTGGGCTTGATTAATTTTTAAAACATTCAAAGAGATTTTCATTTCAAGGCAACCAACCGGAGCTTGCGGTCGAGATGTTCATCCGTGACAACGACTGGGCAGCGGCCGAGAGGGTTGCCAAGGAGCACTGTCCCAATCTTCTGCCGGATGTGTACGTCGGTCAGGCTCGGCGAGCAATTGAAGAAGGCGATCATCTTAGAGCAGAAACGTTCTTACTTCGAGCCAACAAACCGGAAATTATTCTTAGGTAACGATTCAAGTTTTCGGAGATAATAGCAATTTATGTACTGTTCAGATACTTTTCTGAGAACGAAATGTGGCCAGATGCATTGCGAATCGCGCAAAACTACTTGCCGCATCAAGCCGCTTTGATACAGGAAGAATACGAAAAGTCCGAGCTGAGAAATGGAGCAAGAGGAGTGGAATCGTTTGTTGCTCAGGCCAAAGAATGGGAGAAACAGGGCGATTGGAGAAAAGCGGTTTCTGCGCTGTTGAGAGTCAATAGCTCATCGACTGAAGACATTAAATTGATCAAAACATGCACTGAAAAAGCGGCGGACTTGACAATGAAGTTCCTTATGGGAGACGAGGAGGTAGTCAGAGCCATTCCAGACAAAATAAACACGTTTTTTATTAATTTCAATTTGCAGTACGTCACTGTCGTTCTTGGCGCTCTGGACGATGCGGATTGCAACGAGAAGGCTGCCGAACTTTTGCTTCTCTTCGGACAAACCAGACAAGCCATCAACGCATTGTGTCGGGCGAAACAGTGGAGTAAAGCCAAACAAGTACATACTTTGGGTTTTGCAGGATATATGATTAAGACTAACTTCTAGGTGGCTGAGGAATACCTGCCTGACATGATACCTGAAATTGAAAAGATCTACAAAGAAAGCTTGAAAAATGAGGGACGACTTGGAGAGCTGATTGATGTGGATGTGGTCACCGCAATCGACATGATGATTGAGAATGATCAATGGGATAAGGCTTTGGAGACTGCCAGATCTCAGAATGTTCGTTTGAACAAAGAATCGATTGTCTCACTAAATACTACTGTTCTTTTCAGTATCGACCTCTTCTAGACAAGTATGTCGCACAATACGCTGCGATTCTCGTCCATCGCCACGACTACACTAGAGTAATCGCAACTCTTGAAAGATTCGGAGCATCTGCTAACCCAGCCAACTTCTCCATCTACAAAATGCTTCTCGAGGAAGTTCTATCCAAACCACGTTTCGAATACTCTGAGATCGCCAGAATTCGTAATGTGCACCTGGATGTGTTCATCGCGCTCAAAAAAGAAAGTTCGCCACATCTTCAAGAGTTCAACAGATCTCTCTGGGCTTTGCATCTCCTGGCCATGCGTTCAGCTCTTGAAGAGCTGGCAGATTCTGTTCCTGAAGCTCCCAGGCTTTGTTTGAAGCAATCTCTCTCGCTCTTGAGATACTCCGACATTCTGCCGCCTGACCGCATCTTCTATGAAGCTGGATCGGCTGCCAAAGACGTGGGAAAGGAGTACGACTCGTTGGGTTTTCTGTTATTGAACCATTACTTGGACTTGGTGGATGCGATTGAAGAGGGAAACGGTGAACTGGTTGATTACAGTCCGTTTGAGAACAGTGACATTCCGACAGAGGTGTCATTACCAACTAAACAGTGGTTGGAGGTGAGCAAAACTTTCAGTTGTTTATTTTGCGCAGAAAAATATATTCAAATGGCTGTACAGGCGTTAGGAACGATCCATGGCAAAGCATCATACTCTTGAAATAAGTCTACTACCACCTTAATTGCCCATAAACTAACATTTGCCACTGTGACATTTATCACCATTGCAAAATGATAAAGAACAGTAAAACTTCATCTATTTGTAGCCATGTGATCACTACACGAAAACCAGCCGAACCCAATTGTCACATGCCCCCATCTTTTATTGTTTGGTTTCAGAGCGCCAAACACGAGGACATCAAGGAATGGGTTCTGGCCGCTTCAGTCGACGATTCTCACACAAAGGATCTGATTTATGATAAGCGGCGCGTGTTCGAAGCATCGCTGAATGATAATCGCGGCGGAACAGCCGAACCGTGTCTGGTCACCGGCTACCCAGTCATCGACCAACCGATTCATATTGGAACAATGGTGGCGGAGAAGGACAATCTGAACAAGTACGTCTGTGGTCATGGTTTCTGATCGCTTATCATTCGACTACCGTAATCCCTCGCCGCTTATTCAATTCTGCTGTTTTTCAGGTTCCTAATTGTTATCAAGAACAATCAGACCGAGAATTTATTGAATGTGCAGAACTTTGTCGTCAAATGGGCTGGATCACCGTTGGCCATTGCGCTTTGAATATGTACATACATATAAATGTGATGTGTGAATGTTTATTTCGAAATGTAATGAAACCAAATAAAATCGAAATTACCCATGCCTCATGCTCTTAACCAGATTGTTAAACTTGATGCCTCGTTTCCGCAAGGCTTCTAAAAAAGTTCGTTGCAATGCTTGTTCGATTCTCTCGATCACAGAACAGTTGTCCAGGTGAACTCTCTCGAGTTGAGGTAGAGCCAGCAGATGACTGAAATCTTGTTTGACAGACTACACAGTACAAACACCCAACTCACTCATAAAAACTTTGTACCTGCTCCTGAGTGGTAAACAGGAACCCGTTGAATGCGATTTTCTGGATGTTCGGGTGGAACTCGATGAATTTCATGATAAGATGCGGAATATCCGCTGAAGATAGACGAACATTGAACTGAAAGAAACATCACTTCAAAAATGTTTCTCGCCCTCCCACGTACTTTGGCCTTGACACAATTTGTCATGAAAACTTCATTATCAAGAATGTGCTGTAACACTTTTGACACTGTCTCTTGTTTGCAAATGATAGTGATATTGAGGAGTTTCCGAAGTGTACCCTGCGGAATCACCTCGTACCGAGCAGCGCAACCTGGAAAAATGAAGTGTTTCCCTGATGCTTGTGCTCTATTACCTCTTTTAGCGACGTTGGATGGTTCCCAGCCGACCAGCTTCAGATTATTCAGAGATTCAAAGTAGTTTAAGCCTAACAGAGCCTCTTTCCCAAGCCACTGGTTATTCTCTTCCTGAACGATTGAGAATTTGTAAAGATTTGGAAGAGATTTGCCCAGCTGAAAAAATACCGATATCATCATATTCACAACAGATTTTACTCACTTTTATCATATCACTAAGAGTGAAGAAACACGGAAGGTCAGCCAGCACGAGTTTTTGCAAACTTGGCAGAAATTCCATAAACGCGATCATCTGAAACAAAAACAACTGCAATGATAAACGTGATCTATCATCGCACTCACCTTGGCTGAATTCAAATTCCCGCCGTTTTTCTTCTTCATCTTCTCCTCCGCTTCAAGAATGTGACGGCGATAGTGCCGGAAATCGAAAGTTTGTGTTTTGGCAAGCATATAGTTGCCGATGTCGTGGTTTTTGCGAGATGTCTAGAGAAGATTGGATAAGAGAATAACATTGGCTTCAAGATTCAGTTTCAGACTTACCGCACGAAAACTCATACAATCCGTGTATTCGCATTCTCCCAAAATTTTTGATTTCAGCTCATTCGGTAACGTGTTCATTTCTGAAAGAAAAACAAGGGATGGAGTGGGGGAAAATAAGGAAAACACGTGAAAAGTATAGATATTCGATAAGCGAGAGCACGCATTGAGAAGTGTGGTGAGCGTTTGGACGGCGGCGAAATTCATCAGTAGCTGGAGACGCAGATGGAGAAAGGAAGGCACGGACGCGCGGAGCAACACAATAAGAAGAATAGAAAGCGGGGAAGAAATTGAGAAAGGAGGAGGAAGTGGAAACAGGGAGAGGGGGGGTGTCTCTTCAGAAAAAGTAATTGTTAGGGAAGAACCAGCGGGCTGTACGATTCTAGACTGTCTGAAATTGGCATTTTTCATCAAGAAAGGGAGAGAGGTAAAAGTTTTGTTTACAATCATCTGATTGAATGAGAGGGAGAGAGGAGAGCAAACAAAACAAAGGGGAAGCCGCGCGTAACTCACTAACCTCCGTTCGATAGAGTTAGTCAAGTGCCAGAAAAAGTTGCCACGTCACATGTCGAATCTGACATATCAAGTTTGTTCAAAAGGCAAAGATTCAAAGTTTGGCGAATATGTACCACATGCCGGTCACTGAAACTTTCAATTTCGGTGACCACAATCAGTGTCCGGAACAGCAAATTCTTTTTTTTTTGCATTTTTTAAAACGCAAACAAACAGTTTGAAAGAATCACGTCCCGGTCTGAAAGTGAAAGGGTCACCTTGAGAAACGACCAATAGATAAACGAATGAAGCCGTCAAAGAAGCAAATAGAAAAAGTGAAAGTAGTGGTCGAAATTTGGCGTGTCACTTGTGGCAAGAACAGCTGAAAACTAGCCCCCTCAAATCGGATTTATCCAATCAATCTTTATCACTTCGTCGTGGTTCAATTCCTAGACCACCAGCGTTGCGTTGCGCTGTGTTGCGCTTAGGAAAATATCAGTTCCTGATTCGGTTTGCGAACCGAACCATGCTTGGATTGGTTGCGTCCGTCCACCATCTCCAATCAACAAACCCATTACTTAGATCATTACAGTAACCAGTATCAGTTGGAGAAAGCGAGTGGGCCGTACTAACCGCGGGTACTATAAAACGTAAGATGAGATGAGTATCATTTCGAAAATCTCGGGTCCTCTCATCTCATCTCACCCACCACTTTTGTACTTTTGTCGTCGGTCTCATGTTTTGTGGGTCTGGATGCAAAGCATGCTGGCCAGGCGGCAAGATCTATCACTTTTCCCCCCTTCCTCCCTTGTCTTCTTCGCCTTACCATCAGAGAGACTGATGGACGGACACGATGGACGTCAGCTTCTACAAAAAGCCATTCATATCACTCACTTCTGAGACATACACACACTCACAAGGAGACCAGTTCTTTTCTCTGCGTCTTCCTGATCTCAACGAATTGATCGTTTTTTCGTATCCCCCCTTTCTCTTTTGCCCCATGTTTACATTCTGACACTCTATTCCACGTCCATTTTGGGTCCTGTATCTTTTGATTAGGGCTGCCCTGTCACGAAAATAAATTGGGTTGGATGGGTAAGGTGAGCGTGAGTGAGTAGGCGAAAAGTTTCGTTTCGAACCGAAGTTCTCCATCCCTTCTTCTTTTTCTCTTTTCAATTCCTACACACACACACACACACACATTCAGCGTAAATTCCCCATTATCGGTCAGTCATGTCTTCAGCCGCCGACCGACCGATAAAATGAAGTGGAAATCAAACCAAATGTTTTTCGTTTTTCGTTTCGGTTTGTTATTCTTATTCTCAACACATCCATTCATAATCTAATTTTATTCGCCTCCCATCCTAAATCGGTCTCGTCATGATGCAGAAAAAAAAAAGTGATAAGCGAGCGCGATTGACTAAGCCATATCCCTTATCAGCTGATTATCCCCCTCCTCCGATATCATCGACCGACTACGGTCCGTTGGAAAAGAAACCACAAACTCGTTTCTCAAGTCGAGTCGAGTCCAGATGTCAAAGTAACGTAGTTGCAGGGAAGCGAAGGGCATGGACAAAAAGTACATGAATTGCACACGATGCGAACTTTGCGGCACTGCAGATGTGATTTATGGCGCCACCTTCATGGAATACTCCATTTTGTTCCGACTTCTCACGGCTCCGCTGGCCACGATGGGAATCGGTCTCTTATCCGCAGCTTTTGTGAAATCGAAAGGGATTCATGTGAATGCTAAGGTGATTTTGATGGCCTTGTGTATCTCGGCAATTGTTTGTAACACAGGTGAGCTGGAAATCTGAACAATCGGTGTGGAGAACTGAAATCTCTCATTTTCCAGGTATAATTGTGGATTCTCTGTACAAATTCTTCATTTCCAACGTTATGCCAGACTACATGCAGTGTGATTTTCAAGTTTTCAGCCCACAATACGGATTAGGTGAGTATTTTGACTTTTTGCAACATTTCTAACTAACCTACAGTAATCCGTCACATCGAAATAATGGGCGCAATGTGCCTCTCGACGTCGACATCAGCACTCGCCATAGAGCGCACCGTGGCTACAATCTTTTATCGAAACTACTCGACGAAACCTACGCTCGGAATCATTCTCGTGGTTGCCCAGGTATCAAATTAGGAAAGCCGGCACCGTTTCGGGGGGGGGGAGACGACGGTTTTTTGAACATCACGTTCTCTTCTTTTTGCCTTGCGCACGGTCAGTCCATCTCTGATCACTTCTTTTTTCGGTTTCTAAGAATAGATGGAATTGAACGGTAGAAGAGAAGAAAAAAAAACGGAGAGAAGATGAGATAATCATTTATCGATTGACTCAGATTGTGATATGTTTCATTCCAATTTGGAGCGTCCGGACGCCAAAACAAATGTATCCGTACTCACCGCCAGAGCTTCATGACTACAAAACATATCATTTCATCTCAATGTGGCAGACACTGCTAAACATCTTATCATTCTCCATTTTCACTATCCTATGGATCATCAACTACTATCGAAAGGTACTCAATCACTACTCACTTTTATTATCCCACCACACCCATTTTACTTTTCAGAAGATCATCGGGAACAGTCATCTTCAAGTCGTTCTCGCTCGATACAACTTACACGACAACATGTCGACGACGCGTCTTATGGTTAGTGAGGAACACCTTTGCTTTCTGATGTTTCTTGATTTGAAACAAAAATGATATGTTTATCACTTAGTCTTTAATGAAATTTCAAAACAGTCCCATCATAGCGTCATCGGGATTATGTATTGATAACCCCGCCGTCAATCGCTCAAAAGAAACGAGTGAATGATTTTGCTTTCCGAGAAAAAAAACTAATGGGTCAATGTTCAGGCGCCCGTGATCAGTGTCGTCTGCTTGATGGTGTTCTCCGCGGAATTGGTGAGTCATGCATGAATTGGGATTAAGATCAAATCATCTTTTCAGATATTTCTTCTGGCCACACCCGAATACAATCAAGATACCGTAGTCACCCATCAAGTGCTAGATGAGGTCATTGAGTACTCGTTTTACGCGGAATTCCAAGTAGGCAGAAGATTTCGGAATAAAAAATTGAATTCCTGATTACAGCTCACGTTAATTCCGGTTCTTTTCATAAGTCTGGTGCTCGCTATGATAGCAACATCGAGAAAAATTCGCGACAACTTTCTTCTGGTGTCAAACCTCTCCATCTGTTTCCCAGTGAAAATTCAAAGCACTGATACCCGATCGTCCAGCGAATCTTCTTCTGATGTCTATTCTGGAAGGATTCACTGGAACAGCAAGATGGACGGACTTTCCATCACGCCACAATAACCCAAACTTTCTTTTTCATTTCTCAGTAACTTTCTCAGCTCTAACGATCCTCTGATTTCAAGTCAACTAGTCACTTGCTTTTTGCAAGAGTGATAAGAATGTAAGAATTGTACTACAGTAATCCGAGTCCATTTTTTGTCGGTTTGCAACGAAACTGGAACCAAAACCAAAAACGTTTTCTGTCGATCTCGAACTTTCTAATAAAGAAATTCTTAGAAACAAGAGAAGTGTGTCAATGTCGTCGTCAGAAGTTGAAGAATGTTCTCATTTTTGCTCATATCCAGATCACTTTTCAGTTTCAGATCTCACTGACATTTTCAGCTCAGATTTCTAGAGAGCTTACGTACGTACATAGTTCTCAGAAGATGCTCCCATGGCTTCGAGCTCTGGGCGAAAATGTTTTCGCATTAGAGTTCGTTGGAAGGTAAACCCCGTAATTAGGCCGCGCCGAACGACCGGCTTGTCAGAGCGCATTAGTTTTGAGTTTGTATTCCCGTATCTCGTAACCACAACACTGCTCAAACCTATAAATCTATCCGCTCTAATTGAGAGTGAAAAGGGCTCTTTCTTTTGTCCATGCCATTTTGAAGGTTCTCCAGTACTTTTTACTTCTTAATCGAATTAGGCAACAAAAAAAAACGAGGGAAGAGGCACTTTTCAAAGTTGTTTTTACTCGAACATCACTTGCTTTCTTCTTCGTCTTCTTTTTTCGCCAAATTTGTCTAGAAATAATAATTTTTACGTTTCAAATTTCAAATTTAACATATATCCTGACAGAAAGCATTGCCGTTGATCACGGTGGTTTTCGGTCCGGTCGCACAAGGTGAAATTAGCCGGCATTCAACTCGGATCACCCCGGAAGAAGTTCGAAATCCGGCGTTAAAGGCCGTCTTGTGGGAAAAAGTTGAGTTTTGTGATAGGTTCGTAACTTAATTGTTTTTTGAAAATTGATGATATTTATAGAAAATCACCACAAAGTGTGTCTCCGACTAATTTCCGTTCAAGGCTGTCTGTGATCTGTTTGATTAATCAAATTTCAAAGGTTATTTCTGACAATTATCGTTGTATATCGCCACAAAGGGATTTTCCAAACATCTTCCCCGAAGGAACGTGCTTTTCCGCTAATTTCCGCGGCGGTCGAGTGCAATTGACAAGTAGCATTCTTATTTTTGTTGCAAATTGAATCTTTTGCACAACAATCCACAAGGGGGATGTTGGAACCAATCTCATTTTGCAAATAAACGTGACTTTCCTAACTATTTTCTTACTTCTTCTGGGGTCAGTTTGAGTTCCTACCCCTTGCGGATCGCCTTAAGTGGTCAGGATTACTGTAGCTTTGTTTTTGTTTGTGTTTTGGACACTGGACTACATTGTCCTAGAACTTCGAGCTAATTAGATTTCGAGTAGCCAAAAGAGAGAGAGAGAGAGAGATAGATAGAGAGAGAGAGAGAGAGAGAGAGAGAGAGACGTGATTTTCGTGATTCCCCTATTTTGTGAATCTTCTTTCCCCGGTCCTATGCGGATCTGACCAAACGACTCGGTCCCGTCTGAATACCTAAGCACGACTATCACACATTTATTAAGCACTCATTCGGACGACTCGACAGCGCGCAATCAGGGGACCCCGCATCGCGAGGGCGTTGATACATCATCAATAGGTCGAGAATAGCATCGGGTGGCCAAAAATAGAAAACTTCCTGCCAAAATAAGTGAGAGATATTGCGAGAAACTAGGTAAGTCGGCGGAGATTGCGTGTGAATTTCGGGGCGGAGAAGGCGGTCCTTACGCCCTCTTCTCTTGCTCCCTTCTCACTTTTTTCAAGAGATACTTGAACTTTCTAGTAGATTAGTAGAGCTGATCTGATCCGATCCGGGAGGTTAGCCCAGCAACCAAAACGTTTTCCCATTCTTTCCTTCACACCTAGTATCTGTCAGAACCAGATCCAACTATTGTTCTCCGGCCTGTTTTTTGTGTTGGTGTCCAAATTATTCATCCTCCTTCGTTTCCGGTCCCATTTTGTTTTGCTTCCTTCACATGCTCTACTCTACTCCATTCCGTGTTCTTCTGTGTTGTGACCCTTTTCTTCTGCTCATCGGTATATTACTTATGTACGGAAGTATTCAACCCCGTCGGCTCTCTATTTTTGTGTGTTACCAACACCCAGCATCATGAGTTCTCCTGCAAACACATGCGGAGGGAAGCAGCGGGGAAAACTTGAAAAGGGAAGACGGACCACAGATTCTTTTCCGCCTTTCTCTTCCACTTTCACCCCTAGTCGCTTTTTTTCTCCGAAACCAGTAGAAAGTCACGTAAAAGTTCTGGTAGAAGAAGCGAAAGCGGAACGGACGAGAAAAGTTTGTTCTTCCGATTTTCTATGGGAGGAAGGGTGGTTGGGGAAGAATAATAGTAATTGTAATTGTGACGACCAGTAAAGTTCTATAATTAAAAAATATTTTGTGCCTGCCTGGCGTCCGCAGTGTGGTGACTCGTTTTCAGGTCGCTGACCTGAAACTTTTTTCCAGTTTTGACGTATACTGTAGTGTCCCAACTGAAATTGGATGACTGTCCTGCAGAAATTGATGCTCCTTATCATCATTCCAAAGAGAATGACAGCACTAAACCGTAATAAGCTTATACGTACAGACAGACCAAGTTGATGCTCCTACTCCTACTCCTTCTCCCTCTTCTTCTCACCCCCCCCCCTCTCCTTTTCCTCTTTTGGAACTAAATAGCTCATTGTCTAGCCATTCGCTCGCCAATTCCAGCTTTCCTAATTCATTCCAGAAGTCGGTGGCGTAGTCAGTCGAAATGCAAATAAGATGGCTGTGTGCATATGCATGTACAAAGAGAGGATAGATAGATTTCCTTTTCCTTCTTCGACCAAAACGTTTTTTTTCTTTTCTTATCCTAAAAATAGGCTAGGGGTGATGTGATGGCACCGGAAGCTGGAGAAACTTTTGTGTCTGTCGCTTCTCCGCAAGGTTCCTCTAATCGAAAAACGCTTTTTGATGTTTCACTGCTCTTTTTCCGCTCTCGCGAGTAATGTGGAACAATAACAGGACACCCATCCAGAAAGAGAAAACGTTTTTGATGTTTGTTCGTCAACTTTCACCACTCCGACTAACCCACTAACCAATTCATTTTGGGAGTGAATGAAAACCGAGCTGAGAGCTGGCGACGAACGACGTGTTTGTTATGTGATAGTCATCACGATTTGCGGCCAACACCGTAAATCATCGCTTGTTAACGAGTTGGCTTGGCGGGACCGCGGGACCAATTGTTCCGGTGTCAAATGTTTCGTGTTCTTCGTATTTCTTCTTGCTCTCTCGCTCCATCTTTTCATTTCATACGCGGTTCATTCTGTCTACAAACCGAGTGCTAAGCCGGACCACCCACTCGTTTTGGTCCAAACAAAACACAAAATGAAAAAAGAAGTGTGTTATGTTCTGTTCCGGAATTCGGAATTCGCAATCAGTTACGTCATTGAACTAGACTTTATCTTGTCCCAATACTTTTGTGATCTTAAAAGAGCCTGCACTCTGATCCGCCCGGGTCTGTTTGATCAGTTAGCATCAGATAAATATCAAAAACATTCAAGTGGTTCGGCAATCGAACAATTTCGGACTCAAACTCCCACACATTGTCTCTCGGGTTCCCTTCTTCCCATGCTCACAAAAAGTGTTCCGAAATCAACTAACGTCTGTGAGCTTTGTCTGTCCGCCGAAAGGTTGATTAATCGAAGAAATGTATCTTTTGAGCAGTCGTCGGGGCAAAAAAGTAAGCTTCCCTCCTCCTCTTCTTGCGCCGCCAAAAAGATGAATGGCCATAAGTTTTTTGTCGAGGGGCAGGGATTCGTTTTCCGAGAGGAAGTTCCACGACTCTGACGAGCTCCGCACAAAACAGAACCAATCAGTTCTTCCTGCGTTTTTTGTGCGGCGGCGCCAGCTCCTAGTTATTCGGGCATTCATCATTTTTATATATGCCATTCCTTCCTTCCCTTTCTTTCTTTTCTAGCCATGTCCGCCCGAGAACCGAGAAAGTTTTTGGTTGGGTATCACATGCGTCCCGACGCACTTTGTGTCTTTTTAAAGCTTTGTCCCGGGAATTCTAATGAACCACGACGACCTTTTTGAAATGCTGAAATGCTGAAAGCCACAAAAAGCGGCTGAAATCGCTATTTCGGCCGGAAAACTTGCAATAAGTGGCTCGTTCTCTTTAGGTCTTCTCCTTCTCCTTCTTTTTTTTTCCCAGCCTCTTCCTCTTGTTGTTTTGCGCCTTTCAATGGTCAATTATTTTATTTCTGCTACCAATTTGAACCGCAATTGCTATAGAATGCGTCCGGCTACCAATAGATCCTGGCACGGATGATATTTAGTTCCTAGGTGCAAAACAATGAATATTTTACTTTCACCAAATGTGGTCAAACGTGTCTGCGTGTAGTTATTAATAAAAAACACTTGAGACGTTTTCCCCCAAATAAAAAGGAGTGTTCAATTTCACGTGCTAAGTGTGAAAATGTTTATTTGCCCCCTGAAACAATGTCCAGCTGATTTCAAACTTGCAATGACGCGTTTCTTAGTTTTACGCCTTCTTTTTTCAATCAGCCTATTCATGTTCCCCGATCCCGATCCGATTCCTATTCATCTTCGCTTCTACCCATTCAGACAAAGAATAACGTCATAGCAGTCTTCTTCGTGTCGCAGACGTTCTTCCTTATTTTCTTCCACCAGTCATCATCCTCCCGTTCGTTTTGGTCTCCCATAGAAGCACCTTATCATTGTGAAAAAGTGATTTCGGAGAGAGGGTCGCGCTTTGATCGCTCATCAGCAGTGCTCAAGTCCAAAAAGCAAATATATTAAGGCGGCAAGGGGAGGGCGACAAAAAAAGGAGGAGCTCCCATCATCCTCTTGACTTTTCTCTCTCTCTGTCTCTCTTTTTTACTCCCCCGTTTTTTGTTTCCAAGTTTATGCTTCTGTCCGTTTAGGATGGCCATGTTCTTGTCTTGTCAGGGTCACATTTGAGAACCGAAACAAAGACAAACATTGGGACCTAACACCTCCATCGCCCGCGCGCCACAACCTCCAAAAAGTTTCATTTTTCATCATCACGCGCGCCTCGCCTTCTTCAAATTAATTCTTCTCCCCTCTTTTTCCCTTTAGCATGTTGCTCTTTATTCTTACTCCTCTTCTTTCTTCTTCTTTTCCTACATCTACATATCAAGACACAAACCAATCAGTGTGAGTAGTAGTAGTAGCTGCACCTTTCTGACTTTTAGCCCCGGAACTTTTTTCTTCTTCAGAAACCCTAACTTTGAGGGCAAACGAATAAATTTCGACTCCTTCATCTTGGTTAATCTTGTAAAGTGACACGGAATTCCGAGGACGGAAGTCAAAAGTCAAGTATTCCAAGAATCCGTACGCGATCAGCCGGAGGCAAAAATAAAAAAAGTTCACTTTAATTTTTGGTTTCCCATTTTTCCATTTCAGTTCTCCAATTTCCTCTTCGGATTTGTGATCAGTTCGAACCTCTTTTTTTTTATAAATGTTTGAACAGACAAAAAGTTTCATTTTCAATACTCATCTCCTATTTTAATGAGAAAACGTTTATGAACTTGGGCGGAGCAGCAGGAGCGCATTATATGGGCTTAGTTCGGAGCAGAGAACTCTTTCGAACTTCCCCCTTCTAAAGATTTTTGTTTTGTTTATAATGATAGAAACTTATGCCAAAGTCAGTCAATCTTTGGATTTGCTCTCTAAACCTCACAAGCTCAACGCGCTGACCATACAAAACGCCGGCTTCTTCATTTTTCTTATAAAAGTTCTCGTCCGTGTACAAGAATATCGCAGTACAGACCCTCCCACTTCAATCCGGGCACCGGCGTTTACTCGATTGTGTTGTTTGCCAGCAGGTCGGCACTCATAAAAAAGCTGTTGGAAACAAACTCTTCCTCGCGACCTTTCCTGCCCCCTTCTCCTCCTTTCTCAGGTTTTCGACGGCTCCGCTGAGACCAACCATATGATAGGTGACAAGTGCACTTTGAGCAAAAAGTGACCACTCACTTTTTGCTAATGGCTTCCTTACTTATGCGCCTTTCGCGTTGCGTTGACTTGCCAATTAGCACCTCGTCGTCTTTCCTCTTCTTCCAACTTTTTGGTCCTCTCCACGAGGAGAGGAGTGCAAAAAGAAAAATAAAAAAGTTTTTGATTTTTTGCTTTTTTCCAGGGGTCACACCTAGATGCACCTCGAACTTTTCTCACATTCCGCTCCACCAGAGGATCCGTATTATGTGCCGGTTAATGGTAAGTTCCACGTTTTACTCGATCTCTGTGGGCTCGAACAAAAGGGGGGTTTAGTAGGCGATATGCAGAGGGGCTAGAAGAGGAAAAGCTCAAGAAGTTATGCGCATACCTAACATGTGTGCATATTCAATCACCGTTTTCTCCCCTAACCATTTTCACCATCTCCGTCTCTACTCGCCCACCAGATTGTTTGTTGTAATGAACTATGTACAAGGATAATAGGTATAGAAAGTTCGGAACAGATCTCACATTTCCTTTTTCTTGCCTCTCCCGATAGGATAGAGAGGAAGGAAAGAAAGAAAGAAAAAACGATTTTGTTTGTTTGGGATCAATTCCTAACTAAAGTTTATGAAATAATGAGTTGAGGGAAGTGGAACTCGAAACAAAACAAAAAGGGCGGAGCCTTTGAAAAACTAGAGGGCGAAATGTTTTTTCGGCACCCCCCCCTTTCTCTCTTTTCTCTTCTTCCCTCAGTGCGTGCCTCTGCATTTTTCCTGCCCCATCCTCTCTATGCACCTTTGAGAGGAGAGGAACTCCAAAATCCTTCTGACCACTGGATTATCTATTATCCATTCCCAAAACGAACGACTTCAACACACTGTGTGGGTTGAAGACTTTTTGGAAGTTCATTTATTCGAACTTTGAGCCTCTTGGGGGGTGAAATCGAAGTCACACACACACACCACCAAAATAACTATTCAACATCTAGAATCATTCGCAACCACGGCCCTAGCGCCGCAATTCTCGACAACAAGCGTATGGTCGATTCGAATCCATCTGATCCCACCAATGGGAATCTATCATTTCAACGGCGTCGCCCTTCTCCTTCTGCCCGTCCTCTGTCTGGTGGGACTCATTGGCAATTTTATGGTGTGTGTGGCGATTGCGACGGATCGACGATTGCACAATGTCACCAACTATTTCCTGTTCTCGCTCGCACTTGCTGATCTGCTGGTTTGCTGTATCGTTATGCCGCTGAGCATAGTTGTCGAGGTTCGGCACGGTGAGTTCTTTTTGAAATTTTAATAGAAAATCAAAAGTTGATGGAAGGATCTTCCGGATTATCCATCGTTCCTGCTTGTTTTGCTTGTTTTGTTTTTCTGTTCAAACAGCGACTTGTTTTCGATTTCACTTGACAGTAACAAGTGGGAGACTACATTGTTCTGTTTGTAAAGCTCGAAGATTCCTAAATTCTCACGTAAAACACGATATATCCTACATTCCATTATTTATAAGTATCAAACGGAATGAATATCAGAAGAGAGTAATTTATCAAAAACGTCATTTCATCTTACAGGGGTGTGGACGTGGAGCGTTTCGATGTGTCTGCTCTACGTGTACTCGGACGTCTTCCTGTGCTCGGCGAGCATCGTGCACATGTCCGTGATTTCCTTAGACCGATATCTGGGAATCTCGCAGCCACTGCACACCAGGAACAAGTCAAAGTCGCTGATTTTTTTGAAAATCGCGATTGTCTGGGTGCTCACTCTCATCGTCTCGTGTCCCATTGCAATTCTGGCAATGCACGACACTTCGAACATTCTACAAGCCAACCAGTGCATGATCTTCAGCCGCTACTACATCGTCTACGGATCCACCATGACGTTTCTCATCCCATTTTGCATTATGGCTGTGACCTATGTCCGAACTACGTCACTTTTAAAGAAACAGGCTTCGATTCTGAGCCAGAAAGCTGATGATCGGTTGAATGGGAACGGGCTCCGGAGAACTATGCCGCATAGGAAGTTAGGTTATGTCAGAACCTATTCGGCAACGGTGAACGCGACGTACGCCAACGGCAAGGCACTTGGAATCCACGGTCGAACTATGTCTAACATCTCAAACGTTGAGAACGGCGATTCGGAGCGGCTCGGCACCAACCGCCCATCAATCAACGGGAATCTCAACGGACACAAGCAGCTGCAAAAAGCGTCGACAATCAACCGATGGCGATCACGGACATCAAACTATCTCACCAACATCGCCAACAAAGTGGGCCGACGAAGCTCTCTTCAGGTGGGGTCTTCATCCGTTTCTTCTCACTTCTCAAATTTCGTCATAACACATTGTATACCTTTTCACAACTTTTGTGACGTCGCCCCTAGAGCAGAGATAGAGAGAGAGAGAGAGAGAGAGAGGGTTTTTGAATTGCCTCTAGTTTACAACATGTTTCGCTACATTTTTGAGAGCGAGAAAACCCCCGGGAAGAGTGGAAGGGAGAAGAAAAAGAGAAGAACAGAAAGAAAAACTTGCAAAGATCAAATAAACTCTCACACACTTTCTAAGTCCTCTACCTTAGAAGCCTAGAAGCCCCGAGCATAAAATACAAACTTCAACGTTGTTTTTTTTTTTTGCAGGCCGCTACTCAAGATCTCGCCAACGAACACAAAGCGACCCGAGTGCTTGCAGTCGTTTTCAGCTGCTTTTTCATCTGTTGGACACCCTTCTTCGCCGTGAACTTTGTCATCGGTTTCTGCGGATCCGGCTGCGAGATCCCTCCGTGGTTGGGATCCCTGTTCCTATGGCTCGGATACATTTCCAGCACAATCAACCCGATCATCTATACGGTGTTCAACAAGCGATTCCGACAGGCGTTTGTTCGGATTCTGAGATGTCAGTGCTTCCATCCGCTGCGTGATTCATCACATCAAATGTACTCGCGGAACTACACGACAACGATCGTGCCGGATACGTATACTTGGTTAGTCCATTTTAGGCCTCAATCGAGGAAATTCATTTCGTTTCCGGTTTGAAAAAATATTTCATTCGCTCTAAAACAAAACGATTTGCCTTTGCTTCTGCTTTCCAAAAACAATTGGTCGGCGGGAATATTTTTTTTGATGACTCTTGACAATTTCCGGTCGGAGTGCCGCTTTTTTTTGCACAATGAGTTCCCATAAATAATTCCGAAAGAGGTTGAGCTGTGAGCGCCCGAAAATTCCAAATTCTAGAGAACCAAATTATGTTTTAGTCTGTTTTCACCGGAATCGACGGATTAGTCAAGAAGTAGGCTTTTCGTTCAGAGAGCACGCACAGATGAGCAGCCGGGGGGGGGGAGAGAAGAAGATAAATGATCAGCTAATTGCTCTATTAGCTCGTTTTTTGTTTGAAGAACACGCGTATCCCATCTTCTTTTCCTCCTATTTTTCCGTTTCCGCATCAAAATCCACAAGTTCCAATGTTCAATAGTCAACACAACTAGCAAAAATAACGTGAAAGAGGGGAGGAGGGAGAAACTGTGGTATCATGTTTCTCGTCTCTTGCCACTTTATCTCTTGTCAAAAGCAAAATAAATGAAGGGATTTCCAGCTCGAGATCAAATCATGAACGCACTACGTCAGTGGTGGTTCGCGATGAGACCCGATCGGCGAGAAGTAGCGAACGGCCGGATACCAGTAGGGCGAGGAGCGAGATCGCGGAGGAGCCAGTCGGCAAGACGAACAATAAATTGACAATGGAGAAAAAAAAGGTGGGTGGGAGGGAAGAAACGGTTTTTCATGTTCATTTTCAGATCTCTCTTCCATCATTCCCTCGAGTCAGTTCATCCCGTGACTCCCGTGCCACTACCGAAGAAACAACTACGGATGAGGAGAACAAGCCGCTCATTCCCAGATCTACACCATTATCCACTCCAGCCCAACTCCTCAACCCCATCCGCAAGTCCCTCACCACTTTCATCACCATGCCTTTGGATCAGCCCCCGGCGGATCAGTTCAAGACCCAGGTCCATCATGGGAGTCACAACGTCCTCAGTACTTCCCTTCTGAATCCGAACGGGGTGCCGGCACAGCAGCCAATTCGCTCGTTGTCCTGTGTGGATTGCAAGAAGGCGGACAAGATGATGGCGTCCAATGTGACTGACATGAGCACATCGACCGCCAGCACGGCTTCGAACTCTAACGGAGGGGCTAGACGTCATTTGACGCTGTTCAACCACTTTGATAGTGCCGCGATCAAGGAAACTTTCCTGTAACATATGTGCTAGCCCCTTCATATCTTTCACTTGTTTGTTTGTGTCCGTTCCGAGTTAATTGTAACTTAATTAACTTTTTCTTTCTTCTCTTCCTCCGCCATCCATTTCAATCATTCCTTGTTGTTTTGCAATTTTAACACTGTATTCGAAGAAATCTCGTATTCTTACGTGTACCTCTTTCACAACCACCCACAATTTGACTTGACCAATCAATTCATTGTTGTTAAAACTTTGTAAAAACCGTTTGTTTTACATGACGTTTTACATTCTAATAAATAATAATTGTAGAATATTTATGCGAGAGTCAGACATTTTCAATTTTTCTCCCCCCCGAAACTTTGAAAAGCAGCGAAACATGAGAGATGGGTAGCCCGTATCAAGTTGCACAAATATCTTTCATCTTTCCCATGTTGGCACCTTTTTGTGTTGCTCTTTGACAAAAAAGAACCGCGGCGGCGGAAGACGAACGGAAATTTGTTTCGACGGGGGAAGGGGCAGCGAGATGAAACTTGCATGAGGACACTAAAAGTTTATAGGTCAGTCCGGAGCCCTCAACAAGGTTTGAGAGCAAGGGCAATTTGCAACATTTATTCAGTTCACGGCGATAGATGCACGTGGTTTTACTTTTTTCGCCGTTAAGGGACTGAAACAGCACAACACAAACCGATTTGCATGTGATTTTCGGGAGGCAAAACTATTTGATGATGTAATGTTTAGTCAATGTGAAAGAGTTCTGCGAAAGCAACCAAACAGGGACGGTAATTGGTTGAAATCACTGGCAATTAGCTCTTTATGTGTCTAAAAGGTCGAATCCAGAAGCTTCCACGACATAAACTTTTAATCCTCGTCTTAGTTCTCAGAGCTCACAGAAGATGAAATGATCATCTTATTATTTTCTGCTCCACTCCATTGTTTTTCAAAAATGTCTTATTTACACAAAAAGGGTATTCTTGGAGAATCTGCGAGAAAAGTATCTGTTTTTCTCTCTTCCTTCTTAGTCACGTGGCATTCTCTTTCTCGCGGCGGAACTCATCAAGCAAATGAAGAGTAAACAGTGAAAAGGGGGACAACACATGCTTTATGGTTAGCGTATTTGCGGCCAGTTCGTGTGGACTATGGCTATCGGAGATGAGTTCCATGTTGTTACGAGGCTTTTCGGACGATAGGGATCCACTTCTCTGGGATTTTTTTTTGAGCGAGTGAAAGATGAAAAGTGAACAAAATAAGGAAACTGGTACTCAATAGTTCAGGAGAAAGTGGTTAATCTTGCACTTTGTAACCATGGTAGACAAAGAGTAAAGAATTTCAGTTACGAAGAAGAAGTTGACATTTCGATAAATCCCGGACATATGTTGATTTCATCGAGTTAAAACTTTCCCTAAGCACACAATCAGATAATTGGGATCAGAATGGTGCCAAAATTCCAGGTGAAAAGCGATAAACCCTAAAGCAGGCAAGGGCCGCAAACCGAATAAGTCGCCAATAATGTGGACCATATCCCTTCCGAGACAATCATTTCTTCTCTTTGTTTGTTTATCCACAAAGTTGTACCAGCTATCCATCAGATTACAAAAAAAAACCTTCCTCTTTTTTCTCTTTTGACCCTCGGCTGCGACCCCGTGATTTTTGTCAATCTGATCGGTTTGCTTCTGGCCGACTGACGAGCTTCTCTGGTTTTCTGAAGCTCTGAAACTCGAGTATTCCAAACCTCAAGTTGCTGATCACTCCCGCCTCCGTTAGTCCAAAACGGGAGTTCCAATTGGTCACTGGTTTGCGGCAGTTGAGTTCCAAAATCCGCATGAATAAAGGAGGTCTAGGATGAAGTGTTGCTTGAACAGATGACATTTCAGTTTCCGGACCTCGACGTTTATCATTGACGTGATTAAGTAATCAGAAACTGGTGAAAAAACTGGCAAACCCTGATTCAGTGTCAGTTCCCAGAGCGCATTCTGGCCTAAAAGTGGACCACAAGTGGCCATTCTCCCACCTCTGTGTACATACCCAAGCTTCAGCCCGTACAGTCCTGTCAGGCACACCTCATTCTTGGCAGCCCTCGGACTCAGATCAGTTTACGGTTTTGTGTGTGCCAAACATCGTTCACATTCACAACAGTTGTTTTCTTTTTCCCATCTTATTTTCGGTGCGTGTGGTCTTTTGAACCTTGTCGAAAAGTAACCTTTTGCGACAGAAAGAAAACTGAGTGAAACCTTATCCGCACTTTGTTTTTTCTCGTCTCTCCTGGTCAGTCTGACCACCATCCCAGTGAGAATTCCCATTTGCGATTCGACTTGCCTTTCGCTTCTTTTCCGGAGCGGAAAGAAAGAAGAAGCGAGAAGGTGAGAGGACATAAATTGGACAGCGGAGCGGAATGGAAAACAAGGAGAGGTGTCCCATTACCGCGCGGCCGAGGAAGAGAACGAGGAGGTGGAGGGCTGCTCCTATGTTTGTCCGCACACCGCAACTTGTCTTAGCACAGCATCAAAAAAGTCCACACACACACACAGGCCCACGGGGCACACACAGTACGACATGTCAGCCGCTCCTAATCGCGAGAATGAGGGAGAGAGACTAGGAAAAAGGGGGGCTCTCAATTAGCTATCCTACCTCCTTTTGTGTTGAGCTTGTGTTTACCAACTCTTTTCCTGCTTTTCCAACTTTTCAACGTTGGTTCCATTTTATGAGCTGGATGATCTTGTTTTCACTGCTACCTTTGGAACACTGTACTGAACTAGCTAGACCGTGCTTACTCATTTTCAGTTAGTTCTCCTAAAACCTTTCAAAATGAAACTATTGTCCCTATTACGTCTAAAATTTTGAAAAAACTTCATCATAGTACGTTTCAACTCAAAATCCTTTGCATGCAATATTCCATATGTCGCTTCCTCGACAACACTTGAAAGACGGAAGAAAGCGGGCGATAATTTGAGTAGCGTCAAAACCGAAGGAAACAGTTTCACACGCAATTAATTATAGGTCCGCAACCCCACTTTTCCGCTCTTCGCTTTCATTCCCGAAATTGCATATAGCGGCCTTCATTTGCCCCCCGCCCGTGGGTTCGGTTCTGTTCAGTTCAAGTGGAGCGCGCAGAGGACTAGGGTCTCATATGTTTCAAGTAGGCTTACAGGCTTATAAGCTTTTCATATCCAACTTTATTAGTGTTTTAAGTATAACAGTTTGAATACTCTCCATTCTCCCACTTTCTCCCATTCTTCTCCTTCAATGACCAAACCCAACAAGATGGATTGGAAAGATTGAACGGAAAAAGTAGCATCCAGGTGGGTAGGTGGGTGGGCTTCTTCTTCTTCTGCTTCTTCTCCTTTTCCGTGTGTGAAATCCTATGTACATAGAGGCAGAAACGATCGGCAAGAGTTTTTTGCGCGGTGGACCCTCCGATGTATATCGCATGAATCATTTTCAATCGTTTTCCCTCTCCACCCGATTATGGTAGTCGTCCCCTCTTGCGCAAAGAAATTGTGGGCGGCGCATACTTTGTCGCTTACCCCCCTTTCCTCAGTTGTTGGCAATAACAAGATGCGCAAGTGACAGTCTAAAAGTCAAACCGTCTTGTCTTTTTCTTTTTGGTTACCTTCCTTTCCCAATCAAGATCATCTTTTATATTGTTCGCTCTTCTAGCTTGTACGCTTACGTCCACGTCATGTTTGCATTATTATTCAAATACTTATACCGCTCTCCGAGATATTCTACTTTCTTAACCCCTTTATTCTTTTGACAATTCATCTAGATTTCCGGATAAACATCGACTCACGGACAAAGCCGTGAAGTACCAGCACGTGAAAAAAATCTGGATAGTTCGGTGGGGTAACTCCGAATAACAATAGTCAGAGAGATGTGGGAGTGATGCTGAGCCGCCTATGCCCAAGGCTCTTGGCGGAGGCGGCTCGGCTCCGCGAGCTCTCTCCTGTCCACTTAGGCAAGCTTTCCGCGTACACGGCGAACCGAACCGAGTTTTTGCGAGCCTCAAAGCTCCGAACATTAGCAAATCCAAATCCTGATCCAGATCTTGTTCCCCTCGTCTGTTCTCGTTTCGTCATACTTCAAATTACATCACCCGCCTTTCTTTTTCTTTTGCTCTTTTTTGAAAAACTATGATCCACTGATCTTTTCAGACCGTCATGAAACCCTTGGTGATCCTCAGTTGGCTGATTGCCACATCACAGACTTGTCTGCTGAAGAATGGCATGAGTTCCGTCTATCTGTCCGCTTTCGAGGATTTGAAGCCAGGTATGATCATAAATGTCAACTAAACTTTTACTACCCCCTCTTCCCTTTCCTTTCGTTTTCAAAACTGTATGGGGCTAGAGATTAAAAGGAAATGAAAACGGATAATTGACGTCCCGCTACATTTTTTCTTCTCTCATTTGTAACCTATGAATTTCTCGACCAACGCATACTTTCTCCCATTTCCGGGAACCGACTTTGACTTTCTTTCTGCTCGACCGCGTTCATCACCAATTATTTTGCCCGCCAGCTGATCATTAGTGACTAGACCGCCTCGGATATAGGCATACAATGGGCCGACACGAAAGGACCTGCTAACAAGATTTAGTTGAGCCAATTTGATGTATATGGGGGAGACAACACAGAACATAACGTGTCTTGTGTAGGAAATGGGATGAGGATGGTGGTGGCAAGTTTATTATTAGCACCAATTCTATTTATCCTTGATGATGATGAAGAGGGACGATGAAGATGTTGCCAAACCAAATCTTTGAGATCTTGCAGGCAATGTGATCGGTACGCTGCCGTTCGAATCGGACACTTCAAAGGAGACCGACGTCGAGCTGAAAGTGGTGAAGGGCGAGGATCTGGTGGAAGTGAAGGCCGGCAGTCATGACTTGATTCTCAAAAAGGGATTGGATAGGGATGAGGTATATATATATATATAACCTGATTAGCTCCTCTGCCGCAGTTTAACATATGAACAAACATTCATTCCGTTCCAAAGTTCAATTGATTCGATGTTTGCGCAAATCTTATCACACAGTATGTTCACTCTCGGCCAACCGCCTCGTGATCATGAAATCTGAGCATTTCGGCGCCCCGACAACCTTAAATATAGGGGGGTTGAGCATTGCGATGCAAAGCGATGCGAAGCGATGCGAAAGTCAAGTCCAAGCTCGACCCTCTCTTGTTGACCGACCATTCTAAGTGGTTAGCGTGTAAAACAAAAGAGCACTCTTTTCCGTCCTATTTGGGAGTGTCTAGGGGCTCGATGCTATGTACCTTTTTGAGACGGGCGAGGGTGAAAGACATGGCGTTGTTACAAATCGGAATATCCAATCGGCCTACAAGTTTTATGATGCGTTAGTCAATGATGGGGGCGCCCAAAAGGCCAGGCCACATTGAAATTCTTCACCGTATACATAATTTCAGGGAGTCGGCAAATTTGAAGCGGTCGTCGAATGCCGTTCCTCTAATCTGGACGCCGATTTCAGTCAAGTACGTTTGATGGGAATTGAACGTGACAGAGTAAAGGGAGAAGAAGAAGAAGAAGAAGAAGAAGCCGAATCTGATTTGATCTGATCTTAATATGATAACTATTGCAGTTGAACATTTCTGTTTTTGTGACCGTCAAAGACGTTAATGACAATGCGCCAGTGTTCGATTCGGCCGAGTACTTTGTCGACATCAAGGAAGAATTACCAACGGGTAAAAGCACTTACAATTAGCAAATTAGCAAAAGTTCGCGGCCTTTCCAGGAACAATTGTTTTCACCGATTTTGAAGCCACTGACAACGATCAACCAGGGCCCAACAGTTTTGTGCAGTACTCGATCGTGCCGGGACCGCATGCGCATTTTCTGGAGATTCCGGACCCGTTCAAACCAGTCATTACCATCAGAGATCGAATCAATTACGAGGAGATCAAAAAGTTCTCGGTTGAAATTGAAGCGAGGGACCAAGGAGAGCCAAGTTTGGCGTCTAAGGTGCCACTCCACGTGACCGTAATTGATGTGAACGACTTACTGCCCAAATTCAAGCATTCCTACTACACAGCGAAATCCCAGAAGGTATGTACATACGCGAAAGCCAGTTCGCAACACAGAAAGCGCCCAAAAAACTAACATTTCTCAGAATGGCTTATTGGTTTTTGAACCGGAGAGGATCTCAGCACAAGATGGCGATCGTCTCAACGCTTCGCTGGTCTTTTCTCTGTCCGGAGGTAGGCAAAAGGCGCATATCATTTCATACCTCATGTTGCGTGCCTTATGCGGCAAATGCAAAGCGATGAGGAGAAAAAGAGGGAGAAAGAGAGACACACAGAAAAAAAAACATGTGACGACAATGTTCTGTACGTCGGGATTTGATAAAACATGAGTGAACATTTGCAGAACTTTCGGAACACTTCACCATTGACAACGACGGAAGCGTCCGCTCGATTAGCCCCGATCCTCCAAAACGAGCCACTTTCTTTGTGACGGTATGTTTGATTTTGGCAATGATTTTTTGGTTCATTGAATCCACTTTTGTCGAAATATATGCACATACCAAGACCGTTCAGTTTGGGCAGTTTTTGTCGCAATCGTTTCAATGAATGCGAATAAAAATACAAATCAAACGGGTCGTCGACCTTGGGTCTAATGGCGCCAGTATAGCGCGGAGGAGCGGCGGCAACGTCTAAAAAGTGCACTGGTGCCTTAATTGAAAGCGTTGAAAAACAGAGGAAAAATGGGGGTAATATATGAGTTCAATCAGGACCTGATGTGATGTACGGCAGTTATACATAACCTACACAAGAACCTTGGCTTTGTTGGGATAGGCTTTTGTTGTTTTTCAGGCAGCCGAAAAAGATGATCCCGAAAGAAACAGCACATCGATACTGTCAATCAGACTGCAACCTTCTCTGGCTTTCCAGCATAACACCTATTCCACTATGGTTTGAGAAAAAGTTCTAGAAATTTCCGAGAAAATTATTCGATTTTAGATTTCACCATCAACACCACTTGGATCAACAGTGGTGACTGTGACAGCCAATTCGGAAAATGTGAGAAATCTTCAAAAAATATCAAGTATTGTTGCATTCCGTATTCAGAACGCTTCCTTGACCTACTCCCTTCTGGCTGATACCAATACTGTGTCAATTGATGAAGTTTCCGGAAACGTGGTGCTCAGAAAGAAACTGGAGAAGCCGGAAACGTTGAACGTTACTGCTAGCGATGGAGAGACGGTAACTTTGTCTTTGACCGAAAATTAACCTATTTTCACCCTTTGCAGGTCGTCTCAACTACCCTGCACTTAATGACGGCCAATTCCGAAGAATCGTGCCGGTCTCCTATCAAATTTGAAAAGTTCGAGTACAAAATGACAATTGGAAAGTTGAATGTGCTGGGCGTTGTGAATGCCACATCCAGATCTGGAAATAAGCTGAATTATATTCTGATGAACATGAATAAGTAAGTGATGAGAAGTAGTTTATCAATAACCAGTCAAACTTCAGTGAATTCGAAGTGGATACCAATGGAGTTGTGAAAATTCTTCCGAAAGCTCATCTGCAGTGTAAAGTTTGCGAGCTGATTGTGGTGGCAAAGGACGGAACACAAATGGCCATCACAAAAGTGAGAGAGGACCTTTCGAACTTTGTTTGCATGTAACATTTTCAGGTAAACGTGGATAATCCGGCGTTCGTTTTGCATTCGGCCACTGCATTCACACTCCTCATTCTCATCATTCTTTGTTTGATCTTCGCCATGCTCGCCATCATGGTTTGTCGGCGATTTTGTGAGAAATGGAAGAGAGGCAACCGGAGATCGAGCATTTGTTGGCTCAATGGGACTACCGATACGGGGATTTCGATAACGACCACCACGCCGACAACTACGACGCGGTAAGCTCGACAGAATTGAGCAAAACTTTTCAAGTTGTTGGGTTTAGGTACGTGGTTAACAGTGACAAAGATCGGTGTTACGAATCCAAGTCTCCTGGCCCGAAACGAGCCCAAGGCGCTCATCTGGTGCCGGTGACCGTCACTTCTCATGATGGATCCACACCTACCGTATACTTCTAACGTATTCAACTGAAAAAAGTTATCTTATCACAAACTCAACGCCCTACCCCACAGGTCCTTTCCCATCCTTTTCCTATCGCATTGTCATTTTGTAAATAGCAGCCCTTTCACTTTTTTTCGGTGATTTCCATCCCTAACTTCTTCTGAACAGTGCTCATTCCTTTCTATTTCTATTTCTATGTACTTTTTCAATTATTCATGTTTCTTTTGGCAACCTGAACTTTGCAGTTTTCTTGAACTACAGGGTAGATCTCAGCAATCTCCTACTTCAATAAAAATATTTTCAATATTGCATATGAAAGTGAGTCAGTCAATAAGATTTATCGCATTTCCGACCTTGTATATGTGTAATCAGAAGCATATCAAGCACATTTCTATCCCTTTTCAGTTCTCCTCCAGTTTGAGAGTGAGTTCTCTCCAACTGCCGTCAGTTACCCGCTAATTCGATTCCGCCCCATATGTCTTGTGATTTTGCATATTTAGCAATTCACACTACTTCCTCTTTTCCACAAACGTTGACTTTGAGGCGGTGAAACACTTTGTCCAGAATCTTTTATAGAAAAGTAAATTTTTCTCGTATGTACACTCCATTGGCCCGATCCAGCCGACCAAAAATCTGCGAATAACTTTTCTACTTACAAGTATTTTCACAAATGATTCTAATTCAACATTTCTATGAATCATACCTAAGAAATTAGTAGCCTTTGTACCTCATATTCAGACATCTACATAAAATATGCTTCAATGTCCAACCTCACCCTTCCGTTTCTCCATTTTCCCCCTCCTCACAGCTGTCGGCCATTTGTCGTTTCTCGTTTTTTCATCTCGCCCATACTCGGCGAGCAGCTGTCTTCTTCTCTAATTCTCAATGTGCCCTTTGTGTCCTTCGGCATGTTTTCTCATCATTTATTTATTATTTTTCATGTTATTACGATTACACCGACTGGAAAACGTATTGGAGTTAATCACAAGAATAATAAGGCAAACTGAACATTAAAAAGAAAAGAGGATCGTACAATCTGACTAAATTTTAGCGAGAAACGGAAATTCTGAGAGTGCATAAAAACAATAGGGAATGAACTTGCAAGAAGAGGGAATTGCGAATTATGCATTTGGGGTGAAAAGGTAGGTTTGCAGTTGGAAACTAGACAAAAAAACCTATGAAAAATAAATATTTTAATATATTTTTAGGAGAATTGACTATCCGTATGAAGTGACTTGTTGTTGTTCGTACTTTTGAACATGGCATATGGGATTGGCGCGGTGGGCACTGGGTCGAACGATGATCCGGATGAAGATCTGAGGATTGTGACGATTTTTGTGGGGTTTCACAAGCGGAGAGACGTCAAACTTAATCTTTGAATGTTTTTTTGGTTTTCTGGTCAGCCCGGGTTTTAGTACCAATGTCTCAAAATGTAACACATTTGACGAATTGTTTTGAAAACTGTGACTTTTTCCAGTCAAAAATTCGAAAACTCGACAATGCTATTCAATCCGGGCTGACCGGGCCAATTTTGCTTAAGTCTGCTAATCAAAACAATTTCGTAATCCTTATCCTACCTCCTATGAAGTGAACTTTGCATCATTGAGCCCGATGACGTTCTCGCGTGTTCGGAAAGTCTGCAAATTCCAATTTCCGCCCACCACTGCTCATTTCTCATTCCGCTATATATAGTACCCGCCAGTCACTCCGAGCCGCCCTTTCTTCTTTCGCTCTTGAATCTTCTGCCTTATTTCCTCCATCCGACTCAGCGCCTCATCGCCACTATCTGGAAAAAAAGAAGAAGATGAAAGAGGGAGGGAAAGGGGATTCCTGCTTTTTCTCCTTCGTCGGCATGCTCTTCGCACACATGTCAGAGAGACGACGTCCCCTTTTCCTGCTTTTCCTTCCCCCGTATGTATGCATGTATACTTACTTTTATCCACAATCGCCGCATACTTGTCTCTCTCCGATCTTAGCTCGTTTATGATTAGATCCTGAAGTTTGAATTAGATTTTTCAAAAGTCAGCTCCAGTTGAGATGATATCTAACCTTCTCGCTCATCTCCTCTTGCATTTTTTTAATTTGAGCGTCAAACGTGTCTGTAATCGTCGCCAACGTTCCCCGCCGTCGCTCATTCTCATCACCCAATGTTCTAAAAATATATTTCAATCATCTTCTTCTTTCACTTCCTTTTATCTTTCCATCTATCTATTCTTACTTTCGCAAATCGTTCACCATCCTTTCCAACTGCAAAATTTTCTCGTCTTTTGCCTGAATTGTCTTTCGCAGTCGCATCAGATCTTCAGTGCTGCCTGGCGTCGGCGTTCTCTGGAACTGTAACACCCATCGTTTTCAGTGTACTAATAGAACTGAGAGATTTCGGGCCAGCCCTATCGACCCGGAAGTTTCTTCTAGAACAGTTTTTGCGAAATATAAGGGTCGGAGACATTCAAGTTTTAGGCTCGGCCCGGCTTGTTGCAAGTCTCGCGAAAATTGAGGAGTACCGTACACGTCCACGTTTTCAGTAAGGTCTGTGAATACCTTCCCATTCACAAACTGAACTGACAAAAATCTATAAATGTGATTTTCAAACTTTCGGTGCTGATCAGTATTTTTCGTGAAAATGGTGACTACCCCATTCCAAAACTGTCCATAATTCAGTAACCGGTTACACCCTTCCCTACCGCCGCCTACCTTCAAACTTCCAGTCAGAGAAGTGTCCTTCTGCAGTTGCATCCTTAGTTGCGTCTTCTCCATCTCCCACTGAGCCCGTTCGTTCTCCATTTGCTGCTCTTTCCGCTGCTGGTCCTCCCACACTTCAGTCAACTGCTTTCTCAGCTCGTCGGCGTGTACGGCCAACGCCGACAACTCTTCGCACTTCTGAAAAAGCGCACAAAATGTTCGCGACGCTCCACTTCCTCCCGCCAGCCCTCGTCTTACTTTTTCTCGTTTTGACAAGCGCTCTTGTGAATTGGCGAGTGCTTTCTCAAGCATCGCAATATGATTTCGTTGTTCTTCCAACGTCTGATTTTGCGCCTCAATCTCCATTTTCTGTCGTTCTTTGCAAGCGAAAAGCTCTTGTCCTGAAAGAATGATTTTAAATTTCATTTCTTTTTCCAATCGTGTTTGTTTGTTCGTTTTTTGTTCCTCCCGTCAATCGTACTTTGCTGAATTTCATTCAACATCAGATTGGCCACCATTGACGGCTCGGCGCTCGCCTTCTCCAGTCTCAATTGCAAATCTTCCTTCTCGATGGTAAGTCTGCACAAAGTTTCTGTCTCACTTTGGCGGGATGTACCTCTTTCTGCTCTCACCTTTTCACCGATTTTTCCAGTTGAATAATCACATTCAGCTCAAAGTTCTCCTGCTTTTTTCGTTCGTTTGCCAGATACTCGTACTCTTTTTCCAATCGCGCATAAGAGTATTCGATCTGTGAAATGGCTCATCTCATTTGCATAGTCTTTTAAAACAAACCTGCTGCAGCTTTGAAAGGCTCCGTTTAAAGGCCTCGAGCTCTTTCTTCAAGTGCACATTCTCCTCTCGTAGAATTTGTATCAGTTTTTGGTTGCTTGACACGCCCTGAGCATTCGTTTGTTTGTTTTGTTTAGTGTTCGTCTTCGTCTTACCCTGTTTGCTTGGTTCATGGAGGGAACATCAAGAGCCTGGTCTCCAGAAGCCGAGGCTCGACGTTGATACGCTGACATGCTCATTGTGTGCTCACTTGCTGGTACTCTGAAATGAGTTCACTGTATTCTTTCATCAAAGCGCAAAAAGCTCACTCAGAAGAGCGTGATCCGCTTGCAATAAGACACGGCTGTGAATGACTAATCGGCGACGCTGAAAAGAAGCGGAAAGACCTGATATACTATTCTCATCCCCCATGTGCTCACGTCCTGAACTGCTCTGCATGTCTTTCCTACTGTTCGCTCGCTGCATGTTCATTTCCATTTGATACTTTTCTAGCATCTTCTGCAACTTCCGCTCATCCTCCTCTTTACTCTTTGCCTGCGCCTGGTGACTGATTACTGTAAAAAACAACTGTTTTCAGGATCCCTGGTTTGGCGACTGTGCTCACCACTCGCTTTCAGACTTGGAGTCAGCTGAGCTTCTTTTAGAAGTGAGTCCAATATTTTTGTCTCTCCTTGATACATTGGCGTGGGTGGTACCGCGTGCACCCGCCGCTGCTCCGAGGACGTGCTGTCCGACGAGCGCGGATCTATCACCTCCGCCCGATTCATTGCCCTGTAAATTTTTGGTATTTTTGGATGGACAGAACTTTGAAAGAGAAGAATAGAGAAGAGAATCACGAATGGGTTAGTTTTAGTTCAAGTGACCCGAAAACCGTTCCGTCGTGTCGAAACCGCCTAATTAACTTTATTCAAGTGGAAGACGGCGTCGTTTAGTACCTCGTATTAACAGATTATCGGCGCGGAAGGAAGTGAAGTTGAATAGAACGCAAACAAGGCCCACCGAATGATTCATGTCTTGCACATCGGAGTTTTGTAACAAAAGAAAAGAAAACATCTAGAACAAAACATTTGTGACGGAAACAATAACAACAAAAGCGTATGGGAACGGGGAGCTGTGCTATACGATACTGTACGATCAGCAAGAAAGGGTCTGAAAGACGAAATTGTGCTAGGGCTCGAATCCGAATCTGATCACTAATCACAACAAAATTGACACAATATTTGGAAGAGTCTGGGGGGAGAGGCCGCGACGCCAACGGGCCGTGGAATCGATTGATCAGCGATAGGGAGGCAAACGCCAGTGCGGTTGGCCGGCCTTTTCACCGGGTCACTCCACACTCGACGCACTATCTCGTCGACCCATCTGTCCTGTTGCCACACGCATTCGATCTTGTTCCGCGCAACGAACCACTAGCTCACACGTACCCACACCGACCACACGTCTTGACACGAAACTGTCCATTTTCTAGCTGCTTTTTGAAGCAAATTTCAGAGGAAAATCTAATCAAATGCAGTTATTTTCGTTTCGTCGACAAAGTTTTGATGTGTTTGTTGCGTTATTTTGTTTCAGAATCGAAAGACTTCAAATTCTTTTCGTTCTTGAATGGCACTTTATTTTTTCACAATATCAGCTGTCTACTTGTATCACTTTTGTTATCAAGGGTAAATGCCAATGAAAAACAAAATGAGATGATATCACATTTTCCATCTTCCTCTCTTATTCCCACTACTATTTTCGTCAAAGTCCATATCGTTTCTCACAAAGTACCGTTTCCATCTGTTATCTTGTACGAGAATCTTTTCCGTTTCAGTTTCATCGCAAGTGAAACAGAACCGAAAATGGACACAAGCCCAGCCCTTGGAAAGGCCGCCCGGCCTATGTGTGTTCTCTCGGTTTTTGTCCATCTAGCGAGATATCAGATATCATCTTTCTCTTTCCCCTTTTCCTTTCGTCCGCCGCTTCTTATACCAATTTTTGAGTCCAGAAAGTGTTGATAGTTTTTTTTCCACGCTCGAGCTTCACCCTTCCGACCATTTGTCCATCTGTCTGTCGTTGGCCGACCCGTCCGTCCCACATATATCGAAAATATATTGGTGTTGGGTACTGGCAAACGAGACGGAGAGACCCCCACTCTGGTGAGTAGTGAGTGGCGTGAGTGTTGTGTGAGCGTCGCGTGTGTGTGTGTGTGTGCTTTTGTGCGGCACTCTCCGGCAAGAGCACTCTCTCTCGACCTTCATCTCGCTCTCCGGGCTCTCTCTGTTCCGTACGCTCACTCTCCGAAGCGCTCGGAGGCGCGCACACACACCCGCTCACCGGTCTCATTGATTCGGGCGTGTTGTGAGGAGCGTCTCTCGATGGGGGGCTAGAGAGACGCAAATAGGATGTGACGGGGCGGACACGCAGACTCCTAATGAGTGTGTGGTGCGAGGAGAGACAGCCCTGGGGGCCGTGAGCGGACACCGTCCCCGACGCGTCTCTTCACTATCTCGTCGCGTGTGCGCTCACGCCGGAGGCCGAGTAGTTGGAGGGGAAGGAGGAGGAGGAGGAAAAGGGAAAAGAGAAAGCGGAGGGGGAAGGGGGGTCGTTTGGCCCCCTCAACGTCTCTAGCCGCCGTGCAATTCGATGTGGCTGGGCTGCTGACTGGCCTCCCTTTCTCCCCACAACACACACGCACACACACACACACACACACGCACATAGTCGGTCGCCTTCTCGCCCTCGATCGGGTAGCCCCTACAGCAGGCCCCTTTGGCTTCTAACTAGTCTTTCTCTCCATCTCTTTTTCTTTTTTTTTCCGCTTCTTCTCGGGTCTTCTTCTACTGCTTTTTCCTTCTTTTCACCCCATGGGTCCAGCCACCTTTACAACTTTTTGTACACTCTTTCTCTCTCTCTTATCTCGATATGTTCGTTTTGGTACGAAGGCAAAACCATTTTTGTTTTGATGTTCGATTCAAACTGGAATAGTATCAAAACTTCATTCATATGTCACGCCACTTTCAAATTTGTCAAATCGATTTTATTTCAAATTCAAATTCAAATTCCTAATCTTTCATTCTTATCTCCAAAAACAGTGTACGTAATGGCGTGACAAAGAAGAAACTGTTATCTCAAATTTAAAATTTCTTAAACCATTCGATTCAATGAAAAATATTTCCGTACATGTCAAACGCCGAACAAATAATCTTATCAGTCCACTCGCTTTCAACCAAAACTCAAATCAATCGATATTGATTTCAGACGTCCTCAAACTCTGATCGCCTATTTTCGGCGGTCGACTCAACCATGGAGAGTCTCGAAAGAAGTCTCAATAACATTAACATAGACGACGGACCATGGCGTCCGCACGAGCAACCGCCCGTCTGGAGCAATAACGGCGGTGTCCAGCAGCAACAGCGCGTGTGGGGAGCTCCCGGACAGCAGTTTCCAAACCGATCGCCGTGGCAACAAGATCCGAATGACATTGGTGCGTGTAGTATAGTGTAATTGGTTGGCCGCCAGGAGAATAAGTTGTCTGATTGTTAGGGCGGCAGAATTGGGTGATTCTGTGTTGGACATTGAGAAAAAGTGATCGCCCTGTCATTCGCATTACTTTACAGAGCAAAATGTCAACGAAGCCCTGGGATTGAGTGGAACTGCTAGCAGCCAGAGCCAATGGGGACCACCCATACCAAACTCGGACTACGACAAACAGATCTGGGGAGACCCGCTGAGCGATGTACCCTATCCACCACCGCCACATGCACGTAAGTAGTGAGAATATGAGAAACCCTTCTGAACAGCTTTTTACCAGCATTCGGCGCATTGAACGGAGGAATTGGAGGACCGCCGACAGAGTGGTCTCTGGGCTCGCAACCCTCGCACCCAGTTTGGAGCAACGGGGGTATGGGAAAAGAAACGGACGACTTCTGGAAGCAACAGCAGCCGCAGCAGCAACAGCATTACCCAATGCCACTTCTCCAAGGAGCGTGGGGAGGCCCGCGGGGCATGAATCACGGACCGCCAGGACAACAGCGAGGAGGAATGATGCAACAAGATTACCAGGGCGGCTGGGGTGGTCCCAACAACATGGGCGGCAATAAGCAGATGAGCCGACCTTGGGGAGACAATAATCGCGGCATGTCGGGCATGTCGTCTCGAAACGGCCGCCCCAACAACCAGAACCAAGGGCGGTACGGCGGAATGGGTGTCGACGTGTCGGTACCGCCGCCGATGGACATGCACATGGGAGGCATGGGCATGCGGAACATGGGACCGCCAACTGGTGGACATGGAAACTGGAAGAACAGCGGTGGCAACGGGGGAAGCGGACACCGCAACTACAACAATCGCGGCGGTGGCGGCGGAATGAACCACGGAAGCCAGAGCAGTCAGGCAGGAAGCATGTGGAACGGCAGCAGCAGCAACGGTGGCGGCGGTGGCAACATGCAGTACATGAGCGAGCAGTCGTACACAAACTCGACGTTCACCATCGGAGGAGCTTCCGATGATTTGACTCTCTCCGTCTGGCATGACCCGAACGGAGAGCTCAAAAAGTGGCAGAGAGACACCGGAGTGTCGTACTGGGGAGATCCGGAGAAGCAGAGTGAGAACATATCCACAATCGTCAGGGCATTTCACCTTTTTTTCAGCCGATCGTTCCATCAACCTGTGGCTCGTGCCAGAAGGCGCTGACGAAGACTTGGAATCCGCGTTGAACCGGTGCCCAGTGCCACAGAAGAAAGTTCCGGCGACCGGCACTACTCCTGCTGCTGGTGACTTTACAGAGTTGCAGGCCGAGGAGAACAACCGTTTCCCGTTCCCAGTTCCACCCAAGCGGCCAATTGTGGTTACCGGATGGGGAGAGCTGCCGGAGAACGATCCGAACAACCCGAACAAGAATGGTAAACACTTGAAACTAACAAAGACCGTTCAGTATAATCATTTTCTCTTCCAGAATCGACCATCTTCGACGAGCCGAACAGATGGAACGACCTGAACACGGAGACCAACCCGTGGTACCTGCCGAACCAGAACTCGTCGACGTTCACCAGCGACACCAACACCGGCTCGTGGGTCCAAGGAGGTACTATCCCACTAACTGAGCCCGGAAACGTACATCATGGCGCTGTCGCAGAAATGCTCAAAAGTGCTGTCGAGAAAGGATATCTCGATCAAAGTGTGACAATGTTGGCCAACTTGCCGCCGCAGGTCCTCCAATACGTCAACTTGTTGCTCGTCAAGATTCCGGCGCTTGACAGCGTCGAGAATGAGTTGAAGGCTGTCGTGGAGAGCTCGCGTCCAGACGAGTCCACTGAGATTGATCCGCAGAATCCGCAAAAGTACATGAACGATAGCCAGAAGGTGAGCGGCAAAAAATTATCAGAATCATTATTATATTAATTATATTTTAGCTCGAACACAACCGCTTGATCATTGAAGTGACCACCGCCAAGATCGAGGTTCAAGAATACTCCAAAAAGGTCAACCGCGCTCTTCTCGAGGCCGGCATCTTGCAGCCGCAAGAGCAACGTGCTCCACCATCGTCGGAGGACTATCACTACTCCTTCCTCGAATAAGGACCAATCTTCTCAAATTGTTTTCTCAAACTATTTACTAACTCATTCATAACTCTCATTGTGACTCAAATGTTCAATCAATCAAACTATGTATTCCAATCAGAACAAAACTAACTCCAGTCACCAGTTTACCCCTTCCTAAGTCATATAATCTTGTAAGAGCTACCAGTACTTTATGTGTCTCCATTCTCCCTCCCCCCTCCACTTAATTTGCCTCCGGATTTCTATTGTAAACGTGGTCTTGTGAAAGTTCTCTCTATCTTGTCCTCCTTTCCCTCTTTACTGCTGATCAGACGGGGTAACTTTACTCGTATTTCTCTTTTGCCAACCCACACCCTCCAAAGTTTTGCCCCCCCCGGTTCTCGTTTTTCACGCACGCACACGTCCACAAGCACACAATCCATGTTGTGTCTGTGTACGGTTTTTTGGGTCTTTTCTCCGAGTTCCGCGCCAACGTGAAAAGCTACCTCCATTTCCCGCCCAAAAACCTTGGTGCTTGGTCTCACAGAGATTTCAGGTTCTGTCTGCCAGTTTACACACTCTCACACTCTCTCTCTCTCTCTCTCATAATAGGGGTCTTTGTTTCCAACAACTTCCAACCACGCGTAAATCCACACCTTACTTTCCCGAAACGCAATCTTTAAATTCACAAATATTATGACTTCATTCAGCCTGCTTCTTCTTGTAAAAAAAACTTCATTTTCAATGTAGTTGGTAAAGTTCAGTTAACCCCCAAAATTTTTATACACAGTGCATTTGTCAAACCGAAAAAAATACGCTCTATTCGTTTCCTCCTGTCATTTTGTAATCTGGGTCTTGTCTACGTCATTCTCTTTCTCTCAACAGTTTCAATGTGCTAAGTTCCATCATCTCAACGTTAAAGTTCCAACAATCTGACAAATTGTGATGAAATTGCCCTTTACACACACAAACGGAAGTTCTTTTGCCCGATTTCAATCCGATCCATAGTCCAAAACCAGGTCTTTATAGTACGGACCCTTTTCCTTTCCCTTTCCCCCATTCAATTGTACTTGTACTCCGCCCCAACACCTTCATCACCATCTTTGTGCAGTACTTCATCGGGACCCGCCTTCCTCCAATCAATTCGAAGCTTTTCCAGTAATAATTCCCTCTCTCTCTCTCCCTCCCTCTAAAAATCTCTTTAAAAATCTCGCTTCCGAAACGACCATTTCTTGTAATCAAATGCCCAGTCTCTCTATCTCTCCCTCTCATACAATATACTTGTAATGCTGATTTTGGTGAAAGTTGGTTTTAATAATAAAGCAAAATATGTTGTGACACCCCTCACTCAAGACGAGGGAAGCCGCCCTTCCGTCTTTCCTTCCTTCCAAGTCGGCAGGAGCAGAAGCAGCAACAGCAGCATCTTTTGTTTGCTCGGACTGTTCAAACACACAAGAAGTGAGAGTATGTTAATTATGGAATGAAGGAGGAGGCGAAGACAAAGAAAAATGGCAAAAAGTGGGCCTCCACGGCACTTCCGTTTTTTCTCCCCCCCGTCGCCGCCGCCCCGCATAAAGAGCGCGACTCGAGAATTTTTGATAAGTTGGGCGCAGACACACACACTGATAGCCGCCATACGTTTTCCTGATCGGAATCGGATCGCGGTGTTTGAACGGTGATAATTTGATCTGATCAAATGAACACAATTGATTGTTTTGATAGTGGGGAAATGTGAAATGTGTCAGGAAGAGACTTGTCGTTAACCGGCCTTATCTTCAGAGCAAAAAGAGCAAAACAAGTTTGGAAAAGAATAATTCAGATTTCCCCTCGTTTCTAAAATTTAACGAAGTTTGCAACAAAAACCAATTATCGATGATAGCACAAAACTGTCCTTTACCGTTTTGCAAAATTATGGGAAAAACGCTGCTCATCATCATAGGATCACCCCCTGTTAGAAAGCAAAAGTTTCTGAACGAAAGGGATGTGGCAGTTTCAAACTATGGCCGGAAAGTGAAATATATGACCATATACGACCATGCGTCATTATCGTTCTTCCTAATTGCTTTGATACTGACATTGAAACATCAGCATCACAAGACAACACTTTTACGGAATTACGATTACACTTCCAGAATTTCTTTTCCGAATTTGCGAGACTGACAACATGCTCAACAACTAGTTAAATCCATAATAATCCTTGAAAGAGCGGCAAACTCAAAAACAACTATAGCAGCCCGAACACTTTTTGGATGGATTGATGAGTTGACAAACAGCTTGTAGTCGCGTTGGAACTCGAGTGGCTTTATGTGTTTTGACCATGGGCCGCTGAGAGTGAAAAGTGTTTGAACACATTGGTCTCATTCGAAAATAAAAATGTCCATTCACCTCTTCCGTTCTTTTGCAGAGAAACGGAGTGAGCCGATGGCAATACAATGGAGTGGGTTCTGAATTTGTTCTAGATCATTCATGAAGGGAGAACTATGTGCCCATGTTTTGTCAGGCCGCGTGCGGAAAATGAAATGCAAAGTTTGCCATACGGCCTCTCGCGGGGCATAGATTTCAGCGATGAAAAAGAAGAGCGGAAAGAAAAAAGGAGAAACGTGTCCGGCGGGCCGACGCCAGTTGTCTATATGTGTTGACCCTGTGCACATTATTTCTTTTCCTCACTCAATCCAACCTTTGTTTGTTTTTGTCTCCAAAAACACACTGCCATCTCCGCCGCGCGGCTCGCTATTTCACAGGCGGCTCTCGGAAGGGAAGAGTGAGAGACCGGGCCCGTCCGCGCGCCCACCGGCACCTGTGTTGCAACACGAAAAATGCAAATAGAATTGAAGAAGGGGGGAGGAATGCGCGAAAAACGGTCGCTTTTGGCAGATCGGCTGACCGTTGCCCCACCCGTCCCGTTGGCCACATTTTGTTTTGCCCAACCCCCGCCGGTCATATAAAAGCCGCCGGGTTCGACGGGTACAACCATCCGAGTCGTAGCAGCAGCAGAAGCGGCAGTCTACAGTCAGCAGCAGCAGCAGCAGCCCATTTCAATCGAACCTTTTTGAACTTTAACGAACATTATGAACTTTGCTCTTTCCGCCGCCGCCTTTTTCGCCGTGCTCATCGGCTCTTCCTTGTGTCAGCTTCAATATGACGACCTCTCTGTGCTTGGAGAAGTCGTCGAGGGCTCTGGTATCGAGGCTGAGAAGGTGTCCTCATCTACCAGCGCTGCTCCAAGTACTACTACTGCTACAGTAGAGGAGAGTACTGTAACCAGTACCGTAGTCCCAGTCACCAACACCACTGAGGCTGATACTACTACGACCACCGAAGCTGCTACGACCACTACAACTGTAGCTTCTACCGAGGCCACGACCACAACTGCGGAATCCACCACGACTACAACTGAGGCTACCACTACCACTACCACTACCACTACCGAGGAGCCGACCACTACCGCTACCACCGAGCCTACCACCACCACCACGGAAGGTTAGTGTTGAACGCAACGCAAAGAAATAAAATAATGGTGATAATTTTCAAATTCAGAGACCACAACGATTGAAGTGTTGATCCCAGAAACCACGGAAACTGAGGAAGTCGATGAGGAAAGCTTCCTGGGATTCAAGAAACCCGACTTGGCGACCATCTACAGAAGACTCTTCCCTTTCCAGCACCACCCGGGACACAAGCAGGTTCAGTACAGACAGGGCCAGTTCGGACAGCAAGGAGGATTCTGAAACCGACGTTGAATGATCTCGTTCGTTCCATTCCTTTCCCTCCTGGAATGTGTGTCGTATTCTGTATCAGATACTTAACAGAGTTCTACTTAATTTATTCATACGCTTATTATTAATTTATTGAATTGTGACTGCAATGGTGTTGGATCTCGAGTACGAGAACAAAATATAAAATTTTCCTGCTTTTTGAAAGTGCAAACATACATATTTTCGAACAAATATGATAACGAAACAGGAACGAAAAGGAAAAGGACAAAGACAATCAGTAGACCACCCTAAACACAACCTCCTCCTTGTTGAACTTTTTGACCGATATTTCTAGATACTGCGCGGGCAAATAAGCTCCGTGCACCTCACAATCGAACAAGTATATAAACAAGCGAGGGCGCGAACGAACGGCAGACCATACACGCAGATAGATTAGGAAGAACTGAAAAACTGTCTCAACTGTCTCTGTATGTCCATAGAACTTGTTCTCCTCGCTTCCCCCTTCATTCCTTGTCTCATTTTTCACCTTTGACTCGTTGTAACATACACAACAGATCTTTTTTGAATGAAATTTAAACGAACATTTTCTTTACATTCTGTCTGCCATTTCAATTTGAAGCCATGTTAACCCCTTTATGCCTTTCTTATGATGATCAAAAACCCGAATTCCCTATGTTTCGGTGGGCAGAATTGTGAAGAAGGAGGAAACGAAAGGCAGGCAGATTTTTGGCTTTTTCCATAAGAGATGAGACAAGAGACAAGAATTGAAGGAAGGGGAAAGTATTTGTGTACATATAGCCTACACATGTACTGTAACTAGAAATGAGGTTCAAACTGGAAAGTTCATGTTTCTGTCTGGACGTTCCAGTTGTGCCAACATTAACGGAGTAGTAAAGTAATTCCAACACTTTGGTTCTTTAAATCCACAAATACAACAGATACTCATAGAAACAACTTAGCAAGAGGATCGAACAACGGACCTCTTGGCTGTAGGGGCCGCCACAGATCGCTACACTTCTCGCACCACGAGGGAGGCACACCTTGTTGGCATAGGCCAGGAGAAACGGACCAAATGAGGGAGAGACTCCTTCCTGACCTTGGTCATCATAGCTATCGGAGGATCCTGCTGAAACAATGTTGAAAAGACGCCTCTCACATTTTTAGACCGCTTTTTTGCATTGAAAACCAACAGCGAGCAACAATTCGGCTATGAGGAAAATAACATAATCGAGCAAACAGTTGAGCATTATATTTTTCAGTTTCAGATGTGTTTTCCTCAACCAGATCCAGAAGGATTTCTTCTTTTCAATCGGATTCTGAATCGACCCAAAGGAATGAAAAGAATTTGATAACTACCCGTTTGACTCGGCCGTCTCTCGAAACAGAGATCAGAGATTTCGGTGTAAAAAAACTTGAAAATTTCAGATGAATCAGTGTAAAATTATTCTGATCTGATCTGATCTGATCTGATCTGCAAACTGTAGCCAAAATAACGAAATGCCAAAAGAGTTTTGAGTATAGTTGATACGGGCTGGGCTATAAGAAAATTTCCACCGGCTCGGAAGGCCGGAAGGCCCAAGGTAAAAACTTTTTGAATATCGAATAGTTTCTTCAAGTTCTCAGTCTGTTTTTGACATTTTTATCTCGATTGGTAATATTGATGTTAAAAAGGCCATTCTCTACCTAATAACAATGAAAATCGATTAAAAAAAGCCAAAAATTGAGATCATCAGCCAGGATTCGAGCCGTAAAATTACAAGTATGGTTTTCACCTATCATCCGGAAGATTTATCTCCCAAACAACTTTCCAGTCGCGTTTAATTTTAGCAGAACAAAAATGATACAAATATGTATCTTCCACTTCCTCATTTTGCCATTCTAAGCCGTACATACTCCTCCTTCCGATCCGTCTCTCTGTTCTGTGAACTGTTGAAAAAAGATGTCGATTGGTTTGAAAAGCAGCTTAATGTATGAAGAGAGAAGAAGGCAAGAGAAGAAGAAGAAGAAGAAGAAGGAGGGGGAGATAAATGCGGGTTCAGGTTTAGATGAGAGGGGACGGCTGTGTGTCGATGCAGTCCAGATCAGTCCAAATCGGCTGGCTTCTTGTGTAGAAGGAGAAGATGAAGACGACGGCGACGGAAGGGAAGAAGAAGAAGGAGAAGACGACGACGATGATGATGATGATGATCGGTTGGGGCTGTCGCAGCTTCTCCCTATCCCTCTCCTTCTTTTTTCTCTTTTTCCCTCTTCTCCCCCCGATCTCTTCTTTAGCCCTCCTGCTGTTCTGTTCCCGCGCGGTCTCCCTCTGCCCCTGCCGCGCGGAGGGTTTGCTGAAGGGACGCACGGGAAGACGAAGTCGAAGAAGAAGAAGAAGAAGAAGAAGTAGAAGAAGGAGAAGGCGACAAGCGACGCGCATTTTCCAAAGTGTCTCATATCCGTCCGTCTTCTGGCGCCACGCCACACTATATCTTGTGTATATTCCACCTCTTCTCCCATCTTTTCATCGATCCGCTTGTCTCGTCACCATCATCCGCTCGTCCTACTTTCGCGCCTATTCCGTCCGGCTGTACCGTACCCATATCTCTTCTTTTCACTCAGCCTCTCCTCCGCAGCACGCAGCAGAAGCATCGGTCTTCCCGTTCCTTTTGACGTCAGTTGGTGATGGAAAGTGAAAAAGCTTCGTTTCGCTTGTGGCCCCGTCCCGTTAGATTAGATGTACATCTCGAACACTAAATGAGTTCTTTTGTAGCGAAAGAGGAAAGGGTCTGGCTAGTACTAGACCATTCTGAAATAGTAGGGGTCGAGGAGTGATGATGATGCCCCGCCGCCCTGACTACAAAGGGCGGTTTCGGGAAACAAAGGCAAATCACAGTGATGCATATATACCACTTTTGTTCTTGTTTGTTGTTCCGCCCTAGCCCCTACCTATGATTCAAGCATTGTCCTCCACAAGCACTTTGTAACCCGCTCGGCCCCCGAACCCCACCTCCGAACCGAACCAACTATGACATCACCTTATATTAGGCGCCAGGACGCTCGCTTCCAACTTTGTCCGTCCTTCATTTCCATTTTTGTGAAAGAGAAGGTTGCCCCATTCTGTCTGGCATATGGTAGTGGATGGCAGGCTTCTAAGATGGAAGAAGAAGAGACGGAATAAATAATTTGTGTGTATTTGCCTTGATCTCTTGACATCTCCAAGGTCGACCACTTCGGAAAACTTCAAATATTCCGTCGCTTTTCTTCCGACCTTTCATTCGGCTTCTCCTTCTGCCTCCTTTGCCTCAATGTCCGTCAAATTTTTCAGTTTTAAGACGTAACTTTCACCATTTCAGTTCGCTCCTTACTCGATTTTTTCACGGGTTTCACTGGCATCTTGTTCTCAAGTTTACACCTCCCTAACATCAGCTTCGCTTTCTTTTTCGTTTCCGTTCCCCTCCGTCTGCCCCCACCTTTCCTTTTTCGCTGAGTGACTCCTCCCTGTTACCCGAACAGTTCCGCGCCAAACCAATTCTCTCCCCCCCCCCTCCGCGTGCGCCATTTTGTAGCTAGTCAAAAGTCGGCAGTCAAATGAAAGGGACTCCATTCAGTCTACCTCTCACTTTTTCTTCCGCTCACCACCCGCTGCCAGTGACCCGACAATTGACTAAAGTTTTTACCCGGGTTTAGCAAAGAACAGTAGGGTTATTCTATTTTGTGAGCAGTCTACGTGGTGATACATTATCGACTACCGTATTCCGAGAAAAATTTCAACACCCCTCTTCTTACCGGCCCTTTTCTCCTTCTATTCATTCACTTTCAAACACACACCCAACACATTTCCTCTTCTATTTTCGCTTTCAGATATTGTCTTTCCATATATCTAGTTCATTTTCTCTCTCACTCTTTCTTTTCCATTGTCGCTCTCATTTAAGACCAATCCCTCCCACCTTCTCAAAATCTTACCGGCGCATCGCATTTCTTCCCCCTGATTTGTTGTTCGGGAGAAGATTTTGGAGTTTGTTGCAAATTCGATTCAGTCTGAACTTGTTTGACCTTCTAGCCCTTTTCTGCTGTACAAGTTGACCATCTATTGTTCATTTCTTTCATTTCCAGCTTCTACTCTTAGTCACCACAAACATAGATTATGCAACTGGCAACTGGCCAACTAAAACAACCATTCAGACAGCATTGTTCCTACCTCCCAGTCACTCATTTCGCTTTCTTCGTCTTCTTCTTCTTCCTCTTCTTCTTCTGCCTCTCCTTATTCCTTTTTCCCTCTTTTTTTGATCTGAGAAGAGGAAACGAGAAGTTGGGGCTGGTTCTTTGACGATTTTTGCGTTTTGTGATCACTCTACTCAATCAATTAGCCCTCTCTTTTCAGATCTGATGATTTGGGTGTTACTTGTGTTACTCGGGTTGAGCAATGTCACACACCAACAAAGTCTCGCAAGTAAGTGCTTGAAACTTGATTTTCAGCAACAAAAAAAACGGTTTGTAGACAGTCTGTTTGCGGAGGAAGGCACGTCACCAGGGTTTGTGACTCGGATTAACAAGAAGGCGTTTAGTATAGTGTCAGAACAGCTCAAAGATCGAGTTATAAAGTTTATGAGTTCCGACGGATTGGAATTCAACATCTCAGCTCCACTGACCAACCAGGTATGCAAATCAAAATCTTAATCTCGACTTAACCCTTCGTCCTACTCCGAACAATGCAAATTGAAACTGTTCAGGTCCGGTTCACGCTGAGATCCTCGCGGATAATCTCTTTCGATGAACTTTTCTTCGATTCCTCCATGTCAATCGTTCCTCAGAAGGGAATTTCGTGGACGGTAACCTTGAGATCTCACTTCACTCTCCTCACACACTATTTAGGGGACGAACATCAACGTGACGTTGCTGGCAAGTTTCAGTCTTCTGACAACGCAAGGCGAAATCACTGGAAATGTTCCGTTGTCGTTTGACAAGTGAGTGATAGTACGTGTGAGGGCAAAGATGAAGAGGAAGGACACTTTCCACACTGACGGAAGAGGAGGAGTGTAATAGTTTAAGGCGAAAAGAAAGTGATAACGAAACTACTTCTTTTTCTGTTTCTTCTTCTTCTTCTTCTTCTTCTTTGATCTGTCAAGCTAGGAGAAAGCAAAAACATGACAAAAATGAACGAGATGTTTGGATGTTCGTTTTTTGCAGAACAAATGTGGAACTGCTTCTGTGGACCGGAGTCAATGGAGATGGACACTTGAAGACTGACTTGATCACTTGCAAAGTTGCCGCCAACAATTTGCAGTTGCAATTCAGTCAGGCCGATTCTACGCTTCTCGCTAATTACATTCCGCATATGCAGAATTTCATCAGACAGACCGTAGAACAGGTACTTGCCAGAATTTTATTTAAAATTAAGCCAACAAAGTATTCTTTATAGGTTGTGTGCCCATCGTTTCACGCCGAGCTTGTCCCAGTGCTCTCCAACCGAATCATGAACACCCCGCTCAGCGCTTCCCTCTTCGAGCAGTACTTCATCAACTACGCACTTCTTGGTGAGCAAAAGAGAAATGCAAAAAGCGATGCCTGCTGCTGGAATCGAACCAGCGTCGCCACGGCCACAACGTGGAGTACTAACCACTATACTAAGCAGGCCGAAAGTGTGAGAGACCTAGAGAGTTTATCTACCACCCTCCTGCTGCTGCTGCGGGCAAGGCGACGGGGTAGACGAGGGGAAATGTGTGTGTGTGTGTGTATGCTGTGGAAAGGAATGGGAAGGGGGACACGAGATGTGAGCGTTGTTCGTTGCAGGACCCGTTGAATTCACAAACCAAGCAATCACCCTCAAACACCGAGGAAATGCATTTGGAATTTTGAGACAAGGTGAGTATTAAGTATTTCTAATGCTTCCACTAACCGATCCAACAAGGACTGATCGAATGTATAGGTTCAGGAAGGACTCGCCTCAACGACTTCCGTCTCCCGTACCGAAGCCCACCACTTGTGCTCCCAACTTCTGACTCTGGACATATGATCGATTTCTATCTTTCGAACTACACACTCAGTTCGCTGCTTTTCTGGATGGATCAGTACCGAAAGTTCGACTACGAGATCAGCAGACAAGCCACAAACAACTCGGCACTCGTCGGATACTTGAAGACGGATTGTGGAACGGGAGACATTTGCGCTGGAACCCTGTTCCCAGCTCTTGGTACTCGGTTCCCTGGCGGAGAGGTGGTGATCAAGTCGCACACGGTTTCCTATCCACGAGTGGTGCTTAAGAAGAACAACATGACGATCTACATCGACAGTAGAGTGGACGCATTTGTACAGGTATGTAAGAAAGATGGATGAATGACAGTGATAATCAGCAAAATAATTTGTTTTCAGCAACAGGACCGTAGTCGCCGCTTCCTCACCGCTTCAATGAACGCCGAGGTGAAACTGGATAAGGCCTCGTTCAAGGACTTTATTCTTCACGGAGAATTGCGTATTGACAAGTTCAAGATTTCTGATGTAAGAGAGAATTTCACTAGAGAAGTTTTTTGAGATGTTCTTCAGGTCGCTTCTCTTGTTGATGGAATCGACGAGGGATCCTTGGAGTTTCTGGTGAATGCGTTGACGGAACTGATTCTCAACGAGGATATGGCCAAGAAACTGAAGAGTGGAATTCAGCTTCCAATTATGTTCGATTATACGCAACAAGTTGGACAAGTCAATTTTGAAGATGTAAGTCGAGTCTGAATAAAAATTGAGAAATTTTCAAAACGTTCTTCAGGATATGATCCACATCGCGGCGGACTTCTGCGCGACAGACAAGTGCTCCATCACAGCCGATAACAAAGACACAGAAGTCGACTATTACGATACCGTACAGGGTTAAACGCAGTCTCAATACCAACCAGATAGACTCGATTAGATTCGATGCATGTGATGAACGGTGACAAATTTCATTGGCCTCTTTCTCCCTTCCCATTTTTTCTGTATAATGCAGTAGTTAGCACAACATTTCGCGGGTCATCTCCCAACTTTCTCAACTCTTCTTTGTCTAGACGATGTTCACTTTTCCTCTTGTAAACATCATTATCAACTTCCTCTCTCTCTCTCTCTCTTCCTCTCTCTCTCCATCTTATTTATTATTGTTCTTGGAAAAAAGCACACACTACAAAAGGTATATGAGTTGTTTGTACATGAACGTCTTTATTTTCTCACTCTTTTTGTTTGTTGATAGTGTTGTATTTTTGGTCAAATGAAAGAAACATTGTCAAATACATGTTTTATCAAAATTCAAAATTATTTTGGGGGCGGTATGGGAAATAGACACAGAAGAGAACAGATATTCTGAGAATGTGTGTGTGTGTGTGTGTGTGTGTGTGTTGGTTCAAGTCAAAATGGAGCACCGTGGAGGAGGGTCAGGATCTCAAAAGTCATTTTCTTCTCAAAAGAAGAACTTGGTGGCACGCTTATCAATAAATTAACCTGATAAACCTTATGCTATAGTTTTTGTGTCTAATTAGGGGGGAGGGGGAATGAAGAGACAGAGAGAAATTGGGCAGATTGCGGAGAGGGGAAATGATGATGATGACACTAATAATGAAAACTAACAATAACGATTAAAATGATGATGACGGGGAATTGGATTGGAGATGGGATTCGATTCGAATGATGGGATAATTGATGATGATGACCGTACATGTGTGGACCCTTTGTTTTGTTGCTGCTGCTTTCGATATGTTCCCCTTCGAATAGGGAAATGCTTAGAGAACATCGTGGTAGGCAAGAGTTGCGCGACCGTCGTCTTCTTCCAGGTTTAGACTTCTGAAAACGGGCACTTTTTCAAAGAAACAGATTCCACCACAACTCACATAGTCTCTGCGTCTTGCTGATCATCCTCCATCATTGCCTCGTACTCTTCGATACAGTACCTGCAAAACTCCATTGTGAAACATTTTTTTCGGCCCGTGACAACTATGAATTTCACTTCCCACCAAACTATTATGCACTCACCTATCCCACTCGGTTAGTTCCTGTCCCCCTTCATCCTCAATTCTTGGCGACTCGGATCCCTCATTCGTTTCCTGCGCGAAGAACTTGCGCCAGTTCACAAAAGTGTTGATAAATCGTCCGCGTAATGACGACTTTTTAAGGTCACTCAGACGGAACGAACTGACTCCGGGCACATTGAGCATGTCGATCAATTGACAGGCAACATCTGGGAAACCCATCGAATCGATTCCCTCAGCCGCCAACTTCCTTTGAACTTGAGAGTGGAACAGTTCCATGTCATAGAGGGTCACCAGGCCATCGCCATCCAAATCCAGGATACGGAACCAGTACTCGACACTGAAAATAGAGAAAGAGGTTGAGAAAAGTACATAGAATAATAGTATACCTTGTGGGATGTGTCTTATCCTCTTCAGCCAAAAGGAACTGGGTGAACTCGGCGAGCCCGATTTCTTCGACTTGTTGTCCTCGGTTCGGATTCATCGTCACTGCTCCTGAGAATATCCGGTCTATCACCAAGGGAACAAGTGCTCCGACTGCATGCAGTGCCAGGTCGGATTTCGAGATTTTGAGATCATGATCACTGTCGATTTCCCAGAACTTGCAGTACACCACGTAGAAGTGTTCATAGCTGAAAACATCTATTTCATCATTAATAAGAACTTTTATTGCACTTGGATCGAAGCGTTTCTAGGAATTTGAAAACAGGAAGTTATGAAATATTTTGACACACCTGAAGTATCTCAGCGATTTGTTGATGTCATCGTCAAACTGAAGATTTCTGATGGCTTGTAGAACTCCTCCCTTCCGCAATCGGTCCGTCGTCAATTTGCCGGACCACGAGTGTGCATCATTCCAGAATATTCTAGTCATAACCACTTGACAATACTTGTCATGAAACTCGGTGGCATCTCTGTAGAACGCGAGTCCGGGATGAGTGTGAATCACATCCATGAGCATCTCATAAAAGTCTTCGGGCTGCAAATAACTCCTCGATCCCTGCGTCAATGTGTACACAAATCTGAACGAAGATTGAATTCAGTTTTGAGTGGAAGAGAATCGCATAAAAACCTGGAGGCCTCGTCATGAGCAACAGATGTCATCGCCTTCCACCAAGAGGTGAAGTCGACTTGCGTCGCCGGTCGGTCGTCGTCGTTGGTGATGGCGAGGAAGACGGGCATCTTCCAGTAGGTGGGCAATCCGGCCGCCTCGCACACCGCTGCCATGTTCTCGAGTGTACACTATAAACACAACAGCATTGATTAATCGCTTCATCACTTGCTTCATCGCGTCTTGTCGTCTTGTCACCCAGTCAACAATTTCTCACCTTTTGATTGGGTAGCGATCGGAAGACCTCACAAACTCGCCGTAACGCTGTGTCGTTCTGAAGTTGCGGTACCGGTTTACCTTGCGGATAGTAGATTCTAAATGCGTTCTCACATAAGGCGAAAGTTGTAAAAATTGAGAACTTACGGTTCTTTTGGCGCTACCGGCTTAGGTGGCAAAGGACGACTGATAACTGGAACCGGTTTTGGTGTGGGCCTATACTCGTCGTTGTAGTTGTCAAATGTGAGGTCGAGCTCTGGAATTGCGTGCCTAGTTGGAGCCGCCACTGACAGTTCGGCCGAGTAGTTGAGATCCGATTGGGAAGCAGTCTTCCTTCCATAGTTTCCATTACTATCCAACGCTCCATTGAGGTTCAACCTAGACGCCGGCGCCGACGCAGTTCTCTTGGGCGGTGAGACGATATTGAGCTCCGCCAGGTGTGCACTTCTGCAAAAAACAGGCCATAACTTTCATTTCCGGTGCTCAATTTCTCATCTGGCCGGGGCCAGGTGACAAGTTTAGAGGTTCTCGCCCGCATTTTTGTTTTCTTCTTGCGTCATCACCATCTTCCAACTCTTCCTACGCGTCGAAAAACACCCGTTGTTGCCTGTGTCTACCTCCCACTTGTAGAGGGGGGAGCTCCTGGAGCCAATAGCTGAGCAAACAACTACTACGATTTGCTCATGTGTGAACTCTCACTTTTTCTGAAGAAGCCCTCTTAAGGCGAGGATGAGGCTATGCGCTAAGCGGATGGAAAAAAAGTTATCTCGGTGAACAATGTTCACAGTGATTGTCGAACTTTTCTACCATCAGCATGCTGTTCAAATTTGTTCACCCACTAGTCAGGTGCTACCAGGTACTGAGTTGTCTATCCCTTTTACCCCCCGACAAAGCGCTCAAACATACTTGGTTGGTGTGACATCAGCTTGGATTTGAGTGGCTGACGCAGCTGAGATGTTCTGAAATGAACAAAAATCATTATGTGATGAGCTTGAACTTTTATCAACATTTTTTTTTCCCCTACTCAAACTCACAGTGCGATTTCGCAACAATCTCCAAACGCGGAAGTTTCTGGGCGCTGGGAAAGCTTGCATATTCCCCGACTTCTCACATTTTTCACCAATTAGATGCGGCAGGAATAACGAGCTAATTGGTGACGACTTAATTTTGACCAGGCTTTTTTTTTGCTGGGTATGCACAATAGGAAGCCAGCACACACACACCCAGAAAACAGATGAGACAATGTAGAAGTAGAAGATATATAGAAGAAGACGGGATCCGATTCTCTTCACGAAGAATGAGAGAAAAACGAGAGAGGGAGAAAAAAAGAGCGATAGAGGATGTGGGGTGGGGGGAGGGCTTTTGATTTGACTTTACACTTTTGTCGAACACTGCAGTTAGCCAGTCAGACGGAAACAGCAGAAATGTGAAATGGTTTGCGGTGTGAGGGAGAAGAAAAGAAAATAGCGAACAAAAAACCGACAAAGGGGAGGTAACCACCTCTCTCATAAGAGAAAAAACTTACATCTCGCGGAGATTTGCGCTGATTATCAAACACTTTCCGAACGATACTTTCGATGAATCGCCGGAAGCGCCGTTGTGAAGTCGTTCGCGGATTGACCACTATCGCCTTGGTTCGCGAGCGGGCCGTCGTCCTCCGGGCCGCCAAAACACTGCACTCGCAAAGGACCGCGTCACTGGGCCGGTGACGGACCTCCTCTTCTAGCATCAGACTGAGAGGACGTATTGCCTCCTGGTGACTAGGCCCCTCCAGTGTGCTACCTAGACGATGTAATTCTAGAGGTCACGGAAGTTGAGAAGAGCGGAAAGCATGGGGTAGGAAGAAGAATGAGGAGAAGAATAAGAAGAAGAGGAAGTTGAACAAGATGAGTCTGCCTGTTATTTCAGATTTTCGCTAGGTAAAAATTATGGACGAAATGAAAGCGCGCCAAAAACAGATAGAGAAAGATTTTGGTGGTGAGAAGAGGCAAAAACGCCAGATATCATTGCGTTTTTATGTGATGGTTTTTGTGAATAGGATTGAGATTGGGGCACAGGTGACGTTTTTTTCCAGCAGCCCCCATTTCCCAGTTTGTTTGGCCTGCGTGTGATGGCCGGAAAGGCAGAGAGCAAGAAAACGAAGAAAAATATAAGAGTGGGGGTCTTGATTTATGACGTTGAAATAAGGGAAATGAAATAGAGAACTTGGATTGAAGTACACGGTCATCGAACTAGAAAGTAGATACCTCTTTGACTTTCTCTCTCTCTCTTTCTCTCATTCTCACTGTTCCATACTATTTAACCAACGTATTATGCGGTCCTTGAGAAGTACACCTAACATACAAACATACTACGATGAGTCTGTGGCACTCTTAACCACCCACCCCGGAGTACGATTTTGATTTGCACCGAGAGGAGTTGGGCTCTCTCATCCAATTCGTGTTGATGTCTAATTTGTTGATAACCAAATCATCATGACATAAGCCTCAAAACTTTGTAGACAACTCGCTCTTATCGCACGAAAACTTTTCAAAAAATTTGCGTTGACTTATTTGTGCGACGTCACACTTGTATGACAACCATCTAATTACCGGAACACACATGTAATCGGGTCTTGGTGTCCTGGTGTCAACGACGCGGAATTACATTGATGAAACGGTCGGTGAGGCCACATTGTGCAAATTTTTGTACTCTGGGTTGCGTATCAAAAATCACTCAATTTGGAGAGGTGAAAAATTTCATATTTATCCCTAGCACAAAATCTTAAAGTAAGAACAGATTCCCTCAAAGTCTTAAAAAACTTATAGAATCGCAGTACAGTACATACTAAAAGTAAGGAGAAGTTAATAGTGAGTCTGATTGAAACTGATCTAAGAGCCTTTTCACACATTCTGATAAGAGAGAACTAGTATGCAACAGGTAGGAAGAAGCGGCCCGCAAAATATAGAAAATTTCCAAAAATGTGCAAAATTTCGTCCACTTGTTCCTCTAGACATATACACATTCGTATGCATATTATATGTACGCCTTTTGTGACTCACAAAACAGATAACACACTATTCAAAACAATTTTTCAAGTGGCCATGATTATCGTCCTGCCCTGCTGTCAATGTTCCGAGAGTGCGACAATAGTCAACAAAATGAAGGTGGCTGCCAATGGTCACCCTGGGAGGTGTACACAGTGATAAGAAACAAAACAACAACTTCCGGTGGTGAGAGGCGAGAAAGAGAGAGAGAGAGAGAAAGAGAGAGAGAGATAAAGAGAGAGTGAGAATATGAATTGAAACCGTAACGTAAATAAAAAGCGCTAGTGGCAGGCTTCTTCATGAGAGGGCCCCCCTAAACTGCGCAAAGGAGACTGTCCCCCACCCGACCGGTCTTCGCGCGACGGAGCACATTGTGCCGTGTGTATGCTCAACTCTAATCACCACACCGGGGCTCTCTATGCAAATGTGAGACTGCGGGTTGGGAAATGTAATGTCCAAAAGAATGTTTCAACTTTTGACGAGACACAAAAACTACTGCCACACCGCATTACACCCCCGAAAAGGTTGAGTGCCGTCGCGAAAGGAAACGGAATGAATGATGAATGATAAATGATCGCGGGTCTCTTCTTCTTTTTCTTCTTCTTCTTCTATTGGTATGATGTCGTTAGAAGCGGAAAAGGCAAATGAAGATGAGATCAATCACAAAGAGTGTTTGGCACGCGCTACCAACAAGACGTTTTGCGCACCCACTATCATTGCTTTCTATCAGGGGTCAGGGAAGAATACCTATGACCCCTCGTGCCATTCTGGAAGAAAAATAGCTGAAAACCGGCTTTTGGCTGCTAACGGGAAGAAAACGTAAAAAGGGAACGATGATGGCTTCTATTTGAATTGCATTTGCATTTCCTCCCTTTTCTATATTGTTGGAAATTTTTTAGCGCACATATGTATACATAAATACATAAACATTTGATTTCATGAGTATCGGTTGAAATCCAAGGGAAAACAGAAAAAAAGATGAAGAACCGATCTAAACATACTGATACTAATGCCCGGCGGGGGGGGGGGTACCTTTTATCTTGATGATTCTCATTTATCACCCGTCTCTCACTAGCAAAAAAAGTAACCGAAAGTGAAAAATGCGGATCTGCAGAAAAGTCGTAGTAGTGTTGGAAGTGCAGATGTGTGTTTATGTGAGGTCAGATCCGTTGCTCCCGCCACAAACATCGTCTGTGCCAGCCAGCAGGCACACAGCTGATGAAACTTTTTTCACTTTCACTTCTTCTTCTTGACTCGAGAAGCGACCAATTTCAATGGAAACCCTTTTTATTCCTTTACACCAGTCCTCGCCACGCTTGGGATGTATCGCAATCATATAATCTATGCATATAATGGGATTGTTGCCCCCTCGTCTTGCATATCCGATCTTTTTAGGGTCTCGAGAGGTCTATGCTCAGTTAGAAAATGCTGTAGTACAAAATGTATGAAACTGGTCTGGATGTAATGTTAACAGCGAAAAAATAGCTGCGTGAAAAAGAAAACTTCCGGATTGTTGCAATTTCTGAGCCAAGCAGATTCTACGGATTTGGTGGGAAAAGATGAGATAGAGGACAAAGAACGCGAGTGGGTGAAAGGAGAAGAGGCGGGAGAAAAGAGTTCTTCAGAAAACGTGCGCTCGACGACACACACTTGGAAAAGTTAATCGTGCGAAAACTTTGAATCTTTTCAATCTCAATCTCAGCCTTCAATCCGAGATTGGCTCTGGGGCTCTGATTCTCCGAGCCAAGAGCTCGAAAGCTCAGTATCTTCGGGCAAAGTTCAACAGGAGGAAAGACTCGTCGGAAGCCGACTTTATGAGCTTCGGAGCATTTGCCTAGCGCGGGCCAGCCTGCTTGACTCGATAAAAGATCATTGAGGGCAGCGGGAGGGAACATTGCAAAAGACAAACGGTAGTTGATCGTAATGTACATGATAACAAGAAAGATGGGCGAGCAGGCGGAGGGAGAAGGTACTGGGAGCCTCTTTTCTCCCGAAAATAAATAAAAAGGCTCGACGGAAGGAGATCGTTCGCGGTGGACGCAGTGCGCCTCTTGTCTCTTTTCTCCTCGGTGCTAAACCATCATCTGGCTAGTTAATGACTTGATGTTGTGAGCGGGACGAAACGAAACAAAAACTTGGAAGATTTGCGATTCAAAGTAGCCGACGGAGGCGAAAAAGCAGCAATTTTTTTCGCTCAACTGACACTCCGAACAGAAGCCTTACAGAAATTTCTCCGCCCACCTCTACCATAGTAACACCACCATCATCATCATCCCGATGAACTTTGCAACGCCCGTGGATTACGCAGGATTATTATTGTTGAGAGGCACACACTGAAAATCCATGAATGATCTCATTTTGAAGGCTGCGCGCGTTCAGAGTACGAATCGGAGGACGCACGTGCGCGAGAACATCTCACATGGCTAACATTTGCGACAAATAAATAACGACAGATGTGATCGGATGGGACCGAGTTCTCGGAAAAAAGAGCGAAACGCAATGGGTTGGGGGCGGAATGAGTTTTAAGAGCGGTGACCTGAAAGTGCAATGTGGAGCAATCTGTACATACATACATTCCTCGGGTGTACAAGAATCATACAAGATTTTGAGAAAGATTTCAAGGAAACTCTAGTTGTCACAAACTATAATACTTCAACGCAAAGTCTTGGAAGGCCAAACCAAAATAAACTAAAATGTTTCAAAGTTTAACAAACAGCAACATACATCACACAGTTAGTAAGGTCACTCAATTTTTTAGATTGAATCTCTAGCGTAACGTAACAATTCATCCTTTCTTCCCTTTCCCATTTCTTCTGTAAACAGGCGGAATGATAACATATCTAACACCCCCCTTACTGTACAAAAAGCAACTTTTTTAAATTTCTGACTTACATTTGACTTGAAATCGAAAATCGAATGAGTTGATGAATCATGCTGTTTGACGGGCTGCTGTTGATGGTAACCAGGACGGTATCCTTGATTCTGGTACTCGGTCTGATGGAACTGCTGCACCTGAGGCTGCACTTGAACCGTGTGCACCTGGACGTGTCGGATCGGCGGCGGAGGCGATGACTGCTGATAGGTGCTGCCCATATCCACATGAATGACTGGCTTTGCGCGAAACACCGCACTCCGTGGACTCATATTGCCATTCGTTTGCGGTGCGGCTTTAGACGGCGGTACAACTGGTACATTCTCATGGTATTTGACAGTGGTGGTCGAGAGTTGGACAACTGGCGTGCCTGGTCGTTTTTCGAACTCGGTGATCCGTGAGGCGACACTTCCGGTCGATGGCACTGGGAAGTTGGGTCCGTTGCGATACATTGTCCGCAAAAGTTGATATCCAGGAGTTTGAATTCCGGCCAGATACAGTTGTTCCTTGACGTTATGCTTCGGTTTCGGATGCGGAAGTCCTGTCGGGATCTGGTACACGGACGAACTCTCGCTCACATCGTCGGTTGGAGATGGCGAATGAAGTTTACGATGAAGAGCGTGGCTGACCGACGTTTTCATGGACTCCTGAGGAGGCGGACTGAATGCATGCTCGCCTGTTGGGAATCTTCCGCATCCTCCGACTCTCCGGTTGAGCGTACTGCTTGGGGAACCACCAAACGTGGTGCTTCTGACAGTCCTCGACAGTTCATTGACAGCATTATCCAATTCATTGAAGTTCAAGAAGGAATTGGATGGAAACGCGGGATTCAACGGCGATCTTGGTTTCTCGTTGTACTCCATCGGTGTCTCTCTCATCAGCTCTGCCTTCCTCGCTGCCACGCCTTGACCACTGCCGACTCGTTGTGGGTATCTCTTCTCCGTGTCAATCGGTTCCTGGAGCATTTGAAGACGTTCTGCTGCCGTCAAACTCGTAGGAATGCGTTGAATAGTTGGGGATGACGGTCTTGAACTGATAGTTTGGCTCCAGAAGTTGTCTAAAGCGCCCGATCTTCTCTGCTCCGGTGCTTCTGCAGCTCTTCGCTCCACAGCTCGTCCGAGAAGCGAGCTATTCATTTCGTAGTTACTGGAAGACTTGGAAATCGGCAGCTGTGTGCCTCTCCTCGGCAACGTCATCGATCCGCCGGTGCTCGTAAACGCGGATGGAGCCATCAAATCGTCTCCCTCCAATGTTTGAAACCGATTCTGCAACTGCTCGAACGATTTGCTCCATTCCGACGTGCTTCGACTCATATTGTCATCAAGAAGACGTGCGGCAAGTAGATCCAAATGATCAGCGTCGTGAAACACTTGGGGTTGAATTGGCTGACGAAAACCGCCTCCGGACGACGCACTTGACGAAGCGGCGGTGGCTACGGGTGCGCCGTTGTTGTAAAATTGATGAGACGGCGGCGGCGGTGGCGGCGGATGACGATGAAGCTCGGATCGATTTTCGAACGGGTGCGCCTGTTGCTGCTGCTGTTGCAATGACGACTCGCGTGGAAGTAGCGGAGGAGGACCACCGAGCGAACTGGAGTGATTGAATTGTTGGCTCGGGGTTGAATTGTGATACTCGCGTTGGAAGGTGGAAGTTACCGGACCGTTTGAGGTGAATGTCGTCTGGATCCGTTGATGACTCGGGTATCCGTTGGGTACCACGTTCTGATAGACCGACGTAGTAGTCCGAACTCCGTTAGGTTGCTCCTGCCGAACCGAATATTCGATGACAGGAAAGTTGGACTCTGCCGACTGATAAGTATAGGTCCTCGTGGTTGGCGCCCGGTCCGTCGAGTGAATTCGGTCGATGTAGGCTTGGACAGCAGGCGAATTTTGCACAGAGTGTTGCGCCGACGGGTAGCGAGAGAGTAAATCGAGAAGCGCCGAGCCACTAGCTGGTGATCGCTCGCGAAGGTGTTCCGAGAAGGATGACGGCACTGACAGATTATGAGCAGACTGATGATACTCAGAGTTCGACCACGGAGTCGTCGAAGCCGGTCGGCGTTGCTGCGAGGGAAAGCTTATCTCCGAAACTCGAACCGAACCGTTATTCCAGGGTTCGTGAAGATGATCCTCAGATATGGTCCTGGGCTGATTTTGATAAGCGGCTCTCCGATTGTCCGCCGAGTGCGAGCGAAAACGTGTGGTTTGAGTGGGGTCTTCAGCGGCACCGAAAGTGGTAGTGGTCGACCCACTGCCTCCGTATCGTATAGATTCCGACGGAAACTGCACAGAAGAGGACGACGGCTGATTGAACCTTGCAAAGTAGTCGTCGTCGAGATGGTACATTTACCCTCGCTAGTACTGAAACGGTCAGAATGTAGTGCAGTCACGGAAATATGAGGGAACGAATCAAAAAGTGAACTTTTGTAGAGATGAGTAGGTGGTAGCACAAGTTGGAAAAGTGAGAGGAGGAGGCGAAGAATGCAGAAAAACATGGAAAAACGCAACAAATCAAACACACTCAAAGGGACGGGTTGAGAGCCTCCCGGGCAGGGGGCGAAAGAGGTAGACAGTGATGAAAGTGATAATAGAAATCTTGAAACTCGAAATCTTAAATGTTGAGTCTCAGTTTTGCGGGCGTAATTACTAGTTTCTCGGCAACATTAGAAGTTGATCAGTCTCTAGAAGGGCAGGGTTGGGTAGCAATTAGTGAAAAGGGCAGAAGATTGAAATGGAAGTGCGAAAGGAAGGAAAAAAGAAAGGAGTGGCTGTTGCTGCTGCTGCAGAAGTCACACAGATTGAAATGATTAGTAATACATAGTAACAACTTGTTCTCACGTGGAAAAGAGGCTTTGCGATGACGTTGGTGCATAAGAAGTTGTATGTGATGATGATTTTTACGATTTTCATTCTATTCGCTACCCTCACAATTTAAAGAAACAAAATGTGGGAGAAGATAACGAGAGATGGACACGACACACAATCGTAGGATGAAAAAAAGAAAAAAGCGGGTTGTAGGTAAATGGAGAACGTCCGGACAGAGAAAGAGATGAAAAAGAAGAAGAAGAAGAAGATAAAGCAAGAAAGCAGAAATGTTGGAAGAGAGGTCTCGAGAAGAGCCAATAAATTGTGAAGGAGAGAAGAGCTCAGGAAGCGAGAAACGAGAAACGAGCCGAAGGGACCGGACCGCACGATAGAACACTGGTATTGTTACAGCGGACGGGCTCCCGGAGAGAGAGAGTGAGCCTCGCGTATCCCCCCTCTCTCCTCGCAACGAATACGTTTTTCTTTCATTCCCGGGGTCCTCTCCCGTCCTTCGTCGCCGCTTCACCGACCCGACAGCTGCTGCCGTCGGGAGCCGTCCGAAATCTGCTCTTTCTCTCACTTCTCACTCGAGTTCTATCATCATTGGCCACTCCCGACCGGGGGTAGAGACAAGTGCAACGCGTGGTCACCTAATCATCATTATTCTTACTTTTACACTAACATCAAGCTCTATTGAAGATTTCAAGAGTGAGAGCTCTGAAGGATAAAGAAATAGCAAAAGAATTGGAAAAAAATTGATTAGGAATTGTTGGTGTGAATGTGATTGTGATTGTGATTGGCCGGCTCTCACCTTAGATGAAATGAGAAACCACGGAACCTAGGCTGCATGAGAAGGAATGCTTGTTGAATCGAATTCCGAAGCAATGATTCATCGGACCACGTCATCACTCAGCATTTCACCAGACTGAATTCTCATCTACTGTCTAGGATGTCTCTAGGAATTGAAGAAATGATTTTCACAAACGTGCTCATCATATAACATTTGGCGGCGGCGGCGGCGGCGTCGGCGTCGGAAACGACGAGAGAATTTCGAAAATGTCATCAGTACACCTAATTGATGAAAAGAGTGATCGGGTGCGATAACTAGTGTAAAACAAGATTTGTTTCCACTCCACTCTCCTACGCCGACTGGCCAACTGACAAGAGAGACAGAATTAGCTTGGGTCAAGGTTGATGAAGACGAAATGGTAAAGTTATCAACAGTCTGATGGCTTCTATGTGGAAGAAGGAATGTTTGACAATATTGAAAAGGGGAAGAAGAAAAAGATGGATGACATGCACTATTTTACAGAGGCGTCAAAACTGGAAGAGTTAGAGAGAAGAAGAACAGAAAAGGATGGGAGCGAATATAATCTCTGCATTTTTTTTCTCGTTTTTCTTTTTCTTTGCATTGCAACTGGTAGGCAAACGGATGGAAGATAGGAAGAGACAGCGAATGTTTCCCGCGACCATGAGTAACACTTGTTGTCTGAGAAGGCGTCTTCTTCCGTTTCGGTGATAAAGTTTGTCGGTTTTTCTGGCAAAACTTGATCTGGGCGAGGATGGAAACGAATGAGATGGGGATATTGAGATGATCACACATAGACCACACAAGATGACCGCAATTTGTAGAGGGGCGAACCAACAAAAAAAAAAACGTATAGTGAATGTTTCCGGAGGCGGAACTCTGCTCGACAGTCCGAAGAAAACGATGATTCAATCTCATTTTTTCATAACATTTTCAGTAGCAAAGGCAACGTTCTCTCGCCCTTTTCAATTGGGAATGGAATAGAAAAAAGGACTGAACTGCTGCGTCTTCCTGTCCTTTTCTCTTCCCCTTTTCGCGCCGTCTCCCCACCCCCTCACAAATTGACTCATTTTAATGGCGTCGTCATTTCATCTCATCCGCCTAACCACCTTCTCTCCCTCTCAACACAAATACACTACTAATTGGGAGTTAGTAGGAACCAACCACGAAAAAAGAAAAAATTCGTGAACTAACCAGAAGAATTTGCGACGGATTCACGTTAACGTCCTTTTCCTTTTTCGCAATCACCGCCGGAAGTGACTCGATTCCGGCGAGACCGTTCAGAAACGTTCGCGGCGATTCGATGGATTTCCGCCGAAGTCTGTATAACGGCAAAATGTGCAGTTGGGTGAGAAATTTGATACTTTTAGTCAAGCGGAACATTGCTCGCCATCATTATTATCCCCCCAGAAGCTCGAACCCTCCAGTTTTTTTCTCCGTTTTCTCAAGTCTACACCACTGAAGTGCGTACATTGCACGTGTGTTGAGTGCAAATAAATTATACATGAGTTCTAGAGGTCTCTCATTTTTGGACCAGAAATTCGAGCAAATGAAAGTTGATACCAACCCAACACATTATGAAAGTTTTGAAAGTGCTCAGTTTTACTTTACTTTACTTTACTTCAACTTGAGGAAAAGAGCAAAAATAAAAAAGGGAAAGGGGAAAAGGGAAAAGGGAAAAGCGTCACCTCTTGAGTTCGACGTTCCGGTCAGCGGATGTCGTCTCGTATCTCGGCGACCTCGGCAACTCTGCAAAAAAGGGGCAAATATTGAAGAAAGTGATGCAGAAGTGTTTGACGGAGGCATGACTCACCAAAGTTCAAGTTTTTCCTGGGCGTGAAGATTATCGCCGCACGTCCCGTCTCGTCATCCTTAACCGCGTCCGACGGTTCGACAAGCGATAAGTCGAGACGTTCCATGAAGGGTCGCGGTTTATAACACGGCAACTTGTCGTCCTCCTCTTCGCTCAGAAGTGATACACTTTCGGCGCCAGACGAACCCTGGAAATGGTGTCTGAGCGGTTCAATTTGAGGGAAAAGCTCACTGGTCTCTCCGGACTTGTGAGCAGTTTCACAATCTTCAGGTCTAGGCAGAACTTTTCAATGGACTCTCGGGTAACCTGCAACATTTGAAACTTCAATTTTTCATTCTGAGTTTCTCAACTTCATAAAATATTCACAAAGAACAAACTAAAAACCTTGTCTAGCGCCTAGAACAAACAAATATTTCAAAAAGTGCCTACCTTCAACCGATGTTTGAATCCTCTGCGAGCCATTAACTGCCGTTACCTGCAGAAACGTGTGATTATGTAACTGGAAAGCAGAAAAGGCATTGAATTATTACGAAATAACGGGCGGCCTGAGCACCAGTGGCGAGGGAAGAGAGAATACGGCTAATCAAAAAGAGGAAAATATGAAATGGGGTGAGGTTCAACGATGAGCGAGTTGTTCGAAGACGCGCGACGGAGAAGAAGTTAGAGAAGGAGCAGAAGAAGTCTAGTCTCTCGCCGGCCAACGGAATTATTGCCATGACTACGGAAGGAGGGGGAGGGCGAAGAATCCATCAAAAAACACGAGAGCACACTAGCGGGCACACTAGTCCGCGCCGGACGGGAGAGGAATGAAATGAAGCGGATGGAACGGCAAGCAGCCACGGACTACGCGGAGCTTCCCCCTAATTATAAAGAAGGACCTCTCTGCTTCTCTGTTTTTCCTCCTCCATCTCTGGGTCCCGTTGCACACCGGCGTAGAACCAATTATGCAAATAGGGGCTTCGAGACATCTGCCCCTTCCCTTCTCTCCACCTTCGCCGAGCTTCTTTCTTGAAAGGGCTCACCTGGACTCTCTCCGTCTCTTCGGGAAAATGCACGCAACATTCACTTCCAAAAAGCTTGTTGCAAACGGGCATGGATACATGTATCTTGGTTGTGCTTTGAGCAGGACAAAATCTTTATTGACAGGTTTATATATATATATATTTATATATATAGAATCAAACATAAATTGTCGTGGCGGGCCGGGAATAATGATAGTAATCAAGGTATAGAGTTTCATCAAAAAACAGAAGCTATGGCAGTAAGGGTAAAAGAAGAGCATATCCAAAATTAAAAATGAAAAATCCCAAACACCATATGATCCCAAGTGTTAATGTAATTGTAAGTGTAAGGCTTGTCTAGTTAATAATGACAAAGACAATGATTACGACAATTATGAGAATGATGATTAATGGAGCGATGACGAAGCACAGCAAGTTAAGGAAACAGTCACGCGGGTTACGGTAGTTAGATGGTGACCAGCCAAACTCTCGGCGACGAGTTTCTACGACTTGTCTGAAAATTTTAATAAACGAGGTTATTGTTGTGAAAATCGTCTGGACACTTCGTTATATACAAATATTAGTAGAATGATTAAGAAGAACAGAGCTACAGTAATCGGGGCCAATGTCTCAATGAAGTATACAACTTTCCAGCGTTGGCACTCTTCCCCGTAGTAAGTGGTTCTATTTTTCATCCGACTGTATTTGTACCTGTTGCTAGACCCTTCTCCGTTCTGCTTTTGTCTGTTCTGCTCGTCTCTAGCGTATCCATCTTCAATGTAAGTTTGATCCCTCGGAGTGCCCTGAGGGTACTTGGTCTTTGGATGCTCCACAGTTCTTTTCATGTGACGATTCGTGTACTCTTCTTCAATTAGACCGTCTTCTGCATCTGGAAAAATGATAAAACCAATGAAATGGAAAGGAGATGGTTACCACGGACTCCTCGATGATCGTACCGAGCGTAGTCCTTCTGAGAGCTGTCTTTTTGCACATCTGAAATGAAATTCATATATTCCCAGAGTGTTTTCCCTCCAAACTCTACTCACAAGCATCATAATGGCCTTGTCCTCCACTTCCTCCATTCTGAATTTGCCTATTTCCTCCTCCATTCTCGTTTTTCTGTCGTTGCTCCTCTTCCCGTTTCTTCCGCCTATACTCCTCCTCCTTCTTCTTCCGTTTCCGCTCAATTTCCTCTTTCGTAGTGGTTGTAGTTGTGGTAATTGTCTCTTCGGTGACGCCGACCGGCACATTTCTCGACACATAGATCGGCTCGCCATATGTATCGTACTGTAGCTGGAAACATGTGGATGAAAATGTTAAATTAACGGAAAGCCGGGTTAGAAAAGAAAACATGCTGGGTTTGAAGAAGTGAGTGAAACAAAGACAGAGGGAAAAGTGGAAAATCATACACGTCGAACAGATTCGGGGGATTTGCTTGCAAGATGAACCCGTACTTGGATTGGAGAACCGGATGTACGCATCGACTTGGGAATTATATAAGGGTTGGAGAGGGAGGCTGAAAAACCGGAAAATGAGTAAAGTTACTTGAATTCCAGGCGTCTCACGGTCCGGAACTTGATCGTATCGTGGTGGATACGGTTGCTGAGGCTGTTGTGGTGGCGGTTGCGGTTGAGCTCCGTGTCCAATCTGACTTGGCGGAGGTGGAAGTTTTTGGTGATGGATTTGACTATAAGCGCCGTAAAGTGAACGCTCATCCTCATAGACTTCACCGCCACTGACCTGGAAATGAGTTATTGACGTCGAAAACTTTTTACTATTTTAGTTACCTTATGAATGATTGGAGTTTGGGTTTGAGTTTGGCTTTGGGTGTGAATTTGAGTCTGCGTTTTTGGTGGAATCGGAGGTGGTGGCATCTCTCTTCTTGGAATATTGTATTGTGGATTGTCTTGCATGTTCACATTCCCGTACAACCGTCCGTACTGATCTCGTCGTTGTCTTTCTGGCGAGATGCGACGGTCGATGAAGATTTGGCGTGAACCTTCCGATTGCCGACGGCTGCGATTGGCAGAATCTTGACGCGATTGCCTTTCGTACTGTCTGAACACTTTCCAATTTGATTTTCAATTGACGCTGTCTAACCTAGCTTGCTCATCATTCACTTGCTGATAGTCATACTTATTTTCCGAATGAATCAATTCTGGAACACTTCCACCATGACTATGAAGACTGGTACGACTTCTCCGGGTCTCAATCACACCGTACCCGGACACCACATCTTTGCCGGAATAGTACGGGTCATTGATGTAGGTTTCACTGCGAGGCTCCGATGATCTTGACCAACGTTTTCTGTCAGTTGTTGTAGTTGAAACGTACGATTGTCTGACTGGCTGCTGCCTCTCTCCGTAAGAAGTGTAGTTACGATTAGCAGTGTCATAAACGTATCGTGCTCTGAAAACCCTTATCAGTGTCAACGAAGGAGCCTGGTACGCGAGAGCACTCACGTAACATCGCCGGTTGGCTTGACAGAATTTCCACTACGCCCCGAGTACATTCTTTTCAACTCCTCGGACTGTGAATCACTCGGACTACTATGCGGCGCGTCGATAATGCGAAGATCGTCGCGACTCAAACGATGCGCGTCACGAACGCCGACTTGACTGCGAGTTGGCGAACGCGAATAGATTCGAGTTGATTGATAGTTTGGGTCGTGATTCATATACGCCACTGTTGAGTATCTGGAAGTAAATAAATCAAATCAAATTTCATCTCAAATGACTACCTGTCAACGATGTCGTGCGGCACTGGCGGCGGAGTGTGCTCGTCGGCGTAGTGACGAATGTCGTCTGAAGTGGAAAAGGAAATTGGAAATTGGAAAATAGTAGGATAGGGAAAAGGTTTGTACGTCCGTCCGTTCTTTCGCTCACACAAACTTCTTTTGTGTGAGGACCAAGGGAGCTAGTGACTCATATAAGGCAAAATCGGCGGAAAGGCAAAATGAAAGATGAGGGGGTGGAAGTGGAGAATGGGGGGCGCGTTCCGAACCACCTTTGATTATTCTATTTACCTCTGCTGTGATGATAGGAATGTTTTCAAGGGTGGTCAAAACAAAGAACTTGAATATGAAAGACACTATCTATTTCGTGCTAAAAGTTTGAAGAGAATCAATTTCTAACTCACAATAACTTGTGCACAAAGCAAACTCATTATTGTGATTCTCTTCACGTTAACCAAAAATTTTAAGAGCAGTATGATGAATATTTGAGGGGCGTTAATATTACTGATAAGCCCTTCCACAGTGTCCTTTCCCTCCAATCGAAATTATCAGTACTCCCTCTCTCACTCCGGCTTCCAAGAATAGCACGGAAGAGTCGTAAAATTAGAATTGATTAGTTGATCAGATGGTCTCCCTTGTCCATCCCTTCCAGTTGATCCGAAAACCAGGACTATCGTAAAATTTTTGAGGGAAAACCGAGAAGAACAGCAAACAATAGTGTGTTGCCCTTCTATGGTGAATCAGTGATTCGTGCGGTACGCACATGCATACACTTGTACACACACACACACACAAAAGCGCATTCCGGGGTGATGATTCATGAATTCGGATGGCAATACCTGGGCAGATCTATAGTATCCTTGAGCTCACCTGGAACACTGTGACGACGCGGTCCGAGACCACCGGGTTCAGCAGGCGAGAGAGGAGGGTCTCGGACTTGGACTGGATACGCCCGCTCACTTCCATACGTCGCATAGTCGTATTGAGCACTGAAAGTAATGGAATATTGAAACTGCTACTTTACACTTTTTGTGAACACACTTTCAGTTAACCGAATGTTATTTGAAAACGTACGATCTGAAATTCTGATCTGAACAAACACTCGACATGCTAAAAACGATACTCGATTGCTTTCGTTCAGAAAATTTGTAAATTTGTAAAAACCCATCACCCAGTTAGCATGCTATCCAAAAACCATTACCTAGATTGCTTCAACTGTTCGAACATGGCGTTGGTTAGAGCATTTGTGGCCGTAGTGTCAGTGATTAGAGCAGCAGGCGGTACAGGCGGCGCGAAACTTGGAGGCCTGGGCGGCGAGACGAGTGTCGCTGTTTGTGAAGAAGACAAAAGTCGTTGCTGAGTGTGTTGCCGATGCTTCTCACTGTACAATGGTATGCCGACAGTTGGAGGCTCGCCCGTCGGCGGTTTTGGAGGCGGAGATGCCGGAATGGGTGGCGGACGGATTGTTGGTTTTGGCGGCGGTGGCGGCGGCGTTGTCCGTTTTGCAATCGATGCTGGTGGTGGGGGCAGTGGTGGAGAGGATGTTGGTCGAGTTGGTGGTGGTGGTGGTGGTGGAGCAGTTTTTGATTGGGTGGGTACTTCGATGACCGTGGATCTAGTAGAGTGAGATTGTTAGTGTTAGGATATTTTCTTTCATTTTCATTGCATTTTAAAGGAATTTTTGTCTGATTTTATATTACCAATGGAAAAGAGAAGCTTACTTGCTCGAAGAATAAACGCTGCTCCTGCTGGACCCACCGGCTGACTCTTGAACTCCATAGAGACCATCGTCGATGTACGGTAATCCCGATATTGTGACAGGGGTGGTCTCCTAAACGAGAAATTCTGTTTTAGATGTGGTCTTAGTACTGACCTGGACTCTCTCGAAAAATTTGTTAAACTGATTCACAGACATTTTCCAATACCTCTTCCGATGCTCGTCATTCAGCCGATCTTCTGAAAAATAGTCACAACATGAGCGTGAAAAAACCATATCAACAAGGCGGATTATCGATTCACTCCAAAGGCGGCAAACTTTACCCGCCAAAATGTTTGATTAAGACAGACTTTTACGGAAAGAGAGAAATAGAAAAATGGTGCCGTGATCAAATGCGTGCTTATCGAGAAAACGCTGTCTGTTTACAATTGCAGAGTCAGTGTGTGTGTGTGTGACCATAAAACTGAAAATGAAGCGTTTACCCAGTTGTTTTTGGAATATGCACGAGGTGTTGATGATAAAGTTTGGACAATTGGATAGTCCAAACCTTCGCAGCATCGTTTCGAATGATCTGGATCCGTCAGAAGCTGTTATAAAGACCACAATGTTTTCCTGTACATGTTCCGGAAGTTCAGACAGAATCTGCATAAAGAAAATTTGACAAAAACGTGAAACAAGCCAACCTTCTGCAATTCGTCCTCTTCGTGCATGCTCATTCTATGCAAATCTGAGAAAACAATCGCGATAATATCCAATCGCATTTTCCAGTTGTCCAATAGCCATTTGTTTATGAGAGTTGGCACTTCAAAGCCATCACTGGGAATCAAATACTTTTCAGTTACTTTACGCGCTACTTACTAAGTATCACCGCAGCCAATTGTGTCCAGAATAACTGGCCTAACTGGCATAAGGGTTTCATTGAAAATGTAACATTGTACTGGTCTTGGTGGAGTTTCCGAGTTGAAAGTCTGAAGTAGGTATTGACCAGGGCTGGGCAAAAGGCCTGGACTTTTAACTTTTGGAAACTTTGCAAGCTTTTTATAATAAGATTAAAATATCTTGTGTCCAAGTTTCAGTCTGATCGGATTATCTAGCCAAAGGCCGAAGAGACCTGGTTTTTGCGAACATTGCGACATTTTTGGCTTCAAATTTATACGTCTCGGGACCAGATAATCCAAATAGTTTAAAACTTGGACTCAATATACTTCAATCCAAGTTCAAAAAGCCTGCAAAGTTTGAATCCTATAAGATAATTGCAAGCGGGCCGAAAGTTCAGGCCACAGCAGGCCTTTGAACCGCCTGGACCGGTCTCAGGTTTTTCTCACTTCATTGGCAATATGCAGCCGTTTCTGGTCGGTCGCCTCGATTCCATAAAAGTAATTGCATAAAAAGTCGATGAGCTCTGCCTTCTGACCGCTTGCTGGACCCAATAGCAAAATCACCCGGTTCTCACGCTCCTTATCATCTGAAATCGATAGAAACAATGTTTGCAAGCTGAAAATGGCTCACCTTCCTTGGCTGAAACAAAAATTGTACGAACATCCCTTTGTTCAAGGGCTTCGCCAACAAACTTTGATTCGGGTGAGATCATATCCTCGAAAAGAGGACTGTCAGAGAGAGCTCTGAAAATTTTATTGTATGTAGGACAGGACTTGACTTGTTTGAGTTGTGATGACTGAACCGGATTAGGATTAGGCAATAGTTTGTTTATTTTGAACTTGGTAAAGTTAAGTCATGGAAAGTAACATAATATCACTTAAAAGTAGACACTTGTGAGGCAATTTCTAAAAACACTGATTGAGTCATACTTCTGGGTCACTGAAGCGTTTCAAAACGAAAAAGGAAAAGAAAAACGTTCTTATCTTTCAATCAGTGATAATTATTTTATTCTACCTATTATACTTTAAGTACATAGATACACTTTCTTCTAAAAAGATCAGAGTCAAAATGTTGTTGCATTTCGAAACTGTAGTACATTTCTGGAATATTCTCCAACTAGGCGGGAATGCTTTGTTTGCCTTTCCCCCTCTTTCTATTCACAAATAATGATAACTTTGTGTGTCAACACTGATATACCTGATCATTTTGGCGACGATCCACGTTGGTAGCAGCCGTGAAGTAGTAAATCAGCGTCAAGAAGTCATAAATCGGTTAGGTCTTGACGCAAGTTGTAAAAGTGAGAAAAATGATACATGCGCGATGATAATGATAAAGAACATATCTTATTTAGTAGTAGGAACCCGTTTTGTTGCCCCCTCCCATCTTTTCTTCCACCTTCCGCTAACATGTACAACATATTTATTACGCCACCCACCACCCACACGGGGTTGTCAGACCTTTTTGATCGAACACTTGCCAAATTGCAGTTCATCTCACTTTTGTTCCGTTTTATTCAGTTTTGTATCATAGAATTGGAAAAAAATTTCTATCACTTAAGTTAACAATGATGATGATGATGATGGAATGGGTTCCAATGATGGTGGTGGTGATGGTACGGCTCCTCGATGACGACAACCGGTGGAGGGGCCATCATTGGTGGTGGCATCATCATCGGAGCAACAACTGGAACAGGGGCGACTGGATACGAGGCCATTGGCATCGGAGCCATTGCTGGCACTGGCACAATTGGTGGTGGTGGCGCGTATCCGACTCCATACGGTCCGATCGGTGGTGGTGGTGGGTACGGGTACGAGTTGTTGTACGGATTGTAGTTGTAGGCCATTGTGTGTTGAGAACGTATCTGTAAACGAAAGAATATTGGAAATGTTGACAAGAAAAAGGCGAGGCGAATTAAATCTGATAAAAGGGGAAAAGTCACAAGGCAAGCAGTGCCTGAAAAGAGGTGAATGGTGCGATAGGCCGATAGGTCGACGTATTTTATATCGTTAGAAAATCAGTATCAGTGGAGAAACACGTCATTTTCAATGCAAATAGTGTCTCGCGCAACGCGCCTAAACTACCAACCTATCAAACTGTTTTGAAATTGTCCAGGTTCAATGAGTCACCGGGGAGGAGTGAAAAACCAGAAAGAGCCTTTCGAGCAGCCTACCGACCGAATGGTGTCAATGGGTCAATATTAGCCAGTCAAGAACATCAGGATCAAAAATTTGTTTCTTTTAATTGTTGGACAAGGTGATAGTGTATAAGTTTCTTGAATTTCGAAATGAAATCTTGAGCGAACGCAAACTCCGATTTCAGCGGGTTCAGACATTATTAGTTAAAAATGTTGAGACAATGAGAGAGAGAGAGAAAGAGAAAGAGCAAACAATGATTTTGATGACAAAACTTTGATCTGTCTGATAGTCGAACGTGAGATTCCATAGTTTAATCAGAGATTTGAACTAGGCTGAAAAAAGCAAGATTTCCTCATAAAGATGGTTCCGAAGGGACGAAACTAACTAAGTTTATCAGAATTGTACCTGCAAATTGTACCTTCAAGCTCTCTTATTCCATTTGTGACATTCCAATTCTGGTTGTATTTTCCTGTGTATTTACAGTTTCGAGAAACACTCTGCTGTCCCCTTCCAAAAATGCTCGACCACTTCCAGTTCTCTTCGAATGTCTCGCTCACAGGAAGTAATGTGTTTAAGTGAGAAGCAAGCAACACACAAACAGATGAAGAGCATTTGAATTTAGATCACTTTGCAAAACTATCAAATTGACCCCAAGCGGCACGTCACAGTTCGCTCTGTCTGATTTCGGAGCAGGATAAAAAATTTTCAAAAAATGTAGTAGAATTCATTGAGAAAGACAATCAGGCCACAATAAAGTGAGGAAACATTTCAGGAAAGTTACGTGTTTAGTGATGATGATGATGTCCGTGATGATGCCCGTGGTGATGATCATAATGATGCTCGAAGTGGTGTCCGTGGTGATGTCCTCCATGGTGATGAACCTCATTGTGGCTGTGATGGTGATGGTGGTGTCCATGATGGTGTCCACCGTCAGTGTGCACGTGGATAGTCGATGGAGTCGAGTATCCTCCGTGGATTGGTGGCGGGATGTATCCGTTGTGACCGGCACTGTATGGGGTGAAGCCTCCGTTTCCGTAGTACGACATGATTCTGAAAGTAGAAATTGGAAATAAAGTTTGAGAAAACCTCACAGAGGGGAAAGAAGTGAAAACTGATGAGAAGTGGACACCCTCCTGGGTATTTAAAGTAAACCGCTTGAATAGAAAACACGTCATCGGAAACAGATAAATTTGACATTTCGCCCTCCCGCCTTTTTCATTTCTAGGCGATAAGTGCAATGATGACGCGTGTTTGCATGTGTCACCTTTCTTTTAGAACTAGGAGTTCTGAAAAATCATGCGGTTCGTGGTGAGTCATATGTCCTGTGTGAGATGACTATGTGGATTGCGTACAGTGAGCAGTCATGTTGAACCGGATGTCTTTTGAAATTTTGATAATTTTGGAATTGATGTTCATGGTGTATGGAATCCACATTCCGCATTTAAATTTACACGGTGTCTGAAAGTCTGATGGAATCTAAAGGATTGTTTGAATACCGTGAGTCTCATAAAAAATTCACAATCACTAAACTTTCAAAAAGGTCATATTCATGAAAGTTGATGAGAACATGCGCATCATGATTTGTAAAATTTTGAGGAAAGCTCAATTCAGATTGTTCAGTTGAACTCTTTGGTTTTGATCATTAAACTGAAATGATGATAACAAGTGCATTATCGGGAAGCCCAAACAGAAACAGACAAACAATTTAAGATTCCATTATCGCATTTATTAATTGGTGCATAATTTGGTATAAAAATATGTCATTTATCAGTATCGGAATACATAAGATTTAGCAGTGATGATGGTGGTGATGGAATGGGTTCCAGTGATGGTGATGATGTCCGTGATGGTGTCCCTCCTCGATGACAACAACAGGCGGTGCCATGACGGGTGGCGGCACCATCATTGGAGTGACGACAGGAACCGGGGCGACTGGGATTGGAGCAACAGTTGGCACAGGCATCATTGGTGGTGGTGGCGCGAATCCGACTCCGGCGCCGACTCCGTATGGTCCGACTGGTGGTGGTGGTGGGTACGAGTTATTGTATGGGTTGTAGTTGTAGGCCATTGTGGTTAGAGCTGGAAAAAAATGCGTTTAAAATTGTTACTTAGGAATTGGAACTGATGTACGATAAGTCACGAGGCAGGAAGAGTCCAAATAGGAAAGGCAGGAACGAGCGGTGAATGTGAGATAGGCCGGCAGGTCGAGGTGTTTTATATCGTTTGAGAATCAGTATCAATGAAGCGATTACGTCACTCTCTGTGCAAACATTGCCTTTTTACCGCCTATTCAACCTAGCATCTAACAAAGTATTTTGAAATTTTAGGTCAAATGAGTCACCCTCATCACAAGCAGGATTAGAATGGTATCAAAAGAGGTTGTTTGATTGTGGTAACCTGTTCTGTGTCCCAAACTGTGATTTTTGTGCAAACACGTGTTGCTTGAACAATTTGACACACGGTTAGAAGTATCAAAACTGTTTGAACGCAGGCATGGATTCTGAAGTGAAATAAAGAATTGTTTAGAGTACACGTTTGCATGAAAGCTAACGAGTTTGTGCTACTTATTGTTCATTCACATTTATTCAGTAGTAACTGCTTTGCATATAATAGCTATTATTAGTCTAGTAATGTGCAGCCGAAACTAAAATCCGAAATCCCTAAGAGCTAGCCGAAAAAAGAAGGTACTGTCATGGAGATGCGCGAAAATCTGAAACCATATTAGTATTTGATCCCCCCCCCCCACTTTTAGCCGCTTCCAAGCGTTATCTCAAGCCTGATCCAGGTCTAGAGTGTTTAGGAACACTTTGAAAGGGGGCGTCTTGAGATGAATAGTCGAGAAAAAGGAAAACGCGTCGTATGTCTTGAAAGGAGATGACGGATCTTATTTATTGACCGGAAGAAACGGAGATATATCATGCAAAGAGAAAAGTTACAGAAAAACGAGATAAACGGAAGGAATGACTGACTATGAATGTCGACTGCGTTGAAGCGCTGAACTTCTTTCAGACCTGCACGATGGATTCAAGAATGGTCTTTTCGGATTGCTCGGAGTGGCAATTGTTTATTGTGTGGCAAACTGAAAAAACATCAAGCTTGTACATACCGTAAATACAGTATATATTAGAAGGGCAAGCCGTTTATCTTCAATCGTGTGAAACGCTTTAAAATCGACTTAAAACTGCTCTAGCTCACTTTGCTGGGGGCCCTTCTACTAGACTAGGTAAAAGTTGCGGACTTTTACCGAGGAGGTGCCCTTCTATTACAGTATTTACGGTAAGTGTTCTTTTCAACTCACTGGGCGTCGTCTGAGGCTTTTTCGGTCTGAAGTGGAACTGTGTGGTGAGAGTCAGATAATCCGATTAGACTTTCTAGAATTTCAGGCTTACTTCCGAAGATTATTCAGAAAAGGTGTGTTGATTAATTAGCTAGCGGGCGGCTCAGAGCAGGGCTGGGCAATTGGCCGGCACGGGCTTTTCGTTGGCCGGCCCTTGACCTGGACTTTTGAACTACTTGCAATATTCCGATCAGACCCAAACTTTGCAGGATTGTTGGACTTGGATGGAGGGCCATTGGGTTCAAGTTTCAGCCCGATCGGATCGTCGGGTCCCGAAATATGTAGATCACTGGCCGATTTTTTCCAAAAAGCCCGGGCTTCCGGCCAATTTCGGCCAATGATCCACATTTCTCGGGACCAAATAATCCGATCGGGCTGAAACTTGGTCCCAATATGCTTCAACCCATGTCCAAGAAGCTGGGTCCGATCTGCAAGTGGTTCAAAGGTCCAGGTCAAGGGCCGGCCAACAAAAAGCCCGTGCCGGCCAATTGCCCAGCCCTGAATCAGAGGAAGGAGAGAGAGGTGGTTGAGTGATAGACTTTTTCACTGCAATAACGTCGAATCAGAGAAAGAGAGATGGGGGCACCCCATGGGTAGAAATGAAAAAAAAACGAGACGGCAATAAATAAAAGGACTATTTCTGCCTTTATATACCCCTGTGGGCGTGGCCATTTTAATCAGTGGGCGTGGCTACTGAGTGTAATTAGTGGGCGTGACCACTGCACTTGGCTTTTCCTTCTTCCTACGGTGCCGTTTCGAAATCCCAATCATACTTTGCCATCATAGTCCTTTGTCGGCATTCTTATCACTAATCTCCGCCATTAATTAAGACCACATGTGTGGGAGTGAGTTTCATGTGGATTTGGGGTAAGTTTCGAAAAAGCCGACTTAATTACAGACAGAGATTAGTGATAAGGACGCCGACAAAGGACTCCGATGGGAAAGAACGATTGGGATTTCGAAACGTCATGGCACCGTGCCAAGAGGATTCGGAAAAAGAGTGATAAGGAATTGAAGGATTTCCGATTTCGAATGAAACCATTCAGCACAGAGCGTGGCAATCCACCGCCCATACCGTTTGTTCAAAAAGAATATCTTTCAGGCCGTCATTCCGCTCCCACACGATTATCCATTGTGTTGTCCATGATGGTTGAAGTCGTGATGTCCGTTATGTCCGTGGTGCGACATTATTCAGAAAATTCAAAAGTTTAAAAAAGATAATAGGAGCTCAAATAAGGAAAGTAGGCTGAAATTGAGTGGATGGAGAAACTGGAAATGTTGGCCTTATGATCTGATGACTTTTCCCTCACAATGACGCTGATAAGTTCGAAGCGACGGGAAGAGTGATGGTTGTTTGCATTTTTCACTTTTGCTCTGCAAGTAAACTACAAACTGGAGTGGTCTATCGAACTTCTTCGTGATTCAAAATGTGTGAACTTCACAGATCAGGTGACAAAAAGAGGATGCGCGCAAAATAGCAGTCTTGTGCCAGTCTTTGTTCGAAAATTTTGAAAGTTTTGAACAAAATTACAAAATAATGTTCCAAGTGAAACTTCAAATTTTGAACTTTCTAGAGATCAAACTAGAAAGAGTGATACTCAATGTACATTGATTTATTAGTTGTAGGTACACATTTCAACATTGAAATCAGAAAAAAATCATTTAGAAACACGTCACAGTTAGCAATGGTGATGGTGATGATGATGGTAGTACGGTTCCTCGTAAACGACAAACGGTTGTGGGGCCATGTATGGTTGCGGGACCATCATTGGAGTGACCATTGGAACTGGTGCAACTGCTTGCACTGGCACAATTGGTGGTGCGACGTACCCGACTCCAGCTCCGACTCCGACTCCATACGGTCCGACTGCTGGTTGTGGGTACGGATAAGAGTTGTACGGATTGTAGTTGTAAGCCATTGCGAACTGAAACATGGAGAATTGAAGTTAAAGTAGGACGGAAATAGAATTTAGAGGGAATCACAAGACTGAAAAGGAAACGTCAAGAAAGAATGCCAAACATTGTGAAGGTCTGATACGCCTCGGGGGTTTTATACTGTCCGAGAAGCTGTATCAGTAAATACGTCATAAGGTAAACAGGTGACATTTTGCGAAATTGATGACTACGTTTGGGTGTCACCGCTCCGAGAATGGGAAGATTTCAAAGAAAAAACTTGGCAACATTCAATTGAATGAAAGTGTTGAGAAATGTGAGTTCGAATGGATTTTCGGGGGGTATATTCGCATCGCACTTCAGAGACCACAATAAGTCAACATTGACTAGGCATTTATGTGATCCACATCATTGGTCTCTGTCCGGAAAGGATGACTCAGAAAGGAAAAGGTGCGTGGTGTACGGAAATACGGAGGAGAGCAGACCATACAAGTAGTGTATCCTTGAATACTGGTAAGTATTTTTGTAAGTAATTGTTTGGTTAAATAGAAAGAATTCCGAATTCCTGTTAAGACTACGAAATGGTTTCAATACATATGTATAGTTTCTCAACTAGTGATTTCTGTTTTGTAAGTAGAAGATGTGCCGTTTTTTGCCAGCCAAACTGAATTACGCTTATAGGCACTAACGAAATAGACGAAATTCGAATGACCTTTTCATAGTGTGTCTCTTTAGTGCCTATAAGCGTATTCCAGCATTTTTTTTGCATTTTTCCAGAGAAGAACTGAATTGGAATGTGAACAGTTCCGTGCGTCTCTTGAGAAGGAGCAGGATGCCAAGACGGGTGTAGCAAGACACTTGTCCACGCGGTGCAGCTGGAGAGACGAACGAAATGGCAATCGATTCCCGGTATTCTCGACCAATCCGTCAATTTCTCGTGAAACTCCTCTACAATCAATCATTTTGATAAGGACATCTGATTTCTATAAGATAATTCACAAAATATCACATTTTGACAATCCAAAACTGCATTCTAGTTGCAACGCGACACCAAATGAAACCAACGGGTCACTGAACCGATTCTTCCATTCAATGACCACAATTTTCTCATCTGGTGATGCCTTGCGGAGCATTAACCGATTGTTTTTGTTTAAAAAAAAATAAAAACTCTGAAATCAGAAAAATTTATCGACTTCCATCTAAAAATCTGGCCAGAATTGAAGGGCCTAGAGAAGAAGATTCTTTGAAGCTCGAGTAAGAGGAGAGGGTTACCGCTAGAAGAGCATACAATCTTAATATCCGTCTTAACAAGTGCATGTTCCAGATCCAAAAGTATGTACCACTCACTCTAATTCTCGTCCGCTCCGAATTGCTGAAATGAAGGTAAATTGTTGAATAAAAAATGGCTTCCATCGCTTCATCGAAAGTATTTGAATTATTTTGGAACAAATAATAGTGAGAACCAGCACTGGCGTTGACAAAATCATCGGAAATCTCGTGGAAAACGAAACAATAATCTTGTCCGACAGGAGTCCGCGGCGTAATTTCTAGGCCACACACGAGCAATAACAGGAAAATACAGCAACTGCATCGTTTGTAATCAGTCACTCCTGCTGTGCAAGACGGAAAGCAACTCAGATGACCCTTTACCTCAAAAACTTTATAGTGTGCCCCTCTAGTGCCTATAAGCATATTCCAGTTTGGCTGGTAGTGGTCCGTGTGGTGCGTGCTAGCTGGGGTCCTTGTTGGATGTGGTCCCTAAGATCAAGGTTAGGGTGGGGCAGAAAACGGTATCGGAAAACAAGGGCCAAAAAACGGCGCACCTTTTACTCAGGTGAAATAAATTGACTAGGAGCACGTGTAGAGAAGATTTCCACGAGAAAATGGATTAATTGGAAGTGAACAATTTAATTTTAAACCCGTTCATTGCGAAACAGACAATTTACAATGAGGAAGAATACAATTAGCAGTGACCATGATGATGATGATGATGATGACGGAAAGGGTTCAAGAGATGGAGTCCAAGATGATGTCCGTGATGATGTCTGTGGTGGTGATGACCTTGGTTGACAATCACAACTGGTCGCTGTGGTGGCGGCGCCATCATTGGAGCTCCGATTGGCATTGGCGGTCTCGGAGAGTATCCAACACCGTTTCCAAATCCATATGGCGGTGGTGGAGGGTAGGAGTTGTTGTACGGGTTGTAGTTGTAAGCCATTGTGCTTCGAAACTGCAAAAATACGCGTTATGTCAGTTGGAACATAAGGAATAAGGAATGAATAAGACTAAGAAGAAGAAAAAGAAGCCATTCGAGCAAAAGTGGTGAGATGACAGGTCGAAGAGTTTTATATAGATCGAAAGCACTAACGATAAAATGCCTACGTCAAACACCAGGCAAACAACATCATTAAACCGCCTAACGAGCTTATCTTCAGACAAAATGTTTTGAAATTATGATTCGTGGTGAGTCATGGAAGGCATGGGCTGGAGAAAGACGATAGCCACGGTTTTAAGGAGCTCCCGGCTCTCCAGAATGCCTTTGAGTCAATATTTGCTCAGGAACAGACATCATGTGCAAAAAATAGCTTCCTCTGATGATTTCATTCTCTGTTTTCCGTCAATACCATTGAGGACGTTTTGGTGTTTCGCAATTGTCGGGGGAGAAGATTTTCCGAGTGTTTTCCGAGAGACAGGCACTGGAATTGATGTTCACTTAAACTTGTGTGTGAAGTCAAGCAAGTCAGGCTTGTCCCGGGTCGGTATTTGACAAGTCTGCAGAATATTGAGTTCAAGATGACGATTTCAGCGTAAAGTCACTTTTGGTCTTTGTACCGCATTCCTTACACCCCAATTCGATTCTAAAATGTCATGTGTGCCGAGGATTCGTGCACGTTTTGATGCTCTTGACATTCCTTATCAGTCTCGTGGTATCAACTAGGCAATAGTTCAGGCCCAAACTGTGAACTGAATCGGGAAGTGGCACGAATCCCAAGCATGACTCCTCTAGGTTGAATACTCGGGTGCCATCAAAGTAAACCGCAGTATAACGTTTCCGTAGATCATTTCTAACTATCAGTTTTTTATAAAGTCAGCAGTCCTTTCCAATCAAGGAAAGCTTCTCAACTTCCAGCACATCTTGGTTCGGCAGACTAATAGTAAAAAAAACAGAAGAAGAAAGATATTATGATTGTGATTTATTTATTCAGCAGGTTCAGGAATGAAATTCACAGTTCGCAACACAATTTACAATTGGAAGCCGCACTCAGTGATGTCCTCCATGATGATGTCCGTGATGGTGATCATGATGTTGCTCGAAGTGTCCTCCGTGGTGACCTCCGTGATGTCCTCCGTGATGGTGAACGTCGTGGTGATGATGATGTTGATCGTGATGTCCGTGATGACCTCCGTCAGTGTGAACGTGCATAGTTAGTGGGGCCATGTATCCCGGAGCTCCGTGGACTGGTGGTGGAATGTATCCGTTGTGTCCGGCTCCGTATGGTGCACCGTATCCTCCGTTTCCGTAGTACGACATGATTCTGAAACCAAAAAGTGAGATTTGAAGCGGAATTGGGAGAAGAGAAGTGGAAAAGGTGTGAACTGATGGAGAAGGGGGTAACCGCGAGGGTATTTAAAGAAAACCGCTTGAATGGAAAAACACGTCATGTGAAAGATAAAATCGAAATTATCATTTTGCTATTTGGCCCTCCCCGCCTTTTGACGCGCACGCGATAAGTTCGAAAGGTGAAAAGGGTTGTTTGCATTAGTCACCTTTTGTTCCCTTTGAGAAAAAAGAGCTTAGGCAAACCCTAAAGTGAGTCATAGATCATAGGATGTTCGGGAAATAAGGTGGGTGCAGTCATGCTGATCATGATGTGTTTTGAAATGTTTCATTTTTTGACGTTGATCTTTGCCAAGTCCAGGGTTATGTACAGTAAGAAAATATTCTGAAATTGAAGGGGGAAGTCATTAGCATTCGATGTATCCTAAATCGGTTCATTCTGAGACATTTTGAAAACAATTTTTAGTGTTTTACAGCCAGGCACAAGGCTGGTTTACTTTTTTTCAGAGCCTGCAGATTCCTGGACTTTTGACCCATTTGCATCAATCTGATCGAGCCCAAACTTTGTTTTTGCCTTCGCGACCTTTGAGTAAATGAGTAAATGATGCTATCGGTCTGAAATTTGAACCCAAGACACTTCAATCCAAGTCCAGAAAGTCTGCAAAGTTTGGATCCGAGGCCTTCGAAAATCCTGAGCCGGTCATTTGTTCAGCTCTTCTTTAGCTCAAGAATATTTCGCAATTGTCATCTCCCTATTGTTCACACTACACTACACTATAGTAACTTTCTTCCTAACTCTTCCTTTTTCATCGGCCAAATTCTTCCACTTCATCGACAAAAACTGTTCGAACTTATCAGTATTCTTCGGAAAGACTACATTTATTTCCGTGAGCCCAATACTGATGCCCATTTCTCGTCGGAACTAAAACAGAAAGATCAAATTGCCGTCGGCATACAACACATGTCGTCGATCTGATTCCCTTTTGATCCCCGACAACTCATTTCGTTGCACAGGCGTTTTTATTGGGCGTCAGGTGTCGACAGAAGGGAAAGAGAAACAAGCAACAGTTTCTAAAAGCTTACACGTTGTGTTTGTGGATTTCGTTTTGGAAATTATACATTTCAAGTTTCCAACTTGTTATCTTTGTTTTCCACGTCATTAGCAGAACTCCCGGACAGATTAGATACATGTTTATTGATTAGAAAATGTGATATCACAGTAGTTGTTAGCCGATCAGGTAAGGTCCACATGGCTCAGATTTAGTGGTGTCCTCCTTGGTGTGAATCGTGGTGTCCTCCGTGATGGGGCTCGTGGTGTCCACCATGTGGTGGAGCCGGATGTCCTCCGTGGTGAGGCTCGTGATGCGGTCCCGGATGATGCGGCTCATGGTGTGGTGGAGCGTGGTGCACCTCGTGGTGAACTCCATGTGGCTCGTGGTGTCCATCGTGATGTCCTCCACATCCATCGTGCGGTCCAGGTCCATGGTGTTGGTGCGACATTCTCCTTCTGAAAAATCAAAACGAATAGTTAGCCGAGGACTGTGACGCTTTGAAGAGGAAGAAAAGTGGTGAGGAACTGAGATACCACCCGCCCTATTTAAAAGAAAGCACATCAGTAAAAAGCACATCATGTGAGGAGATAAAAGTCAAAGTTGGCATTTCCACAGATAAGGACAATAGTGGGAGGAGGAAGTGGCGTGGGTTTTTATTGGTATTGCGCTTGATTCTATTGACATTACTCACTACGAAAAAGGATGGATTTGTCAAGCGTAACACATCTGTATCATCGAAATCACACAGTGACTCATTTGTTGGATCAGGGATAGGAATATTTGAAAAAGTGTTTTCTTCGTCTCGATGTTTCGATGGAACTGAATAACTTAGGACACGTTTTGCTAGAACTACACTGTACTTCATACTTTGTTCCCAATACCTTTCCATGTATGTATAGCCCAATTCATTCCATATTGGTTTTTGGTATCAGTGTGATAAGCTTGAGTGATGCGGAAAAACTAAAGTTCAACGCCACGCGCAATCGAATTGCTGGACTGTTGAACTGATAAAACTTCTCTAAATGCCAAGTGGATGATCAATTTAACAACTCAAATGTGTCGTTTGTGACTGAAACAGTTTTACAGATTTTCAGACTATTTTCTTACAAGTCAATTGCGAGCTTCACTGAGAACACGACGATACTGGCACAGGCTGAACTTTGGCCCCAGTTTCATTTTCCCGATAAGGCCCAAACTGTACAGGCTTCTGAAACTTGGATTGAAGTATTTCGAGCAAACTTGTTGGAATTCGGCTTGGCCTGGCTCAGAATCCAATCGGCGTGAAACCAAAACACTTTCATCCAAGCCTGATAAATCTGCAAATTTCCGTTCTCATTTGAATATTGAAACTGGGAAAGTCCAGGCGTCCAAAGTGTTCGAAAACCCTGACCCTGATCCTAGGATCAAATGAAACTGTACACAATCACATTTTTTTATTATTTGCACGTAAATATGTACAAACGGTCACAAATATGAAAAAATGAACAGTTGTCTCAATGGTGACCATGTTGTTGAGCATGTCCTCCGTGTTCATGAGCGTGTCCCGCATTGTGAGGAGGAGTTGGTCCAGAATGGTGCGCTGGCTGGTGTGCTCCGGCATGCTGCGGACCTTGATGCGGAGCCGCAAAGTGCTGGGCCGGATGGCCTCCGTGTCCGGGTTCCTGATGTCCGTGGCTTTCTCCAGCGTAGTTTCCGTGAGAAGGTGGATGATGCGACATGTCTGAAAGATGTGTATTAGCAGTTGAAGAGAATAACGAAATTTGAATTGGAGAAAAAGAGCAGGAACTGCTATGAAACTGTGAAGAAGACTGGCCTATTTAAAGGGAACTCTGTTTGTTAATAACACACGACGTGAAGCAAAGACCAAGACCACTACTTCAAAAGGTTGAGGGAGAAAAAGAGAGAGATTGTGTGAAGTGGAGAGAGTCGGTTTCCCAAGACCTTTTTGATATCACGTATAATACAAGCAACTTTTCGCATGACTCAATCAGATACTAAAAAATCTCATTCTCGAACGATGAAGCATGGTGCTGATGTTCTATTTGTGTCAGGGGTGGGCAGACCGAAAGTTTTGCAGGCTCTGGACTTCTGGTCCACTTGCCATTATCTTTTTCGGACCGAGGCCATAACTCCGTCAGCCCGGCACGAGGTTTTTGACCTAGGCCTTCCAGTTTTTTCTCAACCCGGATGTTGTCGACTATAATTATTACAACGTGTCAAAGAGCTTTGCCTTATTATATTTTTGTCGATTTGTCATTCGACTTGAAACAGGAAGATCAAATTTCCACCCGCCCACGACACATGTCGGGTCATTTTTCACAAATTTTCTCCTCCGATCCACCTCTCAATGCGCTGCACAACTGTTTTTATTGCGTCTCGGATCTCCGATGTTTTCACGGATAAGGAGAGGAGGAAGTAACAAACTATGTACAAAAAATGATAGACTTTGAACAGAAATTTGTCAATTGTTGATTCCGAAATCATGAGGGAAGCAGCAAGAAATAGTTGCTGAGGTAAAAAAAAAAGTGGCTAAATCACAATCATTTATGTTTTATTTTAGCAGAAACTGATTAGTGGTGATGATGATGATGATGGTGGCTGTGATTTTTCTTTCCATGATCCTGATGTTCATCCACGTGAACTCCTCCCGGCACGAATCCTTGAGTTCCATGCGGCGGAGGTGGCATACCAGCATTACCGTAACCGCTTGGAGCACCTGGTCCAGAGTATCCAGCTCCTCCGAATGGTCCAGATGGCTGTCCTTGTCCACCATTTCCATACGGTCCTTGAGGTCCGGAGTATCCTCCGTTCCCGATCGGCGGTTGAGGGCCAGAATATTGTTGATTGGGGTTGTTGTAACCAGCATTTCCATAGGGACCATTGGTCGGACCATTGTAGCCGGCGTTTCCGTAGTTGTGCGACATGACTCTAAAACACGAAATTAACAGAGAACAGATAGAAATGTTCAAACTACGCGGAAAAGTGCACAATTGTACAAAGACTGCTCGTATTTATACCCGAGAAATCAAAACATCGACGACGGGTGGGTTGAACCTAACTATTTGAACTACTCCCGTAAACATCAGCATCGATCGACATTGCGCTGACTCATATTAAGGTAGAAAGATGAAAAATGGGATGAAATGATGCTCTTCGTACTGTCTGTTCAAATATTTGTTGCGCACCTCCCCTTTTCTCTGGAAAAAACCCTCCGATTTCTGTTGACTTTTCAACTAAACACTACGATTCGAGTCTGGTGAGTATAACGTTTATTATGAAAGTTGTCGATTACACCGGAGAATACAAGAAAAGAAGAAAGAAACACACTCTAAAATACAAATGGGTAAATGTAATTAGTTGACAGTGTTGGGATAAGCAAAAGGGTGAAAGAAAAGTTTGAATTATCAAGAAGAACAGCGGTGATGATGAGGTGTTGAGAAGATGACGAGAGTTTAGGCGGCAACCGGCTCGGCAGCGGCTTCACTGTCTGGGATCACGACCTCCTGAAATAATGATGAGGTTATCTAGCCAAGAGAGGTATTATCAACTCACAGCTCCCTCATTCGGGTTCTTGGCTGGTCCATCTTCAAACTCCTTCTCCGGAACCTGGAGTGGGATCGGGGCAACTGGAGGTCTGGCGGCGTCTCCCTCGGCCTTTACCTGCTCCGTGTACTTTGGTGGTTCCAGGTTCTTTCTGAGATTGCGTTTTGTTTACATCTTATAACCTTGTGATCTCTAACCTGATCTGCTCGAGCTCCTCATTCTCCTTGCGTCCCCACTCTGCTGGCGGTCGGGCGGTTCCGTGGACGAGGGTGTAGGCCGGCTTGACGAAGGGAGTCTCGAAGAGTTCACGGCGGTCTCCGTAGGATCTTCTGTCGATCTGGCGATCAAACTTGGAGGCGGTGGTGATCTTTGGCGGATGGACGGAAGAGGCGGCCTCCTCTGGGTCGAGTCCCTTCTTGAGAGCCTTGTTACGGGCGACTTGGCGTTGACGCTCGTTGAGCTCTTTGAGCTGAAATAATAGAATTTTAAACTCTAATGGATTGGATCGAAACTCACGTCATAGTCCTGACGCTCACGTCTCTTTTCCAAATCGTACTTTTCTCCCTCAAGCTTGACAATGCGGGCGTGCAATTGCTTGATTCTATCCTTCAAGTCGTTTGGCATGAGTCCAGAGACGTCCTGAGCCTTGCAGACGGCGTTGAGGAAGGCCTTCTTGGCCTCCTCCTGCTGCTCCTTGGACACTTCGGCGGCCTTGGCTCCCGAAGCGAGGTTTCCGAAGTGAGCGGCCTGTTCTCCTTTGGAGGAGACGATGAAGTTCTTTCCTCCTGGTCCTCCGGCTGCGGCAGCTCCTGCAAAAGATCCGGCCATCATCTGCTGACGACGGGCCTTCTCCTCATTCTTGCGGGCCTTCTCGGCATCGGCCTTGGCCTTGCGATCTTCCTCGTCCTTGCGGCGGCGCTCCTCGTCTTGACGTCTTCTCTCGGCGAACTGACGCTCGTCATCCTCACGTTCAGCACGACGCTTCTCCTGTTTCTCCTTGAGCTCACGGAGTTCCTCCTCCATACGTTCCTTTTCGAGCACACGGCGCTGCTCGTAGTCGAGAAGCTTGGCGGCCTCCTCTTCCTCGTGACGCTTCTTGGCGGCCTGAAAGTTTCCACTGTAGATTTTAAAGATTTCTATGTAAGGTGTGGCATACAAGCATGGCAGCCTCAGCCTCGGTCATCTCTGCTGGTGGCTTCTCCTCTTGGACTGGTGGACGTGGCTTCGGCTTCTCCTCAACCGGAGCCTCCTCTTCTGGAGCCTCGGCATCTTCCTCGGCAGCATCCTCAGCAGCAGCCTCTTCGGCTTCCTCGACCTCCTCGGCCAGGGACTCTTCCACTTCCTCCTCCTCCTCACCGGAACTGAAAATTATTCACATCACATTCACAGACAATATGGTTACGAAAAAAAGAACTTACAGCACTTCCTCCTCGTCAGACATGATTGATAATCACTGAAAATATTCAATATGAGGCTGGGCAAGGAATGTTCATAGAAGATAAGCTACAAGAGAACGAACAAATGAGAATGAATGCAAATCGCGATAGAACACCTCGAAAGCGAGCAAAAGTTGTCGAATGAACAATAGAAGTGTGTGTGGTTTCAGAGAGCCACCCTCTTTCCTCTTCCTCTCGCGACGTGCCATCGGGGCCTCGCCGATTGGTGGGCGGAGTCGGTGCCATCTCCTCTCGTTGTGTAACTTGTAACGAAGCGAGTCCCGCCGGGGCGCCGAGAGAGCATTTCTGGCGCTGGATGCGAAAAAGAAGAGGGTCCCGCGGACTGCCGAACAAAAAGCGCGATGGGTAGGCGGAGGTGTACGTTGTAAACTTTGCCGACGATGAGGCCTATACGCCGAATGAAGAGGAATCAGAGATGGAGCACAAATTACTGCTCTCCTCTTTCTTTTTCTCTTTTTTCGAGAAAAAAAGAGAGAAGAAGAAGACAACAACAACTTGGGAGCCCGCTCTCTCTTCTCCTCTCGCTCTCACAGCTCCTCGTAGCTCCCGCGGTCCCCCGAATAAATCTTCAGTCACCACATGGCAAAGAGATCCGGGGGATAGTGTGATGCCAATGAGAGGCGGAAAACAAAAAATGAGGAGAAGAGGAAGAGGGAGGGGGAAGCAGTTTAAGAACACAGAGTTGTGTTCGGAAACGGGGCTGGGACCTGCCGGGGGAAACTTGGGCATTACACATTTAAAGTTTTAATGGGACAATCGGAACACAAACGATGATTTTCACAGGAATATTACACAAGACAACAATGTTTTGTATAGTCAAAATCTTCAGGTGTCAACAAATGTTTCAGAGATCATTAATATCGAGCTAGAAATGGTTTTTCCTGGGGAATTCCATTTGAAATGCTTCTATTTGCGAAGATGCATGAAAGCACCAGATTTACCATACTTTTTTGGAAACAATTAGAGCTCAAGATTTAAAAAAAACAGTGTGCCCACTGATTGGCTGTTTCACTTTAAAGAAAACATGTTAAAACTTATTTTTCTCGATTTCTCATGCTAGATTTCATTGACGTCACTCGAAACCTGTGAATCGACTGATTTCTGATCACCAGTTACTACGTTGGATCCTGCAAAAACGAGAACCCTTCTCATCCATCACCTGTCAGGTTACAAAGCTAGCTGAGCTCCGACAGACATTGACAATACTTACAGTCTTGAACAATAACAAATGCATCAAAACCCGTTTTTCTGTGCTGTTATGATGCGGCAACTAAACCAACTATCGAAACCGACAAAGCACAAAAAAAGCAAAAAATTCTGCGTTCGGGGGGAATCGAACCCCCGTCGAATGCTTGGAAGGCATCCATGCTGACCATTACACCACGAACGCGTCCATTTCTCCAACGCAAGCGGCGCGGTTATAACATTGGCGCAAGCAGCTTTCTCTCAGTCTCCCGCCGTTTCGGAGACGGAATGCAAACAGCCCTCAATGTTGTCGTTCTCCCCCTTTCCCCCTTTTCCACTCCTACCTAGACAACACACGACAATTTTATTATCCGATTAACGTTATACGTTTGACAAAAAATCTGATACTGAACATGGCGGATAGATAATTCGAGAGGAGTGATAAAAGAAGAGCTACGCAGTGTAATGTTGAATAGATAAGCTGTACAGAGAAGGTTGACGGGGCTAAAGTTCGATATAATGATCAGTAAACAGTATCAAAGTCCACAATTTTTCCCAAATTAATCATTGTTTTTCATTCGGGTCAGGATTCGAAGCGTTCAATTGGAATCCATTGGCGAACAGGTTAAAAACCGGCGCTGGTACGGGCATTTGACCGAAGAGGTTGGGGAAAGACGGTCCGACACCTCCGAGCAAACTGAAAAATGGATGTTCTCTCCTCTGATTAGTTGAAATACTCAGAATGCACCTGTTCATGGCTATCCCTCCGACTGGTCCTTGCGGAATGCCTGGCAAAAGCGGATTGTTCAATACTTGGTTTGGTAGACCTGGCAGCGTCACAGTCAGTCTGGGTTTGGCAAAAAAGGAGGCATGCATCAGTGCCTCGAGTTCTCGTCTCTGTTCTTCAGTTTTGAGAAGTGCTGCAAACGGCGATTGATGGATTCGCAGGGCTGCTTGCAGACGGCTCTGCTCGTAGTTCAAACGTTTAGCGGCCTCCGCTTCCTCGTGACGTTTTTGAGCGGTCTGAAAAGAAGTGAATGTGTTTCGCGGCTTGGGTTACTGTAACCAACCAGCATTTCCAGTCCTTGCGGCTGAAGTGCTGCCTTCTCCTTCCGAATGCGCTCTTCTTCTTCCAATTTCCGTGTGACCTCGAGTCGTTCATACTCCATCTGGACCAAACGACGTTGTTGATAGGCACGAATTCTAGCAGCCTTCTCTTCCTCGCCATTTTTCGGTGCTCCCTGAAACAATAAAAATGGTAATTGTGTACTCGGGTTACTGTAACGTACAAGCGCAGCGGTCAAATCAGAAAGCATCTCATCCGCCGATTTCTCGTTTTGAACAGGCGGACGTGGCGTCGGTTCTTTATTCTCAACCGAAGCTACGACTGGTTGCTCGGCTTCACCCTCCACAGCCCTTTTGGCTTCTTCTTCTTCTTCTTCTATTCTGGCTGCTTCAGCCATCATATCCATTTCTTTGCTCAATTTGTTGAGGTGAGTGTGCATTATGACGGCAAGACCTGCCGCTACGTTTGGAATTCTGAAAATACGAAATGTTTGGACCACGTGGACAAACGATACCTTATTCTTTCTGTGTCCGGATTTGTTCCGTTGCACAGATGAGCTTTCCGACGTTCGGCTTCGGCTTGCTCAAACCCGCAGGTACATTTCCACCCTAGGAGAGCCTTTGTCGGTTTGCTTTTCGGAACGTTTCTCGGTGATTCTGCCGCTGGTGTTTTGGCTGTAGTTGTCGGTGGCGCGGAAAAAAGAGCCATCGAACTCATCATCGTGTTCAAAGGTTCTATCTTCATCGCTTTCACAGCAACTGGAGCAGGAATTTTCAGAACTGTTTCCGTGGACGATCTTTTTGGCGTCTTTGCCTCGACCGGCACAAAATTACTGTGCTTTGTTGCAGATTTCGAGTAATTTGGCGAATCACTCATGGTATCCTTCACATTGTCCACAAATCTAACTCGTTTCGGAGGCGGTGGAGCGTGTTGCTCCGCAGTCATCTGATCATCATGCGGTGTTATCTTCATCACTTGATTGATCAGAATCGGAGGAATGGCTAGCGGTGAAGGAGAAATCTTGGAGGGAACACTGTTGTGAACTTTATGTTGGCGGGACGAAACAGCTCTCTTTCTCAATTCCATAGTTGTACCCTTGACTTGAGGTTCAGATGGTTTTGGAGCAGAAATCACGTCCTTTGAATACTTTCTTTTGGCGACGTCTCGAGACGGCTTTAAAGCTCGAACGGTTTGTAAAGCAGACACGGTAGCCGAAGCTGGAGGGGCAGACAAAGGATCCTGAGTTTCTTCCGGCTCCTTCCTCGGAGATTTCTTTTTGAATGCCTGAACACCTGGTAGAGTAGGCACTTTGAAACTATCCGAATCCTTCGTTTGAGGCACAACAGGCGTTGAAACGGAACTCAGGCGGTTCTGATCAGACGCTCCCTCTGGTTTCTTTTCCGGCGAATCTTCCTTGGTGACGTGATCGGATGGGGTCAAAGTTTGAACGGCTGGCGGAGAAGATAACAGAGGACAAACCGTTGTTTTTGTTGATAGACGGGGTGCGTTGTATGGTTCCTTATTTGCTTCTCCTTCCGTTGCTTGAAAGATCGGTTCGATTGGAATCTTCTCCTGATTGTTCTTGGCGGCGTCCTTGAGATCAGCAAGTTGAGCTTCTTTGTTAGACGGACCCATATTGTCAACAAGCATCGTGTCATCAAATTTCTGAGCCGTCTTTGAACCGTCACATGCAGCACTCTTCGCTCCCACTTCCGAATTGGCATGAGCATCGCGGAGCAGTTTGCCCTGTCCTCCGGCCGCATCGTCCTTCTTCACCTCCGAGCTGACCAAGTTTGCATTCCGATCGTTGTCCGACTCGCTGCCAATCATTTGCACCAGACTATGTTCTCTGAAAGTTTTCAGGTCAGAGAACTTCAAAGCCAAAGTGTTTTGAAAGAAAGAGTATTTCATCGAATAATTCACTCAGATTCAGTCACGAGAAACAAGGCGCTTAAACTGGAAAACAACTGATTGATTATGACTATGTATACACATATAATCAGAACGTGATAAGAACTAACCTCTCTGTTGGCGAAGCCAAAGTGGGCGGTTCGGGAAAGAGCTGATAAGCGCTTTCCAGAGTTTTCAGTTGACGCGAAGAGGAACTGATGGATGGCGGCGATGGTTGCCGCTGAACACGATTTTCGATTTGACGCTCAACTTCTTCCGCCGGTTGAACGAGATTTGGAAGAACCAGATGGAACGGTTCGTTCTGAGAACAGAACAAATTGTTCACTTTTTCCGGGAAATCAACTGACTCTCTCCACTTCCATTGGAACTAAAGCGCGGTTCACTTCCTCTTTTTGCTGATCACGTTGGGGTTCCTGTAAGATAAAAATGAACACAAATCAGGGCTGGCTGTCGACTTTTCGAAGACCTTCTTGAGTTGGTCCTTTTGGTCCTCTTTCAATATTCCAATAGGATACAAACTTGTAGGTTTTTTGGACTTGAAGGGACGTACAAATGTTAAGTCCAAGTCTCAGCTCGATTGGATTACCTATTCCGGAGATATAGAGATGTAGGACCAGAAAATACCGTCTTCTCCCGGAAACCAGAGCTTTTAGGTTCTAAATCTCTATATCTCGGGACCACATTATCCAATCGACCTGAACTTTGGTCTGAAAATACTTAAATTCTATTCCAGAAAGCCTGCAAAGTTAGGGTCCCATCGGAATTTTGTCCAGTAGTCCAAGCCTAGGTATGTCCTCGAAAAGCCCGGACAAGGCATATTCTCCGAACCTCCAGAGGGTGTATGGTCAAGCGGACTGGCGGAGGGTCCGACATCAGTGTGTATCCAGTGGGATCCAGATAGAGATCCATCGGCTCGGATGTTGGTCCGCAGAGAAACGTCCCTCCATTTCTATACCGGATTTCCAGAAAGCGTGGATGATCCTCATTGAGCATCTGGAAGAAGAGATGTGGGTTTTTTTTTTGAAAAATAAGAGAAAAAAAGAGAAAGAGAGAGAGAATTAGACGGCGAAAAAGTGACGATGGCGACCAGCACGCATTGATTAGAGAATGGACAGTGGGTAGAGAAGAGAGATTAGGAAGAAGGAAAAGAAAAGGAAAGGAAAGGACAAACGACCGTCAAAAACCTTTTCAAGGCGCTATGAGGCGAGGGGCGAAGGGCCGAAATGATGTAAGAAGCTGACACCCCTTCATTTCTTCTAACTACTTCATTCTCGGCTTAAAAACTCGGTCATAACCGGCGTCACAGATTGTAGAGAAACGGTGATAAGAACGCTACTTTTCCGAGGCGCGTGACGGACGAAGCAGCCGTCGTCTTCCCGTTTCAATCGACGCATTATGGAGAAGCGCGAGAGGTGGGAAAAGAAATCACACAGAACAAACGATAAAAAACCAACCGAGAGAATGATGGTAGCTTTCCGTTTTGCTGCTTGCCACGTCAATGTGTATGATATGCGAAAGTGTTATGGAGGGCAGCGCCGACGTGTGTGCAGGTGGTGTGAGCGGCCCGGGCAGATGCATAGGGCAACGAGCAAAAAAGGCGTGCCGCGGTTTTCGTTTTGGACTTTGCGTTTTTCGAGGAAAATGAAGAAAAGAAGAAAGGGGAAGAGAGAAAAAGAGGGAACCGGGTTAATTGAAATTGAAGAGGAATTCAACGTTGCTGTGTTAGCAAGTGAGAAAACCAAGAGAAATAGGGGAAAAGCGCTTCTCCTAGGTGGTTTTCGCATGTATTATAGCTCTCTGGCTCCCCTTTTATTTCCCCTCGACCCATATTTTTTTTATGATGTATGTATGTTTATATTGTTTTGTCTTCTCTTTTCTTCTAGTCTAAAGCACCATATTTCGCCTGTGTTCTGACATGATTCATCGCGTTGTGTCACCGTGACGTGGCACAATATCTAGCTGGATCGCAGCGCTGTGCATTCTGATTTATGTACAAACATTTTGGAAGACCGCTCCAGTCGACCGACTGACCCAGTCGTTATCAGTGGCAGTAAAACACTACTTTCGGAGCCAACAGTTTCATTTATGGGCAATCATTACAACAGAAATTATTTTCATGGAAGAAATAAATGATTAGGTAAAATGATTCCCGCCTCGAACTGCTGAAATCTGCTAATTTGGCTTTAAGAACAGACACTACATATGGAGCATTTTAGTTTAAAATAAATGAACAAAAACGGATAAGAATTGGATGACAAGGAAAAATGGAAAGAGAGACAATTATTTAAAAAAAGTGAGAACGGGAAAGAGCGTGAGGAAAAGCGAGAAAGGGTGGGAATAAGGGAGCCATTTTCGATGAACTTGCATTGGTTCTCATCATCCAACTCTCTTTTTCATTTTCAGATTCCCGATTCCAGATTCATTTCCAACTGTGCCCGCTCTTCAGAACTGAAGCGGTCCGGCTCGTCAAAGTTTCTAAATAGTCTGACCCGAACGAGAATGGATCGCCGGAACAAAAAAATTAAAAATAAGGTTGATCTATGTAGTGATGGGAAAGAGGAAAGTCATCTCAACAATCAATTCAATACGCGCTATATCGGAGTGCCTGCCAGAGAGTGGAGTTCAAGCCTGGACGGCATTTTCTAAATATTGGCATCGAGGCGTGATGAGTTCGTTGCACTTACCGTCATTGCCGTACTGTCCGTGGTATTGGAAACTCACTTCACTTAACTTCGTTGAATAAAATGAGCCGCGGTGGATAATAATCAATGAGACTGCGTGTAATCTTCGACAATTTGATCAGCAACGATACAATATCCATTGGTCGTTGCCCGCACGGACGTCAAGGCACATGACGCAGAATGCACAGTGTCCATCCGCGGTAGTATCTTGCTGTCCAGTCATCTCCGTGAAATCGCCTGAAAATGTTTGGCGGTGAAGTTTTTTGAGACCTTTTGACCAAGCGCTAACGAAGAACTGTCCTTCTTATCGGAATCTTAGCCGGTTGAGGTAGAAGTTGAGAACGAGGGACAGTCTGTGACAATTGATTGAGTTATGTGTTATCTTCAAAGCAATGATGAGCTGGTTCTCTATACTTTCAAATAGAAACAATCAAATCTGCGTTCTCCTCGAGCACACACAACTTCCGGATGTTTCCTTCAATCACGTCAACCATTTGCGCGGTCTGATGTTGGGATGGTAACAGAACTCTATAGTGTATCAGCAGGAACGTCTTATCGTCCATTTCCGTGAGATCACCTGCAAGAAGTATGTTGAGTCCTTTTCATTAACCTGAGATAGTGGAGGAAAATACGTTGCACATGTTGGCCATCTTTGGATATTCGGGTTTTCTTCGATATTTGCATGATTTTCGTCGTCATCTTCATTCCATCAGCCTTCAATTCGTTGTAATTGACAGAATGAATGTGTCGATGGCGTGGATTGGTTCCAACTGTTTTTTATTGACTTCCTTTCGACGGAATAATGCGAGACATTGCTAATGTCCCGAATATAAGCGAGCGAGTCGATGTTCTTCTCAACCACATTGATCTTCAAGCCATTTGGTGTTTTTTACCAGATGTTTCTTGCTGCCCATACAATTCCCGCAGAATCACCTGAAAATGTTTGCCGGCAGAGTATATTAAGTCCGTTTCACTAACCGCTAACGAAGATAATTGATTTCCTCTCTTCCCTTCGAAAATGTCTCAAAAACCTACCAAAAATTGACCATTACTCGTTGATGAATGACTGCGTTCGAGCTGTTCGTCTCGGATCACGGCAATCAGGCAGTCACGGAGAAAGCAGCCACTTCGATACCCATTATGGAGTTGTTTTGGTCCTGTAACACGTGAAATTTTAATCCTTGTCTCACTTAATCGGACATAGTAAAAAAAAAGAATACACTGCGCCCAATAAGTATAGGACCCCCCTCAGTTTTGGGTGTTCCGAGAAAACTAGAAGAGATATCAAAAATCTGCAAGCGCCATTCGATTTGGAATACAAAATAACCCCCGGACCCAAATTTTTACAATCTGAAAACTATTTGTACCCGTCCACCATCAAAAAGTCACTTTTTCCACCGCCCAATAAGTATAGGACCCCCTCACAATTTTGACGGATTTTGGTAAATTGAAGGGAATTCAGCCATTTTTTTTCCATATTATTATTATAATTGTTGTTTTTTTATTGTTTTCATATTATTTCGACTTTATTTCCCAACTTTCTATCATTTTCTGATTGGATGATGAAGGATCTTTGAATAAATCTGTGAAAATGGATTTTTTTAAAGTAAACATTTTTTATTCAACAAAATCAAACGATAACAGGGAAAAAATTAATAACTGGTCTTGCCTCCGTTCTTCTGAATGACTTGGAAAAGTCGATTTGGCATGCTCGATACCAGATTCTTCAATTCCGCGGCTGTGACCAAATTCCACTCGATAAGAAGGGCATCTTTCAGATCCTGGACACTGGCATACTGTTTGCCATGGCGGTAGACACGACGAACCAACAATCCCCAAACGTTCTCAACTGGATTGAGGTCTGGGCTACACTCCGGCCATTGCAGATCCTTGATTCCTTTCGCAGCGAGCCAGTCTGGTGTCGAAATGCTTTACATTCTCCCATTTAGTAGCAAGGTTCCTTCTTGCAAAATCCATTCTCCTTGTTTTGTGTTGATCCGTCAATCTTGGAACCTTCTGCATTGTCTGACGAACAATGACACCACTGCGATTGATAACGTTGAGAACAGTACTCTTGCAGACAAGGAACCTTGCTACTAAATGGGAGAATGTAAAGCATTTCGACACAAGACTGGCTCGCTGCGAAAGGAATCAAGGATCTGCAATGGCCGGAGTGTAGCCCAGACCTCAATCCAGTTGAGAACGTTTGGGGATTGTTGGTTCGTCGTGTCTACCGCCATGGCAAACAGTATGCCAGTGTCCAGGATCTGAAAGATGCCCTTCTTATCGAGTGGAATTTGGTCACAGCCGCGGAATTGAAGAATCTGGTATCGAGCATGCCAAATCGACTTTTCCAAGTCATTCAGAAGAACGGAGGCAAGACCAGTTATTAATTTTTTCCCTGTTATCGTTTGATTTTGTTGAATAAAAAATGTTTACTTTAAAAAAATCCATTTTCACAGATTTATTCAAAGATCCTTCATCATCCAATCAGAAAAATGATAGAAAGTTGGGAAATAAAGTCGAAATAATATGAAAACAATAAAAAAACAACAATTATAATAATAATATGGAAAAAAATGGCTGAATTCCTTCAATTTACCAAAAATCCGTCAAAAATTGTGAGGGGGTCCTATACTTATTGGGCGGTGGAAAAAGTGACTTTTTGATGGTGGACGGGTACAAATAGTTTTCAGATTGTAAAAATTTGGGTCCGGGGGTTATTTTGTATTCCAAATCGAATGGCGCTTACAGATTTTTGATATCTCTTCTAGTTTTCTCGGAACACCCAAAACTGAGGGGGGTCCTATACTTATTGGGCGCAGTGTAGAAGCTGGATTGAATTCAAGAACAGATTGTTTATCGGTCAAACAATGAACAAACAACACAATTTAGATGACTCCGATCTTGTTGGCGACGTCAAGAGCGTCGTAGTCAGCGGTGAGGCGGACGTAGGCCTTCTTCTGCTGGAGTGGAGTGATGAGGGTGTTAACCTGAAATAATATCTATTTACTTCTGAACCCTACTTTCAGTTTCAAATGAACCTTCTGGGCCTTGACGTTGTAGAGCTTCTGGACGGCCTCCTTGATCTGGTACTTGTTGGCGTCATTGTTGACGAGGAAGACAAGGGTGTTGTGTTCCTCGATCTTCTTCATGGCCGACTCAGTGGTGAGTGGGTGCTGGATGACACGGAAGTGGTCCATCTTGGCAGTAGCCGGGGCAGCCTTGCGTAGGTAGCTGAAATAATTCAACAATGATGAAAGTTCGTATGAGCAGATGGCTTACCGCGAGTTACGGGCGGTCTTGAGCGTAACCGGGCGACGGAAGTGGACCGAGGTGCGGACGGTGCGCTTGTGGGTGGTGCGCTGTCCCTTAGCCACTTTCTTCTTGGCATCGAGAGCCTTAGCGGTCTTAGCTGGAGCACTTGGAGCCATTAAACCCTGAAAAAATAATTGGAATGTCACGATAAAGAATGGGACAAGATCAGATAATCAACGGTTGAGTACACCGATGTATGATGTAACACACAAAATGAATGAAAGCAATTTTTTTTAGGAATAGCAGATAAACAAGAGAGAGAGAGAGAGAGAGAAATGAAAAACAATGAACAGGAGCAGAAATGTATTCATTCCAAAAGGCCACATTCTGATATCCGCAAAATGGTTCCAGGAATCATTCAGTCGTTAATGGAGTAGTTCATGTGCAAATGCCGTCTCGGTTGATATGCTACCCAGATTGCATCGAATTCCGTTCAGAAGCGGTACGGGACTCATAATGGACGTTTCTCCGTTTGGTGTGTTAAGCAGTATCAGTTGGTGGTCGGTTGGCATTCAGTCGCTCAACTATAGGAAGTTTCCAACGAACGGATGCGTCTGTTAGCGAGATTTCGAATCTCGGACACAGTCAACGGACTTTCCATCACTTCTGACCAACACGTTCTCGGTCACATATCCGCGACTGAACGTCAGCTCTTATTGTTCATCGATCGCGGTTTCTTGCCGGCTTCATTCATTTCCATGAAATAATCTGAAAATTCTTAGCGGCGAAGTATGTTGAGTCTTTTACACTAACCGCTACCGAAGAACTGTCCTTTCCGCCGGAATTGATGTAGTAGAAGATATTGCGCTGCAAATGTTGGCAATCTTTGGAACTTTGCGTCTTCTTGGACGCTATGAAGCACAGACTGACTGGTGTTTCGGATTTAGACGATTGAATTCGTGTTTCGTTCGAGCACATTGATCCTCCGGACATTTTCTCCAAGCACGAGAACATTTCGCGTTATTTGGACTCGAAACGACCTCTCCTCCCTCTTGACAATGCCTCTAATCATCCAAAAGTCGATCACTACTTGTAGACCGGTGTATCTGCAATTTCCACATCGAAAATGAGTAATTTTATCGCTGCAAAAACAACTAACCTGATTTAAGTTCATTTTTTTGTTGATTTAACAGCGTCTCGCGCCGATGTTGCTTTGGAAAACTGAGCAAAATGAATACGAAAAAGGAAATAATTGCAACGACGCTCCGGAATGACGCATTGCGCGCGGTTTATCGTACATGGTGTAACATATTGTGGAGTAGCGCAATCCACAGAAAAAACACCAATTTCAAAGGAAAAATACATGCAATTATTATCAAAGAAAGACGATGTGAAGAAAGTGGAAAATAGATGGAAAGTTAGTGAGTTCTGAGAGATAAATATATTGGGTTACAAAATTACCATCAGGGTTCTTGAATTTTGATAAAATTAGCCTGGAACTACGTCGGCACGACGTAAATAACCGGCATTACGGATCCAATGCAAGAAGAGAAGAGCAGGAATACGAAGAGAAAACTGGATAGCGAAATTTGGAAAGGGACTGAAAAAAAGAAATTGCTAGAAATTTGAAGTGAGATGAATGGCAAATTGAGTGAGAAAAGACGGAAAATTGGTACATTTTTGTCAGCTTGCATCATTTTTCCAACTTGCCAGCCAAAATATCTCTTCGCATCGCCGAACGGAATGGAGCCGTGTCATTATCAATGTCGTAGGCAGGTGTGTTCTCTTGGTGAAGTACAGTGCGTGTCATAGGTATAGGGCCACCCCTAAAATTGAATATATCGTCTTTCCTAAACAAAATACCACTCCAAGACCTTGAAAATCAAAATCAGCATCACAAATAACCCCCCGGAAATAATTTTGAGAGTTTATTACTCTCTCTCTCTCTCTCTTTTTTTCTTTCTCTCTCTATAATTCTTTCTTTCTCTCTCTGTAATAGTAATCCTGAGAGATTCAAAAACTAAGGGGCAGTTCATTTATTCATTTTGTTTAAAACCGGACACAATTAATGAAAAAAGATGGACCAGGAATATACATTAGAAGGTGAGAAATACTGTGACGAGGGCCACACCCGTAAGTGCGGACCACCAAAGAGTGTTTAGGGAATGTGGGCCAATTATCCTCTAACAGTGGATAGATGAGAAGTTCAGAATGTCATTTCAGAGAAAAGAAAAAGGAAATCGAAACGATCAAAGGGTTCCGCCGTGCCTTTCGGACTCATCACCATCATCCATTTGATCACGCCTTCGTCCTTCTTGATGATGTTCAGCTCCGCATGGACCCCTTCGATAGTGATGCATTTACTGAAATGATGTCAATAAGGGTGGATAACAATGACAACACTCGAACATACGTGTTCCTGAAGAATGTTCTCTTAGCCTCTAGTCCGGTTGCTTTGAGGAGAAAAGCGTGAGAATCGCGGCTTCGGTAAAATTCAAAGTGAAACTGGAAGTCGATCGGTCTTTTTTGTTGGACAAAAGTGTTTGCATAGAAGATGATTTGATGAATTTCCAAAGTCGCAATCTGTGTGATCTTGTGCGCTCGGAGCAACGGAATCAAATCTTCGTCTCCTATCATCATGTTGAATTTGATGACAGGCGCTTTCAGGAACTGAATGTAAAATGTAAGCTCGAGCGTTTTGTTTATATGCTCACAGTGTCATCTTTGAAAAGAAAAGTCGTTCTCACGCTATCCGTTAGTATTCCGGGGAACCAAGTCGATTCCGTTGGGTGTGGATTGTCGACGTTCAACATCTTCAAATGTTTGACCTCCATTTCGGTGCAGTCTTCAAGGCAGTACGGAAACCCCTAAAAACATTGATTTCCGATAAAAAGATCACATAAAAACTTACTTCGAGAGTGAGAGTTTCAATTTTTGTGCCACGTCTATTGAAATGGTGCTGTACCCATTTCTTCATGGATACCTTGCAATCGTCGGGTACGTACCCTCCGCTCACCGTACAACGGCAACGAAATGTTGAAGAACATCCTCCATTTGTTGACGGGGCAAAAGTGATTCCATAGTCTCCTATATCAATCCGTCCTCTGTCCCTCTGTCTTGCCTTCAAGATTTGGACGTCTGGTACCCTGTACGGCATGATCGCGTCCGATCGCCGGAAATTTTTCGAGACACTCGCCATATCCTTTCTGCCTTGAAACGTCAAGTGGTTCATAATCGAAATTTGAGTCGGGTAGGTGAAGAGAATCTTGTTTGAATCCATTTCACTGAAAAAAAACAATAATGACGTCCGTGTTTGTGAACTGAGATGTGGTTAGTACGCGAAACGTTTCACAAAAGCAATTGTTCTCACTTTAAACACATTCAAAACGTCAGATTTGGTAATAATTTTTGCCTGCCAGCACACGAAAAGTCAATAAATATGTAGTGACGTCGTTTTTCTAGTCTGTGGAAGTTTTTTCCGATAATAAACTATAAGTACATAGCTATTTTGCGAGAGGAAATTGAATTTCCTATTGACTAAAACTGAATGCAACAAAAAAATATGCTGCCTGCGCTCAGCTAGAGAGACAGAAAGGCCAACAATTTTCAATTCGTATTTTGTCAGCAAAATCTCAACAACATGCGAGATTTCTGTTACCAAAATGTTGCCTGTGTCCTAGCTAATAATAAAAATCCCAAAGACGTCGAAAAACATCGGTGTAATGTACTGAAAACATGAGAAAAACTCGAATTCCCGCGAAAAAAAAGAGAATGATTTCGGCGGCCCGTAAATCGACACAGCACCACGTGTTGCAAGTGCGCCCCATTGAGAATGTGCAAACACGTATTTTCCTATATGAATATCCTTTTTTCTTAACGAGACGTCAATTTTTTCTGAATTTCAGTAACAAAATGGGATGAACTACGTTTTGGGATGGTACTGGCGCCAATGAAGGTTACAAAAAACAGAAGGAAAATGGATTTTTGCGATAATTTATAGTTGGAACGCAATATTCACTCGCAGCCACACGTTTCAGGTGATTTTCTAGGCAAGAGGAGATCTGATTGATGTGGTAGCGACGGTGTATGCAAAAGAATGACACAATAGCGAAGGCGGCAGTGGCGGGAAGAGAACATTTGAAACTGAACCGGTTCTGAAGGAATTTGCGATGTTCTCCTGTTCCGACACGTTTTGGCAGTTGGAATTGGCATTGATACGCGCTGTTTAGAGGACATTGACGGTGGTTTTTGACACGAAGAACATCCTATTCATCTTGGCAATTGCTTAAAGGGCGTAAAAGAACTTGGCCAACCCTACCTTTGGCTTTTGGCGTGGTAGCGCGGGGATCGCGACCGATTCTAATGAGATTAACAAGAAGAGTTTCAGAGAGGAAACGATGTTAGTGAATTTTCCGTTCGAGCCAAGGACGGAAAAAAAGGAAAACACGCTCGGATGGTCTCACCTTCTCGTGGACTTTTCCAACTATTGAATTGAACAGAAGGGGGTTCCATAGAGGGCGCGACAATCCTGGCGTGGACGAGACTAGGCGCTTGAGTTCCTGGAGACGGTGAGGTGAAGCCGGGAGAACTTGGAACTGGAATGAGTTTCGTCTGGCGATGCCGTGGAGTGGAAGGAAGGCGAACGGTGAAGCGCAGAACGAGAACTGATGCATTTGGAGAAGACCGTTGCCATCTTGATCTCGACCTTTCGTGTGGAAGAATCTTCTAGAACGCTGATGACGTGGAGGTCAATGAGCGTTGAAGGTAACACGATCCCCGATGAAAACGAATTGGAACGTGTAAAGGTTGAGAAAGGGGCGGATGACTATGGGAGTCCATTACTTCGCAACATTGATAGTCTCTCACACATTAATCTGGAACAATATCATTTGATGTAATGTGTGTGGAATTACTCACTTCAACTGCAAAATCCTCGTCGAAGAAGAAGTAAGAAGTTTCCAATGCGACGCCGTCTTCCTCCCTCTCGTTGCGCATCGTTGTCATTGTGAATGACTTGTCAGTGATCTTTTCGAACGTCACCTTAAAAACTATTTGATTACGGTTGAAGAATTTACATGTATCATTCCCGTGACGCTTGTAATTTGCACCGAGTGGCTGCCGCGTCTTCACACAGAAATTAAGAGAAGGGAGGAGAGACTATGGAACACACTCCCTCCGATATCACTCTTTTCTCAGCTATCTCTGAGAGTCTTCTGACGACAAACACACTTCTTTACGGAATAGTGCATTAGAAGAAAAATAGAAGGAAAATATGAGGGTTGATGCTCATTCGATTCATAGAATTAATCTCATTGATAAAACATGAACTGTATTGATGCTTTTCTGATGAACTGACGTAAAATCACATGAATGAATTGCCTGGGCAGCTCAGACGACTCTGACAAAAAACAGATAACAGAGGAAGAAAGTTCGATGGTCTTAAAGGACCAGGGAACCCGAAAATTTTTTGATGTTTTTGTGAAATGTTTTTGTGACTGTTTGAATTGTCTCTTATTGCCTCATACACTGGTGAAATGCTGCCTCTCAAAAATGTCAATGAACGAAACGGCATGCAGTTGAAGTTGTGGCCGTGGCCTAGCGCGAATGGCCGAAAAATAGATAAAAATATATGCGCTTCTCGGCCATTTTGTTTTTTCCGCTTTTTTACCGGTTTTTTTCCAAAAATTCACGGTTTCTCCCATTTTGGCACTTCATATCGACTGAATGAAAACAATTTTTCAGCAGTGAAAAAATAAGTAAGTGCCGAACAAATGTCAATCAACTGAAAAATGGGAGAAACCGTGAATTTTTGGAAAAAAAACCGGTAAAAAAGCGGAAAAAATAAAATGGCCGAGAAGCGCATATATTTTTATATATTTTTCGGCCATTGGCGCTAGGCCACGGCCACAACTTCAACTGCATGCCGTTTCGTTCATTGGCATTTTTGAGAGACAGCATTTCACCAGTGTATGAGGCAATAAGAGACAATTCAAACGGTCACAAAAACATTTCACAAAAAAATCAAAAAATTTTTGGGTTCCCTGGTCCTTTAATAGAGCACGTAAAGTATGCTAACCAGAAACAGAAAAAAAACAAAAGGTGTCGGTCGCCGAGCGAGGAAATTTAGAAAGCCCTTTCTCTCGTGCTCAATGCTTAAAAAACAATATTTCAAAAATTATCGAGTGAGCCTTCCTGATACATCATCAGAGAAAGCAATTTTCAGCTTCCGTTCACTTCAGGCTTGCAACGGGCCAGGCCAGGCCGTGTAAATCTTCAAAATTCTCTGGCCCGAAGGTTAAATAATTTCTGAACGTTTTTTTTTTGCCGACCCAGAATTTTGCAAGTCTGATACACTTGGTACCAATGGGCAACCTCTGTCGTAAAAAGCAAGCAGCCAATCAGGTCTCGTGCATACTGTACTGTCTCTGACCAATGATTCATGGCCAATATTTCAAAATGAGACATGTGAAAAGGCGTACACGACATTGAAATCAAAGGGTTTATAAATTTCAATAATTTCATTATCTCAAACGTCCTTGAAATATTTTAATGAACGAATTACCTTGAAGCCCGCATTAACAACATTAGCTTCAGTGTAGAAATCTATTTGTTCTCTAAGTTTGAATGTTTACTTCATCCGTTTCGTTGCAAAGTTTGTATTTTCTCTTTTCTCACCTTTAAAACCGTTCAAAACATTCACGTCTTACGTCATCTTCTTTTTCAAGAATTCAAATTTTCGAAAACTGTGCCTCCGTTTACCCAGTCATTGCCTCTCGGCCATCTTGTGAAATTCGTGTGTCACCTTCGCCGACAAAAACATAAGCGTCATCACTAAAGAGGGCGCCGGTATTGCTCACCGAAAGTGATATCGTCACTCTCTCCCTATCCTTTCCCTTTCTTTTTATTCAAATATCCGCTCCTCCCAGCCTTCCCCCCAGATCACTTATCACTCTCGCCTTCTTTCCTTCTTTTTTGCCATATTTCTTCATTTGAAATGGCAACTATCGGGTATCTCCGAAAAAGTTTAAACTCTCATGAAGTCGATCAATTCAAAAGCCTGCCGCATGAAGAGAAGCTTCGCCGTTTGAATAATTTCTTCATTCACGGCTCGATCAGATTCACTAGAATCATAAAGTTGCTTTGTAAGAAAAACTTGAACAATTTTACAATACTCCAAATTTGTTTTTCAGCTCGTCGTTGCTCTAAGAAAGAGCTTGTCGGTTTTCTGGCCGGAGTCAATGGTCTCTTGTGTGAAGAGGACCTTTTTGTTGTCTACTTGATTGTGAAGAATAAGAATCTCGTCGGTAAGCGATTTTGAGAACGCTTTTTTGAAAACCCATTAAATTTTTTTCAGATCAGATGTCCGACGAGCACAAAACCGCTTTGATGGATATGTTCGACGGACAGGGAAACCTCAAAACTTGTGCCAAAATGAACGATCCAGATGGGCAGTGTGAGTGCGAGGGAGCATGGAGAAGCAGATACCGCTCCGAAATCGAAGCCGAACTCCTGTTGGAGCAAAGAAGACAGCAAGCTCGGATGCTGCCACCACCAGCACAATTTCTTCCGATGATGCCTCCATTTGCTCCGCCACCACCCGTCGCTCCCTTCATCCCAATGGGGTATCCATTTGCTCCTCCAATGGCGACCGCTCCGGGTTTCCCGATCTTTCCACAACTTCCTCCGCCGCACGTCATGCAGAACTTATGGTTCCACTATCCGCCGCAGCAGCAAGCCCATCAGCAGGTGCAGAACATGATGGGTGGAATGCTTCAAAATTATCCAAATCAGAACAACTAGTTAATACTATACAACGAACTTACTTACTACCCTCTCTTTATTTCTCTTTTTTGCTAACTGCTTTTGCTCTGTTTCTTTTTCACAAGGGACTCTTTTTTGTCAAATTAAAATGTCATTCATCTCATTTTTTTCGTTTTCTTGAAGTTTATCATATCTAAAAATAAAAGTACACATTGTGACTATGAGCCGGTTTGAAATTCCGGCGAGGTTTCGAATCGCGGACACGGAAAGTTGTCTTCAAAGCTTTAGGTTCCTTCCAGCATCGCATCACTCCATTATTCAGCGGTCGACGGCCGAAATCGAATTCCTCAGCGATTGCTCTCTCAGTCTTTTGTCCCTTCCTCTCCGAATGTCGATTCAGCCACGCGAACGTCTCCAGTTATTGCTGTTTTCTTCCTGAGATGCATTTGCAATCGACTGCTCTTTCTTCCTTCAATTCCACGCAACTGACACTGCTCGGTCGCATCGTGGTGTGTCCCTGAAAAATTTTACGTTCATTTTGTTCTTGAAGACGAATAATATCAGCTTACTCGAATTTTTCTCACAATTATCTCTTATTTCCTTCTGAAACCAGTTAGTTCTCCCGTGTTTCCCATTTTTTTCCAAAAAACGTTTTGTCCTCGTGTAGTACACAGCGCCCATGGCCGTGGAGAGCTGGTTGCTCGCTCGTCCACCATATTTATTTTCGAAAAGATTTTTTTGGTCTTTCTTACGGGAAAACAAGAGATATGAAGAGAAATATGGACCAATTGAACAAACAAATCAAGCACAAGAGTGATTTTGTAAATTTTAGCCGGATTTTAGAGTGCAGTGGTCAACTTTTTGGTGTTAAAACGCAGTCGATGTTTTCCTATCGTTGTTCACTTTTAGAGATACTAGTCAACTCACAATTCGTCAGGTTCAGACGTCGGGATCTGCTCTTCGTCTGCCATGTGGTTCCGAGAAAGCACACACCCGTCACACACGTTCCGAACTGCCAAATATCGCCTTTCGCCTCGTCATTCTTGCAGAGAGCTCCCTCCGGCGGTTGCAGACTTTGGTGGATGACGGCGACGTTGATGGTGGATGTGACGTAGCCTAAATATCAGAGTCTGATGGAAAAGATGGGTTGTGTTTAGAAAAAAAGCACCTATTGAAGGTTGTTGTTTTTGAATGAACGATTCCCACACGATAGAGGTGCTCGAAAGCCGATGCAGTCAGCTTCGCAAACTGACAGGAACGGATCGAGATGTGATGGCAGTGCTCGGCAAGAGTCAGATCGTTTGCCTTGTTCGCCATCTTTTTGGTTGTTGCTCGGAGGACAGAGACGGAGAACCGTCAGTGAAGAGCGTGCTCGTGGGTTTGCTGACGACGAGAAGAAACACTCGAGAGTGGCGACGGTCCATGTGGTGGTCGAGGTGGTGGCTGCGGTCGTGATGACTCCATCGATCGATGACGGAGCATGGATCTGGCCGCAAAGATGCAATCCACCCCGGCAGTTTTCCATGAGGTGTGCTAGCTGCTGAGGGCGGTTGGTGAAGCAAATGATTTTCCGGAAATTGGCAGCAGAATCTGTTTTTCACATTATTGGCGGGATTCCTCGCGAGCACCACCTCGAGCAGCTCGTTCGCCAGTTCGTGTCGCGACTTCTTCAGAACACTCCATTCCGCACATTTGATGACGGCGCGATGGTGGCCGGTCAGGCCGATTTGAGGTAGTGGGCAGTGTAGGTATCGAAGAACATGGCGATCGAGGTCACGCTCTTCAGACTGGTCGTCTGGGCAATCAGGCGTTTGCATTGGTCCTTCAGCAGCGGAACTTCGTATTGTCAGCTGGAAATCTACAATTCTTGAACAGTTTCTGAAAATTCACTTACCGGCAGCGAGAATCTCATCGATATTTCCCTGCGACTCGAGCTGCTCCGTGGCTCCCGTCTACATGAGCTCAACGTACTTGGCGTCCTCGATGTGAATCTCTCCGCGTCGCGCCTCAATGATGCTCGGCGGCTAGAACATGCTCTTGAAAACGGGCGAATTCTGTCCGAGAATGCAGCGGTGCGCCTTGATGCACTTGCTTCCGTCGTGGATGAGGCAGTGAACAGCTCCTTCTCTCACACAATCCGACTGCTCGACCGAACTATCACTTCCAGCAATTCTTCTTGCTCTTCTAAGCTCGTTTCTCTATTCCTATCTCGGCAAACGCTGACCTTTTGACTGTTCTCATCCAGGGCGTAAATTTGAAATTCTGTATTATCAGCTCTTCTCCTCTCTGAAAAATGCACAAAATTAGGCGTAAAATGAAAAATAAATCACCGAATCACCGACTTGTCGTAGAAAAAACGACACGTTGTTCATGTCCTCTTCGGATAAACATTCATCGAGCTACATTCCAATTTTTAAAATGTCCAGGACTTGAAACTGATGAAGTGCCGGAAGTGTAGACGGAGAAAGTGAAATTAGTCGACGGAGGCAATTGGCAACGGTATTGAACGTCTGGAGAGGCATGGGGAGTCTGTAAATGAGCGAAGTCGGAATGAATTAGAATAGAACGACTGATATTCGTCTTAGACAGTTCCGTGGGTTGAGACACTGCTCGGTCGCATCGAGGTGTGTCTCTGAAAATTTTTACATTCATTTTGTACTTGAAGACGGATAATATCAGCTTACTCGAATTTTTCTCACAATTATCTCTTATTTCCTTCTGAAACCAGTTAGTTCTCTCGTTTTTCCCATTTCTTTTCCAAAAAACGTTTTCTCCTCGTGTAGTACACAGCGCCCGTGGCCGTGGAGAGCTGGTTGCTCGCTCGTCCACTATATTTATTTTCGAAAACATTTATTGGGTATTGCTTACGGGAAAACAAGAGATGTAAAGAGAAATAAGGAGCGCTCAAACTACAAAATTCGAGCACAAGAGTGATTTTGTCAATTTCAGCCGGATTTTAGAGTGCATTGGCCAACGCACACACCCGTCAGACACGTTCCGAACTGCCAAATGTCGCCTTTCGTCTCGTCATTATTGCAGGGAGCTCCCAACGGCGGCTGGAGGCTGTTATCGACTCTCCGTGCGATGAATTTAAAATCGACGTGTATGTATTGGCTGAACATGTCCAAAGAAAAGTTGTAGCCGCGGAAGAGGTGAACGTTGTCCTCTCGATTCCAGCAATGGAGGTATTCCCGCGGTGGCGAAGGTTGTTGTGGTTTGAGACGTTCGTCCGTCAATTCTCTCATCTCAAGAATCTGCAAAAATCAATTTATGTTTTAAGTTTGAGAAGCAGAACGGATTGCAGAACAAAAACTGAGAGAATGAAATCGGAAACAGACAGAAGTTGTTCTAAAGGTGCTGCCCCGAATCGGAACTTCCCGAATAAGAATTGGTGAGAATCAGAACTATTTTCAGTGCTAATTGGTTCTGATTCGTACCAGTTCTGATTCGGGAAGTTCCGATTCGGGGCAGCACCGTTCTAAACAAGTGAAGTGTGCCGATAAAACAGAAAACCGGGTTGTGTTGGCAAGAGGGACGTGACTGACACATTCCCCGTCCACGAGTGCGCTAGTCAACGAGCAAAATAGGGTCCGACATTGTACATACAGTTAGAACAGCTTGACAAATCGGTACATATCAGGAAAGGATCAGCCTTCCAATCTTCGGAAAAATTGACGTTTCTGTGCTGTGCCTTCCGTCTTGGCGGTGACATTTTTCATGTCGAGGTGGAACCAAGTGCAGAAGCCATAAGCCAAGAGAGCTATACTGAAAACCGATTGATAGATTCTTAGAGCATTAGCCGGTTCTCACCAATTGGTCTTTACTCTGACCTCCAGATAACGTGACAAACGGCGACAGCGCAACAATTTTCTGAAAAGCAAACGCTATTTGGTTAAAAACAATATTGCTTTTCTTACGTTTTCGTGGATTGCCCAGATTTGCTAGTCTGTCTCGTAGTCCTTCAACGCATCCGATGGAATTCTGTGTGCCACCCAATGACGGATATCCTCCAGCACCCCGGACGATCCGTATGCCTGGCACACGATTCCGTACCACTGGCCATATTTCTCGCCGAGGCCGGTTACGATGCTTCTGCATCCCTACTCAAGGTGGAGCCATTTGGTGATTGGATTCCGTGATGTGTGTGTGGTCCGGAATGATGAGCTCCATCTCTCCGATCTTTGAGAGGGTACCAACGTCCAGTATGTACTCTGAATGGTAAAACTATGATATTGGAATGTCATCTGGGTAGCTCACAGAAAACTCATGTATCATTTCGGCGTTCAAATCTTTGAAGAGCTTCTTGATTTGCGACATCCCGTGCTTCATGTGTTCGGTGAAAGTTGCCAGTTTAATGAATTTCTTCAATTAAGCCCTGTTTTCGTCCTGAATTCAGGCAGTGTTTTCTTTTCCTGTAATCCCTGAAACATTGTAAATCCTTCAATCATTTCAAAATTTTATAATTGAATGCGATGCCTCCTTTTTTAGTTATAAAACGTTCAAAAACTCTAGAAAATTCTAATAATTTATTCAAATTTTCAAGAAAATTGGCTGAGCTTCTGCTTTTTTTCGATTTTTAGTGATCGTGACCCCTTACGTTCAAAGATGTACGAACGGGCACACGCAACGTCCCAAATCGATCGATTCGCATCCGTCGGCACTCTTTGCACGTCTGCGTCTCTTCGGCAGTCCACGCTATTTCGTGCTGGGGTGGTCGTCTCTTCCAACTGACCCGTTCAGCAACGCACAAAAAGACCTCTGAGTCACTTTTCTTACCTCCTCCTTTTTTGTCATCTTGTTCTCTTTCTTCTTTCCTTCTTCTTCTACTTCTTTTCCTTACAATATCAGTCTTTCTGCAATTTCGTATGTTCTACGCGATAAGAACCATCCATTTGTGAAAGATTGCCACACGTTATCGCTTTTTGCATATTTTCTGTCATTCTCTCGACGAAGAACTGCACTCATTTTGGCGCGAAAAACAATTCAAAAAATGTCAAAAAAATTACGTGTGGCACTATTGCAAAAGTGGGCGGAGCCAAAAAACCGTGCCCAAATTCAAATATTTGAATTATACATTTACACAACAATTTTTGAAGCACTTGAGATATGATGGTCATCGCCACAACACACATTTTCTAATTTGCAGATGCCTCGTCGCCAAGGAGATCGTGGCCAACGTGGGAAGACACCAGTGGGCCGTGCCAAACAATGCCCAGACTTGAACGCGGACGGAACTGAACCTGGTCCGAGCAATGTCTCCAACCCTGTGGTGCGTCTATTCCTCCCGATTCTTGACGTGATTCAATTGATCTTTCAGAATAAAAACAAACGCAAGACGATCGCCAGCCCGTTGCCACCTCCTCTGAAGAATGCCGAGCTCGATTCGGATGACTACTCGGATAATGAGGTGACGACCGATAACAAACACCCGATATCCGACGATCCATCTTTCGAGGTGAGCGATTTTGGTGAAAATATGTCAATATTTGATGAACGACCCGGATCGTTTTCAGATTTCTCAACAGCACATCGAGACATACGAAATTTCGTGTGCTAACGCCAAAACCAAGTACTCAATTCCAGCCGCTGAGATTGATAGAATCGAAAACGGCGAGGAAGATGGAGAAGTAGAGCTGAGACTGCCTTCGAAAATCCAACTAGGCCGCTACATTATCGAATCCTGGTTTGGATCGCCGTTCCCATTGGAGTACATTTACTCGAAAATGGTGATTGTTTGCGAGTACTGCCTCGCCTACACGGGATCGCAGCTCGTCATGAATCGCCACGTGGATAGATGCGCCGCCAGAGGACCGCCGGGAAAAGAGATTTATCGAGACAGCGAAAGAAATCTGTCGGTATTTGAAGTCGATGGAGGCGAGCAGAAGTAAGCGAACACAGGATTGCAGGAAAAACAGGGAATACTTGATTTCAGAGACTACTGCCAACGTCTGTGCCTTATTTCGCGTCTTTTCCTCGCCAGCAAGAGCGTCTTTTTCGACACGGAAGCGTTTCACTTCTACGTAGTGACTGTGAATGACCAGGAAGGATGGCACATTGCCGGCTACTTCAGCAAGGAGAAGTACCAGCCGGATTTGTACAACCTCAGTTGCGTCATGATCCTGCCGCCGTTCCAGGCGATGGGTCTCGGTCGTCTTCTGATCGATGTGAGCTACGCTCTTTCAAGACGTGAAGAGTGGCTCGGTGGGCCGGAGGAACCACTTTCTGAGCACGGACTCGCTGCGTACGGAAAGTACTGGCGAGACACTATCTTCAAGTTGTTCGCTCTTGAACGTGTCTTCAATGCGATCGAAAACGACGGCGGATACAGTGTTGTTGGTTAGTTTTTACTTTTCGTTTTGAAAGCTCAACGCTGATTTGTTGCAGACGTATCCGAAGAAACAGGCATCCATCCACAGGACTGCCTCAGAATGCTGGATCTTCTTGGATGGCTAGTGGTGAACAAAGAAAAGGGACCCGACGAGACAGGAACGCAGTAAGCTACAGACATGCTGAAATCATTATATAAAAATGATTCTTTTTTCAGCTCCTTGCTATGGGATGTCGACTGGGAATTCGTCGAGAAATACCATTACAATCCTTCGGTTTTCGACGAGAAGCTTCTCGACGTAAGTTTTCAAGCAACTTCCTTGAAAACCTGCTGTACATTTCAGTGGCAGCCTAGCAAGGACACTCCGATGGACGGGTTCTACGAGCTCACTCGCGCCAATGTGAATGAAGGCATGGAAAGGATGCGAATCCGACAGGACCTGCAGGAGACGCCCATGCGTCAGGACCAGAATATGGAAAAGTCAACACCGGCCACATCGTCAGCCATCCCTCCTGGATCACAAAAGAAAGTTCGTAAAGAAGTGAAAGTCTGTGTTGTTTGCAACTTTGTCACACAACTAATTTCAGGGAGGACGACGTCAAGCGAAGGGTCAGTCTTACAAGCGCAATCTGAAAAAGGAGCTGACCAAGAGAGTGACGGTTTCGGACGAGAAATCGGACTCTTCAGATGACGAAGACTCGCCCAAGACCAAGAAGAAGACGCCGAAAAGGAAAAGATGTGCAGGTAATTGAAGAAGAGTTCATTATCCGTTCTTCCTCTTCTCACCGTCCCATGTTATCTGTTCCTAAGCCTTAGTCTTCGCTTAAATGATTTCTACTCTCCTACTGTCTTTCCCGATTTCCCTCTTATCCTTCCTGTGATATCACCTTCTCCCTCCCCCATTCTAGCTAAATCTCCTCTAGTTTTACTCGTTATTCGCTCTCTTCTCCCTATCACTCGCTCTCAGTTCGAACTTTCTTATTCTTGATGAATAAACGATGCTTATTTAAGGAGAGCCAAAATTCATCGTGCTGCGAAACAGTTTGAAGTCATTGGGCGGTACCGCATTAGTAACGGGTTCTTATAATAATTTTCAGTGTATTTCTGAGGCCTCCAACATGAACAATGTAATTTCCAGATGCTGCCGCAAAAAAGGACGTGCGGAAAAGGGAAGAGGATTCTTCAGATGGGGATGGAGATGACGCCCCCGCACCGTCTTCCGGACGTCGTTGCAGCCAGAGAGCTCCGGAAAAGAAGCCATCAGCTGCAGAGAAGAAGCCGCCTGCTTCGTCGACATCATCCGAAAAAAGAAAGCACCGCAAGAAGAAAGAAGTGGAAGAGGATAAAACTTCGAAGAAGGAATCGGAGAGCGACTCAACTTCTTCGGAAGACGACGACGATGTTCCTTTCAAAGGACGTGCAAAAGGGCACAAAGGAAAGAAGGACAAACCGAGCAAAAATGTGAAGAAAGGTGAAGTTCGGAAGAGACAGTGCCAGATAAGAGTGGTCTGTAAGAAGTTTCCGCCAAGTTCCGGGAAGAAAGAGTGGACTCACTATCAGAAACCGGTTGAAGAGGAAGTGGTGAACAAGGAGAAAAGAGACAGCGATGGGGAACACGTCAATGGGGACTCGAAGACCGAAGCGACTGAAGAAATCGCAGCAGAGGACGATCATAACGGAAAAGATCAAGAGGCCAATTCGCTGAAGCAAGAGAAAGAAGTGAAGGACGACGGAGGAGATGGACTGGTGGTGGATTTGGATGTTGAGGAAGAAGAGCTAGCAAGAGTGAGTTGAAAAGAAGTTATGTGTATTACCGGGTTATCGACCTAGGTGATGGTGGAGAGCTAGACGGAAGCTCGGTGTATATAGTATAGAAATAAGAAGACCAGAATAATGACGTGTTAGGTTCTTGTGACACAGGGAGAGAGTGTGTGCGCACTGAGACGTAAGGGAATACGTGGAGAGAGAAGAGTGAGAGCTTGTACATGATTGTGTGAACACCTAAAGTGGTACACAACTAATGCTGAAAATCTGAAAACTGAATCTTTCTTTCAGGATTATGTTATCGGAACTCCGGCGTCATATCACTCGGACACCGAGGAGTTCTCTCCGCCGCAGGCTCGAGAATTCTCAAAGCAAGAGCCCATTGAAGAGAACGACAGTGCTCCTCCCCTCCTCGTCTCGCAAGTGGCAAAGCTCCATGTCTCGCAGCCGGCTCAGTTGGAAATTGAGGAGTCTGATGACGCGCCGCCTCCACTACTGCACAACGAGAACTACTCGTCCGAAGATGACGACGCTCCGCCGAGACTCTCTCCACAATACGGAAAGCAAGAGAATCACGTGCATGATGAGGAGAACGAGAAAGAGAAGTCCCCGTTGATGATGGGGACTGTGGTGGCCAACAACACTGAAGTGCATCATGGCGGACAATATCATGGCACAAGGACCACTCCTCCTGCAATGCACATGCCTCCGATGCAATCCAATCCGAATATTCTGCCCACTCCTCAGCATCCATACTCGCATCACGGTCCCGGATCGCTTCAACCACAAACAACTCCTGGGTCCGGAGGAGTCCCATCATGTGGAAGGCCGGTCTACAGCCACACAACCCCGGAGCAGGGACAGTTTATGAGCCCAATTGCCGGAATGCCTACTTCTGTTCCGTCTGTTCTCAACAACTCATTGGAATCAATTGGAACACCGTCCACCCTTCAACAGACACCGCAACAGCCTCAGCCGCATTTTGATATGGCTGCACTTGCGATGGCACAGGTGGGGAATCCAAAGAAAGAAAACCCATTCATGGGATAATGTCAATTTTCAGATGCAGCCAGACAACGGATTGATGAGTTGCACCAGCCAGATTGAGCAGCAGAACCAGCTTATGATGCAACAACATGGATTTAATAGTCCTCCTGGTCAGACGAACGGAATCCTCGTGCCACCACAACAAGCAGTTCCGCCGAAGCCAGTGATCCAGCCGACTCCCGCTCCTGCAACGGGACGTCGTCGTTCCGAGGCAGCGGCGCCACGCAAGCGAGCTCCGAGAGCACAGGCCCAAGCAGCTCTCACGATCCAACCTCCCCAATTCCCCATGCCCCCGATGACCCTGCCGTACTATCCGGGAACGTACGGAGCGCCGTACCAAATGTGGGACCCTAGCATTTATCAGTTCAACCCATATTATCCAACCAACATGCAGCACCATGTAAGCCAGGCTGCTTATCACCAGCAATTCATGGCTTACCAGTACAACCAAACTGGTCAAATGGGTGCCAATGCGGCAGCGGCTGCAGCCATCCAGCCACAGAACCCGGCGGTGTACCCCTCACACTGGTTTCCTAATCAAAACATGCGTTAGACTCGTGTATCATTCATATCCTATTTCTTACATTTCTCTATGGGTTAAAAGACGGAAACCGTTTTATTTATGTCGCACCGGAAAGTCACTGCAGTATTCTGTTTGACCAATTTCCTTTTTCTGATTGCTCATTGTACCTCCCGCTTTCCATTTTTATTCACTTCACCTTCCTGTCTTATAATATTAATAAAAATCATGAAGTTCATCACAAAGTATTCTGTATTTTATTAATAGTTCAAAAAGGTACCAAGAAGCTTTTGGACATGTGTTCTTCCAGAATAACTGTAAAATTTGTGAGAAAGGGAGTTATTGAAAATGAAAAGGGACTGTGAGAATCATTTCAAGAGTTTCGAAGATCAAATTGAAGATTGAGCGGGCAAAAATTGGAATGACAAAGCTAAAACGAATTACATGACTAAAATGTGATATGCATAAACATTACTAGTTGAAAAATGAAACCGCGATAGAACTAAATTTTTGTTCGGAGCGCCGCCTCTTTTATTTCCATTACCATTCTGTGGCGGTAATAATTCATATCTGACGAAGTGAAACCCGGCTCCTTCCTTCTCGAGCGCCATTCGGCAAACTGAACGGTGAAGATGCCGCAGTCTCCGTACGTCTGGCGCGGCGCCTGTTCCATGAAGTTGAAAGTCCATTCGTTCAAATTTAGAAGACCCGAACCTAGCATATCGTTCTTCATGGCCAGCAGGTCTCGGGCGGCATTAAGAATTTTCTCCGATTTTGCGAAGAATGAGTCGTAGTGGTCGACTCGTTTTGCCTTCTTATCGACCACGAGAAGGCTCCAGTGAGAGTCGGGACGGTGATGAACCGGTATAAACACGAGGTCACCATCAAACGCATCTTGAGGGATCCATTCCGTTATAATTTTTGCTTGTATGCGTCTGTCTTCCGTCATGAAATCGACGAAGATGGAGGCGCTCAGGTAGCTGACTGTCGGATAGCTGTCCGCCTGGCTTCTCTTCTTTATCAACTCAAGATATGAGTCTATCACGTTGTCGGTGACGAAGTTTCCACAATCCAGACTTTTGAAGTCGTCTGCAGCCACGATGACTCCTTCGATTATCTTCTTATGGAGGCGCCAGTTTGACAGCACACTGGTGACTTCTGCTTCTTCTCCTTCGGTGAGTTTCGGGAAGTCGTCCTCTCCTTTCATTTCCTCCGCGACAACTCTGAAAATAAAGATTATGAGGTGAAGGTTGCATGAAATTGGCACTTACTTGAAGCCATTGGACCTTAGGCTCTTTCTTGCAACGGGTGCTTGTTCGGAACTCTTACTCTTCTTTTTCAGACTCGACGGCTTCTTTTTCAGTTTGAGCGGCGTCGTCCTGAAACAAAAAGAGCAATTGATATGTTATTTATATTTTACAGAAATTTGTTGGTGCCTTTCACACTGTTCTTTAGATTCAAGTAATTTTCAGCATTTTTTTTCATGAATGGTTTCTTGAAATGCTTATCTTATCAGGAGTTTTGTTTTTTTTGTCATGAAAATCAGTCGTCAAAAACGAAATATGTGATTGGCAAAAATAACTATATTTTCGACCAGATTTTGCGGCTATACATGCAGATTACTAAAGAGGAATGTAGATCGAAGTGATAAATACTGACCTTGCCGCTTGACCTTTTTTATAAACTCTTTTCTTCTTGGGAACTTCTAGCAACAGATTTTCCTTTTCGACTCGTTCTGGATCCGTCTTGACTTGTTCCGCTTGCTCCAATATTCCGTTCTCCTTTTCCTGTGCGACTGGATCGGCAGGCTTGACATGCTCCGAATCTTCAGCCGGGTTGGATTCTTGTCGCGACTTCTCGGACTGGACCTTGCTAACAAGATCAGCAGACACGGCAGACTGGGCAGGCTCAGCAGGCTCGGAAAAGGCGATGTTGGCGATGTCGCTGAGCAGGACAGATTCAGCTGGTTCTTTCTGCTCCTCTTTTCTTTTCGGCTCATTTGACGCTTCCAACACGGCCTCTTCCTCCGGCTCGGTTGATTCACCAAAATCTCTCTTCCTCTCCTGATTGGCTTTATCGATGTGATCGGAATTCTCGAACTTGCCTGGAATGAAACGATTAACTAGCCCAAATTACTCAACGAGCTTACCGATCACTAAGAACTCTTCATTCTCGGCCGGTTTCTGCGCCTGGAGTGACTTCACCGGCTCGGATGGCTCATCCACACGCTTCTCTGGCTTCGCTGTTCCCTCCAACACCTCTTCATTCGTCGTCTCCACTGGTTTCTTCGGCTTGGCTGTGTCGAGGTTATTGCAGTTTTTGATCTTGTCTGGAATAAAGTTACTGTCTATCTCGGAATGCTTCGCGAACTTACCCATCAAAGAGGACTCACCATTCTCGGCTTGTCTCTGCGACTGGAGTGATTTGATCGGCTCGACCGCGTCGAGGCGATCGGAGTTCTCGATCTTGTCTGGAATAAAGTTATTGTCTATACAGGAATTCTTCGCCAGCTCACCATGCAGTGCGGATTTTCCATTCTCGGCCGGGTTCTGCCCCTGGAGTGACTTCACCGGATCGGATGGCTCATCCACACGCTTCTCCTGCTCCGCTGCTCCCACCGACAACGCTCCAATCGCCGGCTCCACTGGTTTCTTTGGTTCGGCTGTGCCGATGTTATTGCAGTTCTTGATCGTGTCTGGAATAAAGTTACTGTCTATCTCGGAATGCTTCGCGAACTCACCCATCTCTGAGCAGTCACTATTCTCTGCCTGTTTCTGCGATCGGAGTGACATTACCGGCTCGGTTGTGTTGATGTGATCAGATTTCTTGAACTTGCCTGGAATGAAACGATTAACTAGCCCAAAACACTCTACGAGCTCACCATGCAGTGCGGATTTTTCATTCTCGGCCGGTTTCTGCGCCTGGAGTGACTTCACCGGCTCGGATGGCTCACCCACACGCTTCTCCGGCTTTGCTGTTCCCTCCAACACCTCTTCATTCGTCGTCTCCACTGGTTTCTTCGGCTTGGCTGTGTCGAGGCTATTGCAGCTCTTGATCGTGTCTGGAAAAAAGTTATTGTCTATCTCGTAATGCTTCGCGAACTCACCCATCACTGAGGACTCACCATTCTCGGCTTGTCTCTTCGACTGGAGTAATTTCATCGGCTCGACCGCGTCGAGGTGATCGGTGTTCTCGATCTTGTCTGGAATAAAGTTATTGTCTATACAGGAATTCTTTGCGAGCTCACCATGCAGTGCGGATTTTCCATTCTCGGCCGGGTTCTGCGCCTGGAGTGACTTCACCGGATCGGTTGGCTCATTCACACGCTTCTCCGGCTTTGCTGTTCCCTCCAACACCTCTTCATTCGTCGTCTCCACTGGTTTCTTTGGTTCGACTGTGTCGAGGTTATTGCAGTTTTTGATCGTGTCTGGAATAATGTTACTGTCTATCTTGAAAGGCTTCGCAAACTCACCCATCACAGATTGCTCACCATTCTCTTCCCGTTTCTGCGATCGGAGTGATATTACCGGCTCGGTTGTGTCGATGTCGTCAGATTTCTTGAACTTGCCTGGAATGAAACAATTAACTAGCCCAAAATACTCTACGAGCTCACCATGCAGTGCGGATTTTCCATTCTCGGCCGGTTTCTGCGATTGGAGTGACTTCACCGGATCGGTTGGCTCATTCACACGCTTCTCCGGCATTGCTGTTCCCTCCAACACCTCTTCATTCGTCGTCTCCACTGGTTTCTTCGGCTTGGCTGCGTCCAGGTTATTGCAGCTCTTGATCTTGTCTGGAATAAAGTTATTGTCTATACAGAAATTCTTTGCGAGCTCACCATGCAGTGCGGATTTTCCATTCTCGGCCGGTTTCTGCGCCTGGAGTGACTTCACCGGATCGGATTGCTTATCCACACGCTTCTCCGGCTTCGCTGTTCCCTCCAACACCTCTCCAATCGCCGGCTCCACTGGTTTCTTTGGTTCGGCTGTGTCGATGTTATTGCAATTTTTGATCTTGTCTGGAATAAAGTTATTGTCTATCTCGGTTTCTTCGCGAACTCACCATGCAGTGCGGATTTTCCATTCTCGGCCGGGTTCTGCGCCTGGAGTGACTTCACCGGATCGGTTGGCTCATTCACACGCTTCTCCGGCTTTGCTGTTCCCTCCAACACCTCTCCAATCGCCGGCTCCACTGGTTTCTTTGGTTCGGCTGTGTCGATGTTATTGCAATTTTTGATCTTGTCTGGAATAAAGTTATTGTCTATCTCGGTTTCTTCGCGAACTCACCATGCAGTGCGCACTTCCTATTCTCGGCGATTTTTCCTGTTTCTTTCATATCAATACATTTTTCCGGCTTGGTACACTCTTCCGGTACGATTTTCTTGTTTGGTTTGGTTGACTTCTGTGCCTGAGTTGTGTTGATTCGAGCAACATTCGCAAACCCAACTGGATCAATTTGAGTGGTTGGTTTGTTGTTTGCAGTTGAATCCTTGATGGGCTCTCTGATGAGATCCGCCTGCTTCTTGGCCACGTTAGTGATCAACACACGCTCGGATGTTTCACCATCTTTGTAGATCTTTTTTTTGATGCTGACAGGTCTCCAATTGACTCGGCTCTTGTAGTTCCAGGAAAACATAACCGAGTTTTGTGGAATCGCCTTATGATTCTTGAGCAAATCGAATCTCTTGGAAAACGCATCAAAGAGGAGGTCGAAACTGCAATAAGACATGTTTTTCAAAAGACTAAAAAAATCTCATCCAGTGATATCAAAAATCTGTGAATGTCATTCAATTTGGCATACATGCAAATCATGAGGGATGACTCTACCACTACCCCAGTATTTCGAACGACTGGTCATAGACCCTAATCTTCAAATACTCACTCGTAACCTGAATCTTTGTTTGTGTGGTCAGTGGTGGAAATTCTCTTCCGTTTAGATTTTTTGTCTCTCAAATGAGTCGGCTCCTTGCAGGGTCTCTTAGGCGATTTGAATCTACTACAATTGTCAAATAAATTCTCATATTGATTAAGAACTCACAATTCCTTTTCAGACGTGTTGTCCGTATGCGATCTTTTCTGAAGAAGGCAGGCAGATCTCCGAACGTTGGCTGTGCTCGTGTGTGCCTTGTCATTTCGGCTTTTGAATGCGTACTTACCGGTTGTTTGCGACATCTGAAACATGCTGTTTGAAAAACTATAAAGAGACGATTTCACATTTGAAGCTTTTCGCCGACAATCATTTGGCTCAAATTTTTTATAATCTAACTTCTCGAGTCCACAAGCAGCGCAAAGAAACTGTTATCTGAGACCACGCGACATTCGGGCAGGAGGATAGAGGACACACGGAGGGGGAGCGTTCTTTTCTCAGAAAAATGGGTACTATAGACGAAAGAAACAAGAAGGCAAGTAAAAATCGGCTGCTCAACAATTTCAAAGCGTTCGAATTACAACTGGTTAATTTTTAAAGCATTTCCTTCAAAAACCGGGAGTTCAGTAAGATATTGGTTTTCTCTGGTGCCTTCTGGGTCGGAACTGATTTGCACGTTTGAATAACGTCAGAACAAATAGAGGTATCCACTGACAAAATGACAACCGGCGCCACCTTGTCGCGCTAGTACCCGTAGTCGAAGAAACTAAAAGAAAACACAGCTTTGAACGCTTCGATCAATCTATAGTCCCCAAAGTCCATCGCTCTCCCAGCCCTCCTATACAGTATTTAACAAAGGATTGATTACGAGAAGCCAAAAAAACGCATTAGAAAAATGTCAAATGCATGCACAATGAAAAAGCTATAGACACGGCGCCATCGAGTGTGGGAACGGTTGAGGGACGAAATGGCATATGCAATGAAGAAATGGCTCCAAAAACATACCGATTGAGTGTTGAGGCTAATCTGGTGAACTTTGGGAAAGGAAACCTATTGGCAAAGTAAGCCGATACTGCTCAAGATGATCAGATCATCAGGAGCTATCAGAAAATCTCTTAAAACTATCGGACAGGCATTTACAGTTCTCCGGTCAGGGGGCCTGTCTGAGCCTGACCACTTGTACTATTCCATTCAGATTCAAATTTTAAAGGCTTCTTGGGCACGTATCCAAGAAGATTGTCCGGTTTCGAAATATGCCCCGGCTTTTCGCAAAATGCGTAGAACAATTGCAAGTAATTCAAAAGTTCAGGCTCACACTGGCCTTCGAAAAGCCCGGGCCGGACATTTCTCAAACTTACCTCCCTTCTCAAGTTCCAGGTCAAATAAGCTTTAAGGAAAGGCGAGCGCGTGCGTATTCCAGAGCCGAAACGTTAAAAAAGGGGACGAGGAAGCGAAGGGTGCTAGTACAGAATGTTTATGAAAGTGCCAGCCCGCGCGGAGAGGGTCGTAAAAAAGAGAGGAACGGGCGGAGCGGGGCACTGTGCACCGTGCCGACAGGCCCTTCCTCTTCCCGCGTCTCTTTTTCCAATATCTCTCTTCCGTACGCCGACACAATCAGACTAGGATTGTTTATAATATGTAGAGCTTGTGTAGTCATCATGCAACGCGAAAAATCTCTGATGTGAGATCACCAGAAAGTCGAAGATGAGGATAGAGGAAACGAAAAGGGAGAGCGTTCTCCGTTTCTCCACTGGAAAGCAGGAAAAGTGATTTGAAATATAGCTGTACGGTTAAGCAAATAGACGGAATTCTCCAAAAATTTTGAAGGTCAGACACCCAAAGTACAATGCCATTAAGCGTGGACACGTCAAAGGGAGACAAGGAAAGGACAACGACGAGAGAAAGTAATCGGTTTTCGGCTCTGATTTTTTTCAAAAGTATATCTGTACAACAAGGGAAAAATGATGATGAAAGAACATCTCATTTCAAAAACGCATGCAAGGGGTGAGCACGATCAGTATAACCATACATGGGGTACAAAACGTATTGGGGGGCAGTGCATTGTATGCAGATGAACTCCCTCAATGCACAATAATTTAGTGATAGAAGGGAGGCTCAGAGGTAATGACGGTATAAATTGATTTGATATGCAGGAGGGGAACGAGAGGCCTGTGCTTACTCATCTTCTTTGCTACTGTGTTGAGTTTCGAGGAGGCTTCCTGTCTGCATCTCGCTGGCCACCACTTTTTGATAGGCGGACCATTGGTAACCCGTCGCTTGCTAATGTTTTTGTTTCTTTTTTCCAACATTTTTCCTGATTACGATGTGTCACTTTATCAAAACAAAGTAACCGTTTCGCAAATCGTTTCTTTCCTTCCACTCGCAGACAGTGACTACCAAAGCATTTCGGAAGAAAAATATCTGTCGATGACTCTTCACGCATATACTCCTTGATTTCACAAGCTATTGTCTGCGTCTCTGCGAATCTATGCATCTCTGAAAGATATGGATTTTTTTCAGAAATTCTACCGTTTCCGTCGTGCGTACACGTACCGCGCTGCTTCTAGAGCACCGCCTCTTCTCGCCCGGCTCGCCGAGCCCAAGAAGTCTAGTCAGCTCTGAAATTTCTGAAAAACTTTTTGCCATCAGATAACTTTTTTATTCTCCTTAGACTAATGTTTCGGTCAAACAAACCGTCTTATTTTTCAAACATCTGCGCCCAGTCAGTATAGATTTTTGCTCACTTCAGAGCGCAGAAGTTGCAATTCCGGTGATGAAAATCTCGACGGCGAAATGGGAAATGGCTGAAAGGTATGTCTACTCAAATTCAGTTCTAGCCGTCTCAAATAACTGATATCAATGTTTTCCCAGGATTCTGAGGATCCTCGCCGCGTTTGCCCTCTGCCTCTCCCTCATCGTCCAAACCGCTCAGGCGGCCTTCTCCGAGTACGGCGTGGACTCCGAGTGGAACATGGAGTCCAACCACCAGTAAGTACTGCTAAAACCGCCGTCTTATTGGAAAAGTGAGAACATTCGCGTTAATTCAGGCGGTCCCTCGGAGGCATGGACGTCGTCGGACAAGAACAAGTCTACAAGTCATGGAAGAAGGACTTTTGGATTGAGGAGAGCAGGCCGGAAATTGGGAAGGCTGCGGAGTTTCTGTGAGTAACATCTTCGAACACTTTTCGCGAGACCGAGATCGAACTTTTGACTTCCTCACCGTTCGAGCTGATCGGGCCGGGTCGTCAGGCCTGTTTGGGCCTTCTCAGACGCTCTTTTTCTGGTTGCCGTGCGCAACCTAGGGCTAGACACGCCCACTTGCGAAAATGGCATGATACAAGCAGATTCATTGGCGGCAAACCGCAGCCCCTTCATTTTGAATCAGATCGTTTTGAATCTTTAACTAAAAACGGTTCATAGCCTCGGTCACCTCGGACTCGACGACGACGGTCATGTGAACATCACCGTTTACATGACCTTCCTTCTCGTCGCCTGCCCAACCTCTTCCACCCGTCGTCAGTTCGCACTGAGCGTAGAGAACAAGACGAGAGCGGTTAGTTTCTGCTGAAAATTAGCAAATGAAATGAATGATTTTTCAGAGGCTTGTTCTCGCGCGAATGTGCGAGTCTTCGCATCAATCGATTCTTCGCCATTTCTGCACAGAGCGGCCGTGCGCAACGATCGGTTTTGACGGTTTGTCGGATTTTTGACACTATTTCTCGAAACTAATCAAAACTACTCTTATTTCAGGATGGAAATGGTGGACCAACGACTCGATCGTTCGTGTAAAGGCTGTTGCCGGGTGCAGCAGCGAGAGCTCCGGTTTGAAATCGCTATTTTTCCAAACTAACTGCACGAGCGACTTGACCGCGTTTGCATACTTCCTCATCGTCACCGCCATCTTTCTCATGCCTGTTTTCCACTTCTTGGCCCTCTTCAAGCTTCGGAACAGGCTCGATTCGCAAGATTTATACCCTTACATCAAGTAATTAATGATTACAGAACCAAGAAACCGTGCAAAGAATTCAATCCGCGATTGCCATTCGATCCGAAGGAGGTGATCAGAGAGACGTTGGAGCGAGCCAACAAAGCTCAGAAGAAAAAGTTAATTTGATTCTATGAATTTTTGAGTCCATGTTAGTTTTCAGAAGCATAGCAACGAATTTCAGCGAGTATGGTCAGCAAGTCAGATCCGAGAGAGTGGAAAGATTCGGAAGTACCGTCGTTACCGACGTTGCATCGGTGGAATCAGGCCAAGAATCGGAGCCTCAGCTCCCGTTAGTTCCAGAGTTCACATACGAATTCTCATTTCCATGTTCAATTTCAGTGTGCCAGCCGTCTCAAAGGCAATTCAAACGCCGGTTCCAAATAAATGGTCCCGCATCTACCGAAAAAATGAAAAGAGTAACCACAACGCTGAGTTGGTTTTTATATTTTTTTTAACTCTAAAAGTGCTAGATTTCCGCTGTACATCTTCCTGTTAAGAATCCAAGTTTAGTAGCACAATGGACGATTACAGGGACACACTGTCGAGGGAAGAAATCGAGCTGTCCATAATCTCGCCAATCAAGCTAGTTTCTACATGGAAGACATCACATTTACGTTTGCTTTCAGATGCTCAGACGGCGACGAACTTGACCACGACCGCTCTTCGAACCGATCGCTGAAATTGAATGCCGACAGAGAGGAGACGAAAAGCTTCAAAGTTGTTATGCCCCCGTTTGTTTCAGCATTTGAAGAAAAATATGATTCACTCCATTTTCAGGCGCTCTACGGTAGCCGTGTACAAAAGCACTCTCGAGAACTTGTGGTCCCGCGTTCTCCCACAGAGCGAGGTTTTGGTCAGAAGGGACGGAATCATCGTCGAGAGACAAGACTTCATGAGTCTGAGTGGTTCACAGCTACTGACCGACGCCGTCCTCGACCTCTACTTTGCCCTCATCACCGCCAGAAGCTCTAGATCCGGGTTTGTATCGGCAAGCCGACTGCCGTGCTTCTTCTTCGAAGCTTTCATCAACCAAAAGGCGGTTGCCAGAACGAACTTTGTGAACGAGTGGGTCGATAAGCGCAGTGCCCAGACGAATCTTCTCTTCATCCCGATTCACGACAACGAACATTGGACCCTCTTTATAGTGAACCGCGTCGAGAAGACAATCTCGTACTACGACTCTGTTCGTGGCAATTCAAAGGAGAAGCTGGTGGAGGCGAAGGAGCTGATCGAATTGACAAACGCACTCCACACCACGTCGAAGGTGGATTGGATTGAGTGGATATTCTTCTCAGTCCATGACGGCCCGCAGCAGACGAACGCTACGGACTGCGGAGTTTTCATTGCCCAATACGCGGAGTGTGTGTCGAGAGGAGTGAAGCCAACATTCGGACAGAACGACATGATCCACTTCCGAACAATGATGGCATTGGAGATTTGCCAGCAGCAACTGTTTCTCCGGAAATGATGTTTCTTAGGTGTGTTGTGTCTCTCTTTTTTTAGGCTCTCTTCAGAACTTGCAATTACATTCCTCTGCACCAACAAACGCTCCTGCCCAAAGCTTTCTGTCTAAAATTCGAACTGATGTTCCTCATTTTCCAGTTTCATGAGTCATTTTCCATACATCACTGCCATTCTGAAATGTTTCTTATTGTTCACAATATCCGTGAGGCCTTTCCCTTTATCACTTATTCCCAGATCCTCCTTTTCTGATCTAAACTGACTTTTGATCCTCCTCATCACCACGAATCGTGACATCGTTAGAATTGCCATTTACTTTACATTAGGCTCTAGATCCCATTCTTTTCTTAGCTGTAATTGTTTTACTGTTTTGTACGTGTAGCACTACTCCCTGTGAATCTGTTTGACTATGATGAAAATCGAATAAATGTATACAATCATAACTATTTAGAATTCTAGCATCATCTTCTTCTGCTTCTCCTGTCCCGTTCTTCAACCCATCCCCGCCGTAGACCCCCTTGCCAGCTATCAAGTTTTTGTCATTTGAATGGGAATTTGAAAGGGACTCTGAGTAAGTAATGCAAAACAGATTTCACTCAAATTTCGATTTATTCAGGTGGCAGGCAGCTTTCCAATATTGGAGAACAGACAAGGACTGGCGCACCGGACCACAACTACCTGGTGGAAATGGCAGAGATAGAGAGAGAGAGAGTGTTTTGCAAAAAGAAGGAACATTTTAGCATTTTGAAAAGGTTATGCAAAAAATGCAGTTTTATTACTAGAACCATTGCAGTTAACGCTGGGAAAAACTGAACTTTGCAAAACCAAGGTCTTTTCAATTGTTTTTCTTTCAATATATGTCTAGTCACTGCAGCACAGGGCCGAGTTGAGACTGAAGCTCTCAAATTGGGAATGGCTAGACGGTCAGCCCCAAGATTGTTCGCTATTGTGACAGACGATGATAAAATCCCTCAGCATGAGCACGCCAGGGTCGACGGAGTAACCCAGGCGCGGATTCTCGAAGAGACACTTGCGTTCAGAACTATCGGACCATGCCCGCTTTTCCAAGATGTCGAGTTAGTTGTTGAATGATGAAATTGTGATCACAATATGCAAATTTCAGGTTCAAGTTGCCAACGCTTACGACAGGTGTCAACGACGTCTGGTTCACACTTATTAGCAACACAACAGTGCGGACCGTGTGTGATGTTATAAAAGTGACGAGAAGAGATTTCAAAAGTCTGGAAGCAAATAATTTACTGACGAACAACGTTCTGGACGCCTACTTCACGATGATCAACGTCAGAAGCTGGAAAGGTTTTGGGACAGCTTGCACGATCTACTGCGTCCCGTGTTTCTTCTTTGAAGCGTACTGCAAAATGTATTCTCAACATCTGTCAGTTTTCGTGAGGGAGTTCATCCAGAAAAAGATGATCAGAGCGAAAATGCTCGTGATTCCGGACCACAGGTTCTGTCATTGGTCTCTGATCATCGTGGATTTTGTGGATAGACGAATTTCTCGTTACGACCCGATGCGAATGAAGTCTGATGAGGCTCTGGAACAGGCAAAAGAGTTGATCACGCACGTTCACTCTCTCCATTTCAAGAACTACGTTCGGGACTGGGCAAATTGGCTGTTTACCCACGTTGAAGACGGTCCGAAGCTGACGAATGGATACGACTGGGGAGTCTTCGTTACGCAGTACGCGGAGTGTTTGAGCAGAGAAGTAAGGCCGAATTTCAAGCAGAAACATATGCGGGATTTCCGGAAGATTATGATGGTTGAGATTAAGAATCAGCAGATTCTTCCCAGAACATAACATCACATTCAATTTTACTAATTTCAAACTCCCGTCTGTTTTTCAAACATTTCATTTCCAGTCCAGTTGTCTGTAATTTCCATTTCTGTAACTGCATTTTCATATACTTCCCCTCATAAGGTTTCTTCTCAGATCCGTTTCATCCTGTTCCATATTCCCTGCCAAACCTTAGAGAATTTTATCGACTGAACTCAACAGACGAAATGAAATTGATTGAAAATTGAAGAATACGTGCGAAAATTAGAAAAATTTGGAAAAAAGGGCGAATTTGAGCGAACATGGAGAGAAATAAAGTTTTAATGATGAGTAACAGCAAAGTATTAGCAGACGAAAGGAGATTGGTAGAATGTAATGCAAGGATATTAGACTAACTAGCAGCTTGGACAGTAAAACGAAAAAGGGAACGAAGTCAATCAATACACAAAATTGCATGCAAATTTGAAAAGATAAATCAGTCGATAGCCGTCGTTGGAGAATCATCACTTTTTTCTTCTGGCTCGTTCTTCACAGACGGAGCGACCACCTCCATTTCTTCTCCTTTCAGGAATCTGAAAATAAGAATGTTAAACTCGAACGATAATCTGGGCAAGTTACTTAAGCATATTGCGGACAAATGGATATTTGCTCCCTGTGAACATCATCGGATTGGCGATAAACACGACGCGTTCCTGTGCGAGCTTGAAGACGGTGATCCATGAAGTCAACGGAAGAAGGATGAGCCCCCAGTTGCCTATAAGCAGAAACTATTGACACTAGAAATACATCTATTTAAAAAGTTACCTGATTGCGTCGATGTTGTCATCCCGTAGATGACTACGGGAATCGGTTTGGCCCATCGGAAATCTATCGGTAATCCCACTCTCACTTCTTTGCTGAACTTCGATAAATCGAGAAGGCGACTGATCTCGTCGATCTAAATTATAGGTAATATGTTCATAAGAACATAAACTTTGCGGATACCTGGGTGACGAATTCGGCGAGGATACAGATGTCTTGCGGCGAACGCCCCGCTCTAATCAGCTCTTCCGCCTTCTCGACTACGATCTTCGCCTCATCCGGATTGAGTCCGTCTTGTCCGGCTTTTTGATGAGTATTCTTGTACAACGTTGTGCTGCTGACAAAGTCGATCACTCCCGGGTTCTGATTGTTGCATACTTTCAATCTCCCTCCGTACACGCCATGGTTTATCCATTTGTAGTAACTCTTAGAGATAGCCGTGATTTGCAAAAAAGTGGTCCAGTTGGCCTTCGTACAGTGTTCTTCCCTGCATTTGTTATGTCTCAATTGGTCCATGATGTCATCCGCAAGGCTCGTTTCCCTGTTAATTTTGCCTTGCCTGATGTCCAACGAAATGACAAACGCCGCGTCTTTCCTTTTTTTCGGGGAGAATATGTATCGATAATGGGGAAAATTCAGGTATGAGGAGTCGTCTGAAAATGATTCATTAATGAAAACGCCCGATAAAACAATCATCACCGATCAATATCCCATCGTATTTCCAGTAATCTGTTCTGATTATTTTCAGGAAGCTCTTATGTTCTATGTGTCCTATGACAATCTTACAGCCTTCAAAGATTTTTTTCTGAAAAAACTGTTGTTGTAACATATATGTTCAGGAATCTGTAATATCTTACCTTTTTCTCGGCGCTTTTTTTCTTATTTCTGGTTCCCATCAATTTGATTTCTAGCTCTTCGAGATTGAGCACAGCTCCGTCGGTATTCAGAGCTTCTGGCCACTCCGCCTCGGTCTTCCTTTTCTCAAACTCCCTCAGAAATACCTCGTACGCTTCCGCACACGGCGTGGTGCAGACCACCGTCTTCCCCATTGTGACCCATTTTAGAGCACATTGTGTAAGAAAACGGGTTTTTCCTGTAGCCGGACCGCCCTGAAAAAAAGATATAAGGCAAAAATCAATTTGTAAAAAGAAGAACTTACATTGACGAAGAGCTGGCTGAAATGCTCTTCTTCAAGCCGGGAAATCGCCTCTGTTACCGAGGTTGTATGGATGTTCTCGCAGATTTTTCCGATTTTCAATTCTTCAACTGCTGGCATCACGTCTTGGCAAGAACTGCTCATTAGGATCTGTAAAGAGTATTGACGGAACGGGGGACCAGGAGCACATTTTGAAGGTACAGTTGGCTATAGTGCATACCGCCATCCAAGAATCCGGGATGACACTTTCTACTCGACGGGTGGTCCATAGTGTCTACCCTCAACGGAGGACCTATTACCTCACACACCCGCGTGTTACGACATTACACCCGTTTCGAACCGTCATCGGCAAGGCGCACCAATTGCGCAACCCCCGAAACGAATGAGTTTACGGTAACGCAATTGAGAAACACTTGGTGAGCAGGAAAGGCTATCGAGAGATGAGTACGGTGGGTTAGGTAGTAGAAAAGTACTGAATGATGTTTTTTTTCTCGAAAGAACGAAACAGTACATAAAAATCTGAAATTTTCTAAATTCTGAAAATGAGAATCCTGATAGGGATTTTAAACGAATTCCTATAAATCCCAATTAGGCCCGGCAATAAACGCCGGAAAACTGTGCTGTTCGTCGTGACGGTGTGCGCACACAAAGCAGCGCGACGACATTTCGAGGTGATCGACGGCGCAAAAAGAGTTGTACTGGACGGAGACGGGACCGTTCCAAACAGATGGTCCCCTAAGAATCGTTCGTTAGAGTTTCCATGCGGGTGCGTGTTTTGGGGAAAGTTATATATAATACAATTATTTAGATACATGTCAGAAATCATTAATTTTTCAATCGCCTGCATACGAGCGGACCTATTAGTGGTTTGATCTTGCACGCAAACATTTCTCACGCTCATGCATGTATTCGAAAGAGATCTTACATTTCAGGATCAAACATCCTCTTTTTCTTGGTAGACTTGCTGATTACATGTAGATATCATGTATCTGGAAATAGAATGTCATGATATGTAGAAAACGAGAACAAATTGTTATCTTGGAAGATTCTGAAAGTGCTGAAAACATCTTGTGAAAATGATGTGTAAATTGTTGGTTCCAGTAACGCGAAAATTCCTCAATCAGGGAAACAAAACATGTGGTTGAATATCGGACGAGATGACACTCTGACTTTATACGCCAAATTATTTCTCTTCTACCCGTGCAGGAACCGAATTCATCATTCTATGTGCATTCTAACTGACATTAAAAAAATGTCATGCGCTTGCTCATTGCTCATATAATCTTTTCTCGGAAAAAATACAAAGTCTTTTGGCGCTAATCTGTTCTTTCAGGAGATGTGGAGGAGATTAGGTAGCCTACCTTTCCCAGTGCGCAATTGGTCTTAACTAAAAGGTAGTCGGGTAATATTGCGAAGCGGGTAAAGGGGAAGGGGGTTGCACAGGGTGTTCGTTGCGCGTGCTGTGCAGGTGTACTGAGGACCCTTTTCCAAGCAGTAATTAGAAAGTGTTCCTCAGAATTGTGCCCTTCCTTCCAAACTACTTTGACAATAGCACCTTCTATGTACACACATATTCCAACCTTCTGAGCGTCCCTTCGGCATTTCCTTTTTCCTCTTCCCCTTGAGACCCATCAATCAACCCATTGGCAGCTCGTTATGACTTTTTCGCACTGCACCCGGCAGAATCGAATCAAAACGATTGAATTTCAGCCGGCTTTCTGCCAGGTGCCAGGAGCAGACTTTTGAAATTGCAAGTGAAAGTGCAAAACGACGGAGAAGAGCGGAGGAGGACTGTTTTGAAGGATTGCAAACTCGCTTGAGTTGAATTCTAGGAAGGACGATTAATTCGGGTTCAACGCCGACATCCGTAAACACTTTGGCTTCGATGGAATTCATTACAGTTTATTGCGTTAAGACGGGAATTATGCGTTAAATTATCTCATGAAGATCAAATGAAGAGTGTCGATGGACGGGGGGTTGGCGATCATCGGAGACGAGGCGTGTCCGGGCAGCAACTTTTCCTCAGGTACGTCTCAGTGCATGAAACCGTGCAGCAATGCGTTCCAACGTTGGCTCCCGTCACTGAAAAGAAACAATGAGGATCAAAATGGTTTTGAGTTTAGGGTATCTTACTTGCTGTGCATGGACCTCCGCAGACTGACTGGATGAATAGCATAAGTGTTGCCGAGCACTTCCGCGTAGCGCCCGATGGCATTCTGGGTGACCGAGGCATTAATCTAGTAGTGTACTCTCGAATATCCAGTCCCATCTCGACATCTTTGAGAAGCTCAGCTTTTCCCACAAGGGCGCAAATGAGAATAATGGTAATGGGTTGCATGTTGAGATGGTAATTAGGGGAGCTGGTTTGTGGAGAATACTTCTAAGCTACGAAAGCTTCCCTTTTATATGAGAAGGGGCGGAGTCCGTAAACTGCACAAACGGGGCGGGACATATCGAGATAAGGCAAAAAAGGGAGAGGAAGCGAGAAATGAAAAGTGGGTGGTACACGAGTGAGAATTCAGGTGACCATGAATCATCGGAAGACGTTGATACGCCGGAATCTCACGTCACGAAGTACTGGGTACATGCAAATATTTGATAATGAACCGATTTAGAAAACGGATCCGGAATTTGTGGTTCGTAACGTTGAGGTGTACGATTCTGGCAGTCAAACGAGTATACAAATCGGTTCACTTCTTCCCGGATATTGCTAAAGTTCCGGACAAATCTTTCAGACCGATGCCCAGGACCCATGATCTTTACACATTCCCACAAATGATTCGTCACGAGACAAAGTCTGCACTCCTCTTCTTCCTTTTCTGTGTTCTCAGAAGTGCACTCGGTCGGCAGTTGGTCAAAATTACCGGTTATCTGAATTCGCAGCAAGGAAGAACAACGTGTTGCTTCCTAACACACGTCACTTTCCATTTTAAGGAGCCATGAAAGCTTCGTGAAGTGCCAATTCTGTCCATCTCTTTTCAGACAGATTTATGCGTACCAACCAGTATAAAGGCAGGACGGGAATTTGTCAGACACATTCACTTCCCAATGAGAACTCTCTTCTTCTTTGTTTTTTTCCTTACTTTGTCGGCTTCTGTTGCTGTACCTTTCCAGCACGGCGCGGTTCGGAATCTTCTTCGATTGGAAGAACAGTTAAGAGCTATTCAACGCAATAGAAAACAGCTTCTCGGCATTTTGTCCGGTAATCGGAAGAAGATTGATCGGAGAGCCGCAGTTCTGTGCGAGTCTAAGCTCTTTGAGAACGATCTCAAAGCCAGGATCAAGTGGGTCACTTCATCTTGAGAAAATCTGCTAAGGGCTTACTATCTTAGATTATCTCAATAGATATCTCGCCACCGTAAGCTGCGATGACCCCTGCGTGGAGAACAATGTATCCGATCTCATTGTTTCATTAATCCTTCGTGAGTATTAAAGTATACACACTGTTAGATTTTATCTACTCTACACTTCTCTACAAAAATCAAGTTACGACATCAGAAAACGCTCGGTGTAAGTTGAACTTTATTCTTCAGCCTTTCCAAGCACCGATGACGTGTTGGAGACCCAAATGCAGGCATAGAAGAAAACGTTTCTTTTGCAGATACTTCATACCTAAATTTAATTTTCAGGCTCTTTTCCTCAAACCAACGATCAAATCATAAATTCCTATTTCCGCTAATCCCATTGGATGCGTTAGTAGAGAGTGATTGTTCGTTTCACTTTGATGCTTAAAGTGATCACCGATCAGTAAAGCCTGTGTTGTTGACAAATAATTTGCAAAGTTCAAAGTTCATTTTTCGCGGAAGTTAGTGCACAACGACAGTCTGCTGTCGGGCAAATACTGGACGCACTGTGATTGTGCGTGAAAAAACGAAACCATTGTTGTTCGCATCAGGTCGCTTCTGTTTATTTATTTATTTACGAACGCGAGGTACATTATGAGTGATCGGTCTGAAAAGAGCTGAAAAGGTTTCTGTTCTCACGTAAAACGGCTCAGCAAAATTCTATTCTCAGAATTGAGAGTTTGAATACACGATTTCCAGGAGAAGTAAGGAGATTATCACGTATTAGGCACCTGTTCTGCGCTTTCAAACGGATATTTTTATATTTCGGAGTAACTCGGCGGACTAACGATCATTCGGAAGTGAGCGGTAACGTCAGAAATGTCCAGATTGCAGCACGCCGCCTTCTAGACCCTGCAATCTGAATATTAGTGACTGTGGGGCTCGGTACAGCTATTCTAGTGGTCGCAATTGATGTAAAACTGAAGGGATATGACCAAATGAAGATATAAACTCAATTGGGCCCACTACAATACCTGGTACGAGCACTACTGTCACTAATAACCAGAATGCAGGGCCAATAAAGCAGAGTCGTTTTCATTCAGTTTTGACTCAATTGGGCCCATTTGTGGGAGATAATTAGTGTGAGGTACTTCTCCTTACAAATGACTTGGGAGACTAGGGTGATACAATAATTTATTATAACAAGAACGATGACATTGGGATGAACTCAAAAAGAGTACCGGAAGAATATCGGCACATCGCAAAAAAACACGGAGGTAGAGGAGAAATCAAACAATAGTTGGAAAGCAACTAATTATAATATAAAATATACAAAACGGTAATTATGGGTGGGTGGATTGGTCACTATTAATTCAAACAACGGCGAACTCGGCTCGGGGATGTTCTTCTGTTCGGAAGCCGGAACAATGAAAGACGATAGTCCGGGAGTCTTCTTCGCAGATTGAGGATCGATTGGAGTAGAAGTCATCGGCTTTGCGGAGAATCGATCTCCCTTCACAGTCTGGAGACCCTTGCCGGCCAGAAACGCCGCCATCTTGCGCTTCGTCTCAGCAATTTCGGTTCCGTTGGCGTGGTCAATTTCCGAAAAGACCTTCTTCCGAACGTCCTCCTTTTCCTGATCCACCTCCTCCACAATCTGGTGGGCCCTGTTGGCCGGAAACGCTTCCATCTTGCGCTCAGCTTCAACAATCTGGGAATCGTCAGCGGGGAGAATCTCAAACGGGTCCTTCTCCTGAGCGTCCTTCTGCATCAGCTTCACAGCCTTGAAGCGACAATTGACTTCATTTGTGCCATGAGAATCGACCGTATGGCGTGGGCTCATCTTGTGAGCGGAGAGCGCCCAAATTGAGCGTTGTCACTTGCGGTCCTGGATTTTTATCCTGAAAAACAAACAATACAGTGCTAACGATAAGAATTCTTATATTTTGGAGGTACATCCAGAGCGAGAATAATTATTTGTCATGTGAAAAAAACCCGGTACAAATTTTCCGAGGTGGCGACACAAAAACTGGGTCACTAACACAGATAAGTACAATTCAGATCTGTCCCAGTTTTACCTCTCTTCAATACCGTTTCATCAATCTTTATCTTTTCACTCAACAAAATGAACGAGTTGAATAGAAAACACTGCTAAACCGGTATCATACCAGGACCTACACTTTTAGTTTTTATCTGACACTTACACTTTGCGTGGGAGTCGTCAGAACAGCACTGACCGTCGTGGTGAACAACTTTTTGGCCGACTTCTCGAACGCCGGCAATATTTTCTCCATCGCAGCGCGTTCGTCAAACTTGTTGGTCCCGCTTTTCCGTATGCTCAGCCTTCTCAACAATCGGCTCTTGTGGCTTGGTCGGAGAAGTCCACATCGTCGGTAAACTCATGCCCTCTTGTGGTGGTGGCAAAGTGGCAGACGAAGTGGCGGGCAAACGGAAAATCATGTGAGGAATCCCCACCCGATGATATTGAAGCGTCTGTTGTCTCCATTTATCTCCTCTCAATGCTTGAAGTCGTACGTTCGCTTCCTGAAACATCTCCTGCATCCTAGCCTGTCTGTTCTCCTTTTTTGGACTGAAGACAGAGCAGAGACTGGCAAAAATCTGAAATATCATTTTGTTTTACAAAATCGCAACGGGTAACCACTCACATTTGGCCGCTCGAACGCTTCCTCGGTGCGTTCACCAGCAGGCACGTACGGAAGGGTATCCGTGGCGTTCTTGCCGGCACTGGAGATGGTTTCATCCGGCAGCATGACCACATGGTGAGTCGAGTTCATATCATGGTAGCCAAATTGTATGGTCGAATCGTATGCACGCAGCTCGTTGATTAATTCCTCATACCTTTCGGCCGTCGTTCCGCTGATTCCAGCCAAGTGTTGGATGATCCATATCCACAAACTTGCATCTGGGCGACGGATCTCCGGAATAGGTGATTATTGATTGATAATTTGAAAAAATGTGAACTGAACTTACCACGTGGGAATGCTCGACGCCGCGACTGGAAGACGCTATGGCGCCGGAGAATAGACGGCTCCGCGCAGTAGTGGGAGAAGACGGTAATGTCATTCAGGCCTGCAAGGACAGTTCTGAAACGAATGCAAAACAGCGACGACAAGAAAAGAAAACGAAAGATCAGGAATGCGGAAAAATCGATTGATCGGCTCAACAACGGCTAACTTGCAGCATGTCTTGAAAACGGTGAGAGCGGCGGCAAACTGTTCGGCAAAACGGAGTTGAAAACAAATGGTTTGAAACAAAAAACAGTGTTTGATCGAACGTTTCAACCGGAAACGCGCGGAGAGCGCGAAGAAATCCGAAAGGTGAGCGAGCGCACCGGTCGACTGGCTGAAACGAATGGCTGAGGAGTGACAGCGATACGTTGCAGACAGAGACAACAAACCCACCAAAATAGAACCCGGACGATGCATTCAAATGTCAGTGACGTAGAAACACAACAAATGGCGCGGCGCGATTTACTTGTGTTGTGGGCAGAAAAATAGCAGTTTCAAGACAACGGCATCTTCGATTTCGATACAAGTTGTAAGCATAAAATCATTTTGGCGTTCTTGGCGACAAGCGTTGGTTTTAGATGGTTTAAGGGCGGCAAACTTCCGATTATTGTCAGCCTGTTTCCATCTGTTGCTTCAAATTCGGCTGAAATGTAAGAAAAAGAGCAACAGGAGAACTCGCAGAGCCAAAAAAAAAGGATTTTCTGTTTGCTTTCATGGCCCTGTACGGCGGTCCAACATAAGAGAACTGGGCAGAATAGAACCGCGACATAATAGAACTGCGCAGAATAGAACAGCGACACAATAGAACCGGCCACAATAGAACTGTATCATGATACTTTGGGCAGTTTCCGAGCAATCGTCGACATAGTTTCCAAAACCACGTAACTTGACGCCCTGAATTTGATTTTGAAGTCACCAGGTCGGGAATACTTTCGAACGCCACGTGGCAGTGCCTAACAAGAGTGGCCGTATAAACTTGCAATGCACTCTATTACTTTTTTTCTCAAAAACTTTTCATTTCATGCATAGTTGCCACGGGCCGGGCCGGGCCGGGCCGGGCCGAAATTTCCAAAACTCCGGCCCGGCCCGGCCCGTCGGCCCGGCCCGGCCCGGCCCGGTCGGCCCGGTTCAAAAAAAGCGGGAATTCAAAAATTTGAATTATTGATCGCATGAAGCCATTTTTTTGTAGAATTAGGGGTTTTTGCAAGCATCGAACATTGAAAAAAACAAATGTATTTCTCATAAAAAATTCATAATAGCAAAAAAACAAAGAAGAAACACTAAAACTTTAGTTCGAAAATTTTTTTTGTAATAACGAAAAGAAAAATTTCCGCGAAAATTTGAATTCCCGCCTTTTGAACCGGGCCGACCGGGCCGGGCCGGGCCGGCACTTCACCGACCCGGCCCGGCCCGGGCCGGCACTTTACCGGCCCGCATGGCCGGCCCGAAATCTGGCAAGTCTGATTTCATGCCACGCTAACAATGTCTTTGCGTTGCATTTTCCTCGAATCGAACTTTTTTAATGTTCTTTAGTGACTAGTTATTATGTCTTGGCACAAAAGCACTTTTTCTTTTTGTCGTCACAACTGACGGCTGAGGGCCGTGGACTAGAAAACCCAGCGGTACTTTGAAAACACGTTTACTTGTTTTTCTGGTTTTGTTATCAATCATTCACGTGTTTTTATGTCAGAATCGCCAGAAGACAAGGCTAAAATTAATCTGGATTCAGAAAACCACAGACAGTTGTCAGATTTGAAGTGAAATCAAGATGATTACACTCCTCCCACGCCGTTTTTGTTCACCATCCATTTTCTTGATTTTCCATCACTTTTCGCTCATCAAAACCAATCAAGCGCCGTTTTTTTCGCGTTGATAACCCGTCTGAGGAACGTTTTTCTCCCCTAAAAATTTGCTTAGACCTCTCCGCCAGCAGACACTCGGCATTTGCGAGAGCGGCTGGTGTGTCTGCCGTCTCCTCATAACACATGCCCTCTTGCGAAACAAGCGTCCCCACGGAAAATGCCACTCGTATCGATTTTCCTCAAATTCTGTCTACTTGTTTAGATCGTTTAGAACGCTTAGAAAACCATGGATAACAACTTTTTGAATTGGACGATTTTTCGATGATGTTTGAGTGACATTTCTACTGACATTTTGCAGGAACAGTAAAGGTTTGTTTACATTTATTGAGAATATTGGTTAAAAACTCTCGAAAATTGCAGATAACAGGAGGCTTACACGATCTGAAACGGATTTAAGACAGCAATCGATGTGAACACACTGGAAAAACGGCTGCGAAACGTAAAGCTACGCTTGGATGGAGTATCACTGAACTTTCGGAGCCGAATGAATCTGTCCCTTCCATTCTTATTCGTCCTCTGGCGAGACCGCCAAATCCCGCTTACTTGATCGCATGGCCGCTTATCCCCCCGTCACAATCCGCTTTTCTATCGCATTTTCTTCTAATCTCGTCTCGTACTCCATTAGTATAAGCTGAACAATTGCATTGCAGGTGCCGAGAAGATGGAAGAGCGTACCACGGAGGCGGAGCGTCTCGGGCTCGGGCTCGGGCTCATGGACACAGACAACCCGCTCGATGTCAGCGAGCGCTCGAAGCGCATGAACAAACGACTCGACTACACCGAGTATTCGCACGACGAAGAAGAGGAAACTGGCCAGGGAAACAAAAGAGGAAGAGGCGAGAAGAAGGCGAAACCGAGAGGAAACATGGCATCGACGGCGAGGTAACTATTTTGATGTGTAAGGGGCGTCACTTCTTCGTCTTCTTTTCACGAGAAAGAGAAAAAAAAACTGGCTGTAAACTGTCCCCCGATTAACCTGCAGTCACTCAATCACCGGACTGATCGGTTCTGTCGGTCATTTCTGATATTCTCAATCAGATAGCCCCCTCTCTCGCCTTTTTCTTTCTATTCAACCTCATGTTTTGGTCGAGAAAGAAACCCGCTGATTCGAAATTTACTTGTTTACGTGTTATCCTAGCTGTTTTTCTCACAACTAATGAATTTTTCATGTATTTACTCAGAAAATGTAACGTAGTTGTGTGGCGTGCGCTAACTAAGCCGTAGAGACAAGACAATTTTGTTTGTAGGTGGCTCTAGCCAATAGATTTGTAGGCAAGACACATTTTTGTTAGAAAATATATTGTTAGCAAAACACCTGTCTGAACAATTTATTGACCAAGCGTGTGACTCGCTGATAATAACTCAAAGAGTTTGACGCTTATCAGTCGATCGGCGTGAAGTTTAGCTGTTCTCCAGTTATAAACTCAATAATCGCTTTAATTTTTTCAGAAAAATGCGTACAAGATTCAGTGAAGAGGAGGTAGCCGACATGTGGCTCTTCATTATTTACCGCCTTCGCGATCCGATCACCCAAAAAGTGTTGAAGCCAAAGTTTGGAGCCGGAATCTGGAAGGAGTTCAAGAAAGAGAATGCCTCGCCGCGCAACGCGTACAGCTTCTATGTCCAGTGAGTGCCTCTATTTTGAAGGGGGGGGGGGATGGAAAAAGGAGAAAGAAAAGTGCTATAACGTGCGACAACTGCTCATTATCTCGGTCTATCGGAGAGGACACATGCATTTCTTCTATAGCGTTTTATTTACATACGTTTCTGGAACATTTTTCTAATTTAAGAAGCAATTAAACACTCTATAGATAGATACATACGTCCTTTTCGTAAACGTTTTGGTCAGAAACTTTTACCGGCCGGCACGGCCCGACGCGACGGAGGCATTCGACGTCGGCCCCCTCAACTATGATTTTCAGTACAAACATCTGTTTTTGATCGGCTATCCCTAACTTATAGTGCTACCGTTTCAGTTTCCGTCGATCGATGATGCCGTCAATCGATTCCACAAACTTCGATATGCAAACGAAGACTCTGATCCACTACACCCTCGAAATTCCAGTCAGCGACATGTTCCTTCAAGAGTGAGTCGCTCCGTTTCAAACCGTAACTATCGTTTCCATTTGCAGACTTCGAGATATTGAGAAGGTGCAAGTGGTGATTGATAAGAAACGACTTTTGAAAGGATATCGCAAGTGCCGTTACAACGGATACGTCGAAGACGACGGATGGGACGACGTGTGGGGACCGGAGTACTTTCGCGAGTCGGATCTCGTTGAGATTGTGCTCGATGCGCCATTCATCACTCGTGCACACAATGACGTCAGCGACGACGACGACGACGACGACGACGATGATGATGAGATGGAAGGAGGATTGGCGATCAAGAGAGGGAGAGGAAACGACGATTACTCGGAAGGAGAACCGTCCAAGAAGGTTGTCCGCAGAACAAACAAAGGACGAGGAGGGCGTGGAGGAGGTGGACGTCGTCGCGCTCCAAAGACGGTTCCGATCGGAGCTGGAATCGGAATGGAAATGGAAGCGGACGAAAGTCTGGAAGCCCACCCTGAATACGTCACTGACAGCCACCGATTCGCAAAGGCCAGCCTCTCTCCGGAACTTGGAGATTTGGAAAATGTAAATTATCTTTAAAACTGGAAATTTTCGTGTTTTCTTTCACATTTTTGGTGAATTGAGCAGTATCTCGTTTGAAAATTTGCATTTACACCCGAATCATGTCCTCTGACAGCAGATCCAATTTTCTTGTTGGTTGTGTCTGTGCCTATGTGCGACCGCGACGCGACCGCAGCGCAGCCGACAGAAAGAGGGTCGAAACTGTTGCAGGAAACGGAAAGCTTATCAAACCTACAAAATCAGCAAAAAAAAGTGATAAAAAGAAAGGAATCACTTCGAGATTAGTCTCATTCACTAGAAACAAGGAAAAAACACAAAAATTTCAATATTTGAACATACATGCAACATTACGCACTCTTGCACTTTTTCACCGAACTCTTCCTCATGTACTGTCTTCAAACTATTTAGGATCTCTTAGCAACTACGTAGAATTGTCTTCTTACAACTTTTCCCCCCAAATTATACTAACAATCTGTTGAATTGATTCGTTTCCCGCACCTGAAAGTATTGCATTCTCTGTACTTTTTGTTCAATTCTCACCAATTACATTTGACCAGATATTATAAATAAAACATTAGAATGAAAAAAACAATACAGGAAACTTACAAATGAGAATTGAGTGAGGAAATCTGCATGGGTTTTTGCAAAGTGTGCATGGGAACGATTCTGCATGAGCATGAGGATGCTGAACGAAGAATGCTGCATGGAGTTTCTGAAAAAAATATTCATCCGAGCCCACCGACCACAGTTTCAATTGGAATGAAACGGACGTTTTTCATCTGACAGTTAATATCACAACCGCTTTCACTTCTTGACACGTGTTTTTCGTAATGGCACATCTGAAAAGCGGCTTCGCGACGATTTTCGATTTTCAAAATGTTCCAAAGTCTGAACATCTGGAATTCTATTGGATCCTTAATTCACATGTCTTTTCGGTTGAGTGTTGGTATTCATGGTTCGCCACTAATTGTAGTACATGCGTTTGTCACTTCCACTATGTATCCACATCTATTTTTTGGTCACAATCACTCACAACGTGTCAGATAAACTCTAAACCGAACAGACACGCTTTTCACGCCTCAATAACTACACTTTTGACGTTCTCTCCTTCCTTTCGGTGCAAGATGATGCAATAGTCAGATCATACCTTCTAAAAACGATGCCCTTCGTACTCAACTGTAATGCCATGTTTGCCGTGAATGGTATGAATGAGAAAGCGTGAGAAATTGAAGTTGGACTCACAAAGAGCCACGTCGGTCTATTGTGCAGTTCTACAACGACGTAGAGACCTCCTCCTCGCCGATTGGCGCCTATCATTCATTCTTGACAATCGCCCTGACTCTATGTCTATTCATTCAACACCATTTCCGGTAAGGATCTAGTTTTCAGCCCGGGTAAGGTAGCGAAGAGAATGATTAGGTAGACCGGCTAACCCTTCTCTCACTAGCTTTCCCGGTCCAAACGTCGTTCTGAAAAATTTTGAAGTGTTTGATTTACTACCCGGAAATGTGCTTTATATTCTGATGACATGGCTGATGAGACAAATTAGTTCGATTGTTCAAAAGACCTGACACCAGCATCTTCTTCGTTGCCACAAAAGATTTTGATTTGTCTCTGAAAATTGAAAACTATACAGCTACTAATGCACTTTTCTTTGGCTTTTCATCAACAAGTTTGATGTTTCCCTAAGTTACACAAATCTATGCTTTGTTCAAGAAATCTCGATTCCTAAGCGTTGTGCTGTGTTTTGACGATATTATGCTGAATGCGAATGCTGTTTGCTCCTAGATTTACTGAAATTGGACTCGTTAACTGTAATATTCGTCGAAGGTCTGCCCGGAAAGCAACGGCCAGAGGGAATGGTTATTTGGTCCGTTCCCTCTGGTTTTCGCTCTACGGTAGGAGTTACTTTTGCAGTTTTTGCTGTTCTATAGAATCGAAATGTGAAGATGCTCTCAGAAAGTTTGAACATTAGTTTTGTCAGTGAAGTGAACCAAGTAGTCGTTTTTTTTTATTTTCGCTTGGTTAGGTCATAGTTCTTTCTCATCATTTTCTTTGCTTATATCGGTTCGATTGAATAAATAAAATAAATTTGCTTTGATGGGAGATCTCTGTTTGAGGGCTCTAGTTCATCGTTCAGTAAAATCGGGTCAGATATTGGATGGCAACTATCAGGTGAAAAAAGTTTGGTTCTATCCGTCTCTTCTCTCAACTTCTCGGAAACTATGGCAAATGGATTCGCATGAATGAAATCATAATTTCAAATGTAATCTTTGGGTTAATCCAGAAAAAGTTTTATCAGATCAGATATTTTCAGATAGACCATCAATTGTTCACGATTCAACCATCTCGAAACTTCAACGGATTGGCCAGAATCCGAATTTTGAGTGATCTGGAAAAGCAGAAAAAACTGACTTTTGAAGCAACGTCTACGGAAGTTGCGACGCGTGTTTCTGAAGAATCTTCCACTGAATCGGCTCCGTCAGCTTTATCGAATCTTCACGACGTTGGTAATCAACTTCCAGAACAGTCCCAGCTTTTCAAGGTTTCCACGGCCGAAGCTCAGAACAAACAAGACCTGGAGAAGAAAGAAACTCTTGTTGAGAGAAAACTGACTGCTGAAGTGACTTCTACGAAGGCAGTGATTCCGGTTGACGAAGTATCTGAACAATTCTCCATTGAATCTGGTCCATCGGCGTCATCGCATCTTCAAGTCGTTAATGATCAGGTTCCAGCAGAGTCCCAGTTTCCCAAAGTTCACAAGGTTGAAGCTCGGAGCGGAAAAGACTTCGAGAACAAAGAATCTTTTGTCGAGACTATGCTCACTGCTGAAATGACGTCTACTAAGGCTGTGAATCTTGTAGACAAAGTGTCTCAAGAATTTTCCATTGCATCGGCTCAATCAGTGCCATCGGATCTTCACGTCGTCGTTGATGATCAGCTTCCAACAGAGTGCCCGTCTCTGACAGTTCGCAGTAGTGATGTTGAAATGTCTGAAGAAGCAAAAGAGAAATCATTGGGCAACGAGAGCAATGGAGAAAAGGCAGCGGTGATTGCGGCTTCTAACAACGCGAACGGATCATGGGAAATGAAAGAGTATGGACCGGATGACATCGTCCCACAGAAAGAACAGAAGAATCTGAAGGAATCGACCAAAAGAACGCGCAAGAACAGAACGAAGGTATGACTGAAACTGAGAGTTAGTTTATCATTTTAACATTTGCAGCTGACAATCGGAAGATGGCAGCCAGCGCCGGCCACTTTGAAGAGACTTGCCAAGCTCAGAGAGGAGAGTGTTCGTCAGTCCGGGATTTGGTACACTGCTCATCTTGCTCTGAGCGTCGCGGAGAAACGATCAACCATGCCGGAAGAAGCGGATAATATCCGCAAATTGACCAAATTCCTGGAGAAAATTGATAAGAGCGGCGACCCAAAGTACTACAGTGCCAAGATCCCTCTGAACACGGACTTCCCGAACACCACTGAGACGATCATAAAACATTTGAGAAAGCAGCTTCTGGGCAGTTCGACGGAAAGTCCGGAATGCATACGTCATTTGACTGTTGAAAAACTCCCGAAAATTTCACAAACTGGACCGCTTCTGATGGACATTCCGGAGAAAGCGGAAGAAATCGTGAAACAAGCCGAAAAACTGATGACGGAAGGTGTCAATGCCGTATTCAAACCAGAGAAGCTGAAGCATCCAGAGCCGAGAAGACGGAAGGAATGGGACGATGGAGAGAGGGAGATGTACCACCAACTCGGATACGATGTGACTCAGAGATTCGAACGGGAGAGGGATCACATTCGTCTTCCTGCTCCGAATGTGTGCATTGCCAACAAGGAAGAATTGATGAGTGACGCTCTCAAACAGCTGGCCATGTCTGCTCCGATCACAAACATCACGGGCATCGACAAGGCTCTCGGAATCGACCTGAGCATCTTCAGCTTGGAAACCATCCGAAAGTGCTTTCCCGAATTGATGCTCGACGTCTATTACCAATGTCCGCAGACGGCCAACAATAATCGGTACGAGACCGGAGAGAAAAACTGGAAGACTTGGCATTTCGAGTCCAAGATGTCGATCGGCAAGTACGAGGAGTACTACAAAAAACTCGAGAAGACGGCAGAAAACAGTAAGGCTCTTGCGAATGTATATATTTATATATGTAATAGCTATGTTTCAGTTTATGGAGAATTGGTCAATTCTCCCGAATCAGAGATGGAAGAAAAGTTCTCGAATTTCTTGGAAACAATGAAAAATGAGCAGCTTCTTCCAGTCGAACTCAAGAGAGACTTCGTTTACTCAAAATTCGCAACGAACATCAACTTGAACAATGAGGAAAAATTCCGGAAGCAAATGGAAGTCATCGAAAAACTGCCTACTTTCCTCCAGCCTCATCATGACGGAAATCTTTTAAATTTGGCAGAAACGATTCTCGGAGTCAATTCTGTTCAGTTGTTCGTGAAACCTCCTGGAGCTCGTACTTCGGCACACGTGGAGAATCTTCTCATGGCCTGCATCAGCTGGAACGTCGGACCGGGCACTTGCGTCAGATTTGCAGTGTCGTACAAGTACTATGGAAAGGTTCTCGACCTGGTGAAGAAGAAAAGAGGATTGACGTTTCACGGAGAAAATTACTGGCCCAGCGAGGAAGAGCTTCTAAAAGCCGGGATTCCATTCAGAAAGTTCGAACAGAAGGCCGGCGAATTGGTTTATGTGAACAGTGGTTGTATTTACTGGGGACAGAGCAATGGTTTCTGTGTCAATTTGGAATGGAATGTCGGAGAGCCAAGTGTATTCCAACTGGCCATGTCAATGGCTGCCACGTCCCATGACGCCGAGGAAAAACACAATGGAAAGATTCCACTAGTGGACATGCTGTGGCGAGCGGCCGAAAACAAACTGTACCTGGACAATCCGGAGATGACCCAGCTGGTGAGAAGTTGCATGATCAGGTAAGAAACCAGCAAAATCAAGTAGACATTTGAGTAAGGAAAACATTTCCAGATCCTTGGCCGCGACGAAATTCTACAGTGACTACCTCGAAGCGGAAAACGTCGATGTTCCGCGATTGGACAATGAGGGAGGAGCGCCTCCGAGATGCATCACGTGTGGAGAAGAAGTGTTCAATATCGTTTGTTCGGTTGTAAAGAAGGAAGATCCGGATACGGTGATCATGAAGAACGGTGTGTACAGAGACTACTGTAGTGGATGTCCGGTCGGAGAGCTAAACGATGATGAGATGAAGTCCTTCTACCGCTTCTATGACATTGAAAAACTCATCGAAATCTACAATAATTACCATATTTGATTTCATAAGTCTGTTAAATAAATATTCACGCAAATTTTTTGTTTCAGCTCTCACTCTTTATGAGCATTTCTTGAATAATTCAAAGGTGATCATGACATGACTTTTTCAGGTTTAGGTTCTCATTCAAAACAAGAAATATGGAACGTGTCGTTTCACTATTACGGGTTTCATTGCGAGTCGGATCCTCAAATCTTCCTCCCTCGCTGACGCTCATCTTGTCGTGTCCTCCCAATGTGTGATTTCTCTGCAACGCAACAGTTACATGGGTAAATTGAAGGATTTCACTTGTCGACATGATGTGGCAAGCGGCCGAAAAGAAGACGTATTTGGACAATTCGGAAATGGCTCAGTTGGTGAGAAGCTGCTTGGTCAGGTAAGAGTTTTCACAAAATGAAAGAACGTTCAAATAAATCAACATATTCAGGTCGTTGGCAGCAACGAAGTGGTACAGCGACTTCCTAAACATCCGAGAGTCCGAGAAAATGTGAGAGCAGTTGTCCGTGTCGATAATTGTCTTGTTCAGCTGGTTTCCAACAAATATTGTTCATCGTCGTCAATTCGACTCTGAACAATCTTCACAACCAGTCTCCAGATCATCCGGTGTGCTGCTCATATTCTCCCGGTCCGTCAGAGCTCCGAATAACGGGTAGAGTACCTGAAAGCGGAGAGTAAACATATAGTGTGATTATGAACTGACCGCCGCAATTTGGAAATAATCCAATGAAAGACGGTGTGGATGTAGTAGTGGTTGATGATACAAATTCTCTGTCGATCTCTCCATGTCCACAATTGGTCGTGGAAGTCTGTCATCAGGCGATTTGAAGCTTCGTTCTCAGTGTTTTTGAATCGAGCAATCCTCTGTTTGACACTGTCACCAATGCTCCGAAAACATGTACCCTCAATTGATACTGTGGCAACGATTTCGGGAAGCTAATTCGAAGTTCTGAGTATCTGAAAATTAAGAAAATTGTTTACTTCTCATCATCAGGTTCAAGCGTTTACTTGCAAGGTGAACTTTGCAAGAATACAATTGGAAAGTGGCAATGCTCATCCACTCTGTTACAGAATAGTGTTTAGGTCTTCTGAAGCCATCACGAGCATAATGTGCGAAGGCAACGCCTCGTTGGGAGTTCTCGATATGGCCAGTGCAAATGAGTGCGAACCATCCGAGCAGCTAGGTGGAAACTTATTAGAAAGGGTCGGGGAGAGAGATGTAATGCCCAAAAACGCCACGACGCTGCTTATCTGGTCCAGATACTCCCCGCAAAATATTCATGAGAAAGTCTGATGGCGATTGACTCGTTGTTCAATCATTTCAAGAAGATGCATACAAAATGTGCAATTATCCGCGCCGAGAGCCGTCTTCATGGGCTGATCCTCCAGCAAATCACGTTCACATCGTCAAATTCGGCTCCAAAGTCACTTTGGAACCGAGGGCGCATTGCCAATTCTTCGCAACCAGTCCGGTGATGGTGATCGAGGTTGAGCTAGTGAATGAAGCAAAGCGCATCCTGGAAATAATCTTTTCATTTTGTGATCTCCACAATAGACTCACCAAATGTTTTTACACATTCTTCTTCTCAAGGAACACGGACTAAACCGCTTCTCCAAGTCACACGAAAGTCGTTCTTGCTGGATTCTTCCAATTTAGTTACGGACATCACTCGCACTGCACTATTATCGCCGGATCCAAACACATTAGGATTGTTCGCACTGGCACAGTCCTATACGTAGTTTTCTAGAAGGTAAAGCACAATCTTGTCCAGTGCTAAGCGAAAATAACTGAAAAACCATCAACGGCCTACGGGAGAATTGAATTTAGAGACCGGAGACAATTTCATAGAAAAATTCACCTGATGTCTATCTCCGGTTGTCCAAACTGCCGACGATCATCATTTGACACTCTCTGAACGTCTTGAAGTTGTTTCATCTGGTCGAATAACAAATAATATTTATAGAAACATCGAATTGAATGGCATTGTCCTCTATCACCGATTTGCCGCTTGTAAATTCGATAAGAATACATGAGTTTCTTGTAATATTTCAACAACATCTGAAGAACATGGAAAAAGTTGAGTATTGCCAAAATGAGCAGTTAATGACAGAGAAAGGGAAGGAATTGCAGCAAAGTCAATGGTAAATAGATATTAGAACGGTTGTGTACAGTGGAGCGCACTTGCACACTCCTGCTCTGAAACGCAATTATATGGGGAAAACTCGATGGGTTTCTCTATTTTCATTCATTTTCAAGCTGTATGTTTGTGTATTTGAATGTAATGAGAGTGTCAAGTGATGATCGTCAACAATTTGGGCAACCGGAAAAAATGCTTCAGGTGAATTCTTCTGTGAAATTGTCTCCCGAAGTACGCCGGATCTGGACACAGGTAGGGAAAAATTGACAGTGAGCTCTCGGTTCCATCAAAATTCAGGCTTCAAATTGACAAGGATGACGACGTTTGTTGGAAAATGAGCTGAACAAGACGGTTCTTGACACGGATAACTGCGGATCTCGGATGGATCGTGTCCAAACCGTCAGGGAATGATTTGTGCAGAAGAATATGACAAGATGAGCAGTATTTGCAGACACTTGCAGAAAGAACGTGGTTCGAGAAGGAACGATTGCAAACGTGCTCGTTCACGGCGCGTTACCGATTGAGGAGACGGGAGAGGACGGTGACGCCGATGAAATTCGTGCTGCTGATACAATTCCTCCTGTCAACCGTGGAAAAGACACCGCCACGACTGTAGTGGACAAAACTGGTCGCAATTGAAGAAGATGGAGTCGTCGTGGCGGAGAAACAGAGCTAGAGCGGAAATGGGAGCCTTTTACCTGGAATGGAATGATGCCGTCGGCAAAAAGAAGCAGCAATGTACTTCTGCGGTTAGTTAAGTAAATCACTTTATGTTTACTCTCCGCCCCACATTTCAGGTACTCTTCTAGGGACGGATGCCTGAAGATGCCCCCAGGACAAAGAAACCAATAGTTGGTGGAAGGACCTGTATTAAATTGCGAAGACTTGGCAAAAACGAAACGCTGTGTATCGAATCAATAAGTGTGAGAATGGTGGATTTTGTCAACCGTCCTAACGGATGATCGACATAAAGGACCGGGACACGTACTATGTCTGCAAAGATCAGATTTTCAACATTGCACGGTCGATCGTGAAAAATGAAGAGTATCCGGAATAAGAACCAAAGCAGGAACAGTCGAAGAACGCCAATTCCAATGCAGATTGGAAATCGCAATCGGGATCGGAACCACACGAAGAAGAAACAAGCCTCGCGATCCAGGAAAACGACGGAAACTATCACGACGATTGCTGTAGTTGTGACATCGAAGAGATCTAGCCCGGATGCTCCATTTACTACTCGCACCACACCAGCATTAAAGAACTGGCGAAAATCTTTGATTCTTATTGAATATGACTCTACTTTAATAAACTTGTATAGTACCAATTTAAAAAAAAATGGATATACAAGGGGAAAGACATAAGATGAGATAATTTTTGATCAACCGCTTAGCTACTGCTCAATTGTTTAAAATCTGCAGTCGTCATCCGCAAGAACATTTTCGCCACTTTTATTTCGCCGGCGTAAACGGGACAATGGCCGTACGACGTTCTTTCTTCCTGAAAAACAGGCATTTTGTAATGATTGTAAAATTACACGAGAACCGTACCTTTTTTCCGTTCTCTTCCATGTTATACCAATACGCGAGGTCACCGATCGCCATTTTCAGAGCGACGCCGGCATCCGGGAACATAATCTCACCGCCAGACTCGGCCTCCTTGAGCAGAACGACGATGGTTAAAACTCGATTCCCGCGAAGTTTCAGTTCCTTATTCTTTGTAGTATTGTTGGTAGGGGTCAGAAAGTCGGAATGGTACGCATGATGTCCTCCGGGGCCAAACGTCACTATCTGAAACAAACTATTATCATTTTCACGGTATCTTTCACGTAAAGTTTCACCTGAATTCCCTCGATATCTTGCATTCGGAATCCAATGGCCGCCTTTGCAGTTGCCAAGAATAATTTGGTCAGCTCGTACAGTTTGATGGGAATTTCAATGCCCCTGGCTTGAATTCCGTCAGAATTATGGTTTGCTACTATCTGAGAAGAGAGGCGCCGATTATTAACTTACAAAACATTTGTTTACCGGCTTAGCGGGCGTGAATTCACTCTCAAAATCGAGAAATTCTCTGATTTGGCTTTCCGAAAACACATTGTGAATGATGTAGATCGGCTCCGAACTCATGAATTCCACTCTGTACACATTAAAACCAACAATTTCAGTTTGACAATAGGCATCTGAAAGCAGAAGTGAATGAAATGAGCGGCCAGTTCGAAAAACCGATGAATCTAACCTTCTGGATGGAGAAATCTGCTGATTGGGGCGTTGTGGCATAATTCCAAGTCAGTCTTGAACCAATGTCGATCGCCCACAAACTTAAACGGTTGCGGGAAGATGGCAGGAAGAGGAGAAGGAGTCGGAATCCTCCGAGCATCGGTGGACATGTTGGTTGGAGCACCATCGGAGATAGTGGAGAAGGCGTCGTACGGATTGGGAATATCAGGTTGGATGTAGGAGAAGTACAGTGTGGGCACAGGTTTGAAGTTTTTGAAGGAGACCTGATAGAGCGTGTAGAAAAACCATAGGAGCAAGACCGTACGAGGAAGTCTCGCGGCTGACATTGTTCTGCGAGAAGTGGCCACTGCCTTCCGTGTTTGCGGGAAGAGTTTGTAAAACGAGACAGCCCGCGCAGAGCACGACGGATCGATCGATAAATTGTTTTTATCGCGCGCGAAAATCCGGGGTTTGAAACTGTCGAGGAGAAAAAGTAAGTTAGACAAGGTCGCCAACGATTAGAGACAATGCCAATGGAACAGAGGTGCCAGACAGAATAAGGCTGGGGGCCGTCGGCAGGCGCAGACATTCACTAATGGCCTCATGTGCTCTCCCTTTTTATTTTGCAACATCAGGGAGTACGATAATTCGACCACCAGAGAAGAGTGCGAAGAATGGTGGAATGGGAACGTTTCTATTCAGATACCAGGAGTTGGTGCATTCCGTGTACTCTTTGCCACGTCATAGTCAGACACGTACAGCCAGTCAAGCAAGGTCCTTTGCCTTTTCTTTTCTCTTCTCATCTCACTTTTCACAAAGTAAGGCTGACTTTCAGAAGCTTCTCCTGACACTTCCCGAGCACGTCACCACTCTACTAGTACTTTTTTCATTCCCCTTTTCTTTTCTTCTCCCCAAAAATAGACACTGAGCGTTAAGCAGAGAATAGGCACTGCTTACAGTCAGATATTCGATGTAAGTGCAAGAACTACTCTCTGCTCTACGTCAGAAGCAACTTCAGAATATCTAGTAGGCCTTTTCGAATGGAGTGAGAGTTGAGGCAACTGTTTACAGTGACACGGAAAAAGGGAGGAGTCAAAACGTGTGTCCCGCGAAAACAAAGTCGTAACGGTGCCGAGTACCGCCCGGCACATGACGGAAATGAAAACAAGACTGCGAGCAAGTGAAATGTCAATTCGATTCGATCGAGGGCGCGTAGGGTTACGGTACTTTGAGAAAAGGGGAGTGCGCGGAGTGGTCAGAATTGAGGGAGGCGACGATATTTTTCAGATTTTGAAGTTTTTTCGAGTTGAAGAACACAGTAGTTCTCTGAGAGGGCAGAATAATCTGGATTCCACGAACAAGGGGAAAGTAGAGACTAAGGCAGTGGTTTGACATAGTTGCAAGAGAAAAAACACAGTAATCTTGTGAGTGAAGGATCTGTTTTCCGATTCTCCTTTCCAAACTTGTAAATGTTTGCTCTGTATAGACGGATGATTCCATAGGATCGAAATGTCACCGTTTCCATCTTTTGGATGATTCATCGCGAGTGAATCTTTTTTGGCCCTTAATGTCATCACTATACGATTGTTCCTCAAAAATGTTCAGATCTCCTTTGCGCCACGCTTTTCAATCACAACATTTTTCATTTTGTCAACATTCTTCGCTCCCTTTTCACATATCAGGGCGATACCCCTGCATACGTATGCTCCGCCTTTTTCAGCTCCGACTAACGTTGTATAAAAAATCTGACTGATAAGAGAAAGTCCCTTTTTCGGTGTTCGACGCGAATCTGTTATTTGGCTATTCAATAAAATTCGAAAAAGTGCGAACGAGCAGGTGCGTCGCGGCACCAAACGAGGTGCTTTATGGCAAATGTGCATGGGAACCGAGGGCGCTCTTTGACGAGCCGATATGCGGGGGTGTTTAACGCAACACGCCTAAACGGATGAGTACATAGAAAGAGGGGTCGCGTTGAGGAGTAAAATTACTGAATGCCGGGCCGGAAAGCGGAAAGTGTCACCCATCGGCCCAACTCTTCAAACTCGTCGACTTCCTTATCCACCCAACGCCTGCACTTTTTCTCTAGGCAAACGTAACAAGCGTAAATAATCCCACGGCAACGGTGCCTGCGTCTCTACTAATGACCGGGTAAAATTCGAATTAGTGTTGGCATCTCAAATGCGTCGGTTCTCACGCTATAATCTCTGCAACCCGAGTTATCAGCTCACAAACAAATCCATTAGTGGAATCCTTTCTAAACCACATTATCGGGGAACGGCGTCAGGATTTTTAAATTTGTTTCAGATTCAGTTGTGTACTTTTCCGATTTACAGAAAACAGCGTGTTAGATGTCAATCTAGTCATCTAACATCAATGCTTCCGGTAAATCGTGTTTAGAACACTGGAATATAGCAGTAGTAGGCGAATTGGGGAGCGGGACCAAGCGTAGCAGGAGTACATGTCACCTCGCACTTGTTGACGGGTGGCACACACTCATGCTCCGCTAGGAGCACGGGCTCGGCTCTCGAATGGACTAGTAAAAATGAATCTCCGTTTCTTAGTATGGGTGTGGGCGGAGCCATCGAAAAGGCGGAGTTGTGATAAGACGCTTCAGCGATTTGGAGCGAGTACACATATGTACAACTCACACTTGAGGCAGTGTTGAAAAGACAGAGATCATAAAACACACCACAAAAGCGTGTTGTTTCAACGAAGAAATTGAAGTCTACATACAATCTTATGACGTGGTTTGAACTGATCGAGCGCACGAGAGGAGCCAGGGAAGGGAATGTGTGGTTGGGCAAGAATGGGAAATCTCTAATTGAACGCCTCCCTTGCTTTCCTCGTTCTTCCCTTTTATGTGCCTCTCGCTTGCACACCCCCGCATACTTTGTCACGTGTTTTTCGGGAAGATGCCGTTTGTTTATCAGAAATGCGCTCACGCGGCGGATCGTAAAGCGGAGCGCTTCAAAGTACATCTGTTACTCTGCGGATTAGGTTTCAACTGTCTGATTTATAACTGTTTACGGCCTTCCGTATGTTCAGACGGTCCGTCAGAGATGAATGTCTGCGACGGAATCTGGTAAAAATGGCCAAGGGGTTTTCCAACATTCCTTTCTTCTTTTCGAGCTCAGTTTTGCTCCTTCCCCAACTGTTCCACGTTCCCAATCTCAAAAAAGTTAGTTCCGCAACTCGAGTCGTTGGAAGACCAGTGATAGATCACAGACTTTATGTCTATCCCAGGTCACTACCAACAAATCGTGTGCGAACACACTGAATAGAAAGACAGAGCTGAATAAAGACTTCAATTCCAAGAAGGGTATCGACTCTGATAAACCATGCGCTTGACAGGTTTACCAAAGAAAGAACCCGCTCGGAAAGTAGACCAGGGGGCAGGGGCAGGGGGCAGGGGCAGGGGCAGGTGGGGAGAGAATGACTGTTGACCATTTTGACCGTCTCTTTTATAGGGGAAAATTAGGCGGAGCCTTAAAACGAGGTAAACATCACGAGAGAAGAAGAGTGGAAAAGAGTGGAAGTGATACAGTAACCCGGATTCTAAACAGAAAACAACCTTGAGACAAATTATGACAGGTCTCTAATCAAATTTTTAAAATTTTTCAAGGCTATTTTGTGAATTTTCGAAAATAATTCGATAATAGTGTGTGATATCACTAGAAACAAGTAACATTTATGCAAATGACGACAACAGTGTTCAAGTGGATGGTCCGGGTTGGTTGATGATCGACAGGTACGAGTTGCGCAGAAGACTGCGGATCTCCTCGATTTTGTCGGCGCGGGTGGCGACCAAGTCCTCAGCTTTTCCGTTCTTGTCCACATTCACACCTCGCATCTTCACGAGAGCGGCCGATCCCGACTTCGCCTTGCTCGCTTTGACGGCACCTGCCCGTTTGATGAATCTCGGCACCTTCTTCGGCACCACTACAGTTGGCAGATCCATGATGATGCACTCGCAAGAGCGGGAAACTGAAAGAGAAAAAGTCATTGGGCTCAATTCTCCTTGCGAATTGTACTGACCCTTCTTCACCTCCTTCTTTGGCTCCTCTCTCACTTTCAGCGGATCTTTGAGAAGAACAATCTCTGAAATGTTCTCGATTTGCTATACTGTTCCACACGTCCATAGTTCTCACCGTCGACGCTATCCGATTTGGTGAGCGGTGGAGGTTTGACCATTTTCCGTAGACAAACACTGAAAATAGGGAAAAGTTGGGAGAAAAATGAAGATAGAATAGAAAAATTACAAGACACACGCACACACACACACACACACACACGCAAAAGAAAAGTCCCTGTGAACAGCGGGAAGAGAAACATGTGATCATCTTCTTCGAAAGTCAGTTTATATAATGAGTAAATTGAAGAAAATAGAGGGCGAGACGCCTATCTGCTTTCTACCATCAAATTTTCGTTGTAGAATAAGAGAAAAAGCGACACCGAATGCACCTTTTAAAGGAAAACAATGCAACAAACAGGAGGCAGAACAAAACAAAAAACGGGCCTCGATCACGTTTTTTATCAAAACATCGGTGAATAACGCCTTTTCCAGACCTTACTTTCTGTCAGACGTCGAAGATTTGCAAAATCGGATGGGAAATAATCATTTTCGACGCCAATCTAAGTGTTGGCAAGCACCCGGATCCGAAAAAGGAATTTCAGACCCTACTCGACGCCTGAACTTAGAGCCGATCATTTGTATTGAATCGTGACGTCATATAGTCTGATGTAGCATATGATGTCATTCACTTACAGAAGAAGAGGGCATATAGTCAGTCTTTATTTGAGTTAATCGCGTTGAGGGACGAATTATAGAGGATGAATCGGACTTGTTCAATCAGCGATTCTCGTTGACCCGGGTCTTCCAGATCTTCGTCTTTCTCTCTCTCTTCTACTCTCCTTTGCTTGTTATCATCCCGTTTTCGCTCTGAAAGTATAGAATTAGCACCCTCTCCTCTTCTCACTCTTCTCCTTCACTAACCAGTCATTAGTTCAGCAAATCCAGTTTCGAGATCTCGAGCTTTTATCTTTCTGGGCTTCTTCTTCTTCTCCTTCTTCTCCTTCTCCGCCCGCTCTGAGAGCTTCAAAGGTTCTGAGCGAGTTCTTTCGATCCCTTTCGCGAGCGTTTCCCCACCTGAAATGCATCATTATGGTACCAACTGACACAGTCTCCTACTTTTCTTGCTGCCGGGCGAACTACGTTTCATAGATCTCCCTCGTGGTTTTGTCACTGAAAATAAGACTGTTTAGAGCTGAAATCTATCAAAAAAGCTCACCTGATGCCTTTTTTGTGCCTTCTATGGCCATTTCTCGTTTACACTACAATAATACCTGAAAATAAGAGTTTTTCTGACAAACAACCCTGGCAGAATAGGAGATGTTTCGAAATCAGTGAAAAAAAAGCAGGCAAAGAGTGCACTGGGTCTCGTCATCTCCGGAAATTGGCACATCCTGGCAACCAGGTTGCTATTGGTTGTTCCAATGAGCTCCGAAAGGTGGCTATCAACTATACTACGGAAAGGTTCGAGCCAAAGTGTTTGGTGGTGACCCTATCATTAGGGATTGCTTGGTAGACTGGTATGATAGCAGTATACTCAAAGGGCACGCCAATTACCTGGAATGAAGCGGTGTCTTTCGGTGATCATTAATCCTTAGCATTCGTGAAGACCCTCTTGAGGGTGAGCATAGACGGAAAACGAATAACGAAGTTGGAAAGTCGTAAAGTGAGCTGACAATGTAGGTCCTATTGTACGTCCACGGGTTTAGGGAAGCTTACTGAAAACATGTTATTTAACGCAACACTGCTCTACAACATTAAAAACATGTTTCTTTTGACGAAACCTGAAAGCAGGCTGCTTAAAGCGGATTGAGCCGTTTCTTTCTGACATTTCTGATGTCATCACTTCATTTTCCTTCGTAATTACAAAATTTAGACGCTTCAGATTGCAGCAAGTCTTCCGGAAACCTAACTCACATAAAATAGTTTTCCAAGAATGTTTATGGGTGGAAAATGAGATTCAAGAGTTGCCGATTTGTTGCGACTGCGCTCTAGCCCATGTTAATCCCCGGCCGCGACCGTGAGCTTCACCGTTGAGAATTGAATGCAAACACATGAGAGCGGTAGAGCCACAATCGTCAAAACTCGGTGAAAGGAATGATAAAAAAGGAATATAAATGAGTAAAATGAAATATGTAGATCGGTCATTTTCGGGCTTGGTTGATCCCATGCAGCGACGACATTCGCAGAATCGTTCGGACTTCTTGTAGCTTCCGCTCCCTGTCCGCTTCGTCTTCCAACTCATCGTCCGGGATCTCCTGCTTGATATTGGAATCCATCGGCTCGTCGTCGAGAGTGATCACCTCGGGCACTGGAAAAAGTGTTATTTAAATGAATTTTTGTGTAGTTTGAAGAAGAAAAGACAATGAGACTTACCGGACGGGAAAGGTGCTGGGCCTGGGTGATTTCCCAACGCAGTTGCTGATTCGGTCCTTTGTTGAAGTCCAAGATGCATTCCGAGCTGGGTTCCGGGCGGAATTGTCGGTTGCATTCTGAGATAAAATCTGGACTGCATTTCTTGCAGAAGTCTCAAGTGGATTTCACGCTGGTCTTCAAACTGAGTTTCAGGCAACTGAGTTCCAGGCAGCGGTCTTCCGAACTCCGTTCCGGGAAGCATTCCGAAATGCGTTCTGGACTGTGACGCAAGCTGGCTTCCGAGCCGGTTGCCGAGCTGAGTTCCATCGTTCGGGATTTTCTGCTTGACGTTGGTATCCATCGGTTCGTCGTCGAGAGTGATCACCTCGTGCTCTGGAATTATTGGAATTTGGATAAATTCTCGAGTAGCTTGAAGAAGAACACCCAAAAAGACTTACGAGGTTGGAGAGGAGCTGGGCATGGGTGACTTCCCAACGTCGTTGCTGATTCGGTCCTTAGTTGATCTCTGGACGGCATGCCGAGCTGGGTTTCTGGCTTTGTTCCAAACTCCATTCCAGGCACGATTCCGATCTTCATTGCGGGTTGGCTCCCTGACTGAGTTGCGTGTGGTGGTGGTGGTGAATCCGCAGCAGTGCCATTGGCTACATGAGTGTCGGCATCCGTGTGGCTCCCGTTGGCGATTCCCATTTTTTCGACCTCTTTTGCCAAGGAACTCGCTTTCGACAGAACGGTGCCTCGGGGTCCACGCGGGCGGAGGTTTTCTCGAGTTCCGAGGGCGGGTGGATCTGAAAAAAACAGCATTACGTCATCGGCGGAATCTGAAATATTACTATCGAACTTCGATCTCGTCGTGGAAGTCGGCTTCTTTGGTGGCGCTCTGGTTTTTGACACTGAAATTGAGATGGGCACTTTTGAAAATGGGAAAATTGTACTTACCGGTCAAATTTGGAGTCTTTTTCGATTTTTGACTTTTCGCTTTCGCCATGATTGTTGGCTCAATGCACAGAACGAAGAAAACCTGAAAAAAAAAGAATTTTAAAAGCGAAGGGAAAATAATCGACAGGGGAAGCAAAAATAGACATGTGGCAATAAAATCAATACAATTTCGAGCAGAAAAGGCACGGTGACTAGTCGGAAAAGCCGGGAAGAGTGAAAATACGCGGCAGAGTTCTTTCGAACCCTCTGCTGGCGCCTTTCTCGACTTTGCACACTTTTCGATCGCTCGAACGCCTCCTAAAAAAGGAAAGAGAGAGGAAACCTCGTGTTGCGGGCAAAAAGAACGAGCAGGAGAGCGGCAAGAAAAAGGAGGGAGAGGGTGAGAGGAATAGAGATAGGAAGAAAGACCACCCGGACGAAAGCGAGAGAACGGAAACGCCAGATGTGCAATTAAGATACGGAAGCGGAATGGAAGAAGGATTTCCGCGCGATCTTTGAGTGAAATGAAATGAAATGAAAATGGAAAGACGGAAAATGAATGAGAAATTTTAAGAATTCGTAAAAAAAACCACGTGAATCATCATCTGCTGTACGCTCGGTGAGCACACTGAGAAGCAACATCTTGATGTGTGCGCATCATTCTTTTTTCTCTCGAATGTTCTTCTCCTTGATCTCGTCCCCGAGCCACAAACTTATGCGGCACCCACACCCACAAACAGGCACCGACGTCCTCTTCTTCTTTTCTTTCTCGCTTGTTGACAGCCGTGCAAGCAAACGAGTCCGTTGAAAATTTGAGCCAATCCGCGTGTTTATTCATCAAGCCTCCGGCGGCTCCAACTTTCACTAACCCGAGACACTTTTTTCCAGTTTTTAGTAACGTTATTTCAGTCAGTATAGTAGAAATTGATTCATAGTACGCAAAAATCGGATCATAGGGTTGTCCGACTATCAAGGATTCTGGAATAATGATTCTTTAATAATCATGAGCCAAACTGCCAGTGCCGTCCCCCAAATCGATAGAGTTTGGCCCGGCTTGATGCGGGGGTGTAACTTGCAAAGTGAATTTTTTGAAAAATTTCTTGGGAGACTCGTATGACTCTTTCGAAAAGTCATGAGACCGTGTCCTACAATTTCAGCCAATGTGGTGTCGAAACGAGAAGCGTGAGTGTTGAGATTTTGCAGTTGCTCAATCGAAGCTAGCGAGGTGAGCATTCCATCGTTGACAAGAATTTCATCTACTCATTCCGTACCATTCAGAGGGAAAAAATCTGCGCTGAGGACACAACGCATGAGCGAGAACGCCGTGAGGAGTGGAAGAGGTAAGCGTGTCGCATAGTAACGTGGAATAGAAATCCTCTCGAATGTGCTTGGCGATTGATTTATTATTCGAGATAAAAATATTTAAAACAAAATGAAAAAGTTGAGATCGACAATCCAAAAATGTTTCGCTCGGGGTAGTTTTTCTTCCTTGCTCAATCAAGGCCTCCTTGCTCAGCGCCGGGATCGTTTTGCGGACGGGCCGCCGTAATCTGAAAATAATCAAGTTTTGCTCTAAATTCCTTCCGGTTTGCTGTTATTTACCTCCTCGTCGTCGATCTTCCGGCGCTCGGCGCTCGGATCCTCGATGATCCCGACCTCGTCGATCCCATCCTCCGTGTCCTCCTCTGTGATCCGAATTGCGATTCCCCGAGTTTCGATGTTCCGAGCTTCGATGCTCAGTGCTCCGGCTCTCCGCGTTCCGCTGCTCCAAGTTTCGATGATCAGAGCCTCGGCTCTCCGCATTCCGCTGCTCCGAGCTTCGATGCTCAGAGCCTCGGCTGTCCGCGTTCCGCTGCTCCGAGATTCGATGCTCAGAGCCTCGGCTCTCCGCGTTCCGCTGCTCCAAGCTTCGACGATCAGAGCTCCGGCTCTCCGCATTCCTCTGCTCCCAGCTCCGGTGTTCCGATCCCCTGTGTTCCCAGCCTCTTTGGTCCGAGCGTCTCTCGCCTCGAGCGTCTGACGATGAGCGGACATTCGAGCGAAAGGTGGCCGCATGTCCTGCTTGTGGCGGACGACCGGGTGGCGGCGGAGGCGGCGGGCTGTCCCGTCTCACTAGCCCTGCAGCCACATCGTCGGGATGCGGTTCCTCCGGAGTCCGCGGTCCTCGGCGGCCTGGTGGATGCGACGGTGGTGGCGGTGGAAGGGCACGTCTTCCCGAAAGAGCCGCAGCAGCTTCAGCGAGCCGAGCAGCTGCAGCGGCGGCCTCGGCGGCGGCGGCAGCCACGTCATCCGGATGCGGCTCGTCGGGGGTCCTCGGGCCTCTTCGCTGTGCGGGAGGACGGGGTGGTGGCGGCGGAGGAGACGTCCGTCCTCGACCGGATCCAGATATGTGGTTACTCGAGTTTCCGTAGCTGCTGGAGCTCCCATTGCCGACGCGACGATCTTCGCCCCCTAAATAAGGATTTGATGGCAGTTCGAGCAAATTTCGGTTACCATTTGATGGTCTGGAGCTCGACGATTTCGAGGAACCTCTTCCATCTCTCGAGCTTCCATGATGAGAGGGACGGTGATGACGAGATGACTCCTGTCTTCGCGCAGATCTCGGCGCGGTTCCATCCACCTCGAAGACGGCTGGAAAAATGAAATTTACTGTGAATTAACTGAATCTTCAATTACCTGATTGTCGCGACATTGACTAGAATTGTGAATCTGAAGCTAAAAGAAGTTAGTTAAAACATCAAGGAGAAATAGATATAAAAAAGCATAAAAGCTGTAAAATTGAAAAAAAAACAAAGGAGATTGGGATTTTAACAGTTTATTTAACAGTGGATTCAGGGGGGCGGGGGATGGCCTAGTTCTTCTTCTGCTGCTCCTCCACGTCCTCGTCCTCCTTGGCCTCGGACTCTTTGTTGTCCTCCTCTTCGTCCTTGTCGTTGGAGGCTTCGTCGCCGCTTCCGTCGGAGATCACGATCGTGCCGGCGTCCGAATTCTCGTCGTCGTCGTCGTCGTCGTAACTTTCGTCGGAGATGGTGATGAGACCGTCGCCGTTCTTAGCTGCAATGCAATCAATTAGTTGCCTCTCCCTCTCCCTCTTGCTCGCAATGGGCCCTATTGCCCCCTTTTCTCCCTCACTTACCCTCCTCCTTCTTTGCCTTCTTGGCAACCGGCTCGAGCTCGTCCGTTTCGGCCTCGACCTTCTTCTCTTCCAAACGCTCCTTCGGATCCTCCTTGGCCTCCTGCTTCTCCTTCAACAGCTCCTTCGGATCCTCATCGGCCTCCTGCTTCTTCTTCAGACGCTCCTTCGGATCCTCATCGGCCTCCTGCTTCTCCTTCAGAAGCTCCTTCGGATCCTCATCGGCCTCCTGCTTCTGCTTCAGAAGCTCCTTCGGATCCTCATCGGCCTCCTGCTTCTGCTTCAGAAGCTCCTTCGGATCCTCATCGGCCTCCTGCTTCTCCTTCAGAAGCTCCTTCGGATCCTTATCGGCCTCCTGCTTCTCCTTTAAAAGCTCCTTCGGATCCTCATCGGCCTCCTGCTTCTCCTTCAGAAGCTCCTTCGGATCCTCATCGGCTTTTTCCTTCTTCGCGAGAAGCTCCTCGGCCACCTCCTTCTCCGAGAGAAGCTCCTCCGGATCCTCTTTTCCATCGGTTTTCTGAGCTTCTGGAGTCGCGACGCCTACCTTGGCCGGGTTTTCTGTAAGTGGTGTGAACTAGAAAAAAAACGTTAGCAAAATAACTTACTTCCGCTGTCATTCTTCTCGGTTTCCACGGTAAGGATCGGCACGGCACCGATGTCGGGCTTCTCCTTGACCAGCTCGGAAGTTTCCATTATGAACCCGATAGGTTGTTGTTGAGCAAAGTATACCTGAAAATTATTTAATACTGCACAACATAGGAAGAAGAAACGTCGACATTTAGGAGAAAAATGCGCGCAAAATGAAGAATTAGGCCCAATTTGAAGTAGTAATGAGGCGAGCAGAGAGAGGGGGACGAGAAAGGGCACCCACGCAGACTTTTCCGTGCGAGAACCATGGACCCTCTTCCACCTGACATAAGCAAAAACAAGAGACGCAGCATTGGATTCGTGCCAAGTGGGAGGGGTGCCTGCGTAGGTGCCCCTGCTTGCGCGCGCTAAAAATTTTGAATTCAAATCGAAAGGGGGACGAGACGAGAGAGAGGAGGGAGCCAGTGAAAGCAGGGGAGGAAGCCCGGAAAGGGGGACCGTCTATGCCGCAGAACAGAGCGACTGAAGAAGGCGAAAGAGAAAAAGAGAGAAGAGATATCGAGAGGCCATACAAATTGTGGAGACGTGTGGAGAGAGGAGAGCACACGCACATGGCCATAACACAATGCCGACGATGGCGAGAGGAGACAGAGTGGTGTCCGGACTGCAACGGCTCGGGTCTCGCAGCGACGAAGAAAGTGAGAAAGTGATGTCCAGCTCGCGGATGTCCGTTAGGCATGCGAGCAGAAGAGTACGCGAGCATATCAGAAGCGGCCGGGGCAAATAGGGACTGATGTTTAGCCAACGGCGCCGACATTCGAATATGGGACGGAACTGACGGTGTGCTCAAAAAAGAAAGGGCGCTCTTAATCGAAGGAAAAAGACGTTGTGTATTAATCATAACTTGGCTTTGGCGGCAAACTTAGATAGGGCGCGGGGGAATGTTTGAGCGGAAAAGGTTTTGATCTATCCGACATGTTATGAGTCATAGAATGCAAACTGCCCGCGCCAAGGTACGTATTTTAAATGTCATCAACCTAAATTCTGAAGATCTCACTTTCAGCTTACTGTTGTCTTTTAATTGACGCTTGGGAAGTAAATCCTCTCCTCCGTCAAGAATAATGAGGCCTTGTGGCTGAATGTTGCTGTTTCCGTCCGAAGGATAAAATAGGCGGAGCTTATGAATATTAAGAGGCAATGTCTGAGAACCTCGAAATTCGCTAATTACACCAGGTCACTAAAAATTCAGAATGCTTCAATTTGTCTCATATTATACCCAATGGGTACTTACATAACAGTGATACATCAGACAAGTTTTGGTCCGGCTCCTTGGTCCCTAGTCCGATCACGGTCACAAAATAGGTCAAACCTGTAACTAATTTCAAAAAAATGCTAGCGTCTCAGACTCAAGGCCATTCGATTTCTCGCATCTTTTTTTAAGCATTTTTTTCATGTTGACACCAAAAAAATTTATCACCTTTCCTTCATAGAGAAATTTCGGATTTTTTTCGTGAAAAAAAGTTGAGTTGTTGTGCAGTTTTCCTCCGTGGTGAAAATTTTTTGCACTTCATAGCCACGATTTTATTTCAAATTCATAATCTACGGACAATTTTACGTCGATATATCATACTGTCGCACATTTGCCGATTGACATCAAAGGAGTTTTTTTCAAAAAGTTTGATCCGGTCTCAAAAAAAGTTTCTGTTCTGCTTTTTGGAAAAACTTACAGAAACAAAGGAATTCCTGTTTATAGACGTTTTTTTCATGCTAAAAAAACTGTAATTCTGTTATGTATTCGTCAGGTACAGCTTTGTAAACGTAGCGATTAAAACATGTTGCTATTTTTTCTCAGCCGGATAGATTTTTCGAGATGTGTTCGCTTTTACCCAATATTTTATGCTTTCTCTCGTTTTTATTTTTCAATGTTCATCTTACTTTTTGTGAAGAATTTATTTGGTCGTTCTCCGATTGATTCAAGAACGGTAAACAAGAAGTACATATTATAGGGGCACCGCACAGAAATGGCGCTCTGTTGAGAAACTCTTTTTGCAGTGCAAATTGAGCGACCTCGGGGCCGAGTTTGAAAGTTAGGCCACATTTTCAGTGGAAAATTACTTCGCGGCCTAGAAATTCGACCAGATTGCGAACAGCGCGCCTTTTCCGTCCGGTGCCCCTATAATACACATGGGGCAACACTCAACAACAAAAGTACATCAAATAGGTATAAAAGCACAAAGCAAATTTTGTGTAGCTATTCTTCTTCCTATTTTCAAACTGCTGATATTATTAGATGGTCAATATTACAGATTATAATGAAACTCATTGTTTTCCTGATTGTACAGTTGCTCTTGCAATGGTCAATTTGTTCCGTCAAGTAATTTGATGTCATTGACTGGAACATACGAGTTCGAACATGCCGGATACACTTCAACTGTGATTGGGTCTATTGATGAAGAACTAAATGCTGTACTGTCGCAGAAGCAGACCACGTTTTGGTACTTTTCGGAATGTACTAAGTCAACTGATTCTCAAAACACTGCTTGCATTGAAGAAGAAGATGAAAATGAAGTGGAAAGCGATGAAGTGAGACCGCGGTACGAAGACGCTTTGGAAAAGATATTTACATGCCCAGAGGAAGGATGCTCAGCTACATTTTTGAGATATTCAAGCGTGGTCGAGTATGTTGAACGTGGACAACATATAATTCGACCTGAACGGCAGCAGACACTTAGTGATTTTTCATTGAAATAATTTATTCGTGGTTTGGAAGAAGTGGTCAAAAAGTTGCCCAATAATTTCGAATGCTGTGAAAAAACTGAAGGAGACGAACGAGAAGACGGAATTGGAGGACGGATGGGTACTTCAAGTAAGAAATGTCAACATGCGGATCCGAGAATTGTTGAAAGGAGAATGGCAGAAGCTAGAAATCCGGACGGTTCTAAGCGGTTTTCAGTGGATCAAAGGAAAGACTTCCGTCAGATTGCCGGGTTCTTCTCCCGTGAAGCAGCGAAAAGGCAATCAAAAGCAGCACGATCGCGACGCGCTCAAGAAATAAAGGATGACTCGTGGAGGGAGTAGTTTTCCACTGAAAATGTGGCCTAACTTTCAAACTCGGCCCCGAGGTCGCTCAATTTGCACTGCAAAAAGAGTTTCTCAACAGAGTGCCATTTCTGTGCGGTGCCCCTATAATATGTACTTCTTGTTTACCGTTCTTGAATCAATCGGAGAACGACCAAATAAATTCTTCACAAAAAAAGTAAGATGAACATTGAAAAAAATAAAAAAACGAGAGAAAGCATAAAAATATTGGGTAAAAAGCGAACACATCTCGAAAAAAATCTATCCGGCTGAGAAAAAAATAGCAACATGTTTTAATCGCTACGTTTACAAAGCTGTACCTGACGAATACATAACAGAATTACAGTTTTTTTAGCATAAAAAAACGTCTATAAACAGGAATTCCTTTGTTTCTGTAAGTTTTCCAAAAGCAGAACAGAAACTTTTTTTTGAGACCGGATCAAACTTTTGAAAAAAACTCCTTTGATGTCAATCGGCAAATGTGCGACAGTATGATATATCGACGTAAAATTGTCCGTAGATTATGAATTTGAAATAAAATCGTGGCTATGAAGTGCAAAAAATTTTCACCACGGAGGAAAACTGCACAACAACTCAACTTTTTCACGAAAAATCCGAAATTTCTCCATGAAGGAAAGGTGATAAATTTTTGGTGTCAACATGAAAAATGCTTAAAAAGATGCGAGAAATCGAATGGCTTTGAGTCTGAGACGCTAGCATTTTTTTGAAATTAGTTACAGGTTTGACCTATTTTGTGACCGTGATCGGACTAGGGACCAAGGAGCCGGACCAAAACTTGTCTGATGTATCACTGTTATGCAAGTACCCATTGGGTATAGTATGAGACAAATTGAAGCATTCTGAATTTTTAGTGACCTGCAGTTTTTGAACTTCTCAGACATTGCCTCTTAACTCTTAGCCGCGGCTCCAGTCTGCTCAGAAATGAGAGGAGGAGGGAAAAGAGATGTGCTAGGGCTAGAAGACGCGAAAAAGATACGATGGGGAGTTATGAAGAGGTGCGCCCTCGCACGCGCGCGTGAAAAGTACACGACTAATGAGCAAGGGCTCGTATTGCCGGCTTCTTTCATGTGCTAATATTAGTTAAATCTGTCAGAATGTTGCGAAATGTACTATACAAGAGAAAGAGTCGTCGGAACGAGCAGTTTGGAGAAATTAGACTCACATTCAGTTCTTTCAAAAAACAGAGCGCTGATTAGCTTATTTTGCCGCGTTTTCTTGTTATTGCCAGCCATACTGTCTGTTGTTGACCTTAAACAGACAATGTGGGAGAATGTTGCGATGCAGATGTGTTCCATGTTGTTGCCAAACTTTTTTTCAGAAGTTGGAGGTCTAATCGTGTTTACTCACCAGACTAGCAAAACGTTTCGGGCCGGTCCTGCCCGTTGCAAGTCTGCGAACCACTGTCTCCCTGATCACAATGCCTTATCAATTTCGTTAAACGATTTCCCTTCCACGATTCTTGAAAAACTAGCCGAAACTGTGTCGCAAAAGTGCAAAGCACAAGCGATTCGGATGGCGTGATTGATCTAGGTTGAATGTCTGCCTCCTTCTCCGAATGCGGAATCCGAATCGCTCCGTCAATTAGTGTTTTTTTCTTCGGTCGATTAGAAATGACAGATACCTGGTATGGGTGGTCGTCGCGCAGAAGGACCTGTTTTCCTAATCCGTGTTCCCTCCCCCGACAAGTGCAATTTATAGGGGCTGGCGACCGCGGATCTTGGTCATTCTTGGCCTTCATTGCGGTGAGTCTACGTCTTCTTTCTTCTATTAGTGGCGTGAGTTTGCGAGATGTCTATCCCCACTAGCTTTTTCACATGGGTTCATAGACAACAATGCCCCTGAACCCTGGTGAAAGTTGGTGGGGATTCCATTTTTTAGTGGGGAAAGTCTGTCGCTCATGCGTCCAAGGGAATAGTTCTAACCACAGGTTTGTCGGGAAACATTTCAGAAATTCAAAACCGGAACGTTTCTTTTCGGAAAATATTAGGTACTCTCCAATTCCAATCTACCTGGGACCATCTGCTACTGATCTCTAATACTTTCTGATCTCTTGCACGCACCTTGTGCCAGGTGCACCTTTTAGTTCTTCCGCCTGATTATCTTCTACAGCTGGTTCGCCGCTTTTTCCTTTCCGGTTCCTTTTTAATTAAAACCGCATGAAACAGAGCTCGGCAAACTGATGCAAGATGGGTTGAAAAAGGAGAGGGGTTAATGAGAAAAGGGAGCGACGTATTCCATTACTACTACTACTACGTATTTCGTCTTCGTCGATTTGTAAGTTCAAAGTAAGTTCGCGAGCAATATTACAGTCCTGTCGGCTTTTATCGACGGGATCAACCAAATGTCGTATGGTGAACCCGGTTAAAAGTTGTCAGGAACAGTGATTGCTGTTTTTATGGTCTGTCCTTTCTGTCTGTCGTCTGTCCGCTAATTCCAAAGTTCAAGAGTCTTTACAGTAGGCTCTGGATACAATCCTACTTCTCCATCCAAATAATCGCACATTCCGAGTATATTTCAAGTCAGAACCCCCGAACACGCCCGGCACTTGCCTGTCTCTTTTTACGTTTTGGAATTCGAAAGCAAATGCGTATGCGCACTCTCGAAACTATTATCATCTTCTCTAACCGCTTTCAAAGGCGTTGTTTTCTCGAAGGTGAAAGTTTCTGAAGAGAAGATAAAATAAACTGCGTAAGTTGGTGGTTAGACAGTAGGAAAACGTGATAGAGAAAAAGATAAGAATCATTTCGGGTTCATACGCACCGCTTCCAAGTGACGAGGCGTCAAATCCCATTTTTCCTTCAAAAGTGTACTTTTTCATTTTCCCCGTCGAGAAGGCGACCATATCTGCCAGCTACTCAATGAATTTATTCGAAATAAAACACAACGGGCAGAATATCAAATGATACTCGGTTGGTAATATAAACATTTGACGAGCGCACGCATTCTTTGACATTTTTGATCATAAAATTGAGTGAGACTTGTGTTTTCTTTTAATTAACATGGTCATTTTTCATGAATAATGAAGAAAGAGGTGGTTCATCACGTCAACCGATGAGTCATTGTTAGCGGATCCGTCCAAAGTCAGGACTACGAAACTTTTTTGAATTTAATCGTAGAAGTCCAAGCAATCAACTTAATCTCGCGCTTATACTCTCTAGAAACCGACTTCATCAGGCTGCCGTCCACCTCAGACCCGTAATTTGGAGTAGTACTATGTCATGCGGATATTCCACTGCTCGCTTTCTTCTCAAAAGTGCTATTGTCGCTTTCCAATTTTTGATGCTCATTCTCAATTTCCTCTTCTTTTTTCTCTTCCGATTGCCAACGTTTATAGGCACGTTATAGAGTGGTACGAGAATTGCGACCGACCGCCTTCTTTTTAGGCTTGCCTCACACGCACACACTCACCCAACTACTGAACACGGCTGACGGCGCCAGCGAGAGGATCGATAGGGAGCCAGAAACATTTATTTTGCTCGCTAGAAAAGGGCTGAAAACCTAGTGCGCCCCGGTTGGATTCACCCCACCGCCATGAGTCTGGACGGCATACTCGACAGATTGCTCGTGGAGATGGAGGACGGCCGAGAGCTACCGCAGGAGCAGGAGCAGGAGCAGGAGCAGGAGCAGGAGCAGGAGCGAGTGGACGTACAAGAAGAGGAACCGGTGATTGAGCAGCCTCAGGATTTGTCTACGCATTACCCGGAGACACGTGTGTACTTTCCATGGGCCTCACAAGTTCTCAGCAATTTGAGGTACGTTCCTAGGTTCGGGCTACGTTTCGGGATCTCACTCTTTGCGCTAGATCAGTTTTTCATGTTTCCACATAGATATTCTCATTCGGTTCATTAACTAATAAGCAACCTCGTTGTTAGATCCGCATCAACGATTCTGACTTATTATCATCGCGCAGATACTAATGAAGTCTGCCCTTTGCTCAATTCCGCTCCAACCACACGTCTATGCACGCGTGTAGCCACTAATTGAAGGTTTTGATTTGCGTTTCTGGGCTAATTGAAAATCGTACTAGTGTGGTATACACATGTGATAATGATAATGCGCGAGGTTTTCGAGTCGGCGAAAACAACCTTGCTATCAGTAATGAGGAAAAGGGACTAGCCGAATGAGTAAGCATTCACTATGACTTTCCATCTTGACTCAGCCCCGGTTCTTCCCTTCAAACTTTGGTCTTTAAGCGATATGAACTCAGAAATACAAAGCATTCGAGGGGAGGCAATTACCATGAAACCGAAAATGAGTGGCGCTCAATTTCCGATAATAGAACAAAAGCATGCGGCTAAAAGAAAAAAATGTGCACTCACCCGATGCATTCTGGCGCTCATGCCGCTGCCATAAAGAATCGAATGTGATTAGCTTCATTTCTCAAGTAGAATGTGTAGGAATAAGAAGCCAAAGAGACTGAAGAGCCGGCGAAACCACTCACACCTCAGTGCACCAGCGCCGAATGTGACGTCGTTAATCCGTTGTCAGCTTATGGGCTGAGCCCGAGCAATGTTGCTCCGCCAGTGGATGTGGATAAAGTCCCACGCTCTGAATTATTTTGAGACGGAAGACACGTGAAACCGGATTTGTCTGTGTGTGTGAGAGAGAGAGAGAGAGAGAGAAAAAAAATAGTGCTCGGATTGAGAATTACGAAACAAAAGGAAATAAAACTTCGGAAGTGAAGCCGGATGTTGAACTAATTGAGAGCTAGCGGGGTGGTTCCAGACTGATGGGTACGTGAAAACGCTGTGAGGGATGTCAGGTAAAGGCTTGGGGGTTTGAAATTTTGAATAGCTTTTAGTCTGCATGCAGGGCTGGGCAAAAAGTCGGCCCATGAATTTTGAAGGGCTGTGGTAGCCTGAACTTTTGGTTCACTGCGCCGTCCGTCTATGCTACTAATTCCAAGTATTGCCGCATTGTAAATGTCAGTAATGATCAGTTTCCACACAAATTAAAAGGTTTTCCCTCTTCCGCTACTTCTCTAGCCCAACTCCTCTTTGTTTTTGTGCTCCTCGAGCCGTTTGTCAACATGTTTTATCGGAAGCGTGCCGCATTCACTCCTCTTCTATCTATACATACACAGCTATCGGACCAAGATATCAGCATGATAAATTGTTGTTTTTGCGCGAAAATACAGAGGAAAATTGAGGTGAAATAGCAAACGGCAGTTCGACGATAATATCATTACACTAAACGTCCCTCGTGCGTTCCTCGAAAAATGTAAACTATTTTGGGTAAACAGAAGTTTTGCCCAAAAAGAAAAACGGACAATCTGTCATTCGGTTTTTGGGTGCGAAAAACTGCCAACTCTTCCTTCAAATCCATCATCTTCTCGGCGTTTCCCGCACCCTTTCTTCCTCTTCCTCTAAATTTCATTTCATTCTATGTAATTAGGTCGGTGCGCAACGCAGTGCAGTGCCTTCGCCCCGCACTTCATTACGTGTCATTAATGAACGTGTTTCTTTCTCTAGCACCTCTTAGGCTCTCACCTTTGTCGTTTGGTTATCAGTTTTAACCTCGTGACCAACTTAATCAATACTCAATTTTCAGTAAACATTGTGTATATGCACATTCGCCAGTTCAGATTTTTATAACTTTTCTCTCCTATATCCCAGATATTTCAGCATAATGCAAGCAGGTCCGTTATCCGAGCAGGCGAGCCAGTTGCTTACAACTTTTCTCGGGAAACAGTCCGCATCGTCTGGATTGTTCCTTCAGCTGCCTTCCAACGTTCCAAAGGAAGATGAGCCAAAAGAGGATGGAGACCATGAAGCGGAGAGAGAGAGTGGAAGACAATCCGAGCAAAGTTCGTCGAGTTCCAGCCGTGAAAGTCCTGGACAAAGTGCTCACGTCTCTGAGGCAAAGCAACATGGAAACAAACGTCCTCGGATGGCTAAAAGAACTTTTCCGATCGAGGAAGATGAGACTGTTGCCCCGAAGCAGTACCCGAAACGCCAGAGATCTCTGAGAGCTCAGCTCACTTCGGCTGCTGAGACTTCCGAATATTCCAGGGCTGAGGAAATCGTCGACGGAACTGGAACTGACCAGATTCAGATGGCGAAAGTGAATTTACCGCATTTGCCGCCGTCTGGAAAGATTTTGAGACTCGAACAGATCGTCAAAGAGCATTTCGAGCCAATGATTGAGGGTTTGTATGCTCTCGCTGAAAATGCAAATAAAACCAGACATGCTCAAATGTTCGGGCATCAGAAAGACCTAAAGAGTTTGGCCAAAAATGTGAGATTGAAAACCACTTTATTCTTTTCCAAGTCATGTGCGTTTACAGATTCAAGCGGAATACAGTCACTGGCAGAATGTGATCGCTTACGCCCACCAGTATATTGGTCGCAAGCGCCTTCCCTCCGAGGTTCATTCCACACTCAACTCGTATGTTCTCTCCACTAACCTGATTGACGTTTGGATGACAATAGCAATAATATTTCAGCCTTCTCGATCACTACCGCAACAATTATCCGGATCAGATTCCGAATGTGATGAAGAAATTGTCTGGCATCTTTAATAGACCAGAAAAGACATTGGAGATGAGCCTAAAGCGAGCTTCGGTAATTGGGACACATTTTTGAGTTATTTCTAGTGGTTTCTCTTCAGACCTGGGCGAACAAGAACACAGTGAATGCTCAGGAAAACAGTCCTGTTATGGAAGTTGGGGAAGTTGAGGAGGTCAATGCAGTTCCGGAAGAGCAGCAACCGGAACTTGAAAATCAACAGCCGGAGCAAGTAGCAGAACCAAAAGAGCCTCAAGAAGAGCCGGCCCGAGATCCGGAATCGACATCCAAGTTGCAGGTCGCCCAACCGGATGTGGTGGCAGAAGTTCCAACCGAACTTATCCCAACTGTTGCTGACAATGCCCAGCCAATTGTATGAAATCTCTGAGTACTAGAGCGTTACATAAGAAATTTCATTTCAGGCTCAAGTTGCTCCTCTTCCAGTTGCCTCTGGCCCAATCGTGAACTTGCTTCCGCAGCTACTTCGAGGACACGGAAAAGAAATCGTAATTGTTGGCTGACATACTCATTGCATCGTCTTTTTCAGACTCCGGAAGATACCAAGAACCTGGTTCTGTACACCAGTCTCCTTTCCCAACTGAACATGGCTTCCGTCCTCGGAGTCAACCCAGGATCAGTTCAACTTCCGTGATTCTGACTGAAATGACGATATAATCTCTTTACTTTTCTCTCGCCCCTATCTGCATATGTATCCACTCCATTTTTCCAATTTTGAATTCCGTTCAATCTAGACACGCCATCCGGCCGGATGGAAACCTCTATTTCGTACCTTGCTTTTTCCGTTCGAATCGATAGTCCCATTACTTTTCAATTTCCCCTTTTCATTCGAAATGTTTCTTCTCTATTTCTCGTCATCACTATCACTAAAAAACTTGGTTTTCACTGTCCGTGAAGCGAAAGTATGCCGGAATGTTGGCCTGCTCTTATCACTCGTCTCCCTTTTCTTTTCGCCCAACACCGTTCTTACTCTGAAAATTTATGCATTTTTTCTGAATGTACCTACTCGAATACTTGAAATAAGACCCAATTATTGGAAACTTGCTGAAGAAAGAAGAGAAGGAAAACGCGAACAATGCATTTGAAGTGGTCCTTAGTGGAACAATTTTGAAAACTTTCAGACGCTTTTTGATTAGGGTAACTTAAGAAACTGGAAATCTATGTAAAAAAAAACACAGCATGGGTGAAGATTTCTTGAAGAGAAAAACTCGCCACTCCCCCCGGCTCCGTTCTCCGTTTGCCTTCCACCGCCTGTCACCCGACGAGTCACCAATTCGCTTATCACTACTGAAGGGGGCGTAGGGTAGCGACGAAACGTTTCATGGAAACGTTCAATGATCTTCATTCTCCCGTCCCCTTATCATTCGGCCAACTTGCCACTCTACCATTTCATTTCATTCCATTCTGGTGGTGTGTTCACGGCCGGCTCTTCTCATTTCTAATGCCTCCATGTTCAATGGATCGTTCAGTGGATCTCAAAAGCTTTTAAAGATTTGAGAAAGAGAGAGAGAGAGAATGCACGCTGGAAGTGAATGTGGATAACGCTCGAATTGCCTAGCCGATAACAAAAAAGAAAAGGGGAGGTGGCTGGCGCCTGCGAAGACGTCTCCTGTCTGCTCGTCTGCAGCACAGTGCGCTGGCGCCCAGCACAGCTTCTGGTATTCAGACTCTTGCCTCAGCTCCCTCAGCTCACGTGTGACGGCGCCCAGCTTTCACTCTCACTCACTTTCTCCCTCTTTCTGCGTTTCAGGCTTCATTATTTTTCCTTGGCTCTTCTTTTGCTGGTAATAAAGATTCCATTGATAATGGGAGAAGACCGTCCCAGACTTCTTGGCAAACGCGATTTCAAAGTGGAGTCGGAGGACGATGAAGTCTATGGCCAGCCACCACAACGAAATCAGGTGCTTGATGAATGCGTCTGCGGAAGTCATTGCTCTTTATTAAAACTTGGAATGCACTATGAGTATACTGTAGTAATGCAAACCAAAGCTTCTCTATCACTGTATTCTCCTGACTGTCTCTTCGATTCTCAATTTTGATAAAGGATGAGGTGACGACAGTAAGAAAAAACGAAATGAAACATCCAGAAAACAATGAAATTAGAAAAGTCTGAATTTGCTTTCAGTTTTCGTCTTCAAACTCTCGTCAAGAACCCGAAGCCAGCACTAGGAACACACAACGACAAATGCCACCCCATCCTGCAAATGTGAGCTGTTTTTTTCCGCTGAACATAAACTTGCTCATGTTTTCCGGAATGATAGCGTAACCAAGACCGCTCAGGTGGCGCCACGTGAACCGGAATCTTCCCTTGAAGAAACTTCAGAGGAGAGCGTACATGAGGAAATCTCTCGTGTCTACTACGGAGAAGTATTTTAGCTCAATACCGGTTTCCGGGTCATGGGACCCGCAAATGTTTTTTGGTGCAAAGCCCAAATAAATTATGGGGTCCGGAAATAATTCTTGGAATCCGAGGGATGCAGGGCCCAATTTTGAACCCGGAAACCGGAATTGAACCTGTATATCTTCTCTGTTTGCGGTTTAAAAATTCTCAGTCACTTCCAGATGCACAGAGTGATCAACGAAAACGGAGGACTCGCGAATATCCTGAACAACATTCCATTGGCCCAAAGGATCCTTGGCTCAAACTTCGCCAACGTCGTCCGTTTTATTGCTCCAATTGTATGCGCAACTCAAGGTACACCGTCTGAAATGAACTATTTTCAGCAAGTACCAGCGTTCCCTGTCCCGTTGGCAATGCCCAATTTGTCAGAGGATTTGGAGCTCCAGAGAGTGCGCCACTCGCACAGCTTGCTTTTCGCAGCTCTGACAAACGTCGTACAGGCCGACATGATGCTGCCAACTATGGAAAATCTTGAGATGTGCTCTCTACTCACTACGGTACGATTGGCGGAGCATTTTCGACGATGGAATCGATTGGTTTCAGAAAATCAACGAGCTGCAACGCTACATGAATGACCATGCCAACCGCCGGAACGTCAACTAAACGAATCTGTTTCCCAATTTCCATTTCCCAACCTATTATTCCCCAATATTTCATCGTCGAACCATATGTAATTGAATTTTGATTGAATGATTGAATTGAATAATTGACTGATTGACATTCAATTTCTGATTGAATGATTGAATTTGAATTGCGATGCAAGAAGATGGCTCGCATTTCCCAAAACGGTAGCGTAGATTTGGACCTTAAAATAAGATAAACAACTGTGCACTCGTGAGCTGGCTCTGCCGGCGGAGCCACCAGACTCATAGGGGTATTTTCTGCGCCGCTGTGTGTTTCGTAAGTCAGTCCGTCCTTTGAAGGGTAGGCAATACTCTTCTCCCTTTCACTTCTTTGATTTCTTGAGCTCGCACAAATTGGGATGCCGATGAAATGTTGAATACTTTTTTGACCAGAGCATGTGTCATGTTAGACCTGTCTCTTCCTATCTCTGACCTTATTGTTATGCAGGAAGTCAACCAATTTTTAAAGGACGGGGGAACCACCCTCAAATTTTTTTATTTTTTGTGAAATTGTTTTGTGTCTGTTTGAATTGTCTCTTATTGCCTCATACACTGGTGAAAAGCTGACTCTCAGAAATGCAAATGAACGAAACGGCATGCAGTTGAAGATATGGCCGTGGCCTAGGAAACTCCGGTGTGAAAACTCTTCCCTGTAAACAGTTTGATGCTCTTGCGCTATGTTTGGTCGCTGATTTGTGTGACTGTTTTGCAACGTATGAAGATTGTGCCGAACGCAAAAAAAATCCGAGGCCTAGAACTTTTCTGGGTCACGGCCACTACTTTGACTAAGCGCTGTTCGATTAACAGGTATTTGTGAAAGTTGGTTCTCGGACAGTGAGTGTGACTATAAAAAGCAATTCAGTCAGACACATGGTCCTTTAAGTCGTTTAAGTCGTAAGTCAATTTTTGGCCCTGATTATTATTACTGCCTTTGGAACCTGATTATTCAGATAGAGCCCTTGATTTCCCTATGGAAATCGCATGCTCACACATCTTCAGACTACAACAAAGGGAATTTCATTCTAGTTATACACCTCAGTCCTAATCACATGCTTTTCCTTCATTCTTCTCGAAAACTCCATACTTTTCACTCATTCCCCTCCTCCGACTGATTAGAGCCTGCTCACATTTCACACTTCAGCGTGAATGTGCTTACTATTTCCTTCTTCTTCTTCAAAATTAGCACCTCGTATGCTTTTCATATCAAGTGGACTCTGGTCGAAGAGAAGAGAACCCCGTAAATTGGCAGTCACTCTCAAGCTCTCTCCCGCTCTCAGTTTTGCTCTTTCTTGAATTTCAATCGTCTTTCCTTCTCGTTTAACTCTTTTTTTTCCAGGTGATTCACTATTCGATTGATAATGGAAGATAATTTCCCCAGACTTCCCGTAGGAGAGCCCAACGGAGCCAACGTCCAGCCACCAATTTCACAACCAAATCAGGTGCGTGATGAATGTTTCTAATCCCTACTTTGAGCATTTTTCTTCGAAAACTGAATCCATCTCATTCTTTTCCAGCAGGCGAATAGGAATCCAAGCCCGGCACCTAATGCGAGCCCGGTTGCGGCCCCGTTGAACGGAGCGAATCTTCAATTTTCCGATCAGGAGATTTTGCGCGCTGTCGCCAATGAGGTGAGTAAAATATCAAAGCGCACGGGCAGTAAACACACTAATTGGTACCCTTCGAATGGCTTGCTTTTGGCTGACTCTAAAATTTTACTTGCGCGAATAACAAATGGGAGTTTGAGGGTTCATCATAGAGCCAGGAGTAATTGGAAAATGGGATGAATAAAATAAACAAAAAACTAAATTTTGTTTTAAGTATCGACCGGTACACGTCTTCGAACTACCTAACTCTCTCCGTGAAGCTGGGTTCAACCCACCCCAGGGACGTATGATGATGATCAGTGGGGACGCCGTGTTCGGGACACCCATGCAACCACAAGTGCCGTTCCATCCTGGAAATGTGAGTGGTTTCCTTGGCTAAATAAAATGTTTACTCTTGCTTTTCAGGTTGATAGTGCCACCAATCATCCTCACATTGAGTTCGGTCCGGTGGAGCAGCATGACCCGGATCCTTCTCTCATAGCTCTACAGCAGAGAATGCAAGACGAGATGTTCGGTGTTTTATTTGGACAGGTACATATTTCAGCTTGGGTTTTGAAAGTCCTTAGTCACTTACAGATAGACAGAGTGTTCAACGAGAACGGAAGCTTCGAGATGGCCTTCAACAACCTTCCATCACACCAACGCATGTCTGTTCAAATGGTAGGCGCAACTCAAAGTACACCCTCTGAAATAGACGCTTTACAGCAAGTACCAGCGTTTCCTGCGCCGATGGATATGCAAAATATGACAGCGGAGCTCCTGAGAGTGCAACACTTGCACACGTTTCTCACTGCCGCTCTCGCGCAGGCTGAGCATGCTGAAATGACGATGTCAAGCGAGGACTCTCGTCGCATGCGCGCCCTACTTGTCACGGTAGGATACGCAAAGCATTTTCGATAATAGAATCAGTTAGTTTCAGAGAATCGACGAGGTGCAGCGCTACATGAATGACCACGCCAACCGCCCGGACACCAACTAAATGAATCTATCATCAGTATAATATGTTACTCTATATTCATCTTACGCAACTAGTTAAGAAAATAACACGCATTTTTCCAGCGCAGTTTTGCAACTTATTCTTGATAACATACTTATTCATCCAAACTATTCTGTCCGAATCTTTATTCAAGATAAATGTCACATAAGCATATTTCTCCATTATTTGTATTGTCCGTCGTTGCCAGACCTTTTCACGACGGACCTCCACGTTTTCTGCGTCTGTCTGTGTTCCGGTTTGCTGATGCGGTGCCTCGAGGCTATACTCACCAACAAATTATTTTCTGACTTTTGTACAACTTTCGGCGTGAGTTATTCCACATGTTTTACGGCTTTAACATCCTACCGGTTTTAGATACTCCATAGACATTTTGTCTTCGACATAATTCACCCGAACCTTGTCGCCTGTCCTCGGAGTCAACTCCGCATCGATTCAACCTCTGCAGTTCCAACTGAAATAACAATATAATCGGTGTATCTTTCTCTCATCCCAATTTTCATGTAATTCTTCAAAATGTTCCACGTTTTCATTGCAAAAATGTTTCTTTCATACACAATTCCGTTCAGACTACTGTCAATCTGGACTCTCCTCTGTCTGCAATGCGACGTGATGGTGCACAGTGCGCACAGTGCGCAGCAAACGAGACAATTGCGGAAATTATCGATTTTCGCTTGAATGGGCGACCAGTTATCCGGTCGTTTCAGTACTTTTTATGTTTTCATTTGCATTTCAAATGTTTCCTTTCTGTTTATCGTGATTACTTTCATCAAAAACGTGCCAGCGTTTTGTTTACACGCTGTGTGTATCAATTATCTCAACCTTGAACGCCCAACCGAAAGTTTTGCGAAATTCGTCGTTCTCCTTGGGGTTTGCATTGCACCGCTTGTCACGCATTCACTAAGCGACTCGGTTATCACTACCGGATAAGGCGTATAGTAGCGGCGGAACGGCTCTCTTACTTTCACTCTCTCTCATTCAATTCTGCTCTGTTTCGTGTTCCAAGCGTTTTTTTTCTCCCCTTTGCTTACATTTAGTTTTTGTTTCTGCAGGTAATCCGCTTATCATGGCCGACCAGCCGCACAGATTCTTTCAACCGGATGAAATGGAAATCGAGCCGGAAGATGATGGTGTCCATGGAATCCCCCCGCCGCACGAACGTCCGGAACAGGTACGTAATGAATCTAACCGGGGAACAGATGGTTCCCAGACTTGTCGGGGTGGAATGTATCTATTCGACTTTGAAAAGATACTGTTGCAAGAGTACTCGCTCATTTCTAATGCCTTGTTTTTCAGGACAACCTGTACTTGGACGAACAATTGTACGAATTGGACGACCCGCAAGCTGAAGCTCATCCAGATGTCAATATTTTCGACCAGGTACATCTTTTAAGTTTGGTTTTCAAAATTTATAAGTGAATTCCAGCTTCTCCAAGTATACAATCAACAAGGACTTCACGGAATTCTTAACAACGTGGAATTGGGCGCAGAAGTGTTCGGCCCGGCGTTCGCCGATATTGCACCGTTTCTCGCTGCCGAAATGGTAAATTAATTGTTGATAATGCATACTTTCTATACTTTTGAATTCATTTCAGATGGAGATGGGCGAGGTGTACGCCGCCGAGAGAAACGTGAATCAGTGATTAAGTAATCGCTTTGTGGTTTAAATAAAGTAAATTGTTCATATTTTTCTGTTTAAAGTTCAGAGACGCTTTATGAAAACAATCAAAATCTTGTCCGGTCTGGTCTCTTTCTGTATCAAAGCACAAAGTTCTAAACATTGCAGGTTTAAATAAAAACAGTCCACATTGAACTAGAGAAGGATGCCGAACGTTCAAGGCTCGTCACAGATTGATGACGGACGTTTTGGCACAAACAGTGAGTTCCGGTGTTGGCCCGTCTTTTTATGATATTTTTTTGGGTTGGGGAGTTGAATTTGCTCTCCTTCTTCTAAAAGTAAGATGAATCATCGACTAGACGTATGATATCTGCCTGATTTCCCTATGGAAATCATACGCTCACACATCTTGAAACTACAATGGAGGAAATATGATTCTAGCTACAAACCTGAGCCATTATCACATGCCTCTCCTTCCATTCTTCTAATTTCCATTCCTCTCACGTTTTCTCTTCGGTGGATGTACCTCACTGATCAGAGTGTGGTCACATTTCACACTTCAGCGGAGCTGTGCTTTCTTTATTTTAGACCAAATTAGAACCTCGTATGATTAGCAACTCAAGAACATTCAGCGGCGCGTTTTTTGTCGGAAACTGCTTGATTAGACTTCCGATCACCAAATACTCGGTTGTTTGTGTTCATTCCCGACTACATGACACGTTTCAGGTTCAGAAATGCCGCCCAGGATTTGTGAGGACTTCAATTACGAAAGATTCCAGCCAATTCATAGAGTGCAAGTGGTGCTTCCGCCGCCTAGAAGAATACAACGACCTCATCGACCCTCGGAGGTCAGAATCAACGTCATTGAAGTTGGTGATCACGCCAAAAACTCATCGTTTCAGACTCCAACAGGACGGCCATTTTTCTCTGAAGTTCGCGCACGCTTTGTTGGAAACACGAGTGTCTACCACGAGCTCTGTGCACTTCTAGGCCGCCGTAGAAGGTTAGTACCAAGTTGTTACCCCGTGTTTCACAATAAACTCACAGACCTATCACCGACACGCTTATCAAGAAAGTAATCCAACTTCTCTACGATCATCCTGACTTGGTACTTGACTTCAGCGGAACTCTCCCAGTGGAACACCATATTTACATCAACAGACGTGGACAGTATGTCCATGACAACTCAGAAACTGCTAGAGTACGCTTCCGGATTCAAAAAGAAGACACTGATACGCATTTCAGGTTGTTCCGAGAGCAGAGATCATCCGTCATCTTCCTGATCAGACACAATTGACCGGACGAGCACTGCAAAATGTTTGTACTTGAATTAGTACCACTTTCCCAGCTACATGCACACGTTACAGTTTACCCGAGCTCTCGTGTTCCTCCGTTTGGCCGAAGAGCGTCTTTCTGATGACCCAAATCAGTTTCAGCGCCTTCTCAATTTTCTTCGCAACCACCGCAGAGATAGGTCAGCATTTTTTCCGAAACCTTACTTCTTCTACCGACAACTCATTCAGAATTTCGAACAATGAGATCTTTTCAACCGTCGTTCAAACTTTCTACAACCACCCGGACCTTGTCTTTCACTTCCGTGCGTTCATGTTTCCCTGGGGTGAATTGTTCCGAACCAACGACGGCTCCTACGCGTTCAGGAACATTTTTGGAGCTGCGACTGGTGTAAGTTTCCGCTTCGGCTATTGCAAATTAGAGATCGGGTCGAAAGTTATAATTTTAGGTTGTGAGAGGGCTTGCGAGAAGAGAGCGAATGCGACGGGAATATGCGAGAGCCGAGCCGGTGGCGGCGGCACCACGAGAGGGCGGAAACCCGTGAAATGCCAAGAAACCTTAATTAATAACCTTCCGCAAATGAACTTTGTCTTACACCCCTCCCCGTAAGTAGTATTATTGACCATGTTATGTATTATTCAACAAATGTCAACTGTTTACCATAGGTCCGAATGATTGCCTGCACTCAACTGTCGGGAAAAAGTGCATGACAATACTCTCCGTGACTTTCTCTCATATTTCCCACAACAATCCTCTACCAATCGTCTGAATGTCCGATTCCTTAAAAAATGGCCAAATAAATGTTAGCTCATGATTCGTTCCTCTTCACTTCAATTACACTCGCTTGCCCAATTACGCACGCGAGAAGCCAGTTGTCCCGTTTCTTTCGTCCCTCTTTTCCGCCGGTCGCATCGCTCCGTTAATCCGCCATATGCTTCTTAAGGTGCGTCCTTTCTGAGGACTTGGTGTGTATTTCCGAGGTTACAGCCTATAATTACGCCCATTTCCAAAAAGCCGAGCGCGAAAATCTGTTATTCGCCATTGACACTGCTTCTGAAGGTCCTTGTTTAGGATATTGTCCATCCTCTGAAGATGAATCAACATGACGAGATCGAAGTAACCCATAGAGACCGCCGAAAGATGACGTTTGTGAGTTTTGACCGTTTATTCATCAGTTCTCTATAAAACCCGAGTGTATTGTAGATAACACGCCTGGAAATCCTTTCTAACAAACTTCTGGAGAAGTCAGAGGAAATGCACCAACAATTCGCTGATATCCAGAGAAGATATTTCGCGAAAGTGTAAATTGTGTGAAAATCAGTTTCAATTATGAGGATGATGATATTACAGAATTAACGTCGAGCAAGTGGTTGTCAAAACCGTTCAACTGCTTTTTGACCATCCAGACATGGTTCTCGCTCTGGACATCCTTCCGCTACGTCACAAACTGTCCAGAAATTCCGACGAAGAGTACATATATCAGAAATCGGATCATAGTTGCTTTGTAAGTGAATCGAACCTCTTTTTTCAAGCTGACAAGTTGATTTCAGGTGATTCCGCGCAGAGGTGACATGTATCCAGAAAGAGCTGAACCGAGCGAAGAAGAAGGACCGAGCGCGTAAGGAAATCAGTGATCGCCTATAACTTCTTCTTGCTAGCTCAATCCTAATATTCTCTAATTGTCTGTTATTCCCCCCTCCCCTCCCTTCGCCCTTTCACCAATCAAAACGTCAGATTTGATCCAGCTAGACACAAATTGTGGCAGTCAAGTCTCATTCATTCTTAAAATAACTACATCTGTTTTTGTGATTCCATTCTCATCGGCTTTATCTCGAAATTTGTATGCGTTTCTTTGAGATTTTCAGATAAATTTAGCCAATATTTGTGATTACGTGCGTGTTCTGACTAGACGGCCAGACAAATTAGTCATTTTAGACGGCAAAAAGTTATTCCCAGGGGTTTGCAGGTTTTCACACGACCTTTTGCATTAGGGAAATCCCGCCAGAACTTTTCCAGTGGGTCAAGTGCTCTTCTGGAAACTTTGCCGGGATTCGGATTTTTTCGCGCAACTTTTACATCAGCCGTGTGGTTTTTTTTAATGTCATCCAAAAAAGCTGAAAAGCTCATTTTACTGAAAAATGTTTTAATCCGTGTGTCCTTCATCCATTCAGGCCGGCCAGAAGAGCCAAATTAATCCGCACCCTTCCGCCGGTCGTCCTGACCTGAGCATTCTCTCCTGAGCACGCTCATATTTCTCTCCACGGCGACTCATTTGCCTGCGTGAGCATATATCTTTTGACTCTCTCGGAATAATAGAGAGAAAAGTCTTGCCATGAGTTGATAGTACCTTTTTATTTCACTTTAAAATTGTACATTTCAGTTCTAAATTCCTTTCCTCATCTTAATGGTCCCCCCCCCTTTTTCCACTAAACTTATTCCTCATCTGTATCATCATAACCTTGTTTTGCAGTTTGAAAAATCGAACCATCAGTATCCATGTCGTGTCCGTGATCAGTGTTGTTTTGCAGAATGGCTAGCGAAACCAACTCAACCTCTGCGGATAGGCGAGTTTGTCGAGGAACAGACTACTTGGTAAGCATACAAATGAGTCTGTTCTCCAAAATTCCCTATCGTTCAGGCACGCAACGCCTTCACCTTCTGCCGTACTGTCAAAGAAACATTTAGCGACAACGTCTATCGACAGTTCTTGAGCATCATGGACAATTTCTTGCACGAGAAGTTGGCTAAACCCTTAGTATGCAAACTGAATAGTCAATTTTTCAGTGCGGCTTCCGGCGAACTCGTCAAAAGAGTTGTGCAACTCTTCTACGACAGTCATGATTTGCTCATGCTCTTCGAAGGCATGTTTCCCGAAGGAAATACTATTTCCGTGCGAGCAGATGGGCTGTATGTGTTCGATTCTGTTGGGCGTGCAACTCAGGTGAGCGTAAGATTGAGATTCTGGGGTTAATAATGACTTTATCCTCAGGTAATCCCACGAGAAGGAGCTATGTATCCGGAGGAAACCGAGGAGAAGGAGAATGTGACTCCATAGAATCTCTTCGACATTTCGTCGTCTAAAATCGTCATACCTCGTTTCATTTCTCGTTTTCAAATTTTATTCAAACTCTCCTGTTTTCATCAATCCCCCCAATTCCCACATTTCGTTCCCGCCATATAATTAGCTGTATTCGGTCGAGCCGCCGCTTCGTTTCTCTGTTTCTCTCTCTCTCTCTCTCTCTCTCTCTCTCTCTCTAATTAGTATTTCTATAGTTGTACTGGATAAAATTGGAGCGGAACCAACCCCGCGGTACATATTGGGGCTTTGCTCATGGCTATGAGACTTGAAATCTGAAGGAAAATAAAAAAAAAGCTGATAAACAATCTGATATTTTAAGAGGAGGCGTGAGTTTTTGCTGGATTGAATTGGAATGAGCAGGTGCTGATGCATTGTTCGGAAAACACATTATGCATGATGAAAGTTGAGCGGCTCTCACGTTCTTTCCACTATGACGTGATTTTCTCAGCTTCAATGTCTGAGTACGTAGCTGCCACAAGAGTTCGTATTTAACATAGGATGTGCCTGTTTCTTTTGCCGTTTTTTCTCCGATTTAGTTTTTGCTCCATTTCTGAGATGATTGCAGACGTCTCCCTGGCCATGATCATTGCTATCGGAGGATTTTGACACTGGATTCCAGACATTTTTACACATTGTTTCTCTGATTTTTCAGGCAACGGTCTCGCGCTTATTCTTTCGTTAATCGACATTTCCTAGAGTTGCGAATTAGACAGTAACTTTGGCAATTAGAAGCAATTCGAGATTCCTCTAGTCGTTTTCAAAGACAACCTTGTGTGTGGTCTGATCTTATCTGCTTCTTCTTATCCACTCCACCGAACACTACCGTTGCATCGCCGAGGGTTGTGTAAACTGCCGTCGGTCTGTGAACAAGGCTGTTGTTCGAATCGCGTTTTTTACAAAAAGTTCTTTCAGAAAGAATGCCTTCAAAAAACGTCTTTGAGAAAGCGATATGATAGAATATTCCTGTTTTGAACCGGTTCTCCACATTTTTTCAATGCTCCTAGGGTTTCTGTGAACAAGGTGTCATAGTTACTCAGAACTGCGCAGTTTTCTGCTGACTGCATGCCAAAACTCATGTTGTTTGTTTCGGCACAGCGATAATACCAACCGATTCTTCCCCATCTCTATCTCTCTCTTCTTCTTCATTCTTATGGGTTAAGAAAACCGATGAAAAAATTGCAAGAGACTCTCCCTCCCCCCGCCCGAAGGACTCATCCATCATTCGGAATAAGATGATAATTCGCTCATTCTTTCTCTCCCTGAACCACATTCCGTTGCAGAGATTATCATGTGACTGACTGATAACAACTTCTCTGTTCTCTCTGTTTGTATCTTCCAGTAATAGTTCGGCAACGAGCCGTCTTCTTATCAGTCCTTATCGAAATGAATTCCCTCTCCCTCCATCTTTTCCTATCTCTTTTTGAAATGTGTCCTTCTGTGTTCAAAAATCACATGCAAAACGGTCACGAGTCCTCCAAAGACTGGTCAGCCGCAGTAATATGAAACAATTCGTCGAATGTTACCGTTTGAAAAAAAACGCGACGTCGTGTTCGCATCTTCTTTTTCCTATCTCTTTTGCGCATCAATCACACCATCTATCTCTTCTCTCCACTTCTATTCGCTATGATAAAGTGTGTTCTCCGAGCGCTTCGCAAATGGAGCGACTATGAACTATTATTCAGCAAAAAACCTAGACACGTCAGCTTTGCCTCTTAGTTTCTCGTACATTCCTCCACAGTTCTCTTAAGTTTTTCGATTTTTCGATCGTTTTCGTTTTTCGATATCATCGTCCGCGTTTTGACTTCCAAACATGCATTTCATGTGTGCCTTTCAGAAGAATGCCGCCTGAGGCCAACTTCATGAGCTTTGATGGACCGCCATCGGGGTATAGACGACGAAGGAGACTGGGAGAGCATCGGGTCGAGGATGCGGAGGACGATGGGCCCGTACTCCACAGACAGCGATTCATTCTGCCGCCAGAGTTGGTGCCGCCGGAACAGTTGGTCGTGAGACGGTACAGGGTTACTCCGTTTTACTTTAGCATTCCGGTGAGTGATGGTTGGAAAGACGGCAGAACTTTGATCAGAAAGGTGCATAGATTCTTGTTTTCATGAAGATTCGCAGTATCTTAAAACAAAAAGACCAAAATAATGCTTGAAACTCAAATTCAGTAAGAAACGTTTTTCAGGCACATTTACGCCTGAAACTGATTGACGCAGTCAACGAGCGTTTTGCCACAAACTACAATGTCAAGCAATGCTACTTCTCAGTCATTTTCGAAGATGGAGAGTTAGTGTATGAAACTGGGAACATCAAGTTTACCAGTGCACTTGCAGTTTGTCCGATCTTGTCAAGTTCTACATCGGACTCTTCTACGACCATCCGGATATCTTGCGCATTTTCCGAAGATTCCTGCCTTTTGGTTACGATATTTTTGTAAACGAAAATCTCCAGTATGTCTACATCGACGGCGATCGAGGCGCTTCGGTAGGCCTAAACATAATCCAATTTTCTTAAACACTTTTGTTAGATTGTTCCTAGAAGAGAGTTGCTCGAGGGATGGGAACGCTTCCCTCAGAACCAAAATTTGAGTGTCAGACAAGAAGAAGAGTCAAAGCGAGGAGCCACTTTGATTCAGAATATCCGTGCTCGTATTGGCCCTGAGATGTTCTTCCGCGTCTTATGCTATGGATGCAATGCAGAAAGAAGGGGGTGAGCGTTTTTGAAAAAAAAAAGATCTTGTCTTCGAAAAGTCGGTGTTACAGATTCAGATTCGAGGCGATGCCTGTAATCATTGAATGGTTGTTCGATCACCCCGATCTTGTCTACCATTACATCTACTACATGCTGCCCGAAGCCAAGATCAAGACGAACTCTCATGGAGATTATGTGTACAGAAGCTTCTCTGGCACACGACATGTTAGTTTTCACTTCAAATTCTCTATCAATACAACGTTTTTTTTAGGTGATCAGTAAACCAGAACCAGGGCAAGAAAACCAAAGCCGTTTCCCGAGAATGATCTACTACGAGCCTCCAGAATACCAGGAATCAGATTAGCATCAATAAAAATCTAATGTTCAAAAATATTTTGTCCGATCATTCATATTTTGTGATTAATAAGCCAGTCCGCTTGTCATCTTATCATCATTCCCCAGATAAAATTATATCCCAAGAAAACAGCACAAAAATAACAATATTATTCACTGCGGAAAAGTTTGAGGACTTCGATGCACAAACTGCACTCTTCCACATGTATTTCCATCATGTCATCATTGTGCCTCTCCTTCAATTTCTTTCCATTTCGTTGTTCCCTTCTTAAAGTAATTGTGTAACGATTTGCCCAGAAATTTTTTTAGATCAATTAGAGCATTTGGAAAAAGACAAGTCACACGCCGGAAAATTTTTTTTGCGTCTTCCAAAGATGGAAAATGTGCAAAAATGGTACCTTCTTCAAAAAATCGTATCTCGTGTGAAGTGTGAAGAGAGGAAGAAAGAGATTTGGTGAAGTGCTCGGTTTTTATTGAAATCTCTGTCAAAACTCAACAAATTCCACTTTCTGCTAAACAGGGCGCAATAGAATGCTTCCAAAACCCGTCAGGTGTCCGCCGGTCTTCCACAAACGCTAGCTGAAACCCCTGCACGAACAGTGCGTCAAGCGGCCTGCTGACGCATTATCCATGCACGCGACCGGCGCAAAGAGGACTGTACAGAAAACCGTTACGTTTTGCTGATTTAAATCTTCTCTTGCTCATTTAAATTTTGTAAATTCGTTGTATTTTACTCTATATGTACTTTCTCTTAATTTTCAGAAGTCAAAGACGGTGTCCTCTTGCAGATTGACGTTGAAAATCAAAAAAACGTTTGAAAGAAAGGCCATATGAGCATAAATAAACAGGTTGCAAAATCCATTCGAGCACTCTGAAAAATAAGGAAAAATGACGGAACATATCGATTGAACACCGATCGCCAACCCGAATATTCTCCGCAATACGAAGCGACCAATTAAGCAGCTCACCCATGTAACAGTTTCAGATTACTCTCTTCCTTTTGCAACACTCTTAGGGAGAAAAAATAAGAAAGAACATCGTGTGGAACAACGAGCGAATCATGTGTTCATTCTGTTCGATAATAAAGGAGCACTCAAGCTGTATAGTTTGACGTTGTTTGAGAGACGACCGTTGTCGGGAAGAAGGTTTGAAGAGCAACACAATTAACTCAGTTTTCATAATGCCACTTTATTCAGATACTGGATGCGCATTGAGAGGATTATCATCAACACCTTCTCAAAAACAAGCGACAACGAATGAATTCAGCGCACAACTGCGACCGAAATCAATTTAAGAATGCCGGAATGGAATCGAGAGAACGCCCAGTTTTAATAAGTTCAGAAGAGTGAATAATTATTCTCATCGACGGCAGTTTCTTGCGGAGTCTCCCCGTCCCCTAGTTTCTCGAACCATAACTCAAAGTTCGCCTTCTTTCCATCCCTCTCCATTATTTTTCTTTTCGTGTGGCACTGGACGGACACAAAACGTGCCGCAACGCAACGTTCAAAAAGACAGCTACGTGTTATGTACTTCCGTGTCGAGACCCGCCGACATGGAACACGTCACCTCATTCACTCTTCTAAACGTGTACCATTGCTACCTGCCGTTGGAGTGTGGAACAATCATTCATAACACGACGAACACACGCGATGTCTACCCGGTCTCAGGTGATTTTTCTATGATATTGAGCTTCCCAAAGTGTTTGTCTCCCGTGGGACAAGTTGAACTTTCAGATACTTTTCTCCGCTCACTCATTTCGCTTGGAAATAAAGGCAAAGTTCAATGTGATCGACGACTGACTGCGGATTCTGAAAGTGTCTCAAAGCAGAGACTAGAATTATGGAAAGACGGCAGAATCTGATTCCGAAGTTTCGAACGAATGGATGAACTTTGAAAAATGATTCAAATTGAAGGTAATAAAAAACTTTCATTCAAATTGAAAAATATAAATTGCAGAGTCTCTTTCCAGTCGTTTTTCTCTGTCTCTCTCTCATCTAGCGCTTGGTCGATGGAGTGGAGTCGTGTTGGCTGATTTCATTGATTCCTGAAGTAATTGATTTGGATTAGAAGCCAAAATCTCCAAACACACCTCTTTGATCGGTGCGGGTGGACGGAGGAACACTGGCCGCCTCCGTTTTTGCATTGGCGCCCCCGGTATCGGAAGTGTGGCCTTTTTGGTCGGGGTCATCATGGCGTCTTTGCTGATCTCAACAAACATGATGGATTCTGCAATTCCAAGAAGATTGCGAATGTACCGAGCAGTGGGTGAGGTTTTTTGCGTTACGAAAACTAGTTAGGGATAGTCGGATATGTTTGAAGGAGTTTGACGAAAATGGAAAATGATCACGACGAATTTTGCATTGACTAACGTGAACATCGCCAGAAACAGCGAGAAAGGAGAGAAAAATAGGAATGAAGAACGGAATGTGAAAGTACTGTACTGGCTGCGCAGAACACTGTGCGATGGTGTGCGCAGACGGTTTTGAGGAGAGCGACTGCGACGAAAATGCCATTGATTTTTGCGAGAGCACAGTCCCATGTAGGAAGGGTGCGAGGGAAGATCGGAGACGGGTCATTTGGCCAACGCGAGACAAAAAGAAAAAAGGAGCTAGACATACGAGATGCATCCAAAATTTCGTAAGTACCCCTTGATATTGAGGGCGACCATCTTCTGAGAACTGATATGGTATAAAATGGCAAAAGTGCTATGAGGAAATTGGATTATAGAATACTGTCCCACAAAGGCTCAAGGACATTTTGCAACTTGATATGTCGAAACTCACGTCAACTATCTAACGATTAATGACCGTGTCACACGTTAGTTTCAAAGCGTCGAGTTGCAAAATAACGCGGAGCCTTTCCAAGGGACAAATGTAGTATCAACAGCGAAGCTACATATGTATATTGTAAGACGAAACTGGGCAGAATAGAGCGAAAAGGGTTTGTGTTAGACGTCCTGCGGGGGGTGCGCACAGACGGTTTTTGGGAAGAGCGAAGGCGTTTTGACAACGTCGACAGTGACAAAACTGCCATTGATTTTTGCGCGAGCACAGTCCCATGTAGGAAGGGTGCGAGGGAAGATCGGAGACGGGTTCTTTGTGGCCAACGCGAGACGAAAAGGAAGAAAAACTTTACAGAAAAGACCGACGTTTCCCACATTTCGTAAGGATCTATACCCCGTGATAGCGAGGTTTCATGAACCGACAGATTTTTCTGAATTTTTTAAAGACAATCTTCAAAACCCGGGAAAACCTTGCTCGCGGCCCTAAGCTGAGAACAACGCTAGCACAGTTTGACATTGTCGAATACGTAAACTGAGATGTTGGTTATGTTAAGTACTTCAAAAAATCGATGAAAAGTGATCCGCTTATCACCAGAGGCTCCGCGACACTAAATAACATCCGTTCCAGTGATAGTCGGAACAATTCTTGGCGATCGTGATCTTTATTCCGTTTATGATCACTCGGTTGTAACTGTGAAACGTGTTTTATTGTTTGATTCAATTTCGAGGGAAATTATATAAATAGTTGTGAATGTAAGAAGTCAATCACCTAACCACCTCTCTCGTGTGTCAACATCATCGGATCCCATACGGAAGCGATGGGATCCTCAGAAATCGCAAAAGCCTGACGGCCGGCCACTTCTTTGTGCACACAGTCAGGTTTTCAGAGGTGGCGGTCGACGGAGGTATTCTGAACTGCCCAAATTGTTACAAACTAATGAAACATAGTCCGTAGAACATGGCAGTACCATCAGCAACCATTCGGAAGATGTAGTCTCCTCGGAATCATCCATCAACAACCATTCGGAAGTGAAAAGAGACATACACCAAAACGAAAAATAGACCCGATTCGTATGTCTGCGAACTTTTAGATGTTTTTCTTCAAATAAACACTAAAACAGGGTTGATTTTTAAATGATTTATTGCTGGGGAAAAAATTGAACGATTCTACCAATTGTCTCCCCAGACACACCAACCTTACTTTGGTCTGGGTGTGTCTGGCTGTTTTGGCTCGGATTGAGCTGGGGTCGGCATCGGAGAAGAAGTCCCGGCAGAAGAAACGACGAGAGACGCGAACCTGCAAGAGCAACATTTCAGAATTTGAATATTAGGGATGAATAGTTTTCTCGTGATGGAACTCTTTGCATTTTCTCTACTGCTGAACGCTGGGAAATATCTTACATCTTGTGGTTTCGGATAGTTTTGTCCTGGAGAGAAGAGAGTCGAATCAGGAAGACTGAATGGATGGGAGTGAGTTTCCTGGAGCTTTTATATCCGAATTTTTGGTGCTGATCTTTTTATTATTACGATCAGCGATAAAAAATGGAAGAAAAACGGAACACCCCTCTCGCATTTTTATGTATTTTCTGGAGAATGGACAGAAATTCACGTTTGCATCGCAGGCGATCAGAAAACGAGTGATACTGTAGATTGGTCAAATGCTCTGTCCAATTCAGTGATAATCATTCAGGTCTGGACTAAAGATTTACTTTTACGTGAAAGCACAATAACTATAGGACAAAGGTCCTGGGCATGAGAAAACCATGTGACTAGCGCATACTCCGCTCGCACCAAGACGAAAAACATACATATTTACTGCAGTTTTTTAAGTTAAATGCCACACCATTTTTCAATTCTTCAAAGAAACGTCAGTTCCGTATACCGTCAATGTTGAGAGTTTGTTATGCTGGAATCTGAAAACAACTTGCAAGCTATGTCACATATGCGCTCAGTTTCAATAAAATTATACCATCAAAAATCACAACTATTTTGAAGTTATATTCCAAACCACTCGAGTTTTCAAGAATCTCACTTATGCCGAAAAATCGCGAGTCCTCAATGTCAGCGTGGAATAATGCATGGAGGCGGTTGCAAATGTGCCCCACTGAACATTCACTGTTACTGCGCGGGAAACCGTTCGTCTTGTTATTCCAGTGCTCACACACGTCTTCATTCTTGTTCTTGTCCTGCGCCTCTTATTAAACTTTCATTTTGCTCTCTCGTTACTCACAAGGCCGTATTTTTTCAGATCTGTGCTTCGCGTGAATCATCATGTCGATCAATTTCGTAAATTTTACTGATGACTTCATACTTTCATGGTGTGATCTTTCCCAATATTCACAGAACAAACGCGTGTCATAAAGCTGTGCAGCCTGTCCGTTCCCCACTTTTACAGTAGGCCTGTGGGGGTGGATGATGATTCGATTAGCGGCGGCTCACAAAACCAGCGACTTCCCCGTGGAAGAAACATTCGCGGGAGATGATTTCCCCACTCCGTCCTGTTCTCTTCCTTCTTCTCGTGGGCACCACCTCGGCTGGTATTGTGTTCTCTCGGAATGCGGATGGATCGTTCAGTGCGGTTCCGAACAACGCCGCAGTGTTTGAAGAACATGCTGATGGTTCCGACGAACATACGCAAAGTCTTGTGGACGCATTGGAAAGCAATATTGAGAAGGACTTTGAGACTAGTAAGTGAAGGGCCGCTATGTACATTTAATGCACTGAAACCAGGGCTGGGAAATTGCCGGTAACGGATTTTTGAGAGCCTGGCTGAGACTGGACTTTTTGGATCAATTGCAATATCCCAATCGGACCCAAACTTTCGAGTCTTAAAAAACCCGGGTTTTTGGCCTTCATTTACTGTGTCTCGGGACCAGATGATGCAATTAGTCTGAGACTTAGACCCAAGATACTTCAGAACGAGTTGAAGGTGCCTACAAAGTTCCGGTCCGATCGGAATATTGAAAGTGGTCCGTAGTCTATGGGGCCGACATTTGCCCAGTATTGATTGAAACCTTTTCAGACATCTCTACGGTCCCTGAACACATTGAGCAGAACGATGACCACGTTGCCCATTCACCGTTAGACGATGAAGACATGGATCTGGTTCATGAGTTCATCAAGGACCGCCAGGTCAACAAGACTGGACAACTCCGCTACTCAGCCCTGGCTACCGTGGAAAAAGCCATGATAAGCGACATCATCCGTCTCATCATGAAAAACGATGAGTACATGCTTCTCCTTAACAAGCCCCGATTCCCAGACCTCGTCTTCATGATCAAGGATATGATCCGCGCACCGACCCAAGAAGTGCTCCGGCGTCAAGTATGGAGCAAGTTGCTGGCAGTTCAGGCTCACTACAAAAAGCTGTACGAGAAGTACAACAACGAAGAGACCAAGTCGGAGGCTATGGGCTTCCTGGAGCAGTTGCAGAGGAAGATGGAGGCGGACAAACTGAACGTAAACGACACAATCAATCTGAATCTGAAAATGAAGACGTTGGCGTATTTGATGCAAGAGAAGGTGTTCGGTGAAAAAGTGAGCGAGTTGGAGGAGATGTTAAATTGGCCCGAGAGAAGTGAGTTTGAAATATATACTTTTAATGTTTTTCGATTAACTGAAATTTCAGAGTCCTCCAAAATCCGAAAGAGTGTTGCTTCAACCACAACACCAAAGTCTTCAAGTACAACATTAGCTCCAAAGAATTCCACCCAGGAGATTGAGACGATTTCCTCGACAAAGAGCCACCTGGATGCGAGGAACGGAACTGAGGCGGTGAAGAAGTCTGGATTCCTTTCTGGAAATCGTGTGGTGGACAGGATCCAGAAGGCGACAGAAGCTGAGCGTTTAGAGATCTTGAAACGTGCTGAACATCCGACAAGCCGAAATTCAACTGCAAAGCCTGAAGTTTTGAACAATTCCACTCCCCTTAACTCAACTTCTATCCCTTTGCAAACCACAGCTAATGCATTGAAAACAGTTGACGAGCCTGTGAAAAACGGCGCAAATGTTGCTGAGAAGCGAGATTTTGTTGCCTCGGAAGAGGATTATTAATTGAATTAATTTTCTGAGATAAAGAGTTGAGCATTCATCACAAAAATTGTGAATTGCATGCTTTGTGTTCAACGTCATTCCAAATGTCACATCAGAACACGGAAACATGTAGTCTAGTTCGGTTTTAGCGGATTACGCGGAAGTGGTAGAGGGGTTATCTCGGATTGACATTTTTCTGGATGTGCTCTGGGTTCTATGGAATTCAGTGAAAGCGCGTGACTTCTTCACCCTTTCTACATAACATTGTTTTGTGATCTCTTATCTCATAACATCTTTATTCATGCACCCCCGGGCTCAGCACCCTCAACTTTTGAATAATTCATGTTACACCACCTAAATCACTTGAGGAATCATCAAACTCCATAAAGTACTCGCATACCAACGAGGAAAAATAGATTCGGGCAAGTTCTTTCTGGTGAAAACTGAGAACACCTTTTTTGACATCTATGTATTTCGGATAAAATCTCCGGATCTCCGTCTGAAGTGACGTAAAGAGCGGCCCATTGCACGCACTTGAAAATCCGAGAAATCAGGTGTAAAGCCGACGATCCACTCAAATCAAAAGCTTTTTGAGCTATAAGTGATTCGGACAGACTGAGCTGACTGAGCTAGATTAGTTGTAGTCTTGAAATGACTCAAAAAGTGTAAACAGAAGATGTCTGAGGGAAAAAAAAACAAAGAAAGATTTTATTACTCATGTCAGTGACAATAAAGAAAGCCAAACATTACATAATCAAACGAGTATTGTTATTGATTCATTGTGACGTCAGCCTGTGGTTTTAATTTGAATGTTGATTTGTTCTGTCAGCTCAGTTATCATTTCTTGCCAAAAGCACCGGAGAAAAATCTTGGGTCATCAATATCCAATCCGCGTTTGTCGTACATTGTATACCTGTGCAAGTCGGCGAGCGACGGGAGCAGCGATCGTTTTCCAAAGGACATTGTCAAGAATCTGAAAGAGTTGGATGTTGTTGTTATTGTAAGTTTGTAGTTTGTACCGGGGGTCATCCAAATCTTCACGTCGCTGAATCTGAATCGCATAATATTTTTGTCCAATCGGCATCGGCATCGGCATCGTTTCCTGCTCACGCTCAGCGACACCACCGGAACGTTTGCCAAACGAAGATGTGAACAATCTGAAAGTAAACTTCTATTATTTCCGTTCAGACTTGGGGAAAATGAGGGTAACCTACCTTGGATCATCGAATTCTGCTCGCTTGAGGTACCTGGAAAATGAAAATTGAGTTGAATCAAGGACCTGAAAAACGTTTTAAAAACTTACAAAGCCGTCGCAAATTGACTTTGCAACGCAAAAAAGCCTAGAACCAGAAGGATCGTCTTGATGTACATGATTACCACTGAAAAGCAGGTGAACTAGAGAAATGTTAGGATATGAGCAAAAGTTAGAAAAAAGTGACAAGTGATTGATGGCTATGCCAATGCCACCAAGTCTAAATTGGAAATGAGAATGAGAATGGAAATAGAAATGGAAATGAAAATGAGACTGAAATGGAATTGAATGGACAAGAAGATACTAACAAGGCGGAGCCGCGGATTGTAATCCGTGGATTAGTTTCTCGAAAATCGTCAACGAATTCATATATTCTCTATCGTTTTCCCATTCCTCGTGGTGTTGAAGAAAGGCGGAGCCATGAAAGCTATACGAGAAACGAGCAAAAAGATGGTCGGTCACGGCCGCGGAAGAACAATGAGCATGACCTGATTGACATCGTGTCGTAAATCTTTTGGGCCTGGCCGTGTGCGCCAGAGTCAAGATCGAGATTGGAAAGGACGTTTTTTAAGCGGAAATTCTGGCATTTCCGACAAAAGGAGATGAGATTGGTGTCAAGATTGAAAATGAGAAATGAAAAAGCAATTCGCTTTCACATGTTTTATCCTCTTGACACGGTTCAGTGAAATCACAAATTGGGTTGATGTCGTTCTCGACTCCACCCTTCCCCCCCCCCCTCCCTCAGCCACAAGATCTAAAGACTTTGTACTCACCTAAGAAAAAATAGGATAAACTGATATTAGCACGCGATTAGAATTGGCTAGATCTCTGACGGACGCGACTAGGATAGAATCCTTAAGCGCGTCTCGCAGACGGAGGGCGGAGAAAAGGTGAGGTGATCGTGGGGGTGGTGGAAGCGTGAGTGTGTGTCACACTATTACGTATGTACTCTGTGTCATTTGCACCACAAAGTCGTATACACTTTTCTCATTTGCGCTCGTCTTCCAATTGAAAATGTCGTGTCAGGCATGAATTGCTGCAAAAAAGGGGAAGATGGAATGGTTTGATTTGATGACGTCATGGGACTTTTAACAACTGATTCAGGCTTGCAACTGGCCGAAATTGCTCAAAGCTTGGAAACCATTACAAAACCTTTGAAATGTTTTAAAATTTATCTTGCGAAAAACGTGTTAAAGGTGCAACCTCCTCCCTTAACATGGCTAAATAGAGAAAAGCCCAAAAAAGGCTCGTAGACCGTTGAAAGACAATCAAAAAAGTGTCGATCACATTTCCGCTTGTTGCGGTCTACGCAAAAAATAACAAAAAGGACGGATTTATGTAATTCCTGCGTGCTCGTAATAATAGGTACGAGAACCTTGTGAGAAAATGTAAGACGGGCGAGAAGCACGACCCTCACCCGAAAACATGTATTGTTTTGCGATTGTCGTGAAAAAAAGGATGAAGGAGCCATAGGAACCGCTTCCGGACAGGTGGAAATGTCTGGAAATAGGTGTGGGTGGAATGGAAGTGAGAGCAGAAGAATTCAACTAGAGATGAAACCTTTCTCGCAAGCAAGACTGATGTGAAGCACTAGTGTGATAATTTTGTAAAGTTTAGAAAACTTGCAGGGTTTCACTACTCATGGAACTGGACTCAAATGGATTGGACCTTGGCATCCGCGAACCGGGAAGAGAAGATAAAAAGTTTATGGCAAACAGACATTCTAAAGTTCCGGGCATTGTTCATTCATAGAAGAGCAATCCAAAAAGTTCCAACTCTTGCAGGGAGCTAAGAAAAAAGCAATAAAAAACTAGTGTTGGCAGGAAACTGGGCTCTAGGACCCTCTGGTTGGATCTCGTTTCCATTGTTTTTGTGCTCTCTCTCTCTCTCTCTCTGTTTGCAGGAAGCTCTCGATCAATTATTCAATTTTTAGTGACCAATGCGAATAACAAAACTCACAATGACAAACATAAAAATGAGGGTTTTCGGGTTGAGCGTTTTGAACGGATATATGAAGAAAAAGAGGAAAACAGCGAAATAAATGTATGTACACCCGGCGTGGAAAAAATTATCAGAATCGTTGACTAATATTGGAGCACGGAGCACCAAGACCGTTTAGACACTTATACTCCGCAGTCCGATGTCTCGACACGCGTAGATGAAGCCCGTCGCACATCCATGTTCGTCTCGTCCCGCCACCTGTTAAGCACACGTCACATTTCTGAGGATTCTCTCTTTCATCCCCTCCTACTCATGGCTATTTGTAGAACTAGGGTACATACATACCTTGTAGAAGCATCGGCATGTTCCATCCAGAGACAATCCCGGGTAAAGCATCTTACAGGATGAGTCGTGCTCGGATGACGGATGTCCGTCGGTGAACGGGTTGAGAACACGGCAATTGTAAGTTGGACCGGAATATCTGCCGGTGTGGATCACGACTGGTTTCGGTTGGTGTTGAGAGATCGGGTCAACACGTCTGGAAACAGTTGGTACTTACAACATCAAGAAAAGGAAGGTTACGGTGGTGCCACTGTTCTTCCAACGGTTTCCTGCAACTTTCTGATAGGTTGCTTCCAATTCTGATTTTGATTAAAGCGAGGTGGATGACGCGGCCTGAAAGATCAATCGACGTCACAGGACACGATTTTCCAAGACTATTCTTAGACGAACATGAACTACTTCGAAAATAAAGAAAATTCTCACGAAAAATTAACTTCTAAGAGGATTTCCAGAAGGCCTTATTCGAAAAACGATTTTCCATTTGTTTTTAACAGAATTTCTGATCGAGCACTACTTAAAGAACGAAATTGAATGTGAGCATCAGATTTCTTAGAGTTCGTCTTATCTGTCTGAAATTCCGTTTTTTAGAGAATGAGGGGTGGTTTAGAACTTTTAAGTAAAAACAAGAGATTACGGGCTGACATTTTCACGTTCCTACTGTGGACTCACCCAGCAACCCATCTATTAGCAGTTGTGGCCCTCCACCATGGAATTCTGGTAGTAGTTGATGGAGCTTCCGTAGTAGTAGTAGTAGTAGTCGTCCAGGTTCTTGTCGTGGTCCCTGGCGTCTGTCTAGTAGTAGCCCTGGCTCTAGCCGTGGTCCTCGGAGCCTCCGTCGTAGTTGTTGTGGTTCCAATCACCCTAACTCTGAATCCTCTGACAGTCCATTGTCTAGTGGTCGTCAATGGCCGCGGCGTGGTTGTCGAATCAATAATAACACCGCCCTTCCTCCATATTGGTCCTCGGTTTATGACGGGCTGTAAAAAACACAATTGCCCTTTCATTCATGTTGTCAAACCGTCTCGGGCGCTGGTGTAGAGGCAGGGGCGGGCGTGGTAGTGATAGTGGTCGAAGTTTGAACTTTGAAAACAGGTACCGGCTGTCTGGGAACAAAAGGCCTACGATGACGTCTGAAGTTATACAGTTATCAAAATTTGATCCAATTATGAATGCCTGTACTTGGTGGTCGTGCTAGTTGGGGCTGGTGTTGTAGTTGTAGTTGTTGTTGTGGGGGTAGTGGTTTTCTCCGTGGTAGTAGTTGAAGGTACAGTAACTTTAGTGGTCGGCGCCTCCGTAGTTGTTGTTTTCTAAACATGACACACATAATCCACAGCTCTGATCCGTTAAGGATTTGTGCTTGAATTGTGAAAAGAGAAGAGGATAATCACCGCAACCTTTTTGGGCGTCATAGGTGTCGTCAAGTAGAAGGTAAACTTTTGTTCGCGATTACTCAAAGTGGACGGAGTGAACCAAGTATCGCCTGGTCGAGTCACAATAGGGACCTCAACCAAATATTTTGACTTTACATGTTCCCAAGAAAGTTATGTGTACCTCGGTGACTCCCCGATCGATTCCCAATTTGTAAATGTGAAACATGGGCAACTGATCAATGAACTGATCGTACAAGTCTTCCTTATCAACTGGTTGGTTCAGATCATCCGAGAAATCATAGTCAAACGAGTTCGGATTAGTCAGCGCTGTTTCGTCCACCAATTCAATGGCTGAAAAGGGAATGAAAAGCGAATTGTGCAGAAGATTAGAAGACTTACATCCTCGTTTGAATTTCGGAATCTCGTGCGCAATAACTTCCTGACACGTTGATATCATCGACAAAGCGGATAATATTAGTAACTTCAAAAGCATTGTGAAAGACCTGAAAACAACAAAATCATTGAGAAAAGCAAGAGGGGGGTGACTGTGCGAAAATAGATTGTGGAATGTGAAAGATGAGTGGGCGGGGCCAAGGGGTAAACTGAAAGAAAGAAAAAAGATGATGGAGGTACGGCACGGCACTGTGCAGCGGGAAGAAAAGTTCAGAACGCAAAAGGGAGAGAAACGACGATTCGATGAATGACCCGACGCGACCGTTACACGATTAATTGGATGATGCCAATAATGTTCGATGCCAAACGATTATTGTGGCGCTCCAAAAAGTTTCAGCAATGTCTTGAAGGATTCAACCTTTGAAAATCACAGAAAATGTTAGTTTACGAATCGAACCATGTTTATCAGAACCATATCAAATCGAATCTGTCACTTTCCATCACCAATTGCATTTTTCATGAAGTGATAACATTCCGATAACAGATTTTGTTTCTTTTAACAAGAGCGCTATTACTTGGTTGTTCTACTCATGTAATAGATAATAATCAAGACCTGTTCAAGTTTTTCAAGTTTTTTCCATTTTTCTCCTTCCGCATGTCAAGATTGAGGAACTAAAACGTGAAAAAAAACAGTTACTTTTGTTGTAATACTATAAAATTTTTGTTAGCCTCGCTATTTTAGCTGACCCTTGGCTGGTAAACCTTGAGTGATTTGATAAGGGAAGAAAATTTGAGAGAATTTCGTGGGAGGTCGTTTGATAAGTTGAATTTAAGATTGAAAGAAGAATAGTCTAACCTTGAATGACAGGGGTAACCGACACACTTTTCAAATAACTTTGACACTTGTTTATCTCTCCTAAATCTCTTTGACGTCTTACAAATGGCCAAGTTCAGTAACGGGGGTCCAATGCCGAATGACCTTTTGGAACCTTGGCCCTCGAGACGAGACAAGACAAGCGCTACAAACAAATCACATGAGATTTTATCTATCTCTTTCTGTTTCATCTCGTTTCGCTTTGCCAATGCGATGCGATGACCAACTACGGCGCGCGGCAGATTACTTGGCATGACGGTTTTTCGAATGAAACACACACAGCGGGTCGGGGCCATGGAAGATTGAGAAATAAAATTCAATACATGATTTCCGACACTAAGCTTTTCTCGAAATTCTAACTTTTTGTGATTCAGAACGAGCGAGTCAGCGTGATAAAGTCAAACTTGCAAGATTCCAGGCCGCAGATTTTGCTGGCGCAAATTTGCGTGGAACAAACAAAAAAGAACAAGACCAAAAAGAAAAAAGAAGAATATGTTCGTAGGAAGCAGAAAAAGTTTCTCCCCTCACTCTCAAGAACTTCAGGTGTCTTATAATTAGGCAGTAAGCTAGTTTTTACCTGTTCCGAGTGTAGAAGAACAAACATGTAACACATTTAGACATGGGATCTTTTGATTGTTACGCAATGTAAATAAAATTGACAGTGAAAAAAGCGCTTATCATTATCGTTTCTGATTATTATGATTATGTCATCTGAATTAATTTATTTAACAACCGGAATTTCTTGTCATTTCGAGTCGCCTTATGTTAGGAGTTGTTTATCTTTCATGTGAATAAGAGAGAAAAAGAAATGGGTCAACGCGAGATGAAATAAAATTATGGTAATTGAATCGAATTTATTGGTTTTTTCTATGAACCATTCCACGCAAAACAACCCAGTCGTTGACGTTGCGATCAGCTTGGACCGCTGATAATCTGGTCGCTGATTCGTCTTTTTTCTGCAAACATATGTGAAAGTTTTACAAAAAAGTAGCGTTAGTTGTACCTTCATAATGAAATCCTTCTGTTTTCGATAGGTTCTTTTGTATAGCTTATTCAGCAACGCTTTCACAAGGTTCATCTCATTTCTCAGGCGGAATACGTCTCTTTTCAATTTCATCATATCTTTTTCTTTCTCCACAACCATCGTTGGATCGTCATATGACTTGATTTTCGGTATTTCTGGAACAAAAAAAAACATTTGTTCGACAACTGTGAAAACGAGTTAGAAGGGCAAACATTATGGGGTTGGGGGGCAGAGTTAAGCGAAAGAACTCAACGGAAGAACACGGAAGAATTTTTATCTTTTTTAGACAATTTTTTCATGGAATGTGATCAACTGACAAAATATATAGCAAAGTGAGCTCTGTTCATCGAAAAATAATTGTAAATTTAGCTTTTCATACAAAAAAGTTATTCGAGTTGTTCCGTGAAAATGTCCTTCCGTCTTCCCTTCGCCCTTTTTTCACGGAACAACTCGAATAACTTTTTTGTATGAATCGCCAAATTTACAATTATTTTTTTATGAGCAGAGTTCACTTTGCTATACATTTCGTCAGTTGATCACATTCCATGAAAAAATTTTCTAAAAAATATAAAAATTCTTCCGTGTTGAGTTCTTCCGCTCAACTCTGGTTGGGGGTCGTCCGGGTCTTAGAAATGTTCATCACAACCTAGCCTGGTCCATACCCCTTGTTTTTTCACCTATAAATGAATGCCTTTAAAACTGACCATAGACAAACGGGACTCTAGTTGAAGTGACCTGCTCGGTGGTCGAGCTCACTTCAGATTCTCCATCAACATGCTCAATCTCGATAGGTTGACTTTTGTTGGTTTTATCCACAGTTATCTGAAAACAAGAAGGATACCCAACTGAAAAAAAAGAGGTGAATAACACTTATGCGATTTCTCGAAAATCCACTTTTCACGATGGTAAACACACTTATTCTCACCTCTTCCGGTTGATTCAAGTCTCCGATAGGTGACATGGACATTGTGATGACAGGTTCTTCATTAACCGGCATACCTCCAAAGCCCATAGGTGTGGGGATGAACTTTTGAATCCCTGAAATGATTTCTTCTCAATTTCATGGAGAAAGTGTCGCTTTCTCACCTGAATTCGGCAGAAAACGCTTTGATTTTGCAATCTCAAGTGGATCCAAAGTAGTCGTCGAAATGTGATCATTGGCGTTCTGAAGTGGCTGAACCTTTTTCTTGATCCAAAAGTTTCAATTACATACATGATATCTATGCATCATGTCCAATGCCTTCTTGTATACTGGTTGCAAACTAGGCTTTTGGTTGTTCCACTTTTCCAACTTGTCCTTCTCATAATAATCCTGAAAATTTACCAAACGTTTATTTTCCCATCTGCAACTGTACGTTTACCCGAATTTCTTGATGTGTGATGTTTACAGATTCTGTTTCCGGAAAGCCGACGTCTTCATCGTACACGGTATTCTCTTTTGGATCTGGAGGAGGTACGGACACTGGAAAGAACCATCCGCCGACTGTCAGCTGCGCTGGAATGGATTGGCCTGAGATTCATCCAGGTAAACTTTGATTGGCTCTGCGACATTCCGCAACCACAGGTTTCGAAACGAACGTAAACTTTTAGAGGTTAGTTTTGAAAGGCCGGGTGGCGAAATGTCATGGAAACTTTTAATTATCAACCCCTTGAACTTAGTCTACTTCGCTTACAGTAACCAGTCAATCTACAGTAATTCGGATAGAACACAACATATTGCAAACTGATCCTTTCGAACTTTACAGTAATCTTACGTTCCCCTTCCCTCTTAACCCCCAGCTTGATAAAAATCTTACCTGTAGCAGAGCGATGCAATAGTAGCAAGAGAAGAAAAACGAACATGCTCGTCTTGGTTTGTAATCAAGAAGACTGAGAACCTATCCTCATTCAATCAATCTCTCAAGACCCAATAAAATGTCTCCTGCTGTGAGCTCATCAAATGGATCTGGGTCAAGATCCGGAACAAACACCAACAGCAGAAAAAAAAAGAGAGAATAGGACAAATTGAGGGAAAAACAAGTAACTTAAAGCAAAGAGTCTATTAGTGAGGGTAAAAGGGTGGAAGGTGAATGTGAGATGAGGGGCAAAACGAAAAAGAAAAGAGGGGGGGGGGGGTAATTGATGACAATGACTGAGTGGATCGTTTTCGTTTTGCATATATGTTTCAAGTACTCACTTCTTCACTTCCTCCCAACCACTTTCACCTGAAAAGAACAGAACGACGATCATGAAAATGATATTTTTTGCAGAATTGGCAAACATGTCCACGTGTCAAAGCATCGACGTCTATCCGTACACCTTTCTAAGGATTTTGACAATGTCGTGGCATGTTCAAGCACCTCTCAATTTGTACGCCTTCTATTGCATTGTTTTTCTCTCTCCAAAAGCTATGAACACATTCAGGTTTCACTTTTGGTTTTTTTTCTTTTTGAGATCAAATGGAATTCTTTGCAGGTGGCATTTGTTCGCATATCAGGTTTCATCTACATTCCTGGACTTTACATTCTCAATGGGATTGACTCCAGTCGTGATACCGGCAATGACGTTTGGATACTCGGTGGGATTGTATCGGAACTTTATGAGCACTCACACAATGGTCACATTATCATTGGTTTGTATGACTGCATCCGCGATTACGATTGTCGAAATATTTTTCTGGAGATGGCAGACTATCATTTTACCTAACTCGAGGTAAGATTATAAGTCTTCGACTATCCACAGCAGAGATGAGCGGAAGAACTCAACGGAAGAACACGGAAGAATTTTTATATTTTTTTAGAAAATTTTTTCATGGAATGTGATCAACTGACCAAATGTATAGAAAAGTGAACTCTGCTCATAGAAAAATAATTGTAAATTTAGCTTTTCATACAAAAAAGTTATTCGAGTTGTTCCGTGAAAATGTCCTTCCGTCTTCCGTTAGCCCTTTTAACTTTTTTGTATGAAAAGCTAAATTTACAATTATTTTTTTATGAGCAGAGTTTACTTTGCTATACATTTCGTCAGTTGATCACATTTCATGAAAACATTTTCTAAAAAAGATAAAAATTCCTCCGTGTTCTTCCGTTGAGTTCTTCCGCTCAACTCTGATCCACAGTAATCCCCATTACAGTCTAAAACTGAAACCTATGGTCTACAACGCTATCTGGCTGGCAATATCATCCGCATTATGCGCAAGTCTTGTGTTTATTCATTTTGCCCTGGAAACAGATCAAGCCGCTATGAAGGCGAAAATGCGTCAAATTTACTCTTGCTCTGATTTTCTGTTCGCACAGCCTAGCGGCTTCATTTGTGAGCCTAAAAAGTATCTTTGGGTGGTACTGTACGGGATTATTTCGTGTTTGGCCGGAGGCTCCTGCATGGTGCTCTTTTTGTATCAATCTCTGATGGCTGTTAATGAAATGGCTGCTAAACGCAGTGTCTCCGCTAAAAATGTTCAGAAAAAACTTCTCCTGCTTCTTTGCGCTCAGGTTTGACACATTTCTCATATATTCCAAAAAAAGGGACACTTTTACAGTTGCTTTTCCCATTGACAGCGTATGCCATAGGTGGTTCCACTATTATTATCAGTTTATCACTTCAACTTGTTTGGATGCAAGGTAAAACTCAAAATTCTCTCGGAAACAGTCAGAAAAACATGTTTTCCAGAAGCCTTCAACTTTGCTTTTTTCATTTTCTCAAATTACGGACTAGCTGCGTCAATTTGTCTCATCTTTTGCAACGAACCGTATAGGAATAACACGAAACGATTATTTTGCTGTGGTAAGCACATTTTTGCTCAAGTTTATATAAAAATGAGATTTTTCAGAGTTTTTTAACAAAAAAATGATTCTGGCACTGTTGTACTTCATAAAAAGTGGGAAAGTGAGAGGTCTGAAGAGAAAACTGTTTTTGCAGGTTTGAAAGCACGGAAAACGAAAGATCTCACCAACATCATCAAAGTCAGCGATCGGAGCGCTGTTATTAGTTGAAGTAGATGAATTCGGTTCAATTTTCGGGTCTAGGCAACTTCTGGACTGTGATGTCTGTTAGAATTTGTTGGAACCAGTACAAATGCATGTTCTATATCACTTTGTGGTCTGTAAAATACATAAAATGTATATCACCCCCAACACCTATTGTTAACATCAACTCGCTATTCGTATGCCTGCTCTTACTCATCAGAATTGTTGTCAACTATACGACGTAAAGAACCCTCATATCCGGCCTACTGTATCCGACAACAAATCTCGTCTTCTAACACCACACCCAACACAATACGTCTATCCTAAACACTTGAGCTCAACGTCGAGCTATCTGATTTTGTGCGTGTTTCAGAAGCTAGATTCTATCCGATTCTTTTCCAGAAGCCTTCGCGCCTTCTCCCATTATTCATTTCACCCTTGGCTGCCTTCTGACCCATCAATTCCTATACGTTTTGTCTCGACATGTCAATCTTGCCCCCCGAATTTTGGCATGGCTGCCTGCTCGGAATCGATGCGGCAGAGCCATTTCATCTGGTATCCAGGACACTGGCTTCATTCCATTTTTTCTTCTGATCCTCCACTCGAAGCGCACGCACACCGACTGGATGACGCGAAACTGAACCGAGACCGGGGCCATCCTATTGTAGTCATGGATACATTTCGGAGGACCGCCTTTCTGCTCTGAACATATAATTTAGACTGCTCGTCACCCATCCCATCCCACATTTCGTCTTTTCCTCGCTCTCTTTGAGCCTCTCCATCTTCCATTGTACTTTTTCGATTTCCTTTCAATTTCCGGACAAAAAGGCAAACGGAGAGAAGGGGGGGAAAAGGAACATGCCGAGAGCGTCCAATGTTTTCTTTCGATTCTTTTCCCCTCCCCACTATCACCTCGTTTTCTCTCGTGCTGATCATATCTATTCGTTTTCAGTCGTCAAAATGTTGTCGAAACTCGAGCATCCGTCCCAAAAGAAGGAGGAGCGGCCACGACTGCCGCAGCCACCGTCCCTGGTCCAACATCAGACCAACTCGTCTCAAGGACCATCTCAGGGACCGGCTGGAGAGCCCCAGCCACCGAGGGTTCGCCGGAAGCTTCCTCCGTGAGTTTACATCAGGGTTCCAGCACGTTTGACTCTTTTTTTGAGAACTCCTACCGACCAGAACCATCTGACTCAAGACGACCTCGATCACATCTTCGAACATCACCGCTCGATCGAGAAAGTCGAGGTGTGGCGCCGTCAGTGCGGATTTCCTCCTTCCAACATCAACGGAACCGGAACCAGCAGCGGCACCGGATAACTTCACTTCAAACCCGCTCTACCGATCCGATCGATGCTGACGTCACACCTAAATCTAACATCAACATGATTTCTCTGTTCACGTTTGCCAGAGCGAAATAAATAATCAAACTCAATAAATTCAATTGAAATCTGATCTTTAACCCCCTGGTTGATGAATCAGACGACGGATGGAAACGTTAGATAAAAGAGAGAAGCGGAAGGGTGTTCGATTGGTACGTCTACGACAATCTGATGTCATCTTCACGTGACGTTGTTTGATGGGCAAGACAAGGACATGACGTGGCATAGGTGGGGGAAGGGAAATGAAAGGAAAAGACGATTCGGAAAGGAAAGTTTATTGTCAAAATTGAATCAAATGGTTCGATGGTTCGAAAGCAAAATTATTCGACGAGATCCACCATTTTTCCATTTCCGGGGGTGTTAGACTGAAAATCCAAAACTTTAACTCGGCTTTCAAATGGGAAAAAGCTTACAAATGAAATTGAGAGCGATTTGAATGTCACTTGCACGCAATCCTCAGGTAGTGGTTCGGCCTTCGGTTCGATCTTCTTCTGATCCTTCCGATCCTTCTGATCCTTCTGCTCCTCCTCCTTCTTCACTTCCACTTTCTCCTCCTTGATTGCAGGATTCGGAACGTTAAACATTTGTCGAAAGTGATATCTTTGGGCAGGAGTGAAATGCTCTGGGATCCGAAAGTAGAGAGGAGGGTATTTCGGCCGGAACTCGCCGACAAAAGTGTCCACCGATGAGGTAGACGCTTTGACAGAAGACATGATAGTCGGACGACCACGATAGCACGACATTTCGGGCTGAAAAGAGGAGAAATGAGGAAAAATGTTCAAGTAAAAGAGTGAGCAAATGAGCAGAAATGCGTGCAATGAGCACGTGCGACAGGCTAATTAGGGGTTATCTGGATATGCGATCTCCCCTACCCCCTTTCCTCTCTGCCTTAATCCTCTTCTCTGTACCACCTGCTCCGCCCGTCATCTCTCCGCTCACCAGGACCGCGTATTAACTGGCACGCTTATAACACCTGTCTGAGAGGCTAATTAGAGCTGTTACAAGATGAAAAGGTAGGCGTGTTGAAAAAATGCAGTTTATTGTTTACAGAGTAAAAGGAAAAGAACGAATTTTGAATAAAGATTGGGAAAAAAGTGACGACAGAACGGGAAACATGCAAAATAATTCAAGGACGAGTGTATGTTTGACGAGGGGGAACATGAGAAGATGTAGAAGCAACAGGCGAAGAACAGAAAGCGGTTGTGAAGAAATTAGGCAATTTTTGAACTTTCGACGGAGTAGCCCACGGATCCACAGAAGCCATATCTCTGGGGATACCTCTTTTCAATAACAAACCCAGTTCCCGTAATTTCTCCTTCGGGACACTCCCAGCGGATTCATCTCCAAAGCCATTTTCAGGACCATTTCCAGATTTCTCACCATTTTGATCTGCAATCAATTCAAATGTTCAAAAAATTGTGACAGAAACGCTCACTGTTATTTCCATTAACTGCTTCTGGTTCCTTTGTTCTTGGCCGAAAATTCAGATGAATCAGCTCCAATTCTTTTCCCGTCATCAGGCAACCCACTGCCTCCCGTTTGGCTTCGTGATATTGTTGAAGAAGTTGCTGCTTCTTTCTTTGGTCGGCGCACTCCCAATAATCCGCGTATATGCGGTTTGCATCCGCATAACGATCATAATAGTCCTGCATGTTTTCCAGCGAGTATTTCGTTTCGAAGAAGTCATTTGTGCGGGGTCCTACCGCCGCTATTTCTTCTGTAACAAAAACACACGTAATTTATGATTTTTGAAAATATATTACTCACGTGTTAGATCACTCACAGACGGTGTTTCCTCCTTCAGAGCGTCGATCGCTGAACTCTTCAGGTTCAAAATACGTGTCTCAATTCCCTTGTACTCCATCGCATTCAACTCTCTGATCACGAGTTTTTCGGCAAGTTTTTCCGCTTGTGCCATTTTGTGATGGTAGATGTAAAGTTGCCAGGGAGTCGCTTTTTCCAGTCCGGTGATCGGAAGTTGTCCGTTCTTCAAAACTGCCGATTCACTCATCTGAACATTATAGAATATCCGTGATATCGAATTTTGTTGCGATATTAAATTATTAAAAGAAAACGGGAGAGGAAGCAAAAAGAAGAAGAGAGAGAGAATAGTATTTAGTTAGTTTCTGAACTTTCAAAACTAACAAAGGACCTCCAATCACATAGAAATCTGAAAAGAGAACGTCAGTATAAGCCACGCGAAATGATGACAATCCTGCTCCGCCTTGGCCGCCGTGCAAAATATCGGTCATGTCATCCTTTTAATGTTTTTTTTTCAATCGGCCGAGGCGTAAAACTTCGGCCGCCAGCCACGTTTAGAGGAGCTTGAATTTCACTTTTTTGCGAGGCCAATACTGAGTGTAACCGACTGAATTGAAACAATTTAGGAAATTTCGATAAGGGGAGTCTCACTTCAAGGACCATGACGGATCAAGAAGTTCTCTATTTATTCAGCTATTCAGAAGTAGCTGCCGCCCTCCCTACGGTGCCCATCACAATAAAAACACCACCTTGTCCGCACTGCTATCCATTCTTTTCCGAACGGGAAAACAGCGGGCAATGACAAAATCAGAAGGACCGATTCTCGAAATACCTCGCAAGCGGAAGAGTTCCATCAGGAAAACGTCTAACTCCACCCTGATCTTCAAAAAAGGAGACAGGGAAGGGTCCCATTGAGAAAATAAATGTCATAGATTTATTATTTTCATTGTTATATAATCGAACAAAATTATGTCGGTTTCCAATATTTCAAACAAAAAGAGAAGCGAAAAAAGGGGGGGGGGGTCCAGCACGTAACAAACATGAGAGGAAGCTGAAGAAAATGGAGAGAACTTTCAAGAAACGAAAAACAGAAACAAAGCACAGAAAAGTTATGAAATAGTCAACAAAACAAAAGAAAACTGGGTAGGACGACAATTCGAACTACAATAGATGACGTGAGAAAGACAATTTGAACATGAACTCGTGAATGAGTATCGTATGTGCTTTGATAAATTTGGGAGAGTGGAAACAGAGATAATACGATGGAAAAGGTGAAAAGAAAAAATGAGATGTAGCAGAGGAAGGATCAGAAATGGATTAGGATACGAGAACAGAAGTGGAAAAAGCATAACCGAAAGAATTCCTTGGGCCATGAACGTGAATGAAAAACAAAACAATTATAGCTCTTGGTATTTGTTAAATACCGCTTTCAGCCATTCCATAGAATAGTGTTGTTGGTATCGCTTTCTTCCTCTTGTCTTCGTGCTGAAAGAACGCATATGAGAATGACAAATTGATGAATGGAATGTCTCACCTGCATTGCCAGCAGAAAGCAGTTATATTCTTGATACCTCTGGTGCAAACGAGATTAAATATCTCTACTTGGCATTCAGAACAACGGAATGTGACTGCGGGCGGATCTTTCATCTTAATCTTCACACTTGGGTTTTGTTGCAGAAGAGCCTCCCTGTGCATGATGAAATGTCCCAGAGATCTGAATGAACATGTATATAGATTTTTAAACTTTTTTCTTTCAAACTTACCTTATAAGAACGTCTCGGACGAGATCATAAATCGGCTTGTTGTCTCGGAATCTTCCTTCTTCAGCAATATCCCAGATCATTTTGCACAATGGGGCTTGGCCGTTCTTCTTATTCCGATATTCTGTTGTAGTCACAAGCGCCATGCGAAGTTGAATTTCGGACGGCGGACAGAAGTTGTAGGCGTAGTTGTCGCAGAATCCCTCGGATTGCACCCAATGCAATGTGCCGGGCATCACAACAACAGCGTCTCCTGGCTTTTGTAGAGCTTTTTGAAGGGGAATCCCAGCTTTCAGAACTTCTTCCTCGCACGGCCAGAAATTTTGGCCGTAGAACTGAACTTCGCCGTGTTGGACACTCTTTTTCTGGACGAGCTCCTCTGTGAGATTGCTGTATTCCTCAGGTATCGCGTACCAAGTGCAATCTGCTCCTCCACGATTGACATTCACCGACCCAAAAGAGCAATTCTCCTTATGAGCCGCTGTTCGCACTCCGAACGACTTTGAATATATTTGCACAGTATTGACGCCCAAAATGTCTTCTTTCAGAGAGCTCAGCAGGTTTTCTTCAACGTTGAATGGTTGAATGTATTTTGGCCACTTTTTGAACTCCTCTTGCTGCTCCTTGTATTTCTTCGGATTGTTTATGTCAATATTTGTGCCAAAGTTCACCCAGAACAATACACTATCGTAATCCATCCAATCGATGTTGGCCAAAAGCTCCACATCCTTCAGACTCTTCGTCAACCGTTCCTCCGTAGCCTTCAACGCCGCAACGTTTTCTTCATCCGATTTTTCGAGTTCCACACTTGCCATCATTTCGTCCAGAACTGAAATTCAATCATTTGAATTTTTGGCGCGAGCGCACAACTTACTTTTCAGACCATGATCCTTCATTTTTCTGATATATTCGAGATGTTGTCTTAAAGGCATCTCTCCGATTCGCGATGCATACCGCCAGTTGGATGCTCCGTAAATATTTCTGTTTGTATTGGCTGGTTGAGGAGGCTGATGAGCGACATCGATTTTCTCATCGGCAGATATGTTTCCGATTGTCTCTGCACTGAACAGCTGTCCATTTGTCTCTGTGGCGTTTTCAAAATTCTTGAACATCATCATTGACGAGCAAAACATCATTCTCTTGACCTTCTCTCCATGAAGTTCGTCCTTTTTGCAATCGTACACGGGAGTCGGATGGTACTTCGATTCAACCATCTGCATTCCTGCTTCTTTGAGCAGCATCTCTTTCTCTCGTTTGGCAACATCACTGATCGGGCGTTTCTGAAGTTCTTCCTCCGTGAAAATGAAGTTTTTCCGAGCTTTCACGGATCGGATCGATCGCTGTTCAACTTCGTCGAATGTGGCAGTCAGTGGAACGTGCCGCTTTCCCGTGAAACAGAGGGCAGGGGTTTTAAACTGCACGGTACTCGGAATATCGGGAATCTTCTCAAGCTCAATTATTTCTTCACTTATGCACGCTCGAAAATACTCTCCCAGCTTTCTGTAATCTTCCCATTCTTTTTCCGTGTACACTTTGTCAATGTCCACTGGAACGTGAAAGTGGTTCATTTCGGGCTGAAAATGTCATGATTAACTTAAAGAAGAAATACTTGGAAATTGTCCCACCATTCTGTTTTTAATGTATTCGTGTACTTTCATTAGCCGAACGTTTTCTTCTGGCAGATCAGGATACAATTCCGATATTGCGAACAAGACAAATCTGTTGAAGGCTTCCGTCAGCGTGTCTTTTCCGAAGTTCTGATGCAGGATAACGTCCGATTCTGGCCATTTCTCGTCCTGAAAGTGTGATCATAGACAATTCACTTTGATGAAAATGTAATACAATTTGATCCTGCGTTCGTGTGATTGTTTGCTCTTCCGAACTATCAATATAAGTAAGTCTTGGTCTTCCCCGCTTTCTCGCTTTCTTCGGAGAAGTATCTGCAGACGACAGCGTAGATTCCGGATGTGCTCTTCTTCTTTTTATCGTTTTACCTACAAGAATTCAATAGACTGTACATATATATCTCGAAAAGACAATACCCTTCAGCTGTCCGTTTGCTTTTTTTGGCTGTGGTGATGCTCTGCCAGGTTCACTTCCTTTCTCGCTTTGAATGTCTGCTTTTTGCTCCGCCCCTTTCTCTTTTTCCAAGATATTCCATTTTAATCGTTGAAGCTCTTTCTTCTCTTGTTTCTCTTTGGCTTTACGCGCTTCGTCTTCTTTTTTCAATTTTTCATTGTGCTTCTTTGCTTCTTCTCCTCTCAAACTGCCTTCATCTGAAAAAAAAACCATTTCATAAAGTTCTCAGAAATTCACGGAAAAAATACTTGATTCTTTCTGCAATTCTTCCGAATCTGCGATGATGCCAGACGAGCGAATTGCTGGTGGACTAGTGGGAACGGGCATTTCTTCTTCCACTTCATCCGTCTCCGCGTTGTCAGTTTCATCAAGATCTTCTGAAAATCAAAATGATTATCTTTCTGGAACGCCCCGGCTCAAACTAAATCAATTTAACAGTATGTTTTCTCTCTCTCTCTCTCTCTCTACCTGATAAAATATGTCTCATTTTCGTCAGTGCAAAGTTTTAAAGTTAAATGGGCCAACGATGGAAGTGAAACACAACTATTTTCGCCAGTTTCGGTCAGCTCATAAAAACATACATACCTAAATCACTTTCATAAGGATCAGTGAAGTCAACAACGCCTTCACGGGGGCTGTTTGGGGACAGAGCTTTGGAAATAATAACATCATCGTCGTCGTCTTCCAACTCTACAATCTTCTCATTTCCTGAAAAGCGGCGGAATTATTTTTCCGGAACGACCCAGCTCAACAAAAATTAGTTAGATCTCTTCAAAAGCGATAATGTGGAATTTAAACGCATGCTTCTTTTGGGTGAGTTTTAATAGAGTTTGTCGACAGCAAAATTGGAGAGCACGATTTGAGACTGATTATACCCGGTTCTAGGTCCTTCTGCGCTTCTTGCGATTCCATTTCGTCCGTGTTGTTGATAGACTGGTTTTTATTTCCTTCGTTCGCAGTTGCGACTTCACCACTCGTGCCAAACTCATTCTGCTCTTTCGCCGTTTCTGCCTCCAGATTTTTCTCTCGAGCCAGACGATCCTGATCTTCTTTTTGTTGCAATTCCTCTCTCTTCCGTTTCTCGACAGCCCCATTTCCTTCTTTCTTTCCCTTCATTTGGAGTTCCTGTTCCTCGGCCGTTTCTTTCTTTTTTGGTGGGCATCTCTCTTCCGCCACTCTTTCTTCTTCCACTTCAAGTCCGGAATTGCGAGAAAAGTTATCGACTTGTGGAACCGGCGGAACCAAGTTCTTCTCTGTCCTCACTCTATCGGTTTTGCCACTTTTATTTGCAGCGATATCATCTGAAAATCATCATATTTCTCTCTCTCTCTCTCTCTCTCTCTCTCTCTCTCTTTCTCTCTCTTTCGCTCTCTCTAAAACAGAGAGCTCGCACTTTCGAATTTTCATGTTGGATGGCGGATGAAACAAGAACAGCATCAGGATTATAGAAAAAACAGACTAACCTTCAGCATTTCGATTACTTTCGGTCCATTCTTTTTGTGATGTGGAAGATTGCACGACTTGTTTTCTGGCAGGCTCACCAATTCGGTCCGAATCACTTGAAGTGGACCGGATTCTTTTTCCCGAAACTCCTTTCTCTGAAAATATACAATTATTTTCACATTTTTTGGCACACCATCTAAAATTGTTTGTTTGAATTTCATAATAAACGTGCCTGGGTCATTCGATTCCTTTCTGAGCGCCGGCGTCTGTTCTTCGTTCGGTCGACTTTCCATCGTTTTCCGCTTCTTCTCGGCCTCACGTTCTTCTCTTTCTCTTCTTTCCGTGATTTCCTGCTCGCGCTTCGATCGGGTAGTCTCTTCATTCCTGGCACGTTGCTCGGCCTCCCGTTCTCGAAGACGGATCGTTTCCTCTTGCACCTTTGCTCGTTCTTCATCCACCTGGCGACTTTTTTCTTTTTCTTTCATTTCCTTCATTTCCTGCTTCAATTCGTACAGTTCCTTCTTTATTTCCTTCAATTCGTTCAGTTCGTTCTTCATTTCCTTCATTTTCTTCAGTACTTCCTTCATTCCCTTCTCAACTTCCATTTTTTCATTCTTATCCTCCGTTGAACGTGTTTCGACCTCTTTGTCCTCTCTCAGAACTTTCTTCAGACGATCTAATTCTTTTTCATTTGTCAGTTTTTCCATCTCCTGCTCGAATTGATGCTTTTTTGCCTCTTTCTCCAACGCATGTCGTTCATCCTCTTGTTTCTTTTCAAATTGAAGTTTTTCTTTTTCTGTTTCCTCCTTCTGCTTTTTTCTGAGACGGTCCACTTCTTCTTCATTGTTCAGGTTCTTAATCTGTTGCTCGAGTTCATGCATTTTTGCTTCTCTCTCCAGAGCCCTTCGTTTTTCTTCCTGTTTCTCTTCGAACTCAAGCTTCTTTTTTTTCGCTCGCTCCAGCTGCTCTTTCATCAGACGATCTACTGTTTCGTCCTTTTTGGCCATGCTTGCATCGTTGCTCACTCCTTCTTCAATGCATTCATCTCCAAGCAAATCATTCACAGAATCGTCGGAGTCCATGATTTTTTCGAACTGAAAAAAAACGATTTCAATTGTATATTTGGATTTGAGAAAGTCAATTATACCAGAATTCAATTACTATAGCTCATACAACAGTCCGGGACCATAAAAACACTCGTCGAGCAGATTCTCTTCTCACAACCATCCCCAGATTGGCGTCAGTTTTGATTTGAATTACTTCCGAGTTCAAAAACTCCATGTCAAGAAATTTTCTCGCCTAGCCTCGAGTAATATTCTTCAAAAGTTCAAACAACACTCCCCACACTTCCAAATTGTCAATGTCAACCGCCAACCGCAGATAGTCCCGCCGGGTGGTAATAAGGTATCTCTTTCAAGTTCCGCGGTGTGTTACTGAACGGATACGGTGTAGCATGAAAGAACCTAAACTTTACGAAGAGGGATGTGAACAGGGCACTACGATGACCTTCGCGCTCGCCAATGACGTCTGTAGGAAAGGGGATATTCTGATTGGGTAATGTCCTTGCGCAACTAGCTAGCATCTCCAGATTAGCACAAGATAACAGCACAGTACATTACTGAATACCGCTCATGTATCAAATTAGATCCTCCTTATATAACCACAGAACAGTAGTGCAAGCGTTTCGAAGGTAAACGTTATTGTCGAACTGCACATCGTCCACAGTGTAATGCACGATTTTGTTTACTTTTGTTTTTTTGTTTATAGTCTCATTTTTTTTGTTTATCGTCTCATTGTTTATCGTCTCATTAGAAAACTTGAACAACACTCTTCACACTTCCAAATTCAGTTTTGTCAATGTCGACCGCCGACCGCGTCGCACGCAGGTGTTCACGGAGAGGGATGTGCATAACGCACTACGATGGCCTCTGCGCTCTCTGATGACGACTGTAGCAAAGGGGGAGGGGGGTGTTCTAATTAGATAGGATAATGTTCTTGCCCTACTCTCACTTGATCTGTTATTGACGAAAGAAGACCGTTCACTGTGCCCACACAAGTGAGCTTGAAAGTTTGGAGTTTGTCAGTCATCAATAAGATTTACTAGTGGATCTCCCATACAGTTTATGTCAAGTAAACTTGATTTGAATGGAAAAGGGTTCAAAAATGCAAAGCAAGTGGATTAAAGGACTCTAGCAGAAGAGAAAAACACAGAAGCTGTTTGGAAAACTACTTACAATTCACTGATTTTGTTCTAAAGAAAGAGTGACGTTTTGCAGATGACGGGAGAAGTGGAATGGGCAGACTATGGATGAATGAGAGAGACAATGATTTTGGGAGGAGAATGCACAGAGAGTGGATGTAGAAAAAAAGAGAGAGGGAAAACCAGAGAGAGAGAGAGACAGTGCTTTGCGCAATGGAGTCGTCATGGTCTCGGTAAAAAGTGTTGTGTGGGACCAGATGAGCAACCGACGGTGGCTGCCGGCCACGAAACGATTGGAAAGAGGTACTATCGGATACATAAACATATGTCACAAACGTTAGCCCGACTGTGCAGCGAGACAGTAGGTCATTAGCAATTGATGAGTCCAATCGTGTTTACATGACACCAATTGGAAAGAGAAGCAATGACTATTACTGATACATACACCAGTTCGGGACTTCGAGGACACTTCGAAAGTTTAATTTTTTCAGGTCTACAATTGAGTGAGCGAGTCTGACGATTCAAAGTTTCACATCAGATCCCTTTTCTTCCTTATAATCTCTCGAACAGTGCCTGATTCCCGAAATGAAGTCGTATGACAACTTTCTGGTAAGCCTACAATATTTATCTATATGTTTTCGAAACCTGATAAAGTAAGAAGACTATTCAGAACGAACGGGAGAGATGATGTTCCCATGAGAAGGTTCACCTTGAAAGTATTTTCCGCTCTTCCGTCTCGTCGCTTCTCAGATGAGATGAATTCATCAATTACAGATTTACATTGTCTGCAATTCACGCGTTATCAATTATCAGTCTCTGCGCCTCTTCTCGTCGCGTACTTTTAATAATTTGATAGAAAAGATAAGAGTATTCCATTTCTTATGCTAAGACTGAGTCCAGACACCACTTTCTCTTCAGCTATCCTCCATCCTCCCCAACAACCAGCTGCCACCTTGGTGGACACAGGTTACCCGAAATATTTATGAAAATAGAGAAGAATATACAAACACCGCTCCGATAAACGTATGCCAATCAGGACAATAAAAAGAGCAAAGGTAGATAGGCGAGCACGGAACAAAAAATGGAGGAAAAGGGGGTAACATTTGAACATTTTTCAAACTCCCGCCCCTTTCAAAAAAATGAAAGTGAACTGAGATTACATTATCAAACTGGACAGTAGGAATTCTCAATGGATTACACGTTCAGATTGAAAAAGAAAGGGTTGCCGTAAGAGAGGGAGAACAAGGAGTTCACGGAGAGATGATAGTTGTAAGCGCACTTTTTATCATTATTGCACCGTTTGTGAACTGCACTCTTTTCTTTTGTTTGAGTTTGCTGATAAAAACGTGTTTTACTTTAAATGAAGTATTCAAATTCTTCGAGAATCTTGTTTCTGATAAAAAAATGCTTTATCTTTCTGTGAGACGGGAGTTAGAAATTTGAATTGATAGTTTGAGTGAGGCCTTCACGGAAAGGGGTGTGGACAGGGCACTACAATGACGTCTGGAGGAGAGGGGGTATTCAGATAGGGCAATATATCCCTTCGCAACTAGTGCTCCTCTCTTGCTCTACTGCCGACGGAAGAATACAATATACACTATACATACTGTCTCCACGAGTTCCGTTCCGAGGTTCGAGAGACTATCGAAGATGACGTGAGAAGTGGAATAAGCAGACTGTGGACGAATGGGAGAGACAATGATCCCGCGAGGAAAAGGTACAGAGAAGTAGTGGCAGAGAAAAATAGCAAGAACCACCAGACAGTGTTACATAAAGAGAGCCTATTGCGCGTTTTGGTGTCGGTAGAAAGTGTTGCGTGGGACCAGATGAGCAACCGACGGTGGCTGCCGGCCACGAAACGATTGGAAAGAGGTACTATCGGATACATAAACATATGCCACAAACGTTAGCCCGACTGTGCAGCGAGACAGTAGGTCATTAGCAATTGATGAGTCCAATCGTGTTTACATGACACCAATTGGAAAGAGAAGCAATGACTATTACTGATACATACACCAGTTTGGGACTTCGAGGACACTCTTCGAAAGTTTAAGAGGCAATGTCTGAGAACCTCGAAATTCGCTAATTACACCAGGTCACTAAAAATTCAGAATGCTTCAATTTGTCTCATATTATACCCAATGGGTACTTACATAACAGTGATACATCAGACAAGTTTTGGTCCGGCTCCTTGGTCCCTAGTCCGATCACGGTCACAAAATAGGTCAAACCTGTAACTAATTTCAAAAAAATGCTAGCGTCTCAGACTCAAGGCCATTCGATTTCTCGCATCTTTTTAAGCATTTTTCATGTTGACACCAAAAATTTATCACCTTTCCTTCATAGAGAAATTTCGGATTTTTCGTGAAAAAGTTGAGTTGTTGTGCAGTTTTCCTCCGTGGTGAAAATTTTTTGCACTTCATAGCCACGATTTTATTTCAAATTCATAATCTACGGACAATTTTACGTCGATATATCATACTGTCGCACATTTGCCGATTGACATCAAAGGAGTTTTTTTCAAAAGTTTGATCCGGTCTCAAAAAAAAGTTTCTGTTCTGCTTTTGGAAAACTTACAGAAACAAAGGAATTCCTGTTTATAGACGTTTTTCATGCTAAAAACTGTAATTCTGTTATGTATTCGTCAGGTACAGCTTTGTAAACGTAGCGATTAAAACATGTTGCTATTTTTTCTCAGCCGGATAGATTTTTCGAGATGTGTTCGCTTTTACCCAATATTTTATGCTTTCTCTCGTTTTTATTTTTCAATGTTCATCTTACTTTTTGTGAAGAATTTATTTGGTCGTTCTCCGATTGATTCAAGAACGGTAAACAAGAAGTACATATTATAGGGGCACCGCACAGAAATGGCGCTCTGTTGAGAAACTCTTTTTGCAGTGCAAATTGAGCGACCTCGGGGCCGAGTTTGAAAGTTAGGCCACATTTTCAGTGGAAAATTACTTCGCGGCCTAGAAATTCGACCAGATTGCGAACAGCGCGCCTTTTCCGTCCGGTGCCCCTATAATACACATGGGGCAACACTCAACAACAAAAAGTACATCAAATAGGTATAAAAAGCACAAAGCAAATTTTTGTGTAGCTATTCTTCTTCCTATTTTTCAAACTGCTGATATTATTAGATGGTCAATATTACAGATTATAATGAAACTCATTGTTTTTCCTGATTGTACAGTTGCTCTTGCAATGGTCAATTTGTTCCGTCAAGTAATTTGATGTCATTGACTGGAACATACGAGTTCGAACATGCCGGATACACTTCAACTGTGATTGGGTCTATTGATGAAGAACTAAATGCTGTACTGTCGCAGAAGCAGACCACGTTTTGGTACTTTTTCGGAATGTACTAAGTCAACTGATTCTCAAAACACTGCTTGCATTGAAGAAGAAGATGAAAATGAAGTGGAAAGCGATGAAGTGAGACCGCGGTACGAAGACGCTTTGGAAAAGATATTTACATGCCCAGAGGAAGGATGCTCAGCTACATTTTTGAGATATTCAAGCGTGGTCGAGTATGTTGAACGTGGACAACATATAATTCGACCTGAACGGCAGCAGACACTTCGTGATTTTTCATTGAAATAATTTATTCGTGGTTTGGAAGAAGTGGTCAAAAAGTTGCCCAATAATTTCGAATGCTGTGAAAAAACTGAAGGAGACGAACGAGAAGACGGAATTGGAGGACGGATGGGTACTTCAAGTAAGAAATGTCAACATGCGGATCCGAGAATTGTTGAAAGGAGAATGGCAGAAGCTAGAAATCCGGACGGTTCTAAGCGGTTTTCAGTGGATCAAAGGAAAGACTTCCGTCAGATTGCCGGGTTCTTCTCCCGTGAAGCAGCGAAAAGGCAATCAAAAGCAGCA